GCGGCCCTTCGAGAGACGAGGCGGGCATTCTGGTCTCCTATATCTTCTACCCATTGCGGGAGATTTTCTTCGGGCAAGTTTGTCTGATACCAGTCGAGATTCGTGGAGGTGGCGGATAGTCTCACTAGAGAATAATATGGAATCGGGGGCTTGTTATTGGGATCAGGATCATGCACAATGAGGCCTAGGGCGAAATCATAAGAATATGAGTTATCTGCTGATACGATATCTTAACGTTACCTGTGATGGGGTTTGTTGATATATCCTCTTCGTCGGCATAGGCTGAAGCGCACTCCCAGATAGAGTGCGGAGGTGACGGCTCACTTAAGACACCGTTGAGCACGACCTGGAAAGACTTGATTGTGAATGGAGTTGTGATGATACCTCGGGCAGTATGGGAATCTCCCTCGGTCCATATCTGCTCTCATTAGCCTCAAATTCTAATTGGATACACAACAGCCACCACTTACCGCATCCTCCCACTCAATCAACGCGTCACTGGAGAGAGGGAGACATATTGTGGTAGTGTCGCTTCGTTCGGCTTCCACGTCGGGCAACTCGCCCCTCTCCCAGTCACCATACAATACGATCCTACGGAAGCCAGCATGGTTTTTCGAAAGATATGCCAGGGTCGCGGTTCTGTTTCCATTGTCGACTAGCCAGGGGCTCCATCTGAGGGAAAAGATGCTGCCTTGAGGACTGAAATCCGGATCTTGTGGATCTGTATCCTAGCTAGAAGTAAGTACAAGGCATGTACGGAGATAGGAGTAGGCGGACTCACTTCCTTATGAGAGCCTCGTCCATCAATTCTGATGTGCTCCGTCAAAGTCCAAACCCATTCCTGCTCAGAGCCGCGCTTGGAAGAATCTCGGCGACGATGATACTGTATGCTCATAACAACAATCTGACCCATGTCGTTCAGGTAGGCCAACAAGGCTCTTCCCGGGGCGATCTCCTTGGCCCACGAAAATGAGACGATGCGCTCGTCCATGATTCGAAACCCGTCTTCGGAATTGGAATCTGGAATCGGAAGCCTGGCTCCCAAGCCCCAAAGCACCCTCCAATTCTTAAAGGTTCGGGTTCTCATGCTCGACGTGGCGGATGACTGGCTGTCGGCCTGCTCCCCAAACGTGATGAGATTGCCAGTAGTTGTCAGGGCCATCAGCACTGGGCGAGAGTTACAGCCAAGCCCATTTGGTGACCACTCTACTCTGATGACTTGTCCCAAGGCTGCGCCGGACCCTGTGACCGTTCCATTACCAACGCCTCTGAAACTACCCTCGTCGCCTGTTCGAGGAGCTGGTAGCCTGATGCCTACTTGGGCGCACAGCTGGCCGTTTATCTTGATATTTGGCTTGATTACGGCAGATGGTTGGAGAGAGAGTGCAAACTGATACTGTGAGGCATCTCGTTCATCTGCGTCGGCATCGTGGCCGGCCAGATAGTCAGGCAGGAAGATGTAGATGCATTCCTGCGTGGCAACGGCCAGTTCAGCGTCGCATGACCAGGCAAGGGCATGTGGCGATGGCGAACGCGAAGTGAGAGAAAGCGTCTGCAGGGGACGCGCCTAAGACGATTGGTGGCCGGGGTCAGCAAAGAAATTGATGTCGACATGCTGAACTCGTGAGCAAAAGAGGCTGCAGGGCAAAGAAAGAAACCAAGAATAGAGCTACCGACTGGGGTGAGAGAAGCTGAGGAAGAAAGAGCTGGGATTGTTCTATACATATGAAGACACCATAGGTTGATAGAATATTCAAGAGAGAAGATATCAAACAAAAAATCAACATTGGAACCAAGAGATGCTCATCCAGATGCCATGTCCAATCACCAATCTCAAAGCTTGCTCTCAACTCACCCTGAATCGGTCCATGCTATGGAGGGCTAGGCGCAGCCAATTTCATCAGAACGCGCGGGTTTACAATCTGATTCATTGGTATCTTTCACGTCCGCATGCGAAAAATCCAATACGCCGAGCGAAAAGTTTATGAACAAGGTTCAGTCTTGAAGAATGCAGCATGAGACTGGCACGTCTAATTTGCTGCTGACTAAGGCATTCACCCGCGTGGACCGCCCATGATATCATCAACCGTTATTGAATTGATCTGAATTAAAGCATTGCGAGAATTTATATTTACATATAATTCTTCAAAAGATTTTCAATTTATTTCTGCTAGACCTTGATTAATCTTGCGCTAAGATGGATGATGTATAATCTAAGCTTAAATTCGATGCTTCATAAAAACAAGACAAAAACAGTACAATAAACAGCCGCAAATTATGCTTCCAACAATGTGCCAACTCCCCACAATAGCGCACATCCAGCGAGCGCCGTGGCTCCAATGACCTTCTTCGTCCACCAGTCATCCTCGGTGAGAGCTTTGGCGCCCTGGATTTTCCTCGGCGGCGCCGTGGGAACTCTGGCGGGAATGGACGACACGTTGTGGCGGGCCGCATCCTCCTCCGCCTCCCTCTTCCTCAGCATGGCAATGGTCTTGCTTAGCTCGACGAGTTCTTCCTCCAAAGCCAAGTCCTTGGCTCGGTCGACCTCGACGTTTTGAATGTTGCCGAAGAAGTCGGTGATGAGGCGGCTGCGCGCGGCCTCTTCTCCCCCAGGGAAGAGATCATAGCGGACGCCAGCGGTGGAGTGAATCTTTTCGTAGTCGTAGCTATCAAACAGCTCGCCGACGGTCTTTTTGCTGCTGAGGTCCTGGACATGGGCTTCGAGGAATTCTAGGTTGTAATAGGTGTATCGGTCGATGACTGCGACGCCGACGTCGTTGTCGGCGTGATGCGAATATGATGATTGGTCGAGCTCGGATGATCCCGTGGCAATGATGTTGGGAGAGTAAAGTCGGCTGTACATTGTGTTTGCCTGGCAAGTGTCGATCATGAATAGAATCTCGTGGTATCTGTATCGTATGACAAGTTAATTGAGTCCTGCTGCAACAAGAACATGTAAGAATGTATAATGCGCACCTCTTCTTCTCCCACATCTGCTCAAAGGCATCAGCAAGATCGAATGCGCCAATCTCCTCGGCATCCTGGAACTTGAGAAACTCGTTTCCACCGTGACCCGTCATGTACACGAAGATGTTGCTTCGGTCGTCGGTCAGCAGGCGCTTGCTTCGGGGCGTTTCGTCGCCGACACGATCCGTCAAGAGACGGATAAAGTTCTCAACAGTGACCTCATAGCCACGGTAGTCGACCTCGATGTTGTCGCCGTACAGGTCGACTGCACGATCCGAATTGCTGTAGACGGTGCCGGGGAACGCATTTCGGGGGTTGCAGGCCATGTCGTCGGGCAGCATGAGGATGATTTGCGAGTCGGGGATGCCAAGCCGCTTCACCGTTCGGTACATGGACAAGACATTGGCGAGATGACGGTAATTGAACCAGAAGCGCGATGTGCAGACCAGGACGGCCCAGTTGCTCGTGTGCTCGGCGACAGAGGCCGATGCGAGCAGCAGCGAGGCCACGATGGCCTTGAAGCTCAGGCCCGAGAGCTTCATCGCGACGGCGGTGATGGTGATTGGGATGTGGCAACGATAACGACTGGATACCTCGTAAATTCGTAGGTATTAGGGTGAGTATTGCTAGCTTGAATCCGGTTGTCGCGAAGCCATAGCCATGCGGGTTGATTGTATGTTATCGATCAATGAGCTGCAGGTATGTGGTCAAGTCCAGCTCGGCAATCTTGGGCGCTTACAAATCTAGGCCCCCTTTTCAACCAACAGTTTCATGGGCAGAGTAACAAGTAGAGAGTACGATATTAAACGCTAAGATGGATGCGCCGAGTAAAGTACTCAGTACCTCCATCTGAAAATGTGCCCTGAAAATGACTACGCGGGGCGTGTGGAGCAGCACAGAGGGGTGCATCTTGGATAAAGGAAGTACCCGTTGCTAGCGGCCGCTATTAAAGCATGTGACGGAGCAAGCAAAATTACAAATCCGGAGAAGTATTACCGGGGACTTTGGATATTGATGTTTGGCTGAAGAAGTCACTGAGCTGGTGGGATTAGGGAGTAAATACTTGCCTATACGGATATACGGATAGAGAGGAGAATATATCCGGGATGAGTGGCGCGATCCGACATCTCGGTGTGCCGGAGTATGTAAGCGCTCATGTTTGGTGTGAAGCTGATATTAAGCCGCCTCATCGGAAGCCCTCCGCGAGATGCATTAATTAGTAGGCACACCCTTGGCTGTACAGTATGTACTTGCAGACCATCGTTGTGCCCGTAATATCAGCGAGTGACACACATACAGAGCAACTGAGACGCCATGGATACACGTAAGAGGATGTGGTCGTATTGCTTAGTTGGTGCCAAGCTAGGAGCATCAAGTCCAACAGACATTGGAAGTATTAGTAAGATGGCAATGGCAAAAGTAAAGGATGCGATGCGAATACGGCACACCCCCATAAACGAGCATACGAGTATTACTCTAGATTGGTCTACTATTTGATATTTTGATAGACGAGATGAGAAACATGGTGCCCCAACAGGAGGCGTCGCCCGTGCGGATGCTTCAATTGTTTGCCCTCCCGTCGCAATCATGCGAACTTTGACCAACACGCCCGCCCAACGACTTCTGCTGTCCTTGGCCAAGGTCTGGGTCCGAGGGTCGCGCCTTGATACGCTAAGGACTCAGAATCCTGATACCTAGCAACAAAACTTTACTTCTCGGATCTCAGAGGCTATTCTGTAGAGCCGGATGTACCTACTGATACACACAACACACTGCTCAGAGACTCGTCAACGACGCGGAGTCACACAACGTAGCGGCGCTACAAGTCATAGAGTAGAGCACAAAGAGCAACAAAGATAGTAGATAGGTATGTTTTCATTGGACATCATAGCTACAGAATACATAAGTGCCTAAGATAAGTGCTAAAACTGAGTCGCTGCAACTGCCATAAGGGGGGGGGCTTCGCACCCGTATATCTGTACAAAAGCTTAGCCCTTGCGAACACTGTTGTATGATAGGTACAGACAAACCAGCTAAACGTTGATGAGGAGACCCATTTCAACGAGCGTCTTGGTCACATTCTCGGGGACAAGAGGCCCCCTGCCGCTAAAAAAGACCTTGTGGGTGTTTACGGGCCTTATGGCCGCGGCATAGTAAGTACCGGGGCGAGGGTTGCTATCGGAACCGCTTGGGACACTCTCCTGGTTATTGGCTTTGACGTTCCAGCTCGTGGGAATCAACTCCATCACGTCCACATTAATGACGGAGGCGGGCACGTTGAGAGTGAAGGGTTCTTCGGTGTTCCACTGGATCTCCATCTCAGCCATGGTGGTGGGAAGCTTGGCAAAGTTGCCAATCTCAAGGGCAATCAGGCTGTCAAGCCCATTGTCCATGATGTATGTAGCAAAATGGGCTACGAATTCGGCAGGAATGTCGGCCCCGGCAATGGGTGAAGGGCCTGCGGCGAATTCGATGGGAACCAAGCCGTTCTCGGTAATCTTGAAGAAGGTGGCGTGTATCTTGTTGACATCGAGAACCTTGATCTCCGTGGCCCTGTTCCAGGTAAATCCATGGACGCCCATGCCTGTATCGAGGCGGACCGTGCCATCAGGAATGATAGCATGGCGATGCGCAGAGTGGACACGGACAACGTGACCCATGGAGTGGTGGCGAATGATATCGTTCAGGGCCTTGATGTGTTCGGGGTGCTTGGAATGGAGATGGGGCTGGGCCTCGAAGTAGGGAAGCTCATTGTACCTGCGATGCCATACAATGATACTAGCATGATTCAAGGATGATGGCAGTGTTGGACCTACACGAAGCGAGCGATGTCCAGGTCTTTTGCATTGAGCGGCTGTCCAAGGCCGGGAGCAACCGCAGGGTCGAAGGCTGCCGTAGCTGGAGCAGCCATTGTGGTGGGATACAGAGTATATGGTAAGGAGTAGTTCAAAGCTGTACGGGGCGTGTGGAATTCTTCTCCTTTGCGGCAGTCTGAGGATGGAGGAAGATGGTCCTTGACAGGGTGAATCGCCTCTTTAAGTAGTGCTATTCGGCAGGAGAAAGGCGCAGACGTGGTCCGTTTGTCAAGACTGCCGAATGGCGGATATGGTGTCATGTAGATTCCCACTGGGGATTTGGAAAGATGAAAGGTGTAAGATGACTTTAATAATTGTATGGCTACGTTCTATCTATCAGCTCAACGAGAGGCTGCTTCAACGAAAGGCTGCTTGCTCAAGCAGCTCAACAAAAGGCGGCTATCTACATTGCCAGTTCACTCGAGCCTGAAGCCTGCTTCCGTGCCATCTCATACCTTCATGTGGTCTTCCGTACCGAGTTGGAAGGTTCCAGAGTTGCAAATTAACACTCCCGTCCAACGAACGGGGCTACGGCCCGTCATCAAACGGGCTTCAAAATATTCAATGTTGTGTCACACTGCGAGTTGGGCTGTAGTCACACGTGCCACCCTGATCTCCGTGGCTGGGTCGTCCAGCTACCTTTTCTTTCTTTCTTTCTCATTTCCCTTCCCGCTTGTCTTCCATTCTTTTCCCCTTTCCACAGGCGGCTGCAATCAACGTCACCACGTCCATCCTCAACTACTAAATCTTCCGGCACCCAGCATTCGCAGCAGCCCACCGCCATGGACATGGAGAGCCTGATTCGGGATCTATCGCAGATGCAAATACAGGCATTCTTTGAGAAGAGCGCCCCTGTAACGCAGGTTCAATGCAACACAGAGGCTGAACGCATCACGGGCGAACCTGTCAAACCCACGGCGGTGCAAGGCGGATGCAGCTACACCGTTGTCACTGAAAGTGGCTCACTTGTTGTCCAGTTTCGCAGCAGCGACTCTGCCCTAGACCTCGGCTTTCTCCAGGACATCGAGCAAGCCTACAAAGGCTTCGTTCCACACCACGAGAGCGTGGGCAAGGTAGGCGAGGTTCACGTCTACAGGATGAACAATGTCGGCGGAGTGGCCATGTATCTGGCCCGCGACCAGCTGCATGCGAATGATTGCTTGCTCCTGAAGAAGACTCTGCAAGACTACGCAAGGTCTGTGGGAACCCCCAATCTAAAGCTAGAGGGAGCCGTGCAGCTGACTTTTACCAACGCAGCTTCTTCAGCTCGGCATGGTGGAACACGCCTCAGACAATCAAGGATACAGACCGTGGCAAGCTCCTCCAGACCTACGACGCGCAGCTTGCGGTGTTGGAGAGCGGTTTGCCGAGCCGCTTTCGCCAGACTCTAAACAAGGTCAGATCGCGCCTCCCGGAGCTCTTTGCCGGGGACTGGCCGATGGTGCCCAACCACATCGACCTCCGGGAGAACAACATCCACGTGGACACGACCTCGGGCAGTCTCGTCGGTATCTGCGACTGGAAGGACACCGAGGTCAGCCCGTTTGGCATGTCGCTTGGCGGTTTCGAGGCGATGTTAGGGATCAGAAGAGTCAACGTGGGCTGGACCTATCTCCCCAACCAGCAGGCCCTTCGCGATGTGTTTTGGGCGGCGTTTAAGGAGTTGATGAAGGACTACGACGATCGCGTGGAAGTTGCGAGGATTGCCGGCCTCTTCCTGGACAATGGCTTTCAGCATGACGAGCACGGCAACATAGTTCCGGCGCAGGAGGGAAGCGATGACTTGATTTTTCTCGATGCAGTTATCCTGGGAAATTCGTCATCTCAATAGCTGCCTGTTATTCATTTCGCACCTTCGCACCATATACATAAAGATGTGATGCCTGTTTCATTCGGAGAGGATATCCGGTTAAAGATAGGTACGGAGTAGGTATATAGTTTGAAGATCTTGAAAATAAGAACGAGTGGGGGGCGCCAGTGCCTCCAAAACGATACCTTACCCCGACGTCACTGGAGCGGATGCGCTGCTACCCCCGCGTTGCAATCGCGCGAATCTTTGACCAAAAAACTCACGCCCAAGCACCAAGACGCCCAGAATCACAAGCCAGAAAAACAAAAGGGCCGTCATGCATACCACCAACCAGGGTTGCATGCGCCCCACGTGCCCTCAATGACGAAACAGCCGAAACAAGAGAAGCGTGGGAAAAAAAATCATACTAGGGGACCATTGTTCAGAAGAGGAAAGGAGAAAAAAGAAAAAGAAAAGTCACCAGAGAACATTATTAATGATTCACACAAAAAAAGGATGGATGAGGAAGAGAAGAAAAAACCGGCCCACGTCACATGGGAATCTCGGGGGGCGTGTCTTTTCCCAAAGGAGCAGCCGAGACGAGACAGCCTTGCCCCGATTGAACAAGCAGATTGAAATTAATTTGGCGGAGAGACTGTCAGTTCAGTACAGTAAGCGACTTGGTGCTACTTAGTAGTAATGATCCAATTTAATTTCCATCGCTTTCTCGGCCTGTGATAAATACATGAACATCTCGTCCTATCATCCAATTCCCCCAGTGAACTCGGTACCTGATCGGTGGCTTATTTTCTGCAATTACAGTTTCCATCTCGCACGGCCAACAGGCAGCCGTTGCACTGTCGTCTCTCCTCTCCTTGCACGGCCTGACTGACCTCATCTCATCATCCATCACACTCGGCCTATCCCCCATCGAACCACCCGTCTGTCGATTCGGCGGCGACTCTCGCATTCGCATCCTCAGCCCTGCAACTGCAACTGCAGCGTCTCCTCCGCTTCCATTTCCATCCTGCCCAGCTGATCAAACCCCGCCTGCAATTCCCTGTTCACTCTCTTCTCCAAGCCTGGTGTCATTCGGCCCCTCATATGCGGAGAAGGCAAGCCAGTGCCAGTGCGTAGGAGCGGCTGAGCCAGGCCAGCCAGTGCAGCCAGCTGGACAGAGACACGTCAGAAAGCGGCTGATCAGGCGTCGGTGGTCTATAAAGTCGCCAGGAACCAACATTAACGAATTTCGTTTGTTTGCCTGCGCGATTCTTCTATTTATCTATTCACCGATCCGTCTCTGCATTTTTATCGGTGTACGCACTCCATCTAAGCTTCACCCGCATCACATTCTTTCTACACCAAAACACACAAGACAAGACCAACCATGGGTCGGTTACCATCGCATATATTCGTCGTAAGGTAGGAGGCAAACCCCCAAGTTTTTAATCCCACTGCTTTCCAATTGGCCAATCGTTGCTAATCTCTGTGAGCATCTCAGACACGGCAACCGACTCGATACCGCCAACAAGCAATGGCACCTCACCTCACCGACTCCCTACGATCCTCCCCTGACATACGGCGGCTTTCTACAGGCACGCCAGGTCGGTAACCAGATTGCCAGCATTCTGGAGCAGGCAAAGGTCGAGGCCGAGGTCACCAACAACGGCGCCTCCTTGACTGGGAAGCGCCGACGCTTCAGAGTCGTCATCCACAGCTCTCCCTTTCTGCGGTGCGTCCAGACGTCCGTGGGCATCAGCTCCGGCCTCGCCCAGACAGCCTCCGAATCCATATATCAGCCGTCCGATGTCATCGTCCCGCGCAAGGCCCCGATTGGGCAGCAGAGCCCGCACAAGTCCGCCCTGTTGCGGCTCGACACGTTTCTTGGGGAGTGGCTGTCGCCGGAGTACTTTGAGATGATCACGCCTCCTCCGGGTCCGGCCCTGATGATGGGCGGCGCAAAGGCTGATTTGTTGCGACGCGAAGATTACAGCATCTACGCAGGCGTGCCCGTGCCCAGTACCACTCAGCCGGCGTCGAATGGCGCCCTCTGGAGTTCGCCGGTGGCGGCGTCTCCCTCGCAACAGCCCGCATCTGGATTAGGCCAGGGTAGTGTTTTCAGCTCCTCCGCCATGGCTGCAGCTCTGTCATCGGCCTCCCAGGAGCAGAAGAAAGGCTATCAGCCTCCGCGGCCATTGCATGCCATCTCGAGCAACGGCAAGATACCCGATGGATTTGTCGCCCATGCTAGGGACTCGTGTGTCGTCATTGACTATCAGTGGGACTCGATGAGGGCGCCGCTGGACTTTGGCGATGGCGGAAAGCTGCCCGAGGAGTGGAAGTCGATGCACCAGCGCTTCCGCTCAGGGCTGAAGCGAATGGTCAACTGGTATGCGACTACGGACTCGCCCGACGAGCTGCTGTGCGCGCCTGTCAGCACCGAAAACGACCACAGCTGCAGCGACAGCGGCTATGGCGAAGAGGAGGAGGAAGAGGTCGAGACTGTTGTCATCATTGTGTCCCACGGTGCCGGCTGCAACGCCTTGATCGGGGCCATCACTCACAAGCCCGTTCTCATGGACGTCGGAATCGCCTCCATTACCGCAGCTGTCAGAAGACCGGATGCCGATTATGCCAAAGCACTTGCCGTCTCCTCAGGGCACCAAGGCAGTGGTTCCGTAACTCCCCAAGCTGCGGTTGATGACTTGTACGAGATTCGCCTCTCTGCAAGCACAGAGCACTTGCGCTCCAACTCTGGCGCATCCGTCACCGCAAGGCCCGCATCTCCCAGGAACACCTGGAGCTCTTCTGGTCGTGGCCGCAACTCAACATTGCCCACCTCGCCTACTGTGGATGGACCCGTGCAAAACCCCCTTTCGTTCCTGGAGCCGCTCTCGACGGCGAGCACTCGAAGCACGTCCGCAAACCCGTCAGTTGGCCCCTTTTCTCGACGAGATTCAGGCTCCAGTCGGCGATCACCCAGGGCGGCACCGCCTGTGAGCGCGGGCTATGAGATTGAGGCCAACAGCTACACCACCGGGCGGACGCGGGCTCCATCCTCAGGGTCAGGGCTGTGGGCACCCGCGCGCTCTTCATTGCGTCTGATTGACGATGTCGACGAGGAGGCAGTGGACGACTACGACAGCATACTCCCCAATTTCGACAAATTCAGGCCCATCTCTGACGAAAACATCAAGCCATCGCAGGAGGCCAAACCGTTGGAGCCGTTTCCGACTTTGGCTCCCGCCATCCAGCTTCCGACTTCTCCCAAGGGACCGGTTTTCTCTGCTCCTATCAAACTCAACACGGATGTTTCGTTTGAAGACGCCGGGGATGAGATGCCCCTGTCAGGACTGGGCGGACTCTGGACCTTGGCCATGCCGCCTAGCGAAGCGGATAGGCTTAGGGACTTGAGCCAGGCAAAGAGGAGGTGGACTGTGAATGAGAGGGCTTGGTGATTCCCTCCCTCTTTCTTTTATAAAAGGAAATCTTTTATTTGTTTAATCTTTGGGGACGGTTTGGAACTCACTTATGGAAATTGTGATTTGGGATGAAGTCGGCGCAAACGAAGCATTAAAAAGGGGTTTCGAAAAGGAGTTCCAAAAAGGAAATTCCCCCCATGAGTCGAATTTGGATTTTGTACAACAATAACAGCAGGGCGAAACTGGGGCGGCATGAGCGATGGGATTTATATTTGCTCAATCTTTGGCCTTGTGGTTTTTATATCTTGGTGAATTTTAATTTTTTTTTTTTCTTTTTTTTTTTGAGCGAAACAACGTTTGGGTAGTTTGGGGTTTTGGAAATTGTTGTTTCTTTTGGGTTTGGGTTGGTTTTTGCATATGGGCTGGTTATAGATTTCAGACAGACAGAATGAACAGTACACGTTTTCTTGGTTGACATGCCAATCTTTGAATTGCTTTTTATTTGTTTATTTGTTTATTTATTGATTTGAAAAGGTGATGATGATGTATAGCCCTTGGGTCACCTCGTGATGCAGAAAAACAGGCAGCAAAGGCGTCTAATCTACGGGGCGAGTACAGTTAACACCGCCGTCTAAATCCCTTTTCCATGACTCCATCATGCAGGAGAAAAATTATCCAAACAATCATGAGGGTATGTCTCGATGCCTCCCTCTCCTTCTCCCCTATATACTTTTCTTGTCCCCCCAAAAATTCAAAAGTTCCTTTTATACGCAAAACAACAAAACATTGCCAATGATACCGCAAAAAAATTCAAGCCTTAAAATGAATCATAGTTCACCATCATTATTTCGATCCAAACATCTTGTTCATGGCCTGGTGCGCCAGCTCCACGCCCAAAAAGGTTGCTGCGTTGGCGGGAACAGCACGAGTCAGCGCAGGACCAAAACCAGGGAAGAAGGCCTTGTAACCGCCCTTGCCGTAGAGCTCGCGGATGACGCCTCCGATAGTGACGTTGCCCTCGGCGGTCTGGAGACGAGACTTGACAGTATCAACAGGGAAAACGGGAATCCACATGGCAACACCAGCACCAGCACCGGCGCACGTCACGGCCGTCAGACTCAGCTGGCCAGTGGGCTTTCCAGTAACAGGATCCTTGGGGCTCAGGCTCTTCTTGATAACCTCGTAAGCAGCAAAGTACGCAGCGCTTCCGGGGCCGTCTCGGGCAAGGGTAGCAACGCTGCCACGGAAGACGGAGCGGATGCCGCCCTCGCGGTAGAGCTGGCGCACGACGTCCAGGCCACCGCTGTACTTTGGCTTCTCGCCCGGCGCGAGCTGCTTCTGGCCCTGGACCTGCAGGATGACCTTGACGCGCTCGAAGGGGGCGGTGATGGCCGTCATGGGGATGGCGGAGAGGAAGCCGGCGGCGGCGAGCTGGCCGGTGGACAGGCCGTCGGGCCCAATGGTCGAGACGCCGCCGACGATTTGCTTGCCGAGATCGTAGCCCCAGAAGGACACGGCGACTGTAGTTTTTGCGCACCTCTCGTCAGCTCACACATGTTCTCACCACAAAACTTGTGCCGAGGTTCGGCAAAAAAAAAGAAAACCCAAGACAAAAATGTCAAGATCGAGCACAGGGGAAAAGAACATACACATGGGGGTAACGCCAACCAGCGGCGCACTGACACCTGCATACAGGCCCCTCCTCAGTCCATCCCGCGCGACCGACTTGCGCACGACATCAATGGCGCTCGAGTAGACGCCGCGCTCGGCCGTCTGCAGGCGCACCTTGACCAGGTCGAACGGGTGGCCGACGACGACGGCGCAGATGCCTCCGAAACCACCGGCCGTGAGCGCGCGCAGCTGGGACAGAAGAGCGGACTGAGCGGCGGGCGCGGCGGCCTGGGCGGTCTCTTTGGCCTCTTGGGGCGAGGGGATCTTGTCGGCGATGGAGGAGACTGCCTCGGCGGGAGAGGAGCTTGAGGAAGACATTATGGCGGGGATTGTGAATGCAGCAAGGTAGAGAAGACAGCAAAGAAAAGAAATTTGCGGAAGAAGAAGAGGAGAGGAGAGGAAGAGCAGATATTAGAGAAGATGCGAAAAGGGAAGAGGAGCAAGAAGCGGAATATGGGGAGGTTTAGAAGGAAGCAAGACGAAGCGCAGGTTGCTTCTAATATGCACATAGCCCGAACATCAAAAAGGTACATGTACATCACGACCGATTTAGCGCGTGCACTTTAGCGCAGGTACTTGTGGCGGCCGCATCTCTACGGCCCAGATGGCATGTAGCATTCATCAGCTGTCAAGGGTTGCTAAAATGACCTAAAGTTTGTGTGTGGGTTGGAGAACGGAGAGAAGGAAGTTCGGACGACGGGATGCGAAATGGCCCATTACATTACAAACCCAAGGCTGATGTTTCAGGGAAAATGGGGACAACTTATTAGTAGGCTGAGATATAAAACCCGCGTGATGGTTGGTTGCCATATGACTGCGGGTTTTAGATCCTTCTCTCTCTTTTTTCTCCTTTCTTCCTATTTCCCTTTGTGGGAGAAGCTTGTGATTATGACTGGTGTACCGAAACTTGGTAGCAGAAAAGCACCTACCTATAGTCCGATTTGCACATGTCATTGGAACATTACCTTTATTCCCAAATGCTACAGAAAATTACATTTGACGCCTGTGGCAGACATACACTTCCATTTGGCTTCATCCACCAACATATACCCTCTTAATGCATATCACCACAACACAAATTCCATACTACCGTCCAAGCACACAAAACTCAAGCTCAACCGCAGCCGGGTCCCGCCTCGAACCTCGGCTCGCTTCTCCGTCCGTCGGCCGGGTCAAAGCTCCATGCCCCGCGTGACGGCAGTATCGGTGTAAACTTGATTGTCTTAAGTCCACGTAATGATGAGAAACTGATAACCGAAAAAAATTCGACCGAAATTCGCGCTGTCAAGATGTAATTCCATTGAATTAATCTCCAGGAATCCCATCGGTAAATCGCCTCCGATGATGGAGGCGGCAAGGCGGCATGTCATGTACATGTACCTGGTAACCCTCGGCCCAGAACAAGCCACCGTCGAAAGCCACTGCCCGTGGGGTAACAAAAGGGAAAGGCGGGGAATCTTTTGATCAACCCCACGTTCGTCATTCTCACAGCGCGCAATCACATGTCAGGCCAAAATACTGTGCTGTAGTATGACGACTCTAATGGTTCCCCCACGAGTATATACGCTGCCATAACCATCAAGTTGGCAATCAGATAGCTAGCCTCTATAGTGTAGTAATCCACTTCTAAAGATACACCAAAAAGTTCAGCCATCAACCTCCATTATAGCAAACGGCGTGTTAATCTCAACCAACTCCGCCTCCCAGCACTTCTTGACATTCTGCACAATCTCGCCTACAGTCCGCCATATCCTCTTCCTATTGCGCAGTCCCTTCAACTTGTCCTCGTTTGCTTTAATGTCCGTATACAGCTGGTACCAATTCGTCCTATCACGCGGTAGTCTCACAGGCGCCATAGCTCGCTTCTTTTCCTTAAACAGCCTTGTCTGGGCTTCCAATTCAGGCGACAGTGGCGGAGACTTGGGTTCGTTCTCTTCCCATATGGGATAGAAATCAGGTTCGTTGGCCTTTAGAACGTCTGCTCGGCGGGTGAGCTCAGTTGTGTACGCTTCTTCCCGCTCCCGCATCTGCTTTAGGTATGAAGCGTCTGCCATGGCCCAGGGGTACGGCGTAGGATCATCGCACCAGGCTTCGTACACCCAAGGCATCTCTCGGACCATCAACGTATGCCATAAAGTCATCGGTAGATGATAAAATGCCCTAGATGCCATCCGCAGCGACGCTATATCCTTTGAGCCGAGATGCCAGGCAATTGTATGCTTGAGTTCCGTTGGCAGCTTCAAGAACGGGTCATCTTGCACTACGGAAACATCTTGCTTCTCAGCCCGCTCTGGAAACGGACTGCTCTGGCTGTCAAAATCCCCCGCGTCAGAAATAGCTGCATCGCAAATATCCCTGAAGCCAGAGATGAAGACGGGGTTGGCGGCTAGGTACTCCGTATCAAGCAAACAAGCCCACTTCCAGCCCTTGTTTCTCGCATCCACAATGTCGGGATGCCGTTCGCCAAACATGCTGCGGGATGCAGTACTCTCAAGCTTCATCAATGAGTCGAGACTAACTCTACCCATCTGCTGCTTGCTTATCCTGATGAATATCTCAAAGCAGGTAGGGTGGAATGGAAGCACATAGGTCCCCCATCCAAAAAGCTGATGGTCATCGTTAGCACAGGAGTAAGTCTATCTCACGTTTCTTGGCCACATACATCTTTCCATGTATCGCTGAGATTGGACGCATGGAACCAGTCTGCTCCACCACGAATCGGTGCGCACTTTACATCTCCTCCATTCGGAGGCATGCAGTCTGATAGCCCCGTAAGATGGTAATTCTTTGATTCTCTCTCAAAGTCCATGTCGTCATCACTCGGCGTCCAATCACTCGTCTTCTTGTACAGCCCCTGCACTGTATGACAATCTATCATCTCGTCGAGAGTAATCCTATCGCCGTGGTAGCCTCGAAGATTACAGCAGCCCGGGCCAGCGATATGTTCGTATCTGCGAGCTGTTGGGAGCGCCATGATGTGGTGATCAACTCCTATATCTTCGTCTTCCGCACCGCCTTCGTCGTCGTATGGCGCAGAGAGCGGCAGGAATTCGGTATCGTACTCTGGCTGGGGATCGAGTCCACTGGCGTTAAAAAACCATTTATACTCTTCCTCCGTATCTGGTGCTTGAGATTGGAGCGAGCTCGTCTCGTTCTCTTCCTCATTTACCTCATCGCCGTCATCATCTTCAGCATTCGAGTCGTACTCCAAAGGCTCATCATCCTCATCGCTCTCGTACACATACGAAGCATCATCTGGATCGTCTTCATACAAGCGCAAGCAAAACTTCAGCTCCCCAGGTGGCCGCCCTCGGTAGACAGAAGCACAACCGCCATCTGGACATTCCTGCGCATCGCCACCAGAGAGCGCAACCCATTCCCGGCTGTTGTGCTTGCTGGTATAAGAATTCCCCCACGCAGAGCTGCGAGGCTCGCTACGAGTCCTGATGCGATTAATGTTGAATGTAACGCCGCATAGCTGACAGCCTGTCTGTAATTCGCGTCGCCTCGTTTAGCCTTAATGGGGTCATCTCTTGAACCAAGCAGACGCCATACCTTGTCAATGGAAGCTGGTTAATGTAGTATTAGCCGGACGCTATTTTTAGGAAGAGGATACATCGCCATACTCATTTGTTCACGACACTGGCCTCATTCACGAGAAGCAGATGTGAATCTGCGGTTTCACTGCGTTGGGAGGTGAAAGATGTCTAGCCTTGGAATATTGCCTCTTTCACACTCTACCCCTCCTACCCCTCCATGAATCACGGATCCTGTGCTTACATCACAGCTTCCGACTAGACCATGTAGTTACAGCTTCGTCTCTATTTATACCTCCAACCCAGATCGGGCTCTTCTTTAGACGCCATTGACAATATACAAGGCCGGATACCTGTATGTTACCAACTCGCGGTATGCATTGATTCGAAGGTGCTTGACCACTCACAAATACCCAGAAGCTTCAGCGCTGGAAGGACAATATTACGGACTGCTCATAATCAAGCTCAATAGCTGGCATATTCAGGGCTCCTCAAGCTCCAGTGAAAAAAAAAAATCTCCATCATGTATCTAGGCAATTCTAGTATATGCAATCAGGAACCAATTATAGACGCGAACGTATCCTAAACACTAAGCAAAACCCAGAACTCGCACCCTTGCGCCAAGCATCTCGCTTCAACCGTTATATAAAATACAGCCAATCCCTCCCATCAAACCACCGCTAAGAAGCAGACAAGTTGCGCAATTGACGCTATTTCGCTGTGTAAATGTGTGAGCAACTAAGCGACCACTCATTCATCTCGTCTACCATTTGTCCAACCATTGAATTGCCGTTGCCCCTGTTGTTGTATGCATGACACGGACCCTCGTCTCCTAGAATTGCTTGGACATCTGCGGCGGGTTGGTTGGAGCTCGTCCGCGAGTACACCAGCATCCATTATCTCCATCTCTTTCCACTTGTATGACGGCATCAATGCCCTCCTTGAGCAGATACTCCCGGACACGGTCTTTAGTCTCCTCCAGGGCAGCGCCACGGGCCACCGTGACATGAACAACGCCCAATAATTGATTGCCTCCATAATCATCCATCCAAAATTTCGGAGTCGCATAGCTCACGACGCCTCGCTGTTGTCCAATGCCGGCAAGAGTGTTCCGTAGGTTGTACTCGACACCCTCGGGAACGGTCAAAAGTAGACGCTTCGCTGATGAAAACACGAGTGGCTGTGCAGATAAAAAGATGAGGCCTGCAATGAAGCACGAAGCCAGCGGATCCCACCCGGACCAGCCCCAGAAGCTTGTCAAAACTGTAGATACAATGACTGAGACACTGCCCAAAGTGTCTGCCAAAACATGCAGGTAGATGCCACGCATATTTTCATTGTCATGGTCATGGCCATGGCCATGGTTGTGGTTGTGGCTCGAGTGTGAGCTGCATCCATGGTCATGCTTCTCACCGTGAGAATGCCCATGGCTATGTCCATGTCCATGGTCATGGCCGTGATGGTGGTGTCCAAACGCCATCATGCCAACCAAATTCACGGCCAAGCCAAGGCTGCTGACAACGAAGAGCTCGCCTAGCCGCTTTGTTTGCGTTCCTTCCCACAATCGCTCAAACGCCTCGAACGCAATTTCAACACTGAGGAGCCTAAATCAAATAGTTGGGTTAGAATCATGATCATTGGCGCATCGTAGGTTATGTGATAAATACATACATTAACAGAATGCCATTGGCGAATCCACTCAGCGTTTCAACTTTTCCGAAGCCATATGGGAACCGCTGGCTCTTCGGCCACTTGCTCAGGACAGCTGCCAACAATCCTACGAGCAGGGCAACACAGTCGAAGAACATGTGAATACTGTCGCTGAGAAGGCCCAGCGAGTCGGTTACGAAGCCATAAAAGGCCTGGATGATCATGAAACCAAAGTTGAGCCTGTATCACGCTATTAGTCACCATCACCTGCTGAATCTTGGAACGATGAGTGCAAACATACGACATGAAGTAAAATATCCGCCTTGAATCTTTCTCGGCTATTATGGAATAAAGAATGGGCCATCCAACCGTGTAGGGGAGGATTGTTCTTGTAAAGAGAGACCGCTTGGGGCTATGGTCGTGGCCGGCCTCGTGGGTGTGGTCATGGCCATGGTGGTGACTGTGGCTATGATCGTGGCTGTGGCCATTGGAATGAGAGTGGGAGTGGGCAGGAGAATGCGAGTGAGAATGCGAATGGGAATGGCTGTGGTCATGATTGTGGTCGTGGTCATGATCATGGTCGTGAGCAGATTCGTCAATAACTTCAGGAGTATAGCGATTCCTCCTCGCCTGAGACCAGCTCCCTGCGCCTCCTATTGACGGCTTCTCGGTAGAGCTTGCATTGGAAGTTTGCGAGCCGCTGCGGCCGTGGCGTGGGAAGCTGAAGGAGTGCGCGTGCAAGTGCGAGGGAGATGGCAGCGGCGGTGGAATGGAATATGCCTGCGAGCGCGGGTGAGAGTGGGATTGGGAGCGGCTATGGTCGTAATTGTGGTCGTGATCATGGTCATGGTCATGGTCGCGATCGTGATCGTGATCGTGATCGTGGCCCTGGTCCTCGTCGTCCTCCAGCGCAGAGGGCAGACTCTCGCTTGACACCGTCATTCGCCAGGCGTTGAGTGATGCCGGCTGGGACCGGGTGTGAACCCGGTGAGCGTGCGGCAATGCCGACGACGGCAGGGAATACGAGGCTGCCATCGTGTGGAGGTCGATCGATCGTTGGCAAAAAGAAAAAGAAAAAGACAGGCCGTATCGAGGTCGTTTAGAGCCGAGGAACTTGGATCCTCTGCTCGTGGGCCTCCGCCGCGGACGATCGCGTCGCTACGAGAGATGCGTCTCGCAGACAGCAAACACCCGCATCAAGCGTCTGCAATATGCCCGACAACGCAATTGGCGCGACACAGGCGGACTCGGGAAATTGAATCGACACGAGTGGAGGTGCGAGGTTGACAGATTGGAAGTTCAGTTCCCCCTCCCCCCAGCTTGGGTTTGTCGAAGGAGGAGACAGACAGCAGATGGAGCCAAGCTGGGCAGGCCAAATAGGGGAACAAGCACGGACGACAACAGGCGAACCTGGAGAAAAAAAATCAAGGTCCAGCAACTGGCGCTGCCAAGGTGCCACGGAGGCGCTACTCGAGCACCAGAGTGACCGACTTTAGGAGGGTGCGGGGCACGTGGAGGCGCTTTTTGGGGGTCTCGTCCAGCTGTGGCCAGTGAGGGCGTTAGTGTGTGTGGGCGCTGTTTATCAGCGCGATTGGCGGGCCAGGTACCAGCAAATTCCCGCGGGCTGTTGGTGCTAACGTGACGGTTAGGGACTGTACCTGTTAATAAATATTGATTCATTGATACACCAACAAGGTGAGACAGATGAGGTGGGATGCGATGTAATGAGATTGCCAAGTTGCCGCAGGCATGGTGACGCAATGGGACAGTCTGGGAATTGTTTCAACAAGAGGCATGTGTTGGAATGAATCATGCAATGCACCAAAGTTATCAAGATGAGCATGCTGCAGTTCTGTACTGGGATGGAAGAATTGGGAATATCCTAGCAAATCGAAGTACAGCAGATCGACGACGGAAGACGGCGGTCTAAGCGATAATGGGGACGTCAAAAGGGGAAGGTAAAGGACGGAATCTCTCAATTAGTCCCAGCCTAACGGAGCTGGTTGAAACCTAATTCATGCCTCGTGATTGACAGCATTAATTGCAAGATGAGTTATCAAATTGTCTAGTGGCAGTAGTGGCATAAAACCAACCGCCTTTAATGTGCGAGTATATTCCGTCCACATGCGCACAGATACTCGATTCAGCGTGGGTATAACAACGTCAGGGCAGGGCCAATCCTTACTACTACTAACTGCCGGGCAGCACAAATCTACCAAGATCTCACGGCATGCCCACGTATCTATGTAATAGCACAAGGCAGTACCCAATGTCTTGCATCTCGACGGCACTGATTGGCCCTTTCTCCCGTCCCCACGATCTCCATTGCATGTGGCGCTTATCACATTCAGGGACTTGCAAAAATGACGACAGTCCAGTCTCCCACCAGCCACAGCACTTCCGTGCGCCACAGATCAAAAGTCCCAAATGGCGTTATCAAACTACAGCTTGGCAATGAGCTTCTTGAGGCGGTGCAAAAGACTCGAATCGCATGCCGGCAGCTCGTTTGCGACGCCAACCATCAGGTAAATGAGCTCAGCTTGCGCTTTGCCCTGATGCAGCATCCTGTGAAGATTCATAATCCCCCCTTTTGCATCGAGGCATTTTACCAGTGAGGCCAGAGGGAGCTTTGCTAGAAGCCGTCCCTATGAGACTGGACAGCTGTCATTGCCTCTCTAGCTCAACGCTCTAAACATCCATCAACCACATACATCTCCAAGGACCGGTTTGCCCAGAATGTCTACCTCCTACTACATCTCATTTGCAATATCTGCAATCATCGGTGGCTTGTCCGTCATTGCCCTAGGCCGCCTTTGGGGCTTCCTCGTGTGGCTAGCCAAGAAATCCCTTGATATCATACCCACCCGCCATCAGCCTGCCGAGAATCCAAAGGATGAGCACATCCAGATTCTAGTGGTGGGCGATATTGGCAGAAGTCCTCGGATGCAGTATCATGCTCTTAGTGTTGCGAGGCACGGAAAAAAAGTTGACATTGTTGGATATAAAGGTAAGCAATCCAAATTTTATGCTCTCATACAATTGTACTTATTCTGGGCTTGTAGAAACGGCCAGACATCCTGATCTCATTGGCAACCCCAACGTCACCGTCTACCCTCTCGCTCCTCCGCCAGAATGGATCGCATGGGAAACGCTTCCTTTTTTCCTCAACATCCCTTGCAAGGTCATTCAGCAATTCTGGACTCTCTTCGTAACGCTCATGTACACTGCTCCCCCGGCTCAATGGATCATCATTCAGGTAAACACAAACGTCTCCAACCACAAGTATATCTGGCTTCAAAGAATTCATTCTAACTAGCTTCTAGAACCCCCCTTCCATCCCCACGTTTCACGTGGCTCTATTCGTTTCCTGGCTTCGTGGTAGCAAAGTCATTGTTGACTGGCACAACTACGGCCACACTATCCTCGCTCAAAAGTCTCTCCTCCGAATCTTTGTGCCATTCTACAAGTTTTACGAGATCAGACTAGGCAAGTATCTGGGAAATGCAAACCTCGCAGTCACAGACGCCATGACGAAGCAGCTTCAAGCCGGAGGCCGATTCAATCTCAAGAACCCCGTCTACACACTTCACGACCGGCCAGCCGAAATCTTCCAGCCCATCATCTCTCCAAAAGCACGATTGGAGTTTCTCTCGCGCCTAACAGAGACCAAGAGCCATGCCAAGAATATCGTCGATGGCTCTCTCCGTCTGGTCGTAAGCAGCACCTCTTGGACAGCAGATGAGGACTTTGGCATGCTACTTGATGCTTTAGTCGCCTACGCCACGCCATCCTCGGACCAGGAAGATGTCCCTCCCATCTTGGCCATCATCACTGGTAAGGGCCCGCAAAAGGAGGCCTACCTCGAAAAGATCAAGGAACTCCAAGATGGCGGAAAACTTCCTGGTATTCGAATTCTCAGTGCCTGGCTTTCGAACCGTGACTACGCTTCGCTTCTCGCCTCCGCCGATCTTGGCATTTCTCTCCACAAATCCAGCTCTGGAGTCGACTTACCGATGAAGGTGGTGGACATGTTTGGAGCAGGACTTCCCGTAGCTGCGTATGCTGGGTTTGAGAGCATTGGGGAGCTCGTAAAGGAGGGGCAGAACGGATGTGGCTTTGAGACGGTGCCCCAGCTCACTGACATATTCAGGCGGCTGTTGAGCCTCGAGGGCGCACAAGAGCTGGCCCATTTGAAAAAGGGTGCCATTGAGGAAGGCTCACGGCGTTGGGACGAAGAATGGGACAGTGTCGTGGGGCCATTGATAGGGGTAACCAAGCAGACATAGGATTGACTTGACGTGAATTAAAATTTCTTTACCTGCCAGTTCCGACTTGGGCTTGATGAATTTGTATTTTGCTGCCACTATTGACAAAATTTCGTCTTGTCATGCTGATGCTATCTCGCCATCAACGAGTGAAGCTCTGCCCAGGCTCCAACGGGATACCGGCATCTCCAAGACGCCAAACAATGCAAACAATCAGGACACCCCAGTCCTTGATAAACGCCATCCACACTTTTAATATTAATAAAAGAGGAATAGAAACCCACCACGCCATTGCACACACGCACCCTGGCCCTCACGTATACTCCTCTCCCCCGACACCTCTAGTCCTCGCCCAGACTCTCCCTCACGCACTTCCGACACCGTCTCCGATAGTCCTTGTGCTTGCCCTCCTTCTCCTCACGCAGCATCCTCGCCGCCTCGACGTTTGCGGGGCTCTCCTCGTTCGGGCTGTAAAACAAGCTGATTGTGCTGAGCAGGATCGTCTCGGGCGTCTGCACGGGACTCCACCGCTCAGACGCAGATTCATAGCCGTATTGGTCCTCCTCAGGAGGATGCAAGATGGAAATGCACAGCTTGCCATTCTCGTAAATGTTGGGGTGGAAAGGAATCGGGTCTTGGAACGTGAGCGAGGGCGGCATGTGAGGGTAGTTCTCGGGAAAGGCGAGTCGAGCACGAAAGTTGCCTCCTAGACAATAGACAGTTTACAAATCAGCTTTCCCGAACCGCGGTTTACAGAGACGCCTAAGGGAGTAAGAAAGAACAGGAAGAAACGCACCGCCGTAGTATTTGCAGTCATCGTTGATCATGAGCATGACTTCCCACTCAAACATGTTGTTGTCGTTAACGAGGCCGCATGAGATGCCTGGCAGGTCCTTGCCCGTCTGCATTTCCTTGAGCTGCCGCCTCAGCAGCGAGGCGGCGGCGGCACCAGCTGAAGCCATGGCTGTGACGAGGAGATGGCCGATGCTCGAATGAATTCGGATTGACTGGGTTTTGAGTGATGCCCTGTCGTGAGTGGGCGAAGACGGGGGAAGCTGCAGTTATCGTGGGAATGCCCAATGTGTAAGAGGAGGGAGAGACGGCGTTAAGCGCTTGATACGGACGAAATGGTCTGGGCTATCATGGATGGGGTCAGTTCCAGTGTATGGCAGCAGCGCTGGAGGCTTTTGGGGGCTGCGGGGCTCGAGGTCCGCTATTCCGGCACCAGCTGGGTGGCACACGACCCCCAGCAGTTGAACCTAGATGGCCAATGGAGGAGATTTGGAGACTGCTGCTAATGTGCAGATTGCTTTCATACTTGGATCTTTATATCGTTATTTAGTATGCTTGAATATGTACAATTATATATACCGCTCATTCAATGTTCTGTTACATGTCGTCCATATGCTGTTTCGTCCCCACTACATTGAATCTCCAAAACGCCTTCAGTCTGGGTATCATTAAGTCATCACTCCCTAATCTCCATCACATATCACTTCTTCGACGAGCCGAACCCGGTAAATCCCATCTGTGCCATCATGTCGTCCTCGTCATGCTCTCCTTCAATCCGCACATCTTCGCCATACTCCGTCTTGACCTTGGCCGCCTGCTCCTTCTCCAGGCGCTTCTTTTCTGTTTCCTCTTTACGCTTCTTCCTCTTCTCCTCCGCCTCCTTCTGCATCTCTTCCTCTCTTAGCTGCAATCTTTCGTGAAGACTTGTGGCTTTTTCCTTCTCGAGATCCTCTTTCCGGCGGATGTAGAACTCGATTCGGTCGTGCACTTCTTCGACAGTCGCTCGCTTGACTTCGGTCGTCTGGCCCGTGTTGAGCAGATGCTGCGTCGTATTCAAGTGCTACACGTACTTTATTAGTCTCGTATTACAATCAAATTCCACCACAAGATGCAAATACATACCTCGACCCATTGTAGGTTGTCCTTGAACGTAAGATCACAGGCCTCGCAGTAGAAACCAGCGCCTTTGCCTCGTTTTCCAACGCCCGTTCCCGCAGGCACCAACTGCGTCTTTCCAACTTGTGCGCTCACGTCGATGATATTTCTCCGCGCCGATGTATACGTCTCATTACCCGTCATGGGCTTGTGATACTTCTTGCCGGCCAGCTTGGCCTCGTAACGCGCCTTGCCCTCCTCCCTCTCCTTGGCCTCGCGTTCCTTGGCCTTCGCCGCATATTCGTCGAGATCCCAATTCTTTCGGAAATCAGTATCTCCTGCTGCCACACCGTAGGCGCTTTTGCTCTTTGAATCAGACATGTCGGCTGGCTGAATTGCGTCGTTGGAAATAAGTGTAGGAAAAAGAAAGCGGCTTAGAAACGGGCAGGTTTAGACGCGACACCAAAACCGCCGAAAGCTTTTGGCATAAGCGGCAGACAAGGGTCAACCGGCGCTAAGATAAGAAATTGTCAACCCCACCGCGGGGCAGCTCCGAGAAGGAACTTTTTTCCAATTCATACAAACAATCTTGCATGTGTCAATCGAGCCAATATGCTGTACCTTGTTGGCTTGGGTCTCTCTGACGAGACGGACATCACCGTCAAGGGCCTCGAGGTGGTCAAGAAGGCCTCGCGCGTCTACCTTGAGGCTTACACAAGCATTCTGCTCGTGGACCAGTCCATCCTGGTATGCATACACAGCATGTTTGGATGGGGAAAACAGCTAACGCTGACTCTCAAAGTAGGAAAACTACTATGGACGACCGATAATCATTGCCGACCGTGAGATGGTCGAGTCAAACAGCGACGAGATCCTCAGAGATGCGCAGACCGAGGATGTTGCCTTTTGCGTTGTTGGAGACCCCTTTGGGTTGGTTACACCTCGACCACGTTCATGGCCTTTGACTAACAGTATATGTTTAGAGCCACTACACACACCGATCTGGTCATCCGAGCTCGCGAACTATCTATTTCTGTGCGAACCGTACCGAACGCTTCCATCATGTCCGGCATTGGAGCCTGCGGCCTTCAGCTGTACAACTTCGGACAGACCGTCTCCATGGTCTTTTTTACCGATAACTGGAAGCCCTCTTCATTCTACGACAGGATAAAGGAGAACCGCGAGATTGGTCTGCATACATTGGTTCTTGTCGACATCAAAGTCAAGGAGCAGAGCTTGGAGAACATGGCCCGGGGCCGACTAATCTACGAGCCTCCCCGATACATGACCGTTGGACAGTGCGCGCAGCAAATGCTTGAGATCGAAGAGGAACGCAAGGAAGGCGTCTATACCAAGGACAGTCTGGCGATTGGCGCTGCTCGAGTTGGCGGCAAGACAGAAAAGTTCGTTGCAGGAACACTCGAGGAGCTGTGCTCTGCTGATGAGGAACTGGGACCGCCTCTGCACAGCCTTGTCTTGCTGGGCAGGAGGGCTCACGAGCTTGAGCGCGATTTCGTGCGTGAATTCGCTGTGGATAAGGAGAAGTGGAACAGGATATGGCAGGAGGAGTACGGAAAGCAGTGAAAGACAAGATCGAGGTATAATTATGAGATATCACGTTAATTCATGAAATGGCCTTGAGTACATATGATTCCTTTCCCTCTGTTTTTCCAATTTTCACACCTTTTCAGGTAATCAGACATTCGAGGCACGCCAGTTACTAACTTCCTCCGCCGAAATCTCCCGCAGCTTATTCACATGAGCGGGCTTCCCAGTGATCACCCCTTGAGCCACCTCAGCAGCGCGGCTGATAAAGTTGCCAATCTGCAGCGAGTATGTCACGGTGGTCGTCTTGACACGAATAATGCCAATGCGAGGATCATTCTCAGACCCATCATGGACTCCATCACCAAGGTCGCCCAGCCACGCCTTCAGTTCTCTGCTGTACGTCTCCTTGACCAGCTCGCGATCTGTCACCAGGCTTGCTTTGCCCGAGACGGATGCCCACTCGCCAGAGCTATTGATGAAGGATACATTGACGTGGGGGTCATTGGACAAATCGTGAGTTTTTCCGGATTCGGTATTCGTGTGGAAGAGGAGATCGATGCCCCCGGATTCCTATATATAGATATTAGTTTGTCTTTAAGCATGTGGCGGAAAAGGTCTGCCTCCACTTACTGTTGCAGCCAGGGCCATGCAGCGAGAAACTAGATTGTTCTGCGACGACGCCTCGATCGTGGTCATCATGCCGAATTTACAGGTGGTGGTGAAATCAACGAGATCCGTCACCTTGGTTTGTAAGTCGGCCTCATCTTTGTTGGCCTTGGTGTAAGGGTCGGCGGGCTTGTCGCCGAGAGTTGCGCTTGCGGTAGACATGTTGTGGAAATAATAGCTATTGATGGTATATGCTTGTAGGGATATGAGAATATAATGGTTGAATTGTTCAAGTATATTTGAACTTCGGCCCTACATGGACATACTTTATATACCTAATTTGTTGTTCCCGGAGAGCTTATAGCTAGGCACAGGGTCTATGATACACCACATCCATCATAGGTACGTAAAATCGAAAGCAAGGGGCGATGGCTGGTAGAGATGTGCTGAATCATGACGTCAGGAAGATGGTGTTTTGGCCACAACACTGTATGTCTAAGGAGCGTAGCAATTTAAACAAGTTCAAGCCAAGTCATCTGATGACGCCCTAGTTTACCATTGGAAACTGAGTTGAAGCCAATATTAACGGCATCTCTCATCGTTCGATGGCGTCCCGAGGTTGGCGCTGCCTACCCTGGAGCCTGGGGTCTGGAGCCTGGGGTTTCCCATTATCCGGATCGAACCACCCTTGATATAGTAATCCTCTTCGCTTCGGCATCCCTGTTTGTTTGGGATTCAGGTACAGAATCCAATCGTGTACTTTACCTGTACAGAGTGAAATCGGCATCTGAGACATTGGCAGTTGGAATTGGAGTGACGACAGGAGAATTAAGCAGCATCATGATGCAGAGGCAGATACCCACGATAGATAGCCGTCTCCACGATAGCGACAATTACTTCCTGAGGTTAGTCGAGGCTGGCCTAGTCTCCGACGGACCTGTGGAAATCGCCATGCCCAGCCCAGGGTCCATTAAGAGGTAAGTACTAGGCCATGTCCCCTCAACGACCTGATTACATGAGATGTACATACAATTGAAGCAATCTCACAGGGACCACCACACCCTTCGGCCATAGCAATTCTACCTTAATACCTGGTACTCAGTAATACACACCAAGATTCTGCCGTGCTGACGGCGAACCGTCCGTCACCTGATATCGCGTCCTCTTCACCTTCGGCAAGAGCCAAAGCCCGCCGCGGATGCCGTAATTGACGCCGTTCCTTCTTCTATTCCCCGCGCCATTCTCCCGCCGTTTATTCCCACCAGCGATTCCGGAAGGCACGACTTGCTGTTCCTGCAATAACTGCCACCGCGGATAAAGTCCTGCTGCCAATTCCGAACACTGGGGAAGTGGCGGCCACATATCTCGAGGCAGGAGCCCGTCGAGTCAGGTCTTTCCGCTCTATCGCTCTATCGCTCTCTCCTTCTCGCCTTCTTGCCTTGAGTTGGGCCCAGTTCCCAACCTTTTTTCTCCTTCCCTCGGCCTCTCGGATTGTGCGGCCAGATTGCCAGCCAAGTGAATTTGTCCTTTCCTTTATTTTCCTTTGATCCTTCTTGTCCTCTTCATCTTCATCTTCTTTGTCATCCTCCAATTCATCATCCTTGTCTACTTGGGACTTTTACCCATTCGGCGTATTTCCCGAATCATCCTCAATCTGGCCATTTTATTTCTCCCCAATAGCCGACCAGCTGCTCCCAAAGTGCCCTGGTTGCTACCAGCTTGCCCAACCCGCAAGCCATCTTCCTCATCAGTGAATCACCGTCAATCGTTTCCCGTTTACTGCCTGCCACCTGTCCAGCAGCTGCGGGAGCCGGCATCCCTTTTATTCACTGTGCCGGATCGAGGGGGAAAGTCAAGCTGGCATTGAGTCGCACAAGGCTGGTTGCTTTGTGTGCCATTTCTTCCCTGGTCTTTCCCTCCGACTTCCACATCAACTTCACACCTCGCAAACTTTTCTTTCCTCATTCTGTCGTCGTTTCATCGTGTGTCGTTTGTCAGTTATCAAACCCATCTAGTGGGCTATTCCCGTTCCGGCGTATCAGCAGCCGCGTATTACAGTCGACTTGTGTGTCAGGTGCTTTTTCTGTTGTTGAGATTTGATTTGAGGAAATTGTTTCAGCACTGCGTTATCTTCCATTAGACGCCTTTCTTCATTCATCGTCATTTTATCATTTCCATTGTAGCAAGCGAATTCACAGCAAGATGACTGGACAGGTAAGGATACGCTTCCCCGTCACATTGGACTTTTTTCCCTTTGCAGATCAGATACTTATGCTCCTCCGCAGCTTGTGTTTCCGTGGGAATGCCGCGATAAAGAGGACCAGGCATGGATTGCCTATAATAATCCCCTCCGCCGGACCAACCAGATTCTTGTCGAGGAGAATATGAGACTCAAGCGAATCCTTCGTGAAAATGGAATCTCTTGGTCGCCACTGGCGCAGACTCATCTGAATCAAAACGATCCCACACGGCGCAAAACCCGATCTTCCATCGCCGCCGCTGGCCCTAGTGAATCAACTTCGCCATTCTTGCCTACCGAAGTCCTCTTGCGGATTCTCAAGTTTGCCATGAAGAGCAAGTATCCAATCATTGACCCCCTCAGCGCTGTCACGGTTGAAAATCTTACGGATGAAGAGAAGAAGAGAGGTAACCAGATTGCCATCCACTTCCTGGCCACCTGCAAAGCAATGCATGCCGAGGGCACTCGGTTCCTTTGGGAGTCCAATCACTTCATCTTCACCACCCCCCAAGCTCTGCGAAACTTTAGCGAGCTCAGTTTCCACTATCGGCACAAGATTCTGCATATCAATATGCGAGTCATTGCCCGTTACTACGATGACCAGCGTCGCAGACACAAGCTCGAAAAGTACTATCACCCAGACTTGAAGAAGGATCAGCCTCTCAAGATCCACATGCGGCCAAAGGAGTCGCCTCTTGTCCGCGGTGGCTTTCGCTGCTACACCTGGAACCAGGTCATCGATTTCCTCTTGGCTCTTCGTGCGCCATTTGACCCGACTTACAAGGACAAGAAAAACCCAAGACCAAGACTTCTCCCATCCCTGTCCTCTCTGCGGCTTGACTTGGTCAATTTTTCAGATTCTCTGCTGCCATTTTCCGGTTCCGAGCTTCACGAAGTGGCATCTCACGAGTTGGGATGTACCTTGAATGAACTGCAAGTGACCGGAATGCCATTTGACGATGTTGGTATGAAGGCCTCTGCCGAGCTCAGCGGTCTGGTGAAGGACGAAGGCCTCTATTTGGATGCATCTGCCGCCTTTATCGCCCACCCCAGAGGTCTACAGAGCCTCTCGGGAGATAACTGGTGTGCTCGAGTGATTAGGGCATACAAGGACCTCAAGGAGGAAATGGAGGAAGAAGGCCTTGGGCTGAGTGGCGAAGACGACGATGAAAACGAACAATTCCATCTGCATTCGTTTGAGGGTTATCACAAGATAGGCACACTGCCCGCCGCTCCCTCCGAGGAAGGCCACCCCCCATCAACTCGCGACGAGAAGAGAGTCATCTGGAAGAAGGTTCCCGTCACCCGCGAATCCGACAAGCGCATGTGGATCCAATTCTCTCGAACTAACGGATATGAGATTGAAGATTCGGTCTGGGATAGTGACGACGATAGAATCTGTCCGTGCTGCGGCGACTCCCACCCCGGCTCGTCCATATTGGGGTTCATGAGCGACGACTACGAGTAAGAGGCTCGTTGTGTTTATTTGTTTGTGTATTGCCCAAGTCATGATTTGAGATAATGAAGGAATTTACCGCGGCAGAGGGCTGTTGCGTAGTATTATGTGCTTAGATACCCCCGCGGATGGTGGCAAAAAAAGGGAGCTCTGTACTTGATGGAAGCAAAATACAAGTGGGTTTAAACGGCTACTAGTCTGAGATTTGCGAAGCTATGCAATTAATTCCATGTTGCCACTGCATAGGTTGAGTGTCGGAGGTGGTTTGAGATTTGTGTAAGTGTTTGTTGAATGACGTGGGCTCTGAGGGCTGCTGTAAGGGGTTGAGGAGAAGATACGGATCTTGCTCTGTTTTGGTTGGCACAAACACGGCAAGTTATCAGTGAAGAAGAGTGCAATTTTTTCGCTATTGTACTATCAAAGTGTTTGAGAGAATTGTAGTCGCTATAGCCAAAGATTGAGGCCAAATTGATGAAAACCATGTATCTTATACGACATCAGATTGGCAACTCCCGCCTGTGAAAACCCCAGCTGGCATTATCTTGCATGCCTAGATTTATACCGGCCGGAGATGTTCCATCTTGCTTTTGCTTTAATCACACCGATACGGTGCCGGCACGTCTGCTTTCAATGGCTGATCTGTGAATGCAGTACCGGAGCCCAGGGCTCGTAGATTGACTACGACTGGGAGTAGGAGCATAATCTGAACTGGTCGGGTGATCCAGAGTCCCGGAATCAGGCTCACTGGACATCATGTAACCGTCCGAAGTATTGGAGCCGTGATCAGTGGGCTCAGGCTCACTGGACATTATGTAATCGTACGAAGTATCGGTGTCGTGATCATTGGGCTCCGGGACGGCTCCTAGAGCACTCTCGAGCCTTGGATAGAGCCAGCTTGATTCGAACGTGATGAGGCCTCTCTCACTGTTGGCAAATTCGACTCTGATTATTTCCGCGTTGTGAGGTTCAAGAAGGTAATCGGAATTCGGATAAGCGACGAGGATCATGCTGAACTGCAGGACCGTCTTGTACAGCATGCGGAGGAGCTGGCGAAGATGTTCCCTGTGGGCTGGGGGCCCGTCGGGGACGATTCGGGAGAGACGGATGTAGTAGCCCATTTTGGTGATTGTGATTACAAGGAGTTTGCGGAATTTGGGGTCTGATAGTGGGTGTATTACGAGGCTCTGCGTTGTTTTTTATCAGCAGTCAGCAAAAGCGTACTTTCGTTTATAACGGATTTGGGAAATCTTTTTTTTTTTTTTTTTTTTTTTTTTTTTTGCTCTTTTTCTTTTTCTTTTTCTTTTTCTTTTTTGGTGGTGAGTGAGGGCCAGCATGTATTACCTCTACAGCCCAGCAGAGACATGTCCAAGGCACTGGATATTGCAACAACTCCCACGAGTTTTCGAGATAGTGCCTTAGAACCGCCTGGCCTTCGTCGATGTTGACGCATCTCGCCTGTTGGAGCCACTGGTCTAACAGATACCCCATCTGCTCAAATCTCACGTCCCACTGCCTCGAAATCTCAAGGACTGCTCCTTCAGGCGTAGCTATTCTCGGGGCATCTTGTATGCCCTCCAGGCTTTGGTTCAGTACTTCCTCGTACTTCTCGACCGTGGATGGGGCGCTTTGTCGGACCTCTTCGTAGGCTTCGTCCTAGAGCTGCCTGCCGTGTAGTGCGCGTATAGACATTGTATCCTGAAAGTGGGGTGGTGATGGGGATGGGGCGAGATGATGGGGGGATTAATATTCTATGGACGGTGGGCGCTTGTTGATAGGTTTCTTGTTCGCTTTGGTTTCTTTTGTGGTGGTTTGTGTGGTGTTTGGAGAGGTGGGTTTGTAGAGGTGGCTGTGAGGGTAGGTCTTGCAGGAGAGATGCTTTGTTGCCATTAGTTCTTTCATAATTGACGGCAGTCAACAATGTCCAATACTTGCCGCAAGTAATGTTCCCCTAATATGGTAGGTAAGAGTAACCTGGATTTTATTACGACCAGGTTGTTTCGCTGAAGCACTGCGGAGTGTCGTTTAAGGAGAGAACACACTTATTATTCAATCAATACTACATACCTATGCTGCCTCAGTACCTACTAACCTAAGCTACTTGACCTACATGTTGTAAGACTGAATGGTCTTACACAAAAAACCCGAAGCCTCGCTTGCATCTACCTTAGTTTGGCGGTTCTACCTCTGTGGAAAACCGAAACAACAACATCTCGCCCAACCGGGTTCCGATAGCCACGATGTTGCCTTGCACCCACGACGCCGTAGGTTTATACATCTTTGGTATAGGGATGATATTCTTGCCATTCCATGTAATCCAGTCACCACGTGGCCCTACTCCATACCGTGCAACTTTTTGGCCTTCTTGGACCGGGAAGGGCGAAGGGTTCAAGGTCGACAAGTCGACTCCATACTCAGTCAGAAAATATTCCGGTATCCGAAGATCGAATCCGATGTAACGATTTGGGTTGAAAGCTTTCATGGGACCTTGGATGAGAGCCCCAGTGTTTGAATCCCAGACACAGAAGGTGAAGTCTTTTGACCGCGACACAATTCGGGAAGAGTCCTGCGAGAAAATGATATTTAGGACGCCATCTGAGTGATCAGTCATTTCGCCCTTTTTTTCTAGAGATTTGCGATCCCATATTATTATTTTTGAATCCAGCCCCCCTGAGGCAAGAAGCCTTCCATCTGGAGAGAAAGCGACCGTAATGACCTTGCCGCTGTGACCCGGAAGAATCTCTGCATCTTCCTCCTCTCCAACTTCTTGGCAGTTCCAGACCATCAAATTATGGTCATTGGATGCTGAGGCAATAGAGGTTCCATCAGGGGAGATGGTGGCAAATCTAACCCAATGGGTGTGAGCTTTAAATGTGCGACATTTTGTTCCAGTGGCTACATCCCAAACCCCCACGGTTCCATCTCGCGAAGACGAGACTAAACGTTTCCCGTCAGGGGAGAACGATATAGAGATTAATTTCTCCTGTATAAGCTCGTGGGTCATCATCGGTATACCAGTCGTTCCATCCCAGAGGTGAATGTTGTCCCTAGAACTTGATGCCAGATATTTACCGTCGGGAGACATGGCTATAAAGTTGATGGGCTTTTCGTTGCCGAGCTCACTTAGGGTACTCCTGTCATTGCTCACGCTGCCTTCTGGACTCCAGAGCCGGAGAGTCATGTCGTCAGATCCTGATGCAAGGCGCCCTTGCGACGAGAAGGCAACTGCAGTCACAGGTTTTTCATGTCCTATCATCACATGTCTCTGGGCTCCTGACTCACTCTCCCAGACCTTGATCTGATTGCCGGATGCTGCTGCAATAACAGAGTCATCTGACGAAAATGTCACTTCGCAGATGATATGCTCACAGCCGAAAGATTTGAGATTTGCTCCAGTTTCCACGCTCCAGATTTTGACTGTCAAATCGTCAGAGCCTGAGACAAGGCGTTTTTCGTCCCTCGAAAATGCAACGGATTTGACATCTCCTTCATGGCCTTGTAGTGTTCTCTGTATTGCATTGTCATGTCGCGCATCCCAGATCTTGATGTCTCCCCCTTTGCCTCCAGAGGCTATCCACGTTCCCTGCCGGGAAAAGTCCACAGCGTAGACAGGATCTCCTTCTTCGAGAACCTTATGCGTACATTTACACTCCCGCTTACCGAGATCGGAGACATCCACGAGTAAAAGTGCGGTTAATGTGCCTAAGACCAGCCGTTCGTTCCGTCCACCGTTTGGTGAAAACCGAATAGCCGTTACCTTACGTCCATAGACGGTCAAGGTCTTGAAACCGCGTCCCGTCCTTAGTTGATATAAATAAATGATACCTTTATCAGAAACACAGACTAGTTCGCCATTGGAAGAAAAGGTAACGTAATATCCGGAATCTCCAGAGCGGTTGAGAGTTATCTGTGCCTCTCCCGTTTCAGCATCCCACACGCGTATAGCCTCGCTATCAGATCCTGATACTAAAAGCTTCCCATCTGGAGAGAATGCGATGCTTCGAATACGACTCTGCCCGGCTAAAGTGAGGGAGCTATCGCCCCAGCTTTGTGCCATTTTTGGCGGCATAATTAGCCAAGATTTGTTCTTGGCCACCCAGTCTTGTCTTAAAGCGCTCTCTTCTGGGTAAAATATGACACTGTTGGGATTTGTGCTGAAAATGCTGTCGCTAGACATATGGGAACGGATGGCCTGGACGCAACCTTGAACCAAAGAAAGAATGTGACCTTGTTCGTTATCTGCTAATTGCTCTGGAATCTCACTTTTTGGTTGTTTGAAATCCTGTGTCTTCAGTGGTTCTTTCTTCTCCTCTCTCGATTGTTCCTAAAGCCACTCCGTTAGCTGTCATTCCTTAACATTTTGGCGACTTGACTGTACTTGTGCTCTTTGGGTTACTCACAAGTAGAACACTCTCAAGTTTCTTCATGAACATGAGGGTATCGGCTTGAAGACCATTGGAGATGATTCCGTCTAACCAGAGCAAGAAATGATTCTGTATGAAGGAAACCACCAGGCTTGTTGTCTCTATATCTTTGGCAATGTCTTTTACATCGAGAAGATGCATTATCCAATGAGTAGTCCCATATGCGTTGACTAAGCTCTCCTCTTTGTTCTGGTCCTGACCAGAGTTGATTCCGGTTACACTCAAAGTGGCCGTTTCGAAGTGTGCTGATAGAAATCTTAGGGCTCTCCGCGTGATGATAGAATGCGCCTCTGAAAATCTGGCCAAGTTCTGATGTAGTTCTTCCCATGTGTTATGTCGGGCTGTTGGGTCAACGAACTTGACAATGCCTGAGTGTACTTCTAGGAGTGAGCACTTTTCGATTATTGCCAATGGATCAACTTCTGGCGGTAGATCTGCAAGTAGTACCAATTCCGACACCAGAAGGGGGCGATGCACAATGGCCACGGTCGAAAGCACTGATTCACAGAATATGGGATCTTGACGAGGAAGCTTTCTCAAATTGGCTCTCGCGTACTCGTACAACTCATCCAGTCTCTCAGGCATCTCTTTGAGGGCTTCAACCGCGTACCAGCTCTCTTCTTTTCGAAGAAGGGAGCAAGCAACAAATATCCATAGAGCATTGCCTCGTGATCTTATGCCGATAAGTCTTAAAACCTCTTCTTTGATCTGCTCTGGATATCTTCTTTGTTTGGCCAGCTGGCCAACTATGGAAACGAGGTTTCGGCGAAAGATTCCCGCGAGCCCAGGTGTCCAGGTAGCCCCCCCAAGATTGATGCATTGATAATGTCCTTCTCGTATCAACTCAAATTCGGCATGAGCATCCATATCTGCGGACAAAAGCCACTTGATTTTATGCGGAACATCTGCTGTCGCCTCGATTAACCGCATCAAATCGCCAAGATCTTCGCCACTGTCTCCTCCATGGCTAGATGAACATTGGTTGATGCCATCTATCACTATATATGATCGAACAAAAGCTTGGTCATCCAGCATATTAAAGAATATTGCTGATAACGCAAAGAAGTCTTTAGGGCTGTCAAACCGGTTTCTTTCCGTCCGGCTTAGAGCATTGTCCAAGTGGGAGATCAACTTTGGCTGTTGTTGAAGTAGCGAATGTATGAGGCTTCTCAACACACTAGCAGAGCTGTCCGTTCCATGGCTAGTACGGCCACATGAGTAATAAGATAAACCCTTGGATATTGCTTTTGAGCCGCCTTTGCTCACATCAGTTTTTTCCAGGTTTATCTCACTAGAGAGACGTCGGACGATTGCCTCCATGAGAGCCGTTTTATTGACTCCCTGGCCACCGCTGATCAGAAGGACATGGCTCGTGATACTTCCTGTATCGTTCTGTCCGGAGTCGTTCTTCTCGATGCCTTTTGTGTTCCAATTAACAACGCTCTTGTATTGTTCCGTTGAGCAGATCCATTGACAAAGCTCATGGGCTAAAAGTTCGTTTTCGTTTTGCGCTTCTATTACGCTTGACTCTGCGCTGATTCTGCCTAGGCGGGCTAGTTTGTGGCCGATCTCGCTTGTTAAACTCATTGTTTCCTGGTTTCTGGGTGAGAGTTGGCGGTTTTCTTTTTCTCTCTCAAGCTTCAGAAACTCGTCAAGTTGCTGAACGACCAAGCTCCCACTAAAGGTCGAAAGATTGTCCTCTGCCACTTTCAATCGTGCCGAATTCGAATCCCAGGCGTCGAACTGACAGCCAGCTGGCAAGGCAGCATTCATCAAATACGACAAAATCTCACTGTACAAATCAACAACTCGCTCTCGTAGAACCTGCTCTCCTTCTAGGAGTTCACCAGTATCGCCACTGACGATGATTCTCGGCAGACAATTATACCAATTCATCTTGGCGATAATATCCAAAAACCCGGTGCAAACAGCTTCCGTTTTCGACGAGGGATGCAGTAGTACCTGTCGTTAAATTAGCAACCTTTATCTAGACTTGCTAGAACTGCGTATATTACCCGCGAAGCGTAACACACGCATACCCAAACCAGCGCACAAGGCGACTTGCCGCCCGTTGACCTTCGTACATGGTCTCTTAATAAATCTCGAAGCTGGTTGCCTTGGCGACTGCTCCAGCCTCGATTCCGGTTATCAAGCCACCAGTTCAATAGGTGACACATCTGATGCCATCTATCCTTTATATCACTTTGGGAAATGGAAGTCTTCATATGCTCCGTTCTCGATATTCCCCCGATGGAAGGCTCGGTGGCCATGGCCTCAATGTCCAGGGACAAGATCTCCTCGTATAGCCCAACTAACTCCGGATGAACCAGTCTCAGATTGTCATACGCCTCATCCCATAGATGCTCGCGTTTGACTTGTGCCAGCGCTGCTGCATCATCTGAGAGTGCCAACTGGTGGGTAGGCGGGATGCCAGTGATGTTCACTTCTGCAGCAGATGTATTGTGTGCTTCCGTTTGCCTCGTTGTGGACTCTTTGTGCCCGTGCCCGAGCAGGTTGTGCAGTGCTTTTTGAGTAAGTGCAAGGGCTTTGCGGCCCGAAGATTCATCGTGGCTAATGTCAAGCGGGTCGTTTGAAAAGAGTTTCGTGAATTTCTTCATTGTTTTATCTATATTGGTGTCGTAGTCGGTTGAAGATGGTGAAGCCAGAAAAGCGTTGTGATGTTCCCTCGTCACAAACTGATGTGGAATGACTTTAGCTTTTTAACTGTAAGAAAGGCGGACGGAGAGGCGAGTGTGACAAGGCGGGAACAGTTTATGTCCTAATATCGCTTTCATACTGAGGGATGGTCTTTGTTTTGTTGGCCGTTTGTATCATCTGCGTCTACCCGGTGGGTAGCTTATGTCTGGTTACACATGTATTCAGAATCCGCTGTAGCTCCCCTACCTACCTGTATACAAAGGCGGGCTCCGAACCCCTTGCTAGACCGGGCTATTATATACCCAGGTTGTTGTTGCAACTCATTGGTGGAGGAGAGTCGAATTCACAGCCAACTCCTCAGAGAATGTCGATGTATGACAGAGTATTTGCAATTTTATTGTTTACGCTCCCGATTGGTGGGATACTCGCAGCGTTATCTCGTTGCAACCCATTATATCAGTTGTACAACACACAGTCCCTGGGTAGAATCCGAACACGGCCCGATAGATACCACATATTGAGTTGGTATCTTCGAAATCACTTCCTACGGACCAATGATCTCAGAGCAGGCGACCGCATAGTTAAGCTAGTCTTCCGATATGCTTTGTTATGGGGAGCTGAGTGGTTTTTTCATCTTCCTTTCTAAATGCGGCGTTAGAGCAGATTTGGACGGGTCTGAGCTCCTTTGACAGTGACAAAGAACATAAAGCTTCATCTCAGCCCTTGGTCAGTTTTCAATCTATGCCGGATGCGGCGGTTCCTCTCGCCCCGAAAGTGATGTTGGTTCTGGCATAATGAGATGGGGCCTCATTCACCCTGGATGGTCTGTTCCGCTCACCAGCTCCTGCGTCACCATTCGCAAGAGTCTATGATCTTATATCATGATGCCAATTTGACCGACTCCATGGAAACAAAGTATTGCACATTCAGAAATGCTTAAGTTCTAGTTCTCAACCCTAATTCGTGAAAGTTTCATCTACTAGCTTCTTAAAGTCGTACGGTTTTTCAAGTCGCCCCGGTCCACATAGATTTTCCAAAACAACCCAGCCTTTAGTATCTTTTGACATTGCGTCAAACTTACCTTTTACCGTGTCAAATCTCCAATTTTTCGTACGATCGCCTTTGTCATTTCCCTCATTGACCTTAACGCTTGATGAAATCCGAGCACATGCCAAAATAAGTGAAGCCATTCCTGCAGCGACTGCGGTTGAGACCGAGCTCCCCTCAATAGATTCAGCAGATTCTAAATAGGGTACTTGGCCGACATGGACGTTATGACCAATGAATTGGTATGTGAAGCCCGTTTTTTGACTTTGAGGGAGTAAGTTACCCCATTTATCACATGCGGCAATTGATAGGACGCTGTCGTTTTTTTTCTCGCCCACCGAGCGAGCAACTATGCTGCCCTCATCTGCGGTGCTGCAAGTGATGACAATATCATCTCTTTTGGCTGCTTGGATAGCAGCGGCCATGTCTTTATTCGGGTCTGAGAAGGTAACGAGGCTGAGGGATATTATGTCTACCCCTTTAGTTCGTGCCCAGTCAATAGCCTAAAGCATGATAAGGGTTAATTCTCCCGCTCCATTTTCATGACAGCATAAGAAAATAGATGATATGGAACGAAGTCGCTCTCACCTTGGCTACATTATGCCCCGTTATTCCAGACGCGTTTGACTCGGCGACTTTGACAACGTAAAGTTCGCAGAAAGGGTTTATAGAGCAAATAAGTGTTGCCATCTGGGTGCCATGTGGCTCAGTAGCATGCCACCATGGTTGTTCTTCATTGTCCCTGCTGACAAGCGAGATGCCTTCAACAATTCGCTGTGCCAGGACACTGCCAGATGCGCTCCCTTCATTCTCTTCCCTCTCTTCCACCACTTTCTTCTCTTCCCTACCTTCTTTCTCTTCCCTCACTTTCTTCTCTCTTTTTCCTTCTTTCCTTTCATAGTTCTCACCGTGCGACCCTCCAACGACAACAACACCACTGTCGATCAGTGCAATTTTTGTCTTCTTTGTTCCTATGTTCTCATAGTGGTATTGAGAAAAGTTTTGGATAAATCTTGCCAAATGCGAGCCAACAAGATCCGAAGAACTATTAGAAATGTGAGCATTAAATATATAGCGCATTTTTTGAGCCTTACATATGATCCAAGCTTCGGTATATAATATTTTCTCGCAGCTGAAGCCATTGAATTGGCACAACCTCGATCTGGTATCGAGTCTTAGGCTGGGTCGGAAGCGTCTCAGCTCGGATCTCAGCTAGGATTCTATTCAAGAGCTCAGTTGGAATCTTAGCACCAACTTTATCAACCATCTCAGCTGGGATTTTAGGTGAGATCTCAGTTAGGATTTCAGGTGTAATCGTAGATTGAATCTCGGTTGTAATCCCAGGTTGGATCTCAGACGGAATCTTAGTTAAGGTATCTAGTTGGATATCAGGCGAGATCTTAGTTAAAATGCCAGTTTGGATCTCAGACGGGATCTCAGACGGGATCTCAGCTAAGATACCAGTTTGGATCTCAGACGGGATCTCAGCTAAGATATCTGGTTGGATATCAGGTGAGATCCCAGCTGAGATGTCTGGTTGGAAATCAGGCGAGATCTTAGTTAAAATGCCAGGTTGAATCTCAGACATGATCTCAAGCGTGATCTCAGGCGTGATCTTGGATTGGGCCTCAGATGTAATTCTAGGTTGAGTCTTAGGCAGATTGGATTGGATCTTGTCTTGTCTCTCGGAATCTCCATCTCTTTCAATACTCGCCTCTTCTTCATGAATTGTCCATGGATAGCCGGGGTTTCCATGCAACGTATTCAAATCTTCTTGAAGCTGATTTTTTACTTTGTCTATCTTAAGCGGACTAAGAACATCCTAATGGCGCCATTAGTACTGCATGTGCTAACGTTGCGATGCGGCGAAAGTGTTTCAGCTTCATGACTTACCTTTACCACATACACGTATAGTCGTTTCAGCTAGTACTTGAGTAAGACCAGGCATGATCACATTGGTAGGGGCAGGTTCGGCATCTTACCCGCTTAAATTGTGGTATTTGAACTAACCACTGATCGTGAACAGATTGATTGCCACTGGAATAGAGATGCAGTTCCTCTATTGAATCTTTGTCGATATTTTTGAGGTATATGTCCAGCTTTCTCCACTTGAGAACTCTGACACGGAAATTGTTGACACATGCCGCCACATCTTCGTCACTATGTGGACAGTGTAGGCGATCTTCTACCGTCAAGGTCATTACCTCTTCAACGCCTCGTTCCTTCAACCAGTCGAAAACGTCTTTCACTTCTCTGTGAACTTGCTTTAAGTCTTCATTGCCCATAAATGGCGCTTGGCCGCTCAGATCGGGAAAGGTGGCATATTTCAGAAGTTTCTCATACTGGAAAAACTTGGCATTCATTACTTTCAGCATCTGAACGTAGTCTGTACAGCTTTGATTCTTCGCATCTGACTTGAACTGCGGGAATTGAAATGACATATCCTTGGCTTGTGGAGATATTAGCAACAGGTGTTTATGAAGTCACAGAATTTTCATGAAGACACTCACCTTCCACTGTATAAATAAATACCTACTTGTTAACATTGACTGGAATTGGCGCCCGGGTAAAAAGGAAATTTTGTTGTCAACATACCGTTAGAATCTTTCAGTATTTCTCGAATTTTCTGAAGCCCAAAATCTTGGCTTCGAATCATGGCGTGAACAAGTAGATCTCGAATGGCTTTATACGCCTTGCCGTCCTCATCAACTTTCGGATTTTCTTCAAGTTTCTTCAGATATTGTATAGGATATTCATGCGATTCACGCCCCGCCTCTCCCGCTATTATTTCTATTAGAGTAGGCTCCAGCTTCAAGAGTACCTCCACCATATCGACCTTTCCCAGTGATACGGCTATATGCAAGAAATTGCAGTTCTTCTTTGAAAGGAAACTGCGGCGAGACTTCTCTGGAAACATATCCCACATCTGTGCAGTTCCCTTTTCCACGACAAATAAAGCATGCGCTTCTGTGAGAAATTTTGATTCATTTGACTCCAGTAGGAGACGAACGAACTCTGGTGACGGCGTTTTGACTGCGATTTCCCAAGTTTTCTCATTGAGAAGACTTGGGTTTCTTCCCACCATTATCTTGATTATATCCATAACCTTAGATGAAACGTCAAGTGGTAGGGAGGCGAAGGTATTGAGCAATAGCTCTACAACCTCCGCCATGTTCTTTTCTGCGGTTTCGCCATCGCGAATGATCTCCTGTGGTTGCTGCACCGGCGATTTAGACTCGGAGTAGGCGTTATTGTCGTGCTCAAAAGTTACCAAGAGCTCGTCAAGTATTATTTGTAATATATATTCAGATCTTGATTCCGCTGCTAATTGGAAAGCGGACGGAAGAAAAGACTTCCCGCCGATGTCATGGTTATCCGGGCATGGCTGGAATGCTATCTTCGGATGACGGTAGCACATAGCCTTCACAATCAAGCCTCCACTCCGCAGTCGCATCTCGATCATCTTGACCTTGATTTGTTTTTGGTTGTAATAAGCGTGATCTTTTGTAGCTGCTTGAAGCAACTGGATTTTCTTAGCTTGGAGTTCTGGTGATTCTTCAGACTCGTACGTCAAGATTGCTCGCAGTTGATCGAGAATAATTGCGTCGATTTCTTCGGTAGGTGTCTTTGACTCCATGTCCAAGCATCTGACGACTGCCGAGATGATTTCTTGAAGTGTTATATCCTCGTCATAATTAAATTCCAGGTCCTCCCAGTAGGATGGTATATCTTCATAACCTCCCAATTGTTCTAGTAGCGAAAACGGCTGGGCTTTTGGAGAGCCGGCGTTGACTGAATCCATGGTTGTATCGATTTGGTAATATCGAGTACCAAAAACTTAGTTTTGGGCATTAAAATGAATCTGAAGAACAACATTCAACCTGAATTGAAGCTCTAGTTAGAATCCAGATGCATTCGGAGATGAGAGTTAAGCTGCTTTCGGGAACCTCGAATAATGGCGCGAATTATCTTAGTCAGGCATCAACTTAAAAACATAAGCTCCCTGTAAAGATCGGGATACTGCAGGCGGATTTGAGAGGGTTTCATCCTCGCTAGCCGCCAAGAAGTCGTCCTTGTAAAACTTCGATAAGAACTTCCGCCAATCATGCCTTATCCTGTTGTTGTTCAGCCATGTACTTCTAACATGCACCTTGTTGTATTTACAAATACGAGCTGTTGTATAACAAGTTTAATATCGGTATAGTGCATATGACTTTATTATATATGAATACGAGGTAGTACAACAAGACTAATATTAGCATAGCAGGAAGTACTCTGTTATGTTTACAAATACGAGTTTCTGTACAACATGTTTCATATAGGGATAGTGTATAGGATTTAATATCTACCTTTACAAATACGAGCCGTTGTACCACAAGCTTATCATCATACAATGTTCTTAGGCGGAAATTAGAAAGGCGGCACGAAAATGTATCTCGCCTCTGTTACGGCGTGCCTAACGTCTTGTATTTATTTCTACATTCTTACTTGGCTTTTCACTTCTTCCAGTTCAGTAGTATTGGGGAAGAAAGGCTAATGGTACCCCTTTAAACACGTCACGGTTTGAAAACATTCTCAACTTCGGCTTGCGAGTAGAATACCCAAAACATGGCTCAAAATTCCAATCTCAATTTTCCCATCAGAAATGCTATCTTCCGTGCGGATGATAACCTTTACGAAGATCTAGAACCTGATTTCAGCGGTTCGCTTGGTGGGTTCAAAACATTCAACCCCGAAGACAATCGATTCCAGCGATCAGCGATACATGTCTCTGCAGAAAGATCGAAATTCAAGAAGACGGTTGAACTTATTCTCTGCTGCCATGGTTGGAAGAATCCTGATAAAGAGGTACCCATGACTCTGATTGTCTTGGGGGTAAAGCTATCCTGCCACGACCGCGAATCTCGTTTCCAGTCGGTGAGGATCAGTCTTCGATTTGGCGAAGACGACAAACGCGACCAAAGGGACGGCTTCGAAGCATGTCCTCAGGTGGTTGCTTACGCACCATTTGTACAGGATGAATATTGGAACATTACGGAAGCAAATGTTACAGACATCAATGGATATGGAGGCAAAATGGGCGTCGATCAAGTCGTTCAAGCAGAAGTCAGCGCGGATAAAAGCTCTGAGATCTCGTACACTCGGCGGCACTTTGATAGAGGAACCGCAGATCGCCTTTATGACAAGAGCACTAGGAGATTCTCTGGCGTTGAGTGGTATTGTGAGCAAAACAAGCTACAGAATTACGGCGTTATGCCCAACTTCCACTTGGCAGTCCTCGTCGAGCGATCACGCCATCATGGTAAAGCCATTTCTTTCAAAGCCGAATTCGACCTGCAGGCTGAGGCCGGCTCCAGACATGACTTTAAACAATGCCTGCGCCGTGCTTATAGGCTTCTGAGACCAGAGGACGACCCCGTGTATTTTGACCCCTCCAAGGAGAAACCTGACGTCAATGGAGTTGGTGGAGTAGGTGAGAGGTTATTGGAAAACATCAAAATAGATAATCTGGGGGCTCTTGCGGAGGGGAAATTGTTGAGCAAGCTGATTGACTCTGCTGGAGGTGCATTGGCTAGTCTTGAGCCGATGAAAGGAATTGTAGGGGTTGAGTCTCATCATTCTTACTACAGGTGATCGATAGAGGCACTTGGCGTATTTCAATACATCGATATACTTCTCTAGTTGCTAGTATCATCACCTACAACTTGCTTGTGTAGCTTTAAATTTAAGAAATGGATGGGATGCTAAATATTAGACTGGAGTGCTGGTTAGTATTTCCCTTATATAGTAACCTTGCAGCAGCTGGCCAATATCGAAAGTCAGGAGATGTAGGGTATCAGAAGCACATGTTAGGAATCGGGCGAGTGCCTGAGACTGTTTGCTTGGTACAGTGAATGTTGACAGTAACAAAGCACAGCTAGAATGCAGATCATTTTGACATTAAGCTAAAGTAGAGAATACCTCGCGCCGCAGCAGAATTCCAATCGCCCTGACAGGTATGCAATACTGCAGGTTCATATGAGGCTTACCAATTAAAGGCACACCGTCACAGCACTAAAGTACAGCTACCAGCAGGTAACAAGGGACCAGCGCACTCACTAAAGCACGAGGATCGGCCTTAGGTTCAATGTTAGGTGAGCAACTCAATTCAGCGACTCCACCAGCGTGGGCAACTTGCTATCGCCATCTTCATCTTCATCTTCATCTTCAACCGCTATTCTTTCCATATTTATACCCCCATATCATTTCCCACTATTATCATCTAGCAACAAACAATCACGCCATCTCTACAAGAGTACATCAGCACCCTTTGCCTCCATCAACAGCATCGATCGAGACAAAATCGACATCCCCCACCGTCTAGATCCCGGCCCATGCCATAGGGCACCGCTCCAGCATGAGCATCCGCCATGCCCCTGCCAGCGCTGCTCTCTTCCAGCGATAGATCGTCTTCCTTCGGCTCGTCCTCCAGTAAGGCGCGCTCTGTCCCGGCCGTCGACGGCGACATCCCACCTGAGTACATCCACGACGAGGCCCAGCTGCCATGCATCCCGCCCGAACGACCGGACCTGCGCGAGCTCAACTGCGGCCTCGAGGCCCTGGCGGCTGTGTTCCCTGATATCCAGATCGAGGTCTTTCGGGAGCTGCTAGGCAACTTTGACGGCGAATCCAGGCTCGCCCTGGTAGCCGATGCTCTGCTGAAGAACCGGGCAGTATGGGTCAAGGGCAGGTGGAAAGTTGCCGGGCCCGAGAGCCACAACAGACTGCAGGCTGGGAACGACAGCAAGGACAAGGACAAGGACAAGGACAAGGAGGAAGCAGATGTTGATGGCCCCGGCAATCGGCTGGTGCCGAGAGCAGAAATATTCCGAAGCAACGAGTACAAGAAGGCGGTCCAAGCGCTTGCGTGGCAGGAGTTTAAAGGCCTGTCCAAGTCGACCATCAATGCGGTCCTTGCTGAGTCCAACTACTCCTACCTAGACGCTCGAAGGACCCTTGTGACGCTGTCATCTAAATCATGGCGCTTCACCATCTCGTCTATCTTCATGAGACGGAAGCCTGTGGCGACGGGCGAGGCAGACAACCATCCTCTTGTCCGCTGGCGCACGACTGGCCATGGCTCTAGTATACCTACGGTACGGTCTACGGGCAATGCCGAGCTTGATCGAGAGCTATACGATGCGCTCATCCGCCCACTGAAAGAAAAGGATAGAGAAGAGCGGGAGATTAAAGACCGCGCGGCCGCTGTGCTGCTAAACAACGAGGAAGCCGAAGAGGCGGGCGCCATTCACGAGTGCACGTGCTGCTTCACCACGGGCCCCTTTGAAGAGTTTACGCACTGCAACAAGGACGCACACATGATTTGCTTCCGCTGCGTCCAGCACTCCATCAAGGAGGCCGTCTTTGGGCAGGGCTGGCTGAGCAGCATCATCCCCGAGACGGGAACACTGAGGTGCATGGCCGTCGACCGCGATCAATGCCCTGGCTATGTCTCATATGAACATATGCGTAGGGCCATGCTGGAAGAGAAGAAGGGTGCCGAGATTCTACATCAACTAGACCAACGGCTTGCAGAGCACGCTTTGCTTGCCGCAAAACTACCACTGGTGCACTGTCCGTTTTGCAACTATGCAGAGATTGACGATATATACTTGCCGCATCAAAGGTCAAAGATGCGGATTCGGGTTGCCGGCGTTCTTCATTTGATGTTTCTCTTCTTTTGCTTCGTCTGCGTCGTCCTCATCCTTCCCCTGGCTGCGATATCTCTTCTTACTGCTTTGGCGTTCACCTCTTGGACGACTTTTTGGAAGCAAATATCGTCGGAATGGAAGCTCGCCGTCGCCAGACATTCTCGCCGCCGACGTGGTCTCCAGTTTTCTTGCCAGAATCCAGAGTGTGGCCGAGTATCCTGCCTCTCATGCAGCAAGGTCTGGACAGATATACATGTCTGCAACGAGTCATCGCTAGTTGCGCTGCGAACCCAGGTCGAGCAGGCCATGAGCATGGCAATCAAACGAGTCTGTCCTCGGTGCAACACGTCGTTTGTCAAGAATGCGGGCTGCAACAAACTCACCTGTCCCTGCGGATACAAGATGTGTTATGTTTGCCGTGCCGACCTCACTGAAGAAGGATACCGGCACTTTTGCGACCACTTCCGGCCCGACGGCGATCCAAGACCATGCCTCGAGTGTGAGAGGTGCAACTTGTGGGAGTCGGAGAATGTCGACCAAGTACTGCAGGAAGCCCGTGAAGAAGCAGAGAGAAAGTGGAAAGACACGGAGAAGAGGGACCTGTCCGGGCCGGAGAAGGCGTTTCTGGAGACGGGCATCGCGGCACGTGCTACGGGCATGGGCAGCGTGGAGCAGATCCTGGTGGCGGGACGGTTGCCTTCCCTGGGGGAGGTTTTGGACATTGTGGTTGAGACGATCCTCGTGTGAGCGAGAGGGGAGAAGCCAATGTTGGGGGTTTGTCAGCATTTGCTAGAGAATGAGTTGCTCGGGCTGCATTTCTGGCGTATCTCTCTCTCTCTATCTCCCCTCCTTGTCGTTTCATGACTTGAGAATCATTTCCGCGTGGCGTCATGTGGACTATCAGAGATTGCTATGCATGATCCAAAGATTATATGCGCTTCTGGCAGCGCTTCTAGCCAGTTTGGATATCTTTCCATAAAGATGGGCTCGACTTAGACCTGCCTACGTTTTTCTTCTTTTCCCTTTGTCTTTATCAAGAGCGCGCCCAAGTACTCGTCTAATTCTGCAACTGGTTCAGAAGAATCTGAGCAAGACGAGGATAGATGACGGCTGTCTCGCTTTCCCCCTTAATTCTTCATTTCTCTTTGCATATGTGTTTCCTTTTAGTTTGGACGGTTCGGCATTGGGAATTTTGTTATTTTCATGAGCTTTTTTTTTTTTTACTGCGAGGGACTGAGCGTCGTCGATTCATGAAATGTAAAGGGCGGGATAATAACATAACTTGATGAATTGGATGGATAGAAAACTCCTTTTGACACATGAATCAAAACAAATCGTCGACATGAAAATATTGCATTCTAGCCTGTTAACACAACATGAAACATTAAAAATATAGTATACATTCATTCCCCATCCTTATCCTTCATCAAAGTGTATCATCCATCACGCAAGTTCAGCAGCAGCACCCGCAATCGCCAACTTACCCGTCTCCTTCACCTTGCACTGAAACACAACCTTGCCTCCCTCCCTCCACATCTCCGTCACAATCGTCTGCCCCGGAATCACCGGCCCGGCAAACCTCACTTTAATATTCTTAAACGCGCCGAACTTGTCGTACACTGCCTTTCCAGCCACGCCGAAGGTGCACAGGCCGTGCAGGATGGGCGCCTTGAAACCTCCCATCTTGGCGAACCCAGGATCGATATGCAGCGGGTTGTAATCGCCGCTCAGACGGTAAATAGCCGCCTGCTCCTCACCAGTGGCCTCTTCGACGACGACGTCGGGAGCACGCTTCGGAGGCTCGTTGGCTGCCGTCGCGGGACCCCTATCCTGACCCTTCTTTGCTCCGCCAAATCCTCCTGCGCCGCGCAAAAAGACAGTCATTTCATTGTAAAACACATCCTCACCAGTCTCGGCGTTAACAGTAGTAATACCAGTCTTTACAATGGAAGCAGAGCCCTTGTCAATGACCTCGAGGAGTTTCCCGCGAGAATGCAGCCGCCCGGCGGTAGGAATGGGAAACTTGCGAATCTCGAGATACTGCTCGCCGTGGAGCAGCATCATGGGCGAGAAGTTTGGCACAATGGTGTCAAAGTCAAAGGGCATTTCTGCGCTGAAGCCCGGGATGACGCCGAATGTGGGAAGGACTTGGAAGTCTTCTGCGCCCTCACTGTTCTTGTATTAGCTGTGTGTTTTGTGCTTGATTTTATAAAGGGGGTAGATGGTGTTGAAGAAAGTAGCTTCATGAGAAGGTAGTGTTTTCTTCTTGTGAGATAAAAAGGGGCATTCAGGGGATATCACGGCTTACAAGACATATTTCAGCTCCTTTCGCTTGGCGCCAACACCAAGATTGTACAGAATGGCATCACGCTCCGTCAAGTTGTACTCGGTAGGGCTGCCCTCCTTGTTGAGAGCCTCAGCAATAGCGGCGAGATGTTCATTCTCGGGGGCGGCAGCAGAACCACCCTCACTCTAAGAGCAGAAAAACCACACACAAATTAGCACGGGTCATTCAATGTGAAACGTGAAATTTTGTTCTCTTTCTTTCCAATAGCATTTCTTTCATCTTTAGGAAACTATCCAATATGTACAGGGCTTTGATAGGTTCGTGGTGGTGATACAAAGTCTTCTTCCAAATGTTGACATGCCAAATGGAGAGACAAAAACAAATAATAGGAAAATATAAAAAGAAAAGTCATTCAACATCGTGTACGTGACGTTTTCATACCTTGTTCTCCATGTTGGCCATGATCTTCTCCAGGCCGTCCTGAGCCTTCTCAGGATGATCCGCACGGCCATCGTCAAAGTTGATAATCTTCTCCCACTGCTTGACAACTTCCTCAGGCACCAGAGGCACGTTGATGGGGAAGCCGTGGCCGCCGCTTCGCTGCCATCGAGTCTTGCCGACCCAGCCGCTGCCGACCTCGTACAGGCCGCCAGTGGGGTTGGGGCACTTGTCGCTGCTGAGGGCGAGGACAAGGGGAGCAATGTAGTCGGGCTTGAAGGCATCGACCATCTCCTTGGGCATGATGGTGGCGGTCATGGCAGTGCCGGCGTTGGGGGCAATGGTGTTGACGTAGATGCCGTACTTGAAGCCCTCGAGAGCCAGGGCGCGGGAGAAGCCAAGAATACCGCATTTCTGTGATTTATGTTAGACATAATCAGATACATGAGTTCGGGGGAATAGCTTACAGCAGCGGCATAGTTGGCCTGACCAAAGTTGCCGTAGATACCAGAGGTGGAGGTGGTGTTAATGACACGGCCATACTTTTGCTTGAGGAAGTAGGGCCAAGCAGCCTTGGTAACCTTGTAGGTACCGCGCAGGTGCACGTTCATGACGGGGTTCCACAGGCTATCGTCCATGTTGGTAAAGGCCTTGTCGCGGAGGATGCCGGCGTTGTTGACGACAATGTCGACACGGCCAAAGGCGTCAATGGCGCCCTTGACGACGGCATCACCGTCCTCGGCAGAGGCCTTGACGCCGACAGCCTTGCCGCCGAGCTTCTTGATCTCCTCAACAGTAGTGTCGGGGTTGACAAGATCGTTGACGACAACGGAAGCGCCGTGCTTAGCAAAGGCCAGAGCATAAGCACGTCCGATACCAGCACCAGCGCCAGTGATGAGAGCGACGCGGCCGGTGAAGTCGAGCTTCTCGCCCTGTTCGCTAGGGCCCATCTTCATTGAGTCCTCCAGCAGGGTCATGAAGTCGTTGGGGCCAGAGGGGTACTGAGGGTTGGAGAAGTCAATGACCTTGTTCCATTGCTTCAGGATGGCGCCGGGGGTGTATGAGTCGTCGGCCTTGAGGAGCAGACCGCTGGATCTCTCCCATCGCAGCTTAGCGATGTGACCAGCACCAGCCTCGAAGATTGCGCCGTTCTCGGTGTTGTTGGAGTGAACGAGCACAGCAACGAGCGGCACAATCCACTCGGGGCGGAGAGCCTTGAGAACATCGGGGGGCATAACGGTCTCAGTCATGCGGCTAGCAGCTGTATGTCACGCTCGAGTCAGCCAATCGGTTCAGAAATGAAAGCTAGATCAAGCCTCATAGAAGACACATACCAATGGGAGCAATGACGTTGGACAGGATGTTGTACTTGGCACCCTCCTTGGCCAGCGTCTCGGTGAAGCCAACCATGGCGAGCTTGGCAGCAGAGTAGTTGGTCTGGCCAAAGCTGCCAAACAGACCGGCGGCCGAGGCGGTGTTGATGACTCGGCCGTACTTTTGCTTGCGGAAGTGCGGCCAGGCGGCGCGGGAGCACTTGTAGGCGCCCGTGACGTGGACCTTCATGATGAGGTCCCAGTCCTCGTCCTTGAGGTTCTTGAAGGCAATGTCGCGCAGGATGCCGGCATTGTTGATGAGGATGTCGATGCGGCCAAAGGCCTTGATGGCCGTCTCGATGATGCGCTCGCCGAACTCGACGCTGTCGTAGTTGGCAACGGCCTTGCCGCCGGCCTTTTTGATCTCGTCGACGACGACATCAGCAGCCTGTGGAGGAGGCGGTTAGCTACTATGATTGCGACTACAGTTTGAAGAACAATGAGGAAGAAGGGCATTCATTCACCGACCTTTGTAGAGTTTCCCTCGCCCTTGAAGGTGCCGCCCAGGTCGTTGACGACCACGCTGGCACCTCGAGAGCCGAAGAAGGTGGCATAGGCCTTGCCCAGACCACCGCCAGCTCCGGTGATGACCACGACCTGGCCGTCGTATCTCAGTTGCTCAGCCATGACGTCGGCAGTTGTGCTGTGTGTGTTGTGTGATGGGGGATGACGCTGAAGAGAAAATACGACGTCAAGACACGAATGTGAAGGGGGGAGAAGAAGGGGAGGGTATCAAGACGGTGTACAGAGGGAATTCAATCAGGAGAAGAAGGAAGAGAAAACGGTGTCACGCTCCTCGGACTTTTTTAAGTGATGCGGACGGACCGGGTTTGGACAAGCAAAAGGTGTCGATGCCTCGGCTTGAGCTGGGGCGGGTCACTTCTGTACCGCTATTGTGCCACTCTGTACCGCGACTTGGACCGAGTTTAGAGGCCAGTGAAGCCGGGGAGGGCGCTAGGCTGGAAGCGGAGAAGCAAGGGAGAGGCTTGTTCACATGCTTTTTTGGAGAACGGAGAACGGAGAACGGAGAAGCAGAAAAGTTGGGGTATTGTAAAGGCCAAAAGCTGGGGGATGACAAGATGCGAGTACATTCACGTGTCCAATTCATGTCAGCCATTTACTAAGAACTTGTGAGACGTCTATACTTTACGGTAAGCTTCGGAGTAACATGTATTGTGTACCTGCTATCTCTACAGACATGACATGACACATGCAATTCGAATCCATCCCCCTTCTTTAATACCCTAGTATTCTCCGAGCATCTGACGGCTATCGGTACGGGTGCTGGCTGCACTGCATTCAATGGCATTGCTCTCCATCTCTCTCCACACTCTGCACCCCATACTTTCTCCCGGTCATCACCGGTCTGATCTTACATACTACCAACATACCGCGACTCATTGCCCTCTACTACAATTTACTGCCTCTAATTTTTCCTCTACTACATCTTAGCCTATTACTCACTACTCCCATCTTCAATATCACGACATCACGTGTTTCGCTCACTCAGCTTCTCATGCTTCTTCCCCCACGCTTCATCAATCTACCGCCTCCCCACACAAATTCACCTTCACCCTCTAGTCCGCTAATAATAAAAGCCAAACCCGACCACTCGGTCAATCAAGTCACCGGTGCGGCCCCGGAGACCGGCAGCCCACACTCCCCCATGTAGTCCAGAATATCAATATCAATCATCGTAAAACCTCACATCCCTCCAACCACCAATCTCATAGAAATCACCTCGTTTCTCGTAACAAAATGGCAACACAATTCATAGACGACAAAGCCCCAATATGCATCCCATTCATCCTAAACCGCCTCCAGCTACACCAACAAGCCCACCCCAGCTCAAACTCCAACTCTAAACCCCCGCGTCCCCTCATCATCGGCCTCAATGGCCTCCAAGGCGTCGGCAAATCCACCCTCGTCGTGCCCCTCGCCGAAGCCCTCAACCGCGAGGGCATCCCGACCCTCGTCTGCAGCATCGACGATTTCTATCTGACGCACGAGCAGCAGCTTGCTCTGGCGCATGAGAATCCGGACAATGCCCTGTGGCAGGTCCGTGGGGAGCCAGGTATGTATATTCTCACTCACTTACTCATTCACTTATACCACTTATCACATATACACCCTTCTTTATAACACACATTTCAACGTTCACATCAGTTTCAATAAACCTTCTTTAAAACATTAAAAAGGCTCACATCTCCCTCTCATAGGCACCCACGACATCCCCCTCCTCAAATCCGTCTTCTCCTCCCTCCTCACCCACGCACCAACCTCCCTCCCCCAATACGACAAAGCCCTCTTCTCCGGCCAAGGCGACCGCCTCCCCCCCTCCACCTGGACCCCCATCAACCAACAACAACCTCCCCAAAACCCCTTTCAAGTCGTCATCCTCGAAGGCTGGTGCATCGGCTTCCGCCCCATCTCCCCCGAAGCCGTCGCCACAAAACACTCCGCCCCGAGCCGCACTCTCCACCAGCACCGTCTGGAGCACCTCCTCGCTATCAACGAGAAACTTGGTGAATATGATGATGTGACGCGCTTATTTGACGCTTTTCTTCATATTGACTCGGAGAATACCGAGTATGTCTATGATTGGCGCCTGGAGCAGGAGGAGCATCTTCGTCTGACGAGGGGGGATCCCAATGCTGGTATGACCAAGGAGCAGGTCGTAAGATTCGTCGACGCATATTACCCTGCCTATGAGCTTTATTCGGAAGGGCTACGAAACGGTCTCTTCACAGACAAGCCAGGGGCTCAATTGCGGATGGTGGTTGGGCGTGACAGAAAGGTGAAGGAGGTAATTGAGATTTGAACATGAAAGAAGAGGCAGAGAGAGGATAGGATCAGTTGTCTCTTTACAACAGAAAAGTGCTTCTTTTAGCAACAGGTAGAATTCTAGATGGCGCAACATGGGCACATCTTAGCTAGACCGTTCCATTTATATCCCACATAAAACAAAGAAGAAAAAAACAATCTCAGTTCATTAGATCATTACCCGCCAACGCCATGCTTTCCATTGTGAGGCTCAAAGACGCTCTAGGCCACGCCCAGCGCCGCCCATCCGATCCCATCTGATCTGTCAAGCCTGCAAGAATCAACCTTGCACATGAATACCCACAACTCCACACTCAAAATGACACAGCACCGGAAAAATGCAGCTTGCTCGGGCTGAAAGAACAAGCATCACTGCTGGGCAGACTTGGCGTCGTTTGGAGTCATCAAACGCTGGCCCTCCTGCAGCATCCGGTTCAGTTTTTTGTCAATAGCCACGGTCTGTTCCCGGACCGCCTCCTCGCGAGAAGCTGCCTCGTCCTCAAACTCCCTCATCATTTTCCGCTTGTTACGCCTAACCACCCTCATTTTATGCATAATCTCGGAGAACTGCTCGGCAAACCAGTCACCCGCCTCTTCCCAGTCGTCAAAATCCATGTTTGCAAACATGAGGCGCTGCTCCTTCTCGCTCTGGCGCATACCCTGCTCTATCCTAGCGACGCGGGCCTCCACAGTACCTGCAGGAGCACCTGAACTAGTCGGCGTTGTCGCCTTAGAGGGGTCAAAGTCGAATGGTTCTTTATCGAGATCGGCGTAGGCCATGTTGCTGAGAGCCATGTCGTCGTAATCGAGACTTCCTCGTCTACGTTTCTTGTCTTTGGGCGCCGCTGGCTTAAAAGGTGGAATGGTTGTTGTCATGAGGCGCTCCAGCGCAGCTCGATGTGGTGATAGAGGATGCCCTCTTACTCTCGGAGTAGCATGCCCGTCTTCGCGGCCACCCACAGTGGATGTGCCATCGTCCTGGTCTCCATGCTCCTCTTCGTAAGCTGCCCCCTCTTCATCTTCTACCTCCTCTAGGTCTCTAAATCTGGCCATTGGGCGAAAATCGTCTATTCTATCTCTCATCGGCCGCCCTCTGTTTGCAAAAGCAGGTGATGTGCTCCTCTTTTCTCTGTCGTCGTACTCAAACTGTCTCGGCCTCGGCACATGTCGAACCTTGATATCACGCATGGGCAAGACGGGCTGTTTCTCTGGCGATGCCTCTAGTCGAGCGTAGGTTGGTCGATAGTTTCCAGGTGGTCTGCTGTACCCATTGACGGCGGTTCTATTAAACCCATCGTTCATGTATGTGGATGCGGCGTTACGGTGTCCATTAGCTGGAACTACTCTCATGAGGAGGTCTTCTCCGAGCTGAAAGGCGGCACCGTCATTTGGGAGAAATCTCCTATCAAAGTTGTAGCGGGGGGCAGGTCTGGTGATGGCGGCCGGAGCAGCGATAGAGACAGCAGGAGCCGAAGCAGTAACGACTGTATTCTTCTTATCCGGCATTGGTTCGTGATCGGCTTCGGATGGCTCGTACTGCGGCGTTGTTAGGCCAGAATTCATAAAGCTGTCGCCTAATTGGGAGCCCGTAAATATGTCCATGGGGCGATGTTGGCTGGCTGGGGACTGCGAATGGGATCGCTGCACCGACTCGGGCGGCGGCTGGCTAAATCTCCGCTGATGTGCGCTGGGCTGGCGAGCATTGGCTCCGGGGACAGGAACTCGAGCGCTGTCCGCCAATTCCCTTCGTTCTACAGCCGACGAGAAGGCTGGCGGAGCAGAGCTCTGATAGCGCTCTGGCTCGCGAGTCTGCTGGACTGCCGCATTCCCGTTGAGGTTTCCATTGGTGTTGACGTCGGCATTGGACTTGGCCCTGACTTCGTTGTCGGATTTGAGGCGTGCAAACATCTGCAGCCGGCTCGATCGCTCCTTCAACGAGGCCGGCATTTCGCTGGTATTTCCTTTTGCTTATCTCCCAACTCGAAACTGCGTATGGTTCAGATCTTTGTTTTGCGCCGGCACAAATGAATTGGAATCGCCCGTCGTGTCGAAGAATAAAAGCCTCGCACCAGTGAGGGGTAGCGAAGATGAGAAGGAAGAAAATTGTTGTGCGGCCGAAAGGATCGCGAAGACGAGGAAGGAGATGGGGTTGGCGGCAGGTTGGGCTTGGGAAGCAAGGCGCGAGCGGTGACAGTGCCCGCCGCAAGCACAACAAAAAAAGGGCAAGAAATAGAATCAGATGCGAAAATCTGAATAAAGATGTCCGAACAAGAGAAGAGAAGAAGAGGGGAAAAGTACAGAAACACTCAGAGACTCAGAGAGTGAAAAGTGAGGCCGCAATTCTTCAGCCAGCCCGAAAGAGAAGCGCCTGCAAAGAAGAAGAATGAAAACAAAACGCCGATGATGCCCGATCTAACTCAGATCCAGCAGATCAAGCGCCGGCGATGCTGGTTTTGAAACACGGCGCCTAAAGGCTGTGCCGCCATTGAGCTTTTGCGCGTCTGACGGGAGCAAGAACAGGCGCGCGCAGTCAGGTGACGCGGTGGTACGGAGATACAAAACACAAGACAGAAGATACTAGCCACAAAGTACCAAAGTCAGAAATCAATTTGGAGACTGTACGAGTAAAAGAGTCTATGCCGTCATGAACGAGAACGATTCGAGATAAGCTCGCACGGCTTACGGAGATTGCTGCTAATACGACTCCGCTAGATTGGCTAGTCTACCAAGTTACGTAGGAGGGACAGGGAACCGCCCAGTGCCGCGGCATTGCTGGGTGCCATTGCTGGGTGTCATTATGTACTCCATGCTGCTAAATTCTGCGCTATTTGCTCTGCCCGTGGCAACTCTGGGACTTCGTATTATCCCAATATTCTGCGAGTACCTGTCTATGCTCGTTTGTACTGTTCCATGCCCGGTTGCTTCGTATTATACCATTGGGTTCATAGGGCCCCGTGCGCAGTCTCGTTTTACGGCAACATAACAGCACGGGCATACGAATTCATCTCCGCCACAATTCGGCACAGCTTCCACCAACATGCTTCCAACAGCGCGGCATGTAAGAAGACCTGCTCGGTACTCGGAACCTGAGATCGTCCCAACTTGCGGCACTAACTCGCCCCGGTTCTTAGCAGACCCAGCGCCGGCCTCTCTCTTTTTTTCTCCCTACGTAAGGTCCATACTTACATACAGTATGGAGCACTGCACGCCGGCTCAGCTGCAGGCAAGGTCAGGTCTCAGCTCGTCCCGGGATGTCTTTTTTTAAGCTCCAGGCCATTGTTTTGGAGCCCTTTGCAGCCCTTTTGCCGCCCTGGCGAGCCGGTTCCAGGTTCGAAAAACAAGGTTCAAGGGCTCCCTGGCCTGCCTCTCCACCTTGCCCAGGCCTTGGCAGTAACTCGTGCATTGCATGGCTTTTTACCAGATTCTGCCTCGAAGCGTGTGACCATGGGCTCAGCATCTCTCCAGCCTGTCGACCCACCTCGTGCTTCCACCTCTTCTTCAAGCTTCACACCCATTCATCTCTAGCTGCGGCATGCGTACCGTATGATTGTCCCTCGTCAAGATTCCACCTGCACCCAAACCCGCGTCCTTGTGACGGCAGGCCATCCTCTCTGTCTCTGTCCCAGCATATATACCTCGGATCCGTGTTCGCGACTGTCCATCGACCCTCACGCAAGTTTTTCTTAGCATCCAGCCGGGGGAGATAGACAGTCATAAGAGATCGCACATTTCGTTCGATGGCGTCACCTCCGCCAGAACCCGGGTCGAGATTGGTATCCGACTCTCCCTCTCCAACCTCAGCCTCGGCATCGGCCTCATCCAGAGCAACAGCATCAGAGGCTCGCCAACGCCCAGTGAGAACGATCCCTCGTAAGGATATGCAAGCAGTCTATTGTGCCGGCGGCTCCGGCCTGAGTGACTGAGTGCTAATCTTTGTCTCTTCGACTCCATATAGCTTGGGTTGCCGTCCGTGATGGGCCCTTTACCGAAGAGCAGCTCCGGTTGCTAAATCCTCCTCAACCTTCTGCAGCACCGCAGCGCAATGCCATCCCCCAGCCCTCCCAACGGCGGATGTCAAAAGATGGATACTCTTGGGAAGATGACCCCAAGTTGGGCTCTCCGCAAAACGAGCGCGGCCGGATACCACACCTGTTCAAGTACGGACGAGCCTCAGCACGAGGAAGGAAGTGGGATCATCTTCGATCTGCCGAACCCGTAATTGTCTCCGCCCAGCAATCCGCCTATGGACAGCCGACCACTTCATGGGCGGATTTCGTTCAGTCGTCGGCTTGGGGACGCCCGCAGGAGAGCCATATCATAGACATTGAAGCCCTCAATCAGCTCCAACCTGGCTACAGCAGGCCAAACGAGATGGCTTTGCACCTACCAGACAAAAACCACGAGCAGCGACACAAAAAAGTATTCTCCAACCGCTTGTGGAACCACTTTATGCGCAGCTCGCTCTCTCCCTTGCTCTTCCGATTGACTGTTATTATCATGTCTATGATAGCCCTAGGGATTGCCGCAAGGATGTTCGACCTCGAAGACAAGGCGCTCGGCGAGAGCGCTGAGCGAACACAGTCCATCTTTGCCATTGCGGTGGACTCGGTAGCCATTCCTTTCAACGGGTATATGATATACGATGAGTACACAGGGAAGCCCCTCGGCCTGCGCTCGGCCCGTTCGAAAATGTCTCTCATCCTGCTCGATCTACTCTTCATCATATTCAAATCAGCAGGCACCGCTCTCGCCTTTGAGCACGTCGTCTACCACACCTTTGGCGACCACATCGTACGGGGGCTAGCCAAAGCCCTCGCATCCTTTATGCTCCTTGGCCTTCTCGCATGGACCGCAAATCTCTGTGTCAACATCTTCCGGGTAGTAGAAAAGTTGGGGGGTGGCGATGAGCAGCGCATGTGACAGGGCCAACCAACAGTGGGAAAGCACAAACAGCGTGTTTTGATTTTTAATTTTTAATTTCTTTGAGCGTTTGTCAGGTCAGGGGATTCCAACGGCGTCAATCGGTGGCTTACGAAACTTTACGACTTGAATGAAGTTTATGAATGGTTCCAGCTGTCAGTTTGAAAGGAGTAGCGCTACAGTAGTGTGTATATACCTTCAGCTAGAACTACCTTATATCAATACATGTACATAAGGAAACATGGGGAAAAGAAGAAGGAGAAAAAACCCAAGACCCATCTTGTTTAGGTAGGCAGCATGAAGCCGAATGCCGTGTGAATCATGATGAGTATATCACCAATGGAGCTCCTGTTCTGTACACTCAACTGCTAAGGGGGGATAGGGAGAGCTGCCTGCCGGAAGGTTTAGCGGCTCAGTGCTAGCCTGCCTGCCAGGTAGCCGCCTAGCCGCAGTATCACAGGGAGGAAGTACCTACAACTACAGAGAGCACTTCGATCTATTCATTTATTCCAAGGTGCGCTGAATGATTCACGCTTGGCCTTTGGACTGATAGAATCTTAGATTGAAATTGGTCATGCAAAAAGCCGTAGACACTTGATTAAAATAATGAGATGCAAACAAGATGAGATGCGGTTGAGATCACTTTGAACCGCTGAAACGCGTCCCGTCTTATTCGAGCCCGTCTTAGTAGTGCATGCGAGAGTAATAAGCCAAAAAGGCGGTTGAGCAGGGCAGAAAGCGGCGCTATTCCCCTTGTGGCTGCAGGCCTGCCTTGCCAAGGAGCCTTGCCTCAGCAACTCGAGCTTTGGGTTTGACTGCCTGATCCCTCATCATTACGTCTGTTTGTCTATCGACTCCTCAGCCTCCCTTCTCTTTCACTTCTCTCGCCGACTTTCTTCTCCTTTTTCTTGCATCTCGTCGCAGCGAACCGGCCGAGGGACTCTTACACTCCTCCCTCCTCCATTTGCTCGCGTCGAGCTCAACTGGCCGGTGGTTTGGTTTGCTTCTAATCGAGTGACCCACTGTCCGTCCGGCTGGTGCGTGAGCATCACCGCTGACTTCCGCTGCCTGAGCTGAAGGGCTCTCCCCGAGGCTTCTTGCAACGCCAGTGCAACTCCAGTGCAACGCATCAACCACGGCGTCTTTCTCGGTCCTCACCGACGCAGCTCTCGTCCGCCTCTTCCGCCGCGGTAATCCCGAGCCAACACAGGCGATCCGGCCGCTGCGTGCATCGTCGGCCAATCCACCCACGCGAGCCGCAGGAGCATCACTCTTCACCCCGCCTTGCCGCTTCTCGACAGGGCTCGATCCACACGCTCCATGATGGTGGCCAGAATGGGAATGCCTGCGGTTCCAAACCGCGAGGACATCAAAGCAACGTGAGTCGTCGCCCCATGGTGCCAATCATGGCAACGTCGCCGGCGTGACATGACATTAACTGCCCCTGCAGATGGAAGTACCTGGAGGATGGCATCACCCGCATCATGAACGACCTGGAACAGGGCATGGATATGCAGATGTATATGGGGGTCTATACGTATGTTGTGTCTTTTCCCGTCCTCACACGTCCACGCCCGATTGCTCACATGGTCACAGCGCCGTCCACAACTTCTGCACCTCGCAGAAAGCCGTCGGCCTTAGTGGCCCTACCATGACAACTAGTCATCGCGGAGGTTCGTTGACATTTGCATCTCTCTCTCCCCACCGAGTCAAACGCTCGCTAACTTGTATCCCGCTCTTCTTGTCGGCTGAACAGCTCACTTGTTGGGTGAAGATCTCTACAACCACTTGATTAAATACCTCCAGCGTCATTTAGCGGACCTCGTCCAGGCATCCAAATCCCACACAGACGAGGCTTTGCTAGCCTACTACATCAAAGAATGGAACCGATACACCGTCGCTGCCAAATATATTCACCACCTGTTTCAGTATCTTAATAGGCACTGGGTCAAGCGAGAAATCGACGAGGGCAAGAAGAACATATACGATGTCTATACTCTACACCTCGTCCAATGGCGCAAAGTGCTGTTCGAGCAGGTCTCAGAAAAGGTCATGGACGCCGTTCTAAAGCTGGTGGAGAAACAGAGAAACGGCGAGACCATCGAGTACGGCCAGATCAAGCAGGTCGTCGACTCGTTTGTGTCCCTTGGCCTGGACGAGGCTGATCCATCCAAGTCGACGCTCGACGTGTATAGATATCACTTCGAGCGCCCCTTCTTGGCAGCAACAAAGGAATTCTACCAGGCCGAGTCCAAACAATTTGTCGCTGAGAACACTGTCGTTGAGTACATGAAAAAGGCAGAGGCGCGGCTGGCAGAGGAGGAAGAGCGCGTCAATATGTACCTGCACCAGGACATTGCGCTTCCTCTCAAGAGATGCTGCAACCAAGCTCTTATTGCCGATCATTCTCTGTCTCTGAGGGAAGAGTTCCAGGTGCTTCTAGACAACGATCGTGAGGAAGATATGGCTAGAATGTACAACCTTTTATCCCGCATCCCCGACGGTCTTGATCCGCTCCGCACCAGATTCGAAACCCATGTCCGGAAAGCAGGATTGGCCGCCGTCCAAAAAGTTCAATCGTCTGAGGGTGATAAGCTGGAGCCCAAGGTCTACGTCGATGCCTTGTTGGAGATACACACCCAGTACCAGGGCTTGGTGAAGAGAGCCTTTACTGATGAGCCCGAATTCACCCGGTCTTTGGACAACGCTTGCCGCGAGTTTGTCAATCGAAACGAAGTCTGCAAGTCTGGGTCTAACAAGTCACCCGAGCTGTTGGCCAAGTACACGGATGTCCTCTTGCGCAAGAGTACCACAAGCATCGAAGAGGCCGATCTGGAGCGAACCCTTTCCCAGATCATGACCGTCTTCAAGTACATCGAAGACAAGGACGTTTTCCAAAAGTTTTACTCCCGCATGTTAGCCAGGAGATTGGTGCACAGCAACTCGTCCTCGGACGATGCTGAGACCAGCATGATCAGCAAGCTAAAGGAAGCCTGTGGGTTTGAATATACCAACAAGCTTCAGCGCATGTTCCAAGATATGCAGATCTCAAAGGATCTTAATAAGGAGTTCCGAGATCACCTAGAGACTGTCGGCAATGCCAAGGCTGTTGACTCTACATTTTCTATCCTGGGCACAGGTTTCTGGCCATTGACACCACCAAGCACCCATTTCGACCCGCCTCCGGAGATTTCCGCCGAGATTGAGCGATTCGTCCGATTTTACAAGCACAAGCATGACGGCCGTAAGTTGACTTGGTTGTGGCACCTGTGCAAGGGTGAGATCAAGGCCGGTTATTGCAAGAACAGCAAGACGCCCTACACTTTCCAGGTTTCAATCTACCAAATGTCCATTCTCCTCTTGTTCAACGAGAAGGACAGCTACTCCTACGATGACATCTCCAGCGCCACCCAGCTGAGCTCTGAGGTGCTCGACCAAGCCCTGGCCGTAATTCTCAAGGCAAAGGTGCTGTTGATGGATGGCGGCGATAAGCCCGGACCCGGAAAGTCTTTCCGCCTCAACTACGATTTCAAGAGCAAGAAGATCAGGGTGAACCTCAACCTTGGCGGTGTCAAGGAGGCAAAGCAGGAGGAAGTCGAGACGAACAAGACCATCGAAGAGGACCGCAAGTTGGTATTGCAGGTATGTTTTGAATCTACATCCAAGCCCTAACCCCCATAGCCGTAATGATGCTAACATTCCGTCCAACAGTCCGCAATTGTTCGTATTATGAAGGCGCGAAAGAAGATGAAGCACACCCAGCTTGTGAGCGAGACCATTAACCAGATCCGGTCTCGGTTTGTCCCCAAGGTCGGCGACATTAAAAAGTGCATAGAAATTCTCCTGGATAAGGAGTATCTGGAGCGTCTGGACGATGATGAATTGGGCTACTTAGCATAAAATATTTCTCTCTTAACCTCCGGTAGAATTCACGGAGCTTGTCAACGATTATTCTTCATTCTTCCCCCTTTTCCCCCTTTCCCCTTCGATACAGGCATGTCTCTATCCACATCTTTTTTCATCACTCAGTCGGTCATTCATGCGTAGATTCAGGTCATATTGGGAATGGGATCAGCTGGAGTGGGCATGGTTGGTTGGGTTGCTTTTTGTTTTTTTGTGTTTATTTTTCCTTTAAACACTTTGCTTACATGCTTGATTTTTTCATAATTGGCGAATTATGCCCTAGCTAAACAGAGCATTATGCGGCCCAGCAGATTATAAGCATGGACTTTTCGACGAAACGAATGCCCCCCCCCCCAACTGTGCGAGATTTCCATATGTGTTTTTTGACGTGTCTTTTTTATTTCTTTCAGTTCGCTTTGACTTTTTGGTAAACCATTTTGCATGATGGGATTGTTGTGATGGTTGGGAGGTCTCGGGAAGGGGTAGATGGTCAAATAAACGGATGTAGTTATTAAATTGTGATGCACAAACTGAATAGGGTCGACTTCAGTATTTAATAAACTGCTAATAAATCACCAAATCCATCGAATAAACAGAATAAAGAAGGAGCTGAATACTATATGCATGGCTGTATAAATAACTTTCAAGATCCCATTCTCTCCTTTTATTTCCAAAAAATAAATAGTCATTCAAATCCCATCCATTACCGCCCACCTTCCCCGTACTTTCGTAAACTACAAAGCAAATAAGCCTCCCTTATGGTTCTTCTTTAATCTTGATTTTGACATTGCTTCGTACTTGTTTGTGTGTGTGTATGTGTGTGCTCTTCTTGATTTTTCTGTTTTGCACCACATCTTAATTTCCATCCAATGTCCTGTTTCCCGTGTTTCATCATTTCCATCCCATGTACATCTCATATTTTCTTTCGTCTCTATTTGTCCAAATCATATTCCTCTTTAAACTGTCATGCATGTGTGAAAGCCCAGATACCGCTCAATCAGCTCTTTTGGTCCCGCCATTGCCAACCAGCGTCTCCTCATGAAACCCATCATCAAACTCCCTCGGATACTGCGTCAACGGAGCCGAGGCATCAGCGCCCGAAGACCCCGTTCCAGGCCGATCACTGTCCGCCGCAGAAAGAATGCTCTCACTAAAGCTCCCCTGCGTCATGGGCCGGTACGCCTCGGTCGAGTTGCCGCGCGAGGCCAGCATGCTGACGAACTGGTAGTCCTTCTCGATGGGGCTCGTCGGCATCGACGCCGTCTCGTCGGCCTTCTTCTTGCCCCAGCCCGCGCCCCATCCGCCATTCTTGCGCTTCTCGCCGGCCCAAGACGCCCAGCTTGCCATGTAGGCGCTGGCTCTGCTGCTTACTGTCTCTTGTGGTTTGTTCGCGTCCCCGTTGATACCGTTCATGCTGTTTCTTTTGCTGCCGTTGCCTTCGGTAAGTCTAGCGGTTTCTTCATTACGACGGCGCTGTGCCTCACGCATCTGCTCCATGTCGTTGTACAGCCTGTTGAGCATTGTCGACGCCTTCTCCCGCCCAGCGGCAAAGTTGCGTCCAAGGATGTCACGGCCCTGTGCAAAGCGTTCGTCGAGATGAAGCTCCTTTACCTGCTCTGCTATACGTCTCTGGACGTCCTCGATGGAGAGGCCGCCAGCCATGGGGTGTCTCGGCTCGGAGACGGCAAATAGGTTCGTATCGGTGTGTGAGTCCCACATGCGGTAGTTTTCAGTTCGTGCCCACGCCTCAACCCAATCAAGCCCAAAGTCGACGGCGGGATCGCTCTCCGATGTGTTGCGGCCAGCATTGGAGCTGCTGATGAGATAGTTGTGGAACTTGACGGATGATATCAGACCAATGATGTAGCCTTCAAACTGGGCTCTAATGTACTCTTCGCTTCCCACGTATTTCATCGTCTTTGGCGTGCTAGGATTAGACTCGTCCCAGGTATCGTTGACCTCCTGGGTCAAGAAGTCGATCCATCTCCTGTCCGCCGCAGTCAAAGACAATGCCTGCCTCAGAGAAGGCGACGTGATGTTGATGGTGTTATCATCGAGGTTTATAATGATGTCGCTGTAACGGTCCTTTTGTTGGAGAAGTAGAGAGTTGGTGCTGCCGACAAGGTAGGATTTTGTGCCGACATCGGCCAGCAGGTCGAGTTGCTGTAACGGAGTATAGGGGCCAAATATGCTTCCCTAGAGTTGGTTTTTATGTAAGAAATGGGATTCTTTGGAGAGGGTACATGTTTGGTACATACTTTGCCAAATATCTGTAGTGGGAGGCCCATGTATGTCAGAAGCGAGTTGCGATTACTACTCTGCAAACTCGTCGGCTGTGCAAGTTTCTTTTCGTGGCTGTTGAGCTCGGGATCTGCGCAATCTTGGAGGTTACGAATGAGTCCGGGTATCAGTGAAATGAGAGAAAATTGGACCATGCATAACCGATCGCATCTCGAGCCGAAGAAGAGCATCTGGATTGGCCATTAGCAAGTCTATTCTTTGCAACAAAACCCAAGCACCATTCTTTTAAATGGGCCTGTAGAGAGTGGTCACCAACCTTGGGCTGAAGAAGACAGCATTTGAGTAGCACCAGGGCCTGCCATTTGAACTCGTGAATCAGCTCGCGCAGACTCATGCCCAAGTACTGGTCCCGCTGCGCCTCTTCTTGCAAAAGGCCGCGACGCTTTTCATCTGCGAGACTGTCCTGGAACCCTCGCAGGATATCAACGTCTGTAAACTCGCGTTGGGCAAACCATGCTTGGGTGACTATGCTGAGACGCTGCCTCAGCATGCCAAAGAACTGGGGGCTATCTGCGATGACGACAACCGCTTTCTGCACGGTTGAGCGAGTAACATCGGCAGGCCGGTTGATGAGCTGCGAGGAATCGAGCTGGCGAGTGCATGATATGCCGAACAAAGACGTTGCAGGTCCGTCGTCGGTCTCGGGCCGCAGCAGGGTAAAGTAGGAAAAGTCCTCCTCCGACCTAATCAACAACCTTCAAGTCAGCAAGCAGCTCTCCAGCTACGATACAAGGACAACATACGCATGCGCTCCGTCACTCAGAGCCATGAACGGCAGCAGAGTCCATCCATACTTGGCGGCCGGGTCAACGCCCTCCTCGGCTCCAAACCAGCTCTCGACCTCTGGACCCCGCGCATGATGGAAACCAACAACCGTCACCAACGGCGTAAAGCCAGACACAAACGGGGTGGTGGGTATCGTCGGGGTAATTGGCGACAAGACACTCTTGAGTTCGAGCCCATTGGGCGGGACCTTGATTCTCTCGGTGGTCATGGTTCAGCTCCCCGTGGGATGTCAAGATTTGCTGCAGCTCGGCGCCGCTACAGCGATGCCATGCGCTTCCAAGGAAGTTTCCAGTCACCGACTCTCCGGGGGGCGCAGCTCGCGGACGTCGTTCGAGTTCGGAGGGGGATTCGGCCGTTCTGTCGAGGTTTGGTTTTGCTTGGATATGCGTTCGAGCGGTGGGCGGGCAAAGCAAAACGGGCACAGGCAAGTCGGTGTGGCGAAAAGGCGGGATTCCAAGATTGACACAGGCTGGAGTCGTTGCCAGGACAGTAAGCCGATCGCAACTTCAGACTTGCTTCGGCTATTGCTCTGTGACGTGATGGAAAGCCTGGTGCAAAAAGGACAGGATCAATTCGGCTTTTGCGAAGTCCAGGGGGGAGACCCAAATGGTCGCGCGTCCGGTCTTGCTGCAAGGTGAATTGGCAATGGCGGGGGATCCCTGGCAGCCTCAAGAGCACGACAAGGGTGGATGAGGAGACGATGGGCTGGCCTGATGCTGAGAAGCAGCTTCAATTGCGTTCGACGCAGTGAAGATGCAGGATATCAGAGGAGGCAAGGGCCTCTATATGCCTCTGTAGGTGGTGTTGAGAGCAGTCTGGAGAGGTGAGTGAGTGGCTGGTGACGGGCCGCATAAGTTGAAGTTTATTGTCCAAACTCCTGTTGGTGAGACTGAACCTTGAAGTGCTGACTTTCTTTGGTAGGGCCCGCCACGCAGAGCTGGTACACTGCCTTAGTGCTGGCTCTGCAAAGAGACGATCCGCTGTACGGTCCACTAACAAAGGTACATGGAGACGCCAACTGAACTGCCGGGAGTTTGATGTCGCTGTCGACTTTAGTAGGGTAGGTGGGTGCACATGTTAAAAGTGCAAGTTTGGAGACTTTTTTTCAAACCGGCATCAAGCCAGAAATCAACATTGCCTTGTATCTGGATAGATGCATTACGTAGGTACAGCTACATGAAGGCATGTGACGGTAGCATTCAGTTGTAAACGCTGGCCAAGTTATATCTTGTTCCAGTGCTCGAGAAAATCATCACCGATCCATCTCCGAGCGAAAGACAAATAATACTGAACAAGCAAATAAAACAAACCACACCACACCCATGCACAAAAACACAAAAATCCCATCTTACAGGCCGACAGGATTCCACGTCAACAGCAGCCTGCCATCCCAAAGCCTTCTTTTTCCTGCACGATCTCTCTTGGCTGCAGCCCATGCAGGGATGTGCCAGCGAATGGCAGACCCGGATGCTGGTCTGCCAGCGTGTCTTGCATTGCATTTGCGAGCCATGCCCGCCTCTTTTCTCCTTCTTTGCTCTTCCTTGAGTTTCTTTTGCCTTTTCCCTTTTTTCTGCTTCTTTTCCTTTTTGCCACTATTCATATGTCATGCTGAACCCGGATATCAGGGTTCTTCTTGTTTCGCCGCGTGATATCATGGGTTATGAGGTATTGTCATGTGGGGTCGTTTGTCGTACGTACATACAGGAGTGGCATCGAGAGAGGGTACTTGGCCAGACCGCACATTTGGGCTGCATGTCTCCGAAACGACCTACTGTATCTGCTCTGCTGCATTAGAGAATCAGATGTAGAAAAAACCCCAGTCATGCTCAAGGTCCAATTCCCCCGTCCCGTCCCGACATCGCGGATTCGATCACGCACCCAAAACGAGCCAGATGCATGTAGCTACCAGTAAACTTACTTATTGTTTTGCCCACTAGAAATGTAGATAATTGCAAACCTGGAGACGCTATCATGGGAGATGAGACGTACGAGAAGCTCGATTCATCATGTCGGCGAGATGCGTCACCCAAGAATGCCCAATTCTCATGGCGATGATGTAACCCGGTCACCTCGTGGTCCCTCTGCGTCCAATCTTGATGAAACAACCAGCCGAATAGCTACATACACCGAAATGGAAAAGGCCGCAGCAGTTATCACAGATGTAACGTGCAACAACATCTCATCTAATTTGTGGAATACAAGACAGACTGCTATTATCTGGTTTGTCACCCAGGGGCATATAGCATCCTACATATCCTACCGTGTGGTATCATCTGATAACAGGGTAGTTGCTTGAAGCTCAGAGCAAACGTCAACGCCTAAAAAAAGCATAATCGTTATAAGGATGTACACAATATCTTGGTCCGTCGCATCATCAAATGGAATTACATATAGACATCGATACTCTAACGAGAACCAAACGTCTTTCACACATTGAAGCTAATCCTCAAATCATGACGGCCCGCAAGATTTGAAACAAAAAGGGCAGACAGGGCACTCGGGGGAACAAACATAGCTCCATATTACTGATGAAACCTGCACCCAGCCGTGAACAAAATGAACAGGGGCCCCGGGAAGAAAAAAAGAAAAAAAGAGTGAGCACAAGGTGCCGGAACGAGCGGATGGATTCCGCATTGACTGTCCCGGTATGACAGAGAGAGAAAACACTGGAGCAAATTTTTGCTATGAATAGCCTCGATGGGAAATGGGTATGCGGAATATTATCCGGTGTCCGTGCTCGGTAGGCCAGGGCAGCTCTCTAGGTAGAATCGCGTCTGCCAGCATCAAAGCTACAGTGATACCAATTTCGACGGGACTTCAACATCAGTTCTTCGCGTAGGAAGAACCATTGTCCCAACCACGTACACGTAGCCCATTGTCACATCTATACGAGGTACATCCTTCTTCCAAGAACTTCAGACACACCGTCCCACAGCCAAGCAAGCAAGCAGGCATTCCCGGAACGACTCCCAGGAAGCACAACTTGGATAAGGCTGCGAGAGGCATCCTGGCACGTGGGAATCATAAGCAAAAAGTGGAGGGAAATCCCGAGGGATAACCCGTTAAAGTTTCCCATCATGCACGATGAACCGTGCGGCGCAGGGCAAAAAATCCCTACTGCTAGCTGGAAATCGTTGGGAACAAAACCTCAACAGCTCTCTGGTGGGAGAATAGAGTATGATAAACCCTAGGTGTGATTTGCAGCGCCAAACTCACCGAGCTCCCGATCTGCCATGGCTCGCCTCTGTTAACGACAACCGACATCCAGGATGAACTCCATACACCAGACGAGTAGTACATACTAGTGCCAACACTAATCAGGGGCTCCGTCTCTATCCGCTGTAATCATTGTCATCTCATTAATGAGAATGAGTCGCCGTTGTGCTATTAATTGTCGAGGGTAAAGCGCTCTATTCCGCGGTGATACTAGCCTACGGGCCACCGGAGGCCAAAGGAGCAAACTGCCGCTGAATAAGAGGCCAAGTCTCCTTGGCTTGCGTGTTAGCCATCGGCTGCATGTTTGCGACATGCCAAAATGGAGGTCTGCAGACAGGGATAATCTGAGACTTTGTTAGCTTGTAAACGCCTCTTGGACGGAGCCGAGCGGCAATTCTGGAACGCTTCCACGCTCTCGCACAGCATGGCCCCAGTCAGCCAAAAGGGTGGCTTTTGATGCGGGATTTGCCAGTGGATGTGTGAATGTGGATTGAGGCGGCGCTGTGCTTCCAAGCAATCCCCACAGGCTGCGACCAAAGACATCAAGCCATTCCATTGGGGCAAGCAGCCTCGACGGGCGCCTCGTTTCTTGGTGTCGTCTCAAGGGGCGAGCTCTGCTTCTGCCAGGTGAATTGGCTCTTCCAGTGCAAGGCTGAGATTTGCCCATTCGATGGCCGCCTGAATCCTTCACATGCCATTGGCCCATCTTGGCCAGATAAACACACCACCCGGGCAAGGCAAGACGAGCTATCGAAAGGGCCGTCACATCGAACGGATTGGCCAAATCGAATCTGGTTGGGTGAAGATGGCTGATTGGAGAAGACTGACGGCGAAGACATCACCACGTGCGTTCCCTGTCGGAGCTGGCAAGCTGGGTCCAGGGGGCTCCCCTGAGGTTGCTTGCTGTTGAACCCCCCCAAAACAAGCCACCGAATTCGATCCAGCAGCGTCGCACCGCGGACGAATTGCAGCCAAGACGCCGTTCATTGGTGACGACGATCGGCGGCGGACTGACTGTTGCACTCCTTGTTTACTCCGTAGACCACTAAGAAATACTTGCTCAGGCCCCGTCCTTGTAAAGTATGAGGCGATGTCGTAAGCTGCTAAAAGCTGCCGGCGGGCGCCGACTAGGGGTAGGCGGGGAGCCATGTCGAGAGATGGGTGTAGGCATTGACTCGAAGATCGCCATCTAAACGGATCAATCTTGGAGCTGCCGCGAGGGTTTTTGAAGAGTAAGCCGGTACGAAGTACGAGATTACGTGCCTGACCAAGGTCAAAAAGGTCGAAAAGACATCAATTGGCCATCAAGGATCCAGGGTTTGAAGTGGTGAGGCTGAAGTACATGTAATCTTGTCTCCGAATGGACCAGGGTCTTTTCATCACGACGATTATCACCCAGCATTAAAATGGAGCCCCTTTGTGATCCGAAATGAAAGACAATATGCTAAGCTTTTTCTGCTGGACTTGACGGTTAACGGGAAGCGCCAATACCAAGCACGAATAGCACATGAACGAGTTCCGGAGAGTGCTAGGTAAGGTATATAGGATGGAGTCCTCAGCCCTGTGATCTTGTACGCTGCATCGTACGAGTCCAGCTAGTAATATAACTTTCCATGAACCGGAAGCGCCGCGCTGTGCATCGTAAAAAGCAAACTTCGGCGTCCCGAGAAACAGCTGAGATTGCGGCGCCCTCATGGTCGCGGCCTGGGATTATTTTAGAACACGCAAGGATACATTTGCAGACCATGGAGAGGTCCGTCCTGACCCTGCTCTCCCGAGGACCGTGACGCTGGTATTGCTTAAATTATTCTGGTACCGACACGCTGGCAGTTGTCAGACGGATTGGGGGCCACGAATGCCGCATGGACGTTTGCATCACGAGAGACAAAGAAGATGAAGGGGAACAATTGTCAAGCTGAAGTGTAATTTCAATATTGTCTGGTGTTGACCGTAATAATGCTTGGACAGGTACAGGTACAAGGACACAGCTAGGCGCACGTGGCCTCGGCAATTCCTGGATCGAGTGTCGTTGGAGAGGATGAAGCAGCTATTGACGGCGGTAAAAACAAATAAAGGCAATATTAAGTTTGCTATCAAATGTGATGATAATTTTACAATGGCGTATCACACCTCTTTATTATACACGATTGGATCAATATACGATATGGAATGCAGAATCGCCCTTTGTTAGTGCTGGCAGCACACTCGTCGCCAGCGCCGTGCTAGCGAATTGAATCCAATCGCTTCGAGCCTTCTCCTGCATCAAAAGGACGCTGCTGCACGCTGGTTGGACGCCGCTGAAGGAATTTGCTGGGGTACTGGGTCGGCTTGTGGGGTTTCAGTGGTCAAAGGCCCTCTAGCGCCGTTCGCACAGGCCCCTCCAAAGCAGCTTAGGGCTGCTCATTCAGTGTTTCTTTGGCGAGCTGCGCGCTCATGCTCAAGCCGGACAGCGGCGAGTAGCCGGCAATGGCATGGCGCTGTGGGGACGCTGGAAACGGGGGAAGCGAAGGTCGTTGATAAGGCACAAGGCAATCGGATCAGGTGTCGAAGACTCGGTGTCCCGAGAAATGAAATTGGATTTGAATGGGCGCCGCAAGTTGATCCATCACTCCATCACCCCTGTGGGCCTTTGTTCTCTGGGCGCTATTCGCCGCCCAGCTGCGATTGATGCTGCAGACGAGACACTTGAGGCGAGAATCGGGATGGCCACGAGCTGTGTGTGTATGTACTCTATGTACACGCTCGCAGGCGTTTGGTACCCCGTGCCTCACAAGTTCAGTTGTCGTTCGGGTACCTTCAATGGGATAAGAACAAGGCAAGGGAGCGTCAAACAGCCGCAATGCAAGGTTGCTGAAACCGCATCAGGCACACGCAGCCGCGCAACGAATGGGCCGGCGCAAAAAGATCAAAGCAGCATAGCCTGCTCGAGAGTTTGACACCACCTGGGATTAGAAAGCCAAGCGCGGACCGGGACAGCTGAGAAGGACGAAGGAATGCAAAGTAAAAATTCAATGGGCACAAGTTACAACGGTGTAGAAGGGCGGTCGAGACGCGATAGCCGGGTACCTGCTCCGCCGGCGCAGATGCTGCAGGGCGCATGTATGCACAAACAGGTGGGCTTCCACTCAGTGCCCCATACGACCACTTGCACCGGCGATAACTCGAGATTGGCACCAAGGCTTCCGGTCGAGTTGTTTGGTGCTACGCTACGGTACTGTGATTGTATAGCCGCTACGGGTATGAATAGGTACAAGGCGGTCCCATTTTACTCCGTATTCCAGATCAATGGTAGCGATACAAGATGGGATTGGGATGGGGGGGTTCAATAGCCTCCATGGAAATGTGTGCGGATGGCTCAACACCCCTTTGGCGACCCAGCAGCATCAGGCGGCATCAGAGTTGCATTTCCAGCTGCTCCTTTGGCTCGTCTGCTGATTGACTGACCTGTTTGTTTGTCATTTGCTTATATAGTACTTTTGCGTCGCCAATACGAAAACGCACCACAATGAATGTACGAGTATGCACATTGCCGTGCAAAGAGCTATGCTGGCTTGAACCCAGCCGCCCCTTGTCCTGGTCAGAGCAGAAGCCGGTAGCAGTACTTGGCAGTGGCGGGCCAGCGCCGTCATCTTCTGGTAATCTTCTGCTGCTTCGCCGGTACCAGGTACTCGCGCGCGCAGCTTGGCACCTCGAGTCGGTAGCCAGAACGGCCCGGCTCTTGCATCGAATCCTTATTAGGCAAACACCAAAAAAAAAGCCATCAGGCGAATCCCCTCCCCGCTACCTCAAGCCATCCTGCGTGGCCGCCCTGCCTCAGAAATTCGCTCTTGTGCCACCTTGAAAGCCTTGCTGGGTGAATGATTCATTCATCCATCCATCCAGCCAGTGCCCAGATGATCCGGGTCTCGTGTCTGTACCTGTACCTGTACTGTGTTGCTCGCTGACGTTCCAAAAACACGGCTGGGGTTCCAGGCCAGGCTCTTCTTCTCTCGCCCTCCCACCCCAGCATCACCGCCGCTCGACGCCAGTAGGTGCCACTTGTTCCGCCCGACCTGTCATCATTTGGCCTGCTACAGCCACGCCCTAGGCTGTATCCACCACCTGGAGCTTGGGATTGGATTGGATCCCATGCTTCTCTGCTGCGAGCTTGTGCTTGTACATACATCCAGGCACTCGCACATGTCATGTACGGGGTAGCGCTCACTTTCACACGCCTCAAAGCCTGGCGTGCACGGTCAAAGCCTCAGCTCCTCCCGGCACTCTCCAGAGCAGGAGTCCAAATCTCCTCGTTCACGAGGCTGCTTCCGCGCGCCGAAACTTGGACCGCCCTTTGTCGCCCCGGCCCGGACATCTGACGCCTTTCATCATTGGCAGCCTACCGACTTCTCTCCTCCGGCGTCATCATCAACCCTTTTCGCCCTCTTCACCTTTCCATCAACTCCCCGCAACCTGCTGCAGCTGGTTCTGCTGCTGCACTTTGACACTGACCCTTCCAACGACATTTGCCGCCTCCGCCGCCGCCATTTTCTGCCGAACACTCCGCTAAACTCCAGCCCCCAGCTCGAGCGACTCTATCTGAAGCATCCCGACTTTTCGTTTCCATTTTTTCAACCCAGCAGCAACTACCTAGAGAAAGACGAAAGAAGCAAAGGAGAAAAAGAGAAAGAAAGAATCGCCGGTCGCGTCGTCAACCGTTTCTCCCAGTGTCCGCTGCTTATGCGTGTGTAATTGGCTGCATGGCAAACCCACCTTTTGGATCCAAATCGCTTCGTCTACCGATTCGTCAAGTGCTTAGAGAACGCCGACAATCTCGCCATCAAACACCAAAGAGTGCTGAATCGCCCAACATGGGCGGATGCATGAGCTCCAACAATGATGAGGTAGAGCAGAAAAAGAGGAGTCAGGCTATAGATAAGGAGTTGGACGAGGACTCAAAACGGTTACGGAAAGAATGCAAGATCCTGTTGTTAGGTATATCTCCCCCCGGGATTGGCGGTCCCTGATGTCGTTGCGTCCCAATCGCTCACCCTTTTTTCTTTTTCTCGCTTCTCTAGGTTCTGGTGAGAGTGGCAAGTCGACAATCGTCAAGCAGATGAAAATTATCCACCTAAAGGGATACTCAGAAGAAGAGCTCTACAACTACCGACCGACCGTCTTCAAGAATCTAGTAGAATGTGCCAAAGCCGTCATAACCGCCATGCAGCAGTTCAATATTGAGCTTGTGCAGGAGGACAACAGATCTTTTGCCGACTTTTTAATAGACTACCAAGCGGAATCTGGTCCGCAAGCTCACATCGACCCCCAGGTGGGACTCGCTGTGCAGGCAATATGGAGTGACCCGGCCAAAGACCAGCTGATGGAGCACCAGACGGAATTCTACCTGATGGACTCTGCCGAATAGTAAGTTGCAATGAAGCGTGGCTGGCGACGCGCCGTCTGGTTTGCTACTTTGATTCTAACCATGCCGTCTTTTTCTCAGTTTTTTCCAAGAAGCAATGCGCATCGTCGCGCCCGATTACTTACCTAACGAGATGGACGTATTACGCGCCCGTACAAAAACTACCGGCATTTACGAAACGCGTTTCCAAATGGGCCAGCTTAGCATTCAGTACGTCGCACCGACAACTATTTTGCCATTTTTTCTTTCCCTTTCCCATCTTCTTTCCTCTTTAAGCTTATCCCGGAGCTCCATATTTGCATTGTTTAAACAACGGGGCTAATGTTTCCTTCTAGCATGTTTGATGTCGGCGGGCAAAGGAGTGAACGAAAGAAGTGGATACACTGCTTCGAGAACGTTACATCAATCATTTTCTGTGTTGCGCTCAGCGAGTACGATCAAGTTCTTCTAGAGGAGAGCAGTCAGGTAAGCTACGAGCGATTGCTGCGTGACGTTGATGGTGTTATTTGTGGATAGGCTAACCTGGCCGAATACAGAACCGCATGATGGAGAGCTTACTACTCTTCGATTCCGTCGTCAATTCACGCTGGTTCATGAGAACAAGTATTATTCTGTTCTTGAACAAGGTGGATATCTTCAAGCAGAAGCTGGGCCGATCACCTCTGTCCAACTACTTCCCCGACTACACAGGCGGCCTCGACGTCAACAAAGCCGCCAAATATCTGCTGTGGCGATTCAATCAAGTCAACAGAGCGCATCTCAACCTATATCCACAGTGAGTAAAGGCGCAAATGGATTCTGGAATTGCTTTTTAGGCCGCTGGCTAACGTGACTGTCAATCCTAGTCTTACCCAAGCTACCGACACATCAAACATCCGACTCGTTTTTGCGGCGGTCAAGGAGACTATACTGAATAACGCACTCAAGGACTCGGGTATCCTCTAAGCTTATGCTGTCCGAATCTTTGTCATTAATCTACCATACACCAAAATCCGCTTCGGGAGATGAGGCGTGTATAATACGGCGCGAATTTACAGTGCGCCTACCCGCCGATCCATATTGACCTGGTTCACGCCATGCATTTCTCTCTCCTAACGGTACATGGGCCCATCCAGCCGACATTTTCTTTAACATCGACATTACGCTCTTTTCTTTCCTTTTTTGCGATGCGACGAAATCCCCTCTAAGGGCTGATTTGGTTTTTCGACCCAAGAGGTCTGAAGAACATTGCACCTCGATATGGCCATTTTCCTGTCTATTACCACTCAGCAAGGCGCGGTCACTCTCACTCACTCGAACGATATATTTTATATTCCCCTTTTTCCTTTTTTTGTTATTCGGAATTACTTTGTTGGCGACTACGGTCTAGATCTCGTGTGGCAAGCTACAGTATAAGGCTGACATGAGAAAGCCGTCTCTGGTTGGTGTCTTGATATTGGGACTACATGATGCAATGGTGTTTACGATGATTCGCTCTGAGGGGCAGCGGCAGCTAGATACACAGCTGAAAGACGGGCAATTGGATACCACGGCGGGCCGAGAGGAAGTCTGGAAGCGGATACGACAACCGTCTCCTTGGAGGCCGGGGTTGGACGTGGACTGGGCCTGCTCTGATGTGTCGATTTTGTGGTGGTTCCCGTGCCCGGGGTTGAGCGAATATGAGGGTTAGCAGGCGGGAATGCGTGAATAGGCTCGGCAAGATGAAATCTTTTGCAGAGATACCGAGAGTACAAAAGAAGAGATGTTTTTGTTATTATCAAGAATTGGCTGCGGAATTTTCTTTTTTGTTGCGGCTTACGGGCTTTGCTTTTGGGCTGTTGCGCGCATGCAGGATGCTTGGACTTGGGGGAGGAGTTATTGGATAGGCTCTCAGCTTTACACGCGCGAGAATAGGTATTAATTGCTGCGCCCTTTGTTTAATATTGGCCTGACGTATGGATTGTGTCTGAATACAGTACCTACGTTTATAATTGATACCTTGATAAAAATACTCGTGTGCAAAACGTTGGGAAACGAGCATGATGCATGTGATGTGGTGTTTTGTGGTAAGTAGTAGGCAGTGTTGGGCTGCCAGCAAAAAGGCCCTTTTGATGGATGAATGAGTTGAATTGGAACCAATGGCTGCTTTAACAGACGCTTTTAGCCGTCTCGGTTTTGTTAGGAGCAAAAAGAATCTGCAATGCGAGGTTTTATTAAAAGAGTAGCCATACGCATCATAGCCAGTCTTTATGGCGAGTTGAGACGTGTCAGGCTCCGACTTTTCCATCATCCGAGCAATTCGACAGTCACAGATTCACAGAGGCCCCACACAGCTGCGGCCAAAAAAGTGGTGTGATGATGCAGGCTGTACGAAGTATGGATGGACAGTCCTGTGGTTTTTGCTTTTAGGCCGAGGTGCTTGAGACTTCTTGTTGCCCAACAGAGGAGTTGCGCGAGGCAATATACGGGCTGCGATGGGATTCTATTGGCACGAAGGAGGAAAAGAGGTAGTAATACTTGAAAGTAATTTTTGAATGAATGGAACAGTAGCAGTAACAGAGCAGTTGGGTAAAATGCAGATGCCAGAGGGCCCGTATCCGAGTACCTATACGAATGGATGGCCCGGATCTCCGCGAGAGATGGACGATGATGACACCAGCGTGGCGCTACGGAAATGGTGCCGCCCGCCCCAAGGTACTATTAGTGGTATAGGCACCTAATGTAATCGAACAACCTAAAGAGAAAAAAAACTTGCTGTGGGAGATACTTACATGCCTAGTACGCAAGACACGGACATGGGATGCACTTACACGTCTCGTGCATATCCATTGGGCAACATCGCGCAAGTCTCATCTTCTTGTTTTTTTGATGCTGCCCCTCCTTGGTTCCTCTCTCCGCTTGCCTTGGGTACCTAAAGCTGTCCCTTGCCCCTGTGCCTCCTCTTTCTCTTTCTTCTTTCTCTCTCTCTTCTTCTACTTCTTTCACGATTTGTTTTCCTTCTATTCAAACTTTTCCAATTGAACTTGTTTAGTGGTGCTTCTTATCTGCCGAGTCCGAAGACAAGCAGCCAAAGGAAGCTCCTGATACCCCGCTGTTGCGTTGCTGCCCCACCATAGCTTCTTGCAGCTGAGCTGATGTAAGTCCCATTGATAACAATCGCTCAACCACCTGTTCTCTCTCGCCCGTGCCCTCTTTTCGACCCGTCATCATCATACTTTTTATCATCTCGATCAATATCCTGTTTACCCTATCCCTTTTCTTTTTCTGCATCGTTATCCTTATCCCCCCTCATCAAAGGCACCCAGATTGCTAAATTTCACCCGCCTGCAGCCTCGTTTCCCGCCATGGCGACCAAGCAGCCGCTGCCCGTCCGCGAGCGTCGCCCCTCCACTGGAGCTCCCCTTGTGGACATCCAGGGAGCTGTCGGCCCAGCAGGCATTTCTCGGCCCAAGCACAGGAGGACTTTTACCGGCTTTGGCGCTGGAGAGATCAAGCACGTTGAGGGTTCGTTCAATTCTTTGCTTCTGTTTTCTGCCCCCTCTTGGTAGTGATCAATTGCTTTGATGAGCGGTTGTGATCGGCGGGCGATTTACATGCGCTTGACCCGTGCGGCGCGGGGGAGGGGAAGCTTCAACTTGCTTTTGGCGGGGCTTCCATGCAACCAGCCAGTGCTACGGTGTTTTGCTGTACTGTCATCGCTGTCTTTATTCACTGTTCCATGTGCCAATTCTTTCCTTTCTTTTGATTCTTCAAACGAATCAATCTATCAAGTAACGGATCCTCCATTTACAGTTACTAATGAAACTCTTCTATAGCCTCAATTCCCGAGCCCCAGCGCGAGGCATGGAGGCGGAATCAAGTCCAGAACATCACCGACAAGGACACCTTCGAGAAGGAAGTTGTCCGCCATGTCGAAACCACCCTGGCCCGTAGCATGTTCAACTGCGACGAGACTGCCGCGTACTCAGCCACCAGCTTGGCCTTCCGTGATCGACTCATCACCGACTGGAACAAGACTCAGCAGCGCCAGACATTCCGTGATACCAAGCGTGTTTACTACCTCAGTCTGGAGTTCCTCATGGGACGAACCCTAGACAATGCCATGCTCAATGTGGGGTTGAAGGATGTTGCCAAGGGTAAGATCTGTTGCCATGCTCGCCATGCATATAGTACGACCATTTGAATCATCTTGCTAACACAACGGCTACGTAGATGGTCTCTCTGAACTTGGCTTCAGAATCGAAGACATCATCAGCCAGGAGCATGATGCAGGTCTAGGCAATGGTGGCTTGGGTCGACTCGCTGCATGCTTCCTCGACAGTTTGGCTTCCCTCAACTACCCTGCTTGGGGCTACGGTCTTCGCTACAGATACGGAATCTTCAAGCAGGAAATCATTGACGGTTACCAGGTTGAGGTTCCTGATTACTGGTTGGACTTTAACCCCTGGGAGTTCCCCCGCCACGACATTACTGTCAACGTGAGAGCCCCCAACCCCCTTAACACTAATTATCGAACGAAGCTTACACTGTGATAATAGATCCAATTCTACGGCAAGGTCCGCAAGCAGACCAACAACGATGGCAAGACTGCTTTTGTCTGGGAAGGCGGCGACATTGTCGAGGCCGTTGCCTACGATGTCCCCATCCCTGGTTACGCTACACCCACCACAAACAACCTGCGACTCTGGTCTAGCAAGGCGTCTGGAGGCGAGTTCGATTTCCCCAAGTTCAACAACGGCGACTACGAAGGTGCTGTCGCCGACCAGCAGAGGGCCGAGACCATCAGTGCCGTGCTGTACCCCAACGACAACCTGGAGCAGGGCAAAGAGCTGCGACTGAAGCAGCAGTACTTCTGGGTGGCAGCATCTCTCTATGATATTGTGCGCCGCTTCAAGAAGACCAAGCGCTCCTGGAAGGAGTTCCCCGACCAGGTCGCCATCCAGCTCAACGATACCCACCCCACTCTTGCCATTGTCGAGCTACAGCGCATCCTCATTGACAATGAGGGCCTGGAATGGGACGAGGCATGGAATATTGTTACTGCCACGGTAGGTTCTCCTGACTACGGCCCCCCTTTAGTGAGAAGAGGAATTAGTGCTAACATGTCTTGTTCACAATTTTAGTTTGGCTACACCAACCACACCGTGCTTCCAGAGGCCCTGGAGAAATGGCCAGTTGGACTGGTTCAGCATCTGCTGCCCAGACATCTTCAGATTATCTATGATATCAATCTGTTCTTCCTGCAAAAGGTCGAAAAGGCCTTCCCCAATGACAGAGACTTGCTCCGCAGAGTCTCCATCATTGAGGAGAGTCAGCCCAAGATGGTGCGAATGGCCTTCTTGGCCATTGTAGGTTCCCACAAGGTCAACGGTGTGGCCGAGCTGCACTCGGATCTGATCAAGACTACCATTTTCAAGGACTTTGTTGAGATTTACGGCCCGGACAAGTTCACCAACGTGACCAACGGCATCACCCCCAGACGTTGGCTGCACCAGGCCAACCCTCGCTTGTCTGAGTTGATTGCTACCAAGTGCGGTGGTGACAATTTCCTCAAGGATTTGACTGTTCTCAACAAGCTGGAAGCTCATGCCAAGGACAAGGCCTTCCGCAAGGAGTGGGCAGAGATCAAGTATGCCAACAAGGTGCGCTTGGCCAAGTACATTCAGACTACGCTCGGCGTATCGGTCAACCCAGCAGCCCTATTCGACGTGCAAGTCAAGCGAATTCACGAATACAAGCGCCAGCAGCTCAACATCTTTGGAGTCATCCACCGGTACCTGACTCTCAAGGCAATGAGCCCCGAGGAGAGGAAGAAGCAGTTGCCCCGTGTCACCATCTTTGGTGGCAAGGCTGCTCCCGGCTACTGGATGGCCAAGCAAATCATTCACTTGGTCAATGCTGTGGGCGAAGTTGTCAACAAGGACAGCGACATTGGCGACCTGCTCAAGGTTATCTTCCTGGAAGACTACAACGTCAGCAAGGCCGAGATGATTATCCCCGCATCTGACATTAGCGAGCACATTTCCACTGCAGGAACAGAGTAAGTTGATTGATCGATGTCTGAGTAGAATGGTGGAGCTAATAAACACAATAGGGCATCTGGTACCAGCAACATGAAGTTTGTCCTCAACGGAGGTCTCATCATCGGAACCTGCGACGGCGCCAACGTAAGGCTTCATTGAGCTTTTCACTTTTGCTTGCAGCATGCTGACTCTTTTACAGATTGAAATCACTCGTGAGATTGGCGAAAGCAATATCTTCTTGTTCGGAAATCTCGCCGAGGATGTGGAGGACTTGCGCCATGCCCACAACTTTGGCTCTCACGCCATCGACTTCGACCTGGAGAAGGTCTTTGTCGAGATTGAAAAGGGCACGTTTGGCCTGCCCAACGACTTTAGCGCCTTGATTGCCGCTGTCAGGGACCATGGTGACTACTACCTGGTGTCGGACGACTTCCACAGCTACATCGAGACGCATGCCCTCGTCGACGAGGCCTATCGCAATCAGGACGAGTGGGTGACCAAGTGCATCACGTCAGTAGCCCGGATGGGCTTCTTCACTAGCGACCGCTGCATCAACGAGTACGCTGAGGAGATTTGGAACATTGAGCCTCTGGATGTCACTGAAACGTAGACTCTCCCTTGAGTAAAGTTGTGTAGAAACCGGTGGGGGAACACCTCGATAGATTCGAGCAGGCAGAGTTACACAATAGGGAGGAGTGAAGAAGATACGACGTTCTCTTCCTACATGATGAATTGAATGTCCAATATTGAATTAAACAAGAGTTTTCCTATTTTCGCCGTAATAGCCCGTGCCCGTACTGAAGTTAATGTACACACACCACCATTCCCAGTACACTACACCCAATTACAGTGTGACGCCCTGGCGCATCACATATGTTGCAACATCACACAAAACTATGATATCGTGATTTCTCCATCACAGTCGACAAGCAGCTCTCAGTCACCTATGAATTCGCAAGCTACGAGAACTACAAAAGGCCGATCGCAAAGATTCGCAGCATCCTCTTTGACGGCGAGGCTGGCTGCGATAGATATCCTTTCTCAGTGTGTTATACTGTATTTGGTGTGTGGGCGTGGGAATTGCGATTGAGGTGGTAAATGTAGCTCGTTGATATGGAACACTACGGTGAAAATAGAACTGTTCTACGGGTGAAAATAGGAAGACTCTTGAACAATGACTTGACGTTTCTCTTTGACTGCTATTACGTGGCTGTTGGTGAATGCATGTAACCTCGGAAGTGTAATTCATAACTGCATGTGCTTTGGACTGTATCTACGATGTAATTGTCTGCTGACGCTAGAAAACTCATGCAGGCACAGTAACCAGGATATTCCCAGACTTGTAAATGTGTTGTTTACTTGTACATCCAAGCTAAAGCACTGAAATGCAGGCAAATAACTTGATATTTGGCATTAGAGTCAAGAGCGGTGTCACGACTGAGTGGGCTGTCGTTGGACAATGGAGAAAATTGAGGTGCGAAAGAACCGGAGCAAAATCTCCAGGGGCCGCGAGCCGATTCGCAGCGATTATTTCGATGGCGGGAGGGGGGGCCCGTTCCTGAATCAGTAGGCGGAATCGCTGAGTTGAAAGTTTGGGGGGAAGAAAGTGTATCGTGTACTTGAATTGTTTCATAGAAACACGGGTGATTTAAAGTACCCTGTACGGAGTACAGTTAGCGTGGGTCATGGGGAGATGTGGGTTGAAGATTGATTTGATTGTGACGTCATTGGGGCATCACTGGTAGACCGACGATGTCAAGGTCTGTGTTGCGTTGCTTTTTTCCTGGGGTGTGGTCCAGTGTCTTTTTTGTCTGCAGAGGATTAGATTAATGCATGTGGGAACAAGGGGTTATTAGCTGGAGAGAAGGGGGGTGAAAGAGCGGCTGGGCGAATGGCATGGGAGAGGGAGTTTAGGTTGGGTTGGGCTGTTTTTTGGGGGCGAGGGAAAGCTGGTTTTTTGATCTGGATGAGATTTGGGGGGTCCACGTTTTAGGTAGGATGTAGATAGGGCCATTTTTGGGATGAGGAGAAGGATGAAGATTTGGGAAATGTCGATCTGGATTCAGATGGGATTTTGATTTTCTTGGATGGAGATTCGAGGGAAAAGGCTTCAGGTTTTGATGGACGGTGGCGAGAAGATCAGAGATCCCCGATGTGCAAAGGCCGCGATGGTGTAGATGGCTTGCAACGGTGGTTTAGGCTAGCTAGTGGGATGAGCAATGACATTTCCCGCGGCTTTTCAGCTAGTAATCCCAAGCCTGTGTGAGCATGGGCAAGGGTTATCGTTTAGGCATTGGAGGGGTTGAACCCGAAAGGAAAAAAACATGGGGGCAGCAAGCAAAGCGCACGATGTCGTCACCGGAGCTGGGTTTGCGAACGAGGGTGAGCGTCCCTGAAGCGCTGTCGTTGTCGTCGCTGCGGGGCGTGACGATGATGATGCTTGGAAGTCCCTGGAAGAGAAGGAGGAGGAGGGGATTTCGTGGTTTTGTTTATAGGTAAGCCTTTGTCCTGTCTCGGCATGGTGATGATTTGGGACTTTGCCTACTGCCCTGCGAAATCAACAAACTGCGCACAAGATCGTGAGGGTCCTTCCTGGTCTGGACAGTCTTCTTTGCCCGAGTTCTGTGGCGTTGCTACCGTGCACTTTTATTTGCTGGGCGCCCAATACCGAGAAGAAACATAAAACCCCGACGAGATAAAATAGCACTTGTCCCCGATTTTCGAGACCCAACCCAACGAGGGCACGCGGACATTGGCATTTGGGAGATTTCCTGATCCTTGGGCGAGAATCTCGATCGATCGCTTGAGACGGCGCGCCCGTATAAGTAGGGACGAGCTTGGCCCCCCTTCCTTAGCTCTTGCGGTTCCACGACCCTTCTTCTGCTCTTTTACGAGAAAATAATCCTCATCTTTTATTTTTGGCTTCTCAGCTGTATCATTGCTGGCTGTGGCTGTGTCCCTTCATTACTTCGAATTTCTGGATTTGATTGTGTTGCGACGGCTTCACTGTCTTTTTGCGCCTCCCGTCCCACTGAAGGCGAAACCCATTGCGACCGAACCGAACGAGTGACATTCAGTGGCCTCTGCATTCGCTAGAAGCGCGTTGGGCACCTTTTTTGCGATTCACAAAATACACGTAAGTTGGGAAACAAGAAAAAACCAGAGCCAAAAAACAAGGTCAGAGGCAGCAATTGGGCTGGGCATGATTGATTTCGTCTTGGTGTCAAGCCGCCCGGGCACAATTGACAAGCCTGCTACCTGGCTTTTACCCCGCGCAGTGCGCGCTCTCACAAGTACAACTGCCGAACCTTGCCCGTGCGCCCACTGACTCGGTGTCCTTTTTATTCCCTTGGGAAGCAGGGCGTCTTTTATCACCTGAACTCTCTACCTAACGTCCGTATCCAATCTCTTGTTTGGGCTTTAGGCGCTATTCGCTTGCCAAAGTTCCCTCTTCCAAGTCTTATTTCCCCCGTGGCTATTAAGAACCGTCCACCCCCGCCTTCGCGAAACAAGGAGAAATCGACCGTCTATCGCTGAAAAACACGAGAGAAGAAACGAGTTTTCGAGAATCAAGAATAGTGAAAAGAGACGCAGAGCCAATCGATCCGACAGACTCTCCTTTACTCGCATCCTCCCGCTGCGATCCTCCATCCTTACGAGGCCCGGATCGAGATTTGCAGCTAATTCCAAGTTCCAATAAGCTCAGCCCGCTGTGCAAAAAGCGCCCCCGCCTGCTAGAGCGAGTGGAACTCCTCTGTAATCCTGCGCAATACCGCCTGTGCTGGCTTTCTTCTTCCCAACCGAGCCGACCAAAAAAAGCATCAGCAGCAACATTCATCCATCCCATTTTTGGAGCGAGGGGTTCTAATCCAACTCTTTTCACCCTCGACAAACCTCTTTCTTACGCCCGCATCTTTGGACGCTTTGTCTCGCCCATCGCAACCCGCGTCGAGTTTTCACGCATTCTTTACCGATAATAAAAATAGATTCCCCCGCCAACACGAGTCAAATCGATCCGTCACAATGGCCGAGTTTGTGCGTGCGCAGATCTTTGGTACCACGTTCGAGATCACCTCAAGGTAGGAGGAAAGAGCCAGAATCCGGGACCGCGCGAGGAGCAAAAGAAGCTGATCAATTCCATTAGGTACTCGGACCTCCAGCCCGTGGGCATGGGAGCGTTTGGTCTTGTCTGGTGAGTTTGTTCCCCCCCTCCATTTTTGGCTTGCGTTTTGAGGCAATCCTGGCTAATTGCGACTTTCCCCTCCCCCGCCAAATAGCTCTGCGCGAGACCAGCTCACCAACCAGAATGTCGCCGTCAAGAAGATCATGAAGCCCTTTAGCACGCCTGTGCTCGCTAAGCGGACGTACCGCGAGCTGAAGCTGCTCAAGCATCTCCGACACGAAAATGTATGCGCTTTCCAGGCTGTCGCTCCATCGCATTGCATCATCAAGCCATGATGATGCTGATGATGACACCCGCCGTTCCATGCTGACGTTGGGCGATTCGCAGGTCATCTCTCTCAGCGATATCTTCATCTCTCCCCTCGAGGACATGTATGTCTTGTTTTCTTCGGCTGTTTTCGCCCTTTTCTTCTGCTTTTTTCTAACATCGCCCTCTATAGCTATTTCGTCACAGAGCTTCTTGGCACCGATCTGCACCGGTTATTAACCTCCCGACCGCTCGAGAAACAATTCATCCAGTACTTCCTCTATCAGATCATGGTATGTGATGACACATGGATTTCCCTTTGCATTACGCTTGTATCGGTTGGCAATTAGCATGCCGCCGTATACAGCGCTCTGCAGCGCAACAGCAGCTAATGTGTCCATTTTTCATATAGCGAGGCCTGAAATATGTCCACTCGGCCGGTGTCGTCCACCGTGATCTCAAGCCCAGCAACATCCTCGTCAACGAAAACTGCGATTTGAAGATTTGCGACTTTGGTCTGGCTCGAATCCAGGACCCGCAGATGACGGGCTATGTGTCAACACGATACTACCGCGCCCCGGAAATCATGCTCACATGGCAAAAGTACGACGTTGAGGTCGATATCTGGAGCGCTGGGTGCATCTTTGCCGAGATGCTCGAGGGCAAGCCCCTGTTCCCGGGCAAGGACCACGTGAACCAGTTTTCCATCATCACCGAGCTGCTTGGTACTCCTCCGGACGATGTCATCAACACTATTGCTAGCGAGAATGTGAGTCTCATGTTTCGTCGAGATGTCTGGTCGATATAGACAGCCAACTGACACAAGAATTAGACGTTGCGTTTCGTCAAGTCACTACCTAAGCGAGAACGACAGCCACTTCGAAACAAGTTTAAGAATGCAGACGATTCAGGTAAGGGGACATGACACTCAAATTGCTATCCCGTTGAAAGATGCTCTTGTCTGACAGGAATCCACACAGCCATTGACCTTTTGGAGCGAATGCTTGTTTTCGACCCCAAGAAGCGAGTAACAGCCACCCAGGCTCTGGCCCACGAGTACCTCCAGCCGTATCACGATCCCACCGATGAGCCTGTTGCCGATGAGAAGTTTGACTGGAGTTTTAATGATGCCGACCTCCCCGTTGACACTTGGAAGATTATGATGTACGTTTGTTCGTCTTATTCTCATGGACTACACAAAAACTGACTTGAAAACTACAGGTACTCGGAGATTCTTGACTACCACAACGTCGAGGGCGCGCCCAACATGGAGGAGCAATTCCCCACACAATAGATTGAGAGAATGGAACAGCGGACCTCAAATTACAGGGTGGCATAAAAAAGATTTTGAAACCACTGCACACAAGACGGATACAGGAAACGCGCGCGTCGGCAGGCACCCGGTTACACGACTCACGAGGGCCAGCGCACCTTTGTTCCGTGACAGATGCTTTTTTTGCAGTTTCCGGCGTTGGGGATGGAAAGACTGGCATGGAGGGGGGAAGGGGAGGCAATTAGGAAGGGTTAAATATGTTGTAAAGACTTGTGATTCTGTGTGCAGCGACGACAACGATAAAATATACGAAGAAACGGGCTTTCTTTTTCCTTTTTCTGTTATTCTTTTTGCTGTTCATCTTTTTGCTAAGCTCTATCCGGGTTCGTGACGCTTACTTGCTTGGCAGTACAGAAGCACTGCCTCGGCCGGGTTTCTGGCCGGAGAGGGGCGAAATGACAGGGGGTTTTGAGATTTTCGAATCGAGGCTACTTATAAGGTTGAACCGTGAAGATCTAGGCAGCCAATGGTGTGACAAAGTATTAAAAATCATCTGAATCCTGCCTGGTAGAAAGTTGGAGCGCCGAACAGAGCCTCACACGCCTCACACAAGAGGCGGAGCAGCAACAGCAGGGGGGCGGGATAGATGCAGGCATAGTCAGGCGGTAGAAGAAGACGCGAGAGACACACCCCGCCATATACTGGGATTAATTTGAGTAAAATATCATAGAAATAGCCGCAATAAAAGGCCCAGACAGCTTGAAGTTATGATGAACTTGAGATTCCTAAGTGTATAATTTGTTTGACTTGTTGATGCGGCAAGACAAGCGTTGTCCCGACATCTTATAGGTGTGTGTCTGGCGGTTTTCTTGCACCCCATCGGGAAAAGAGCCAATCCTAGCAAGACACACGATGCAGATGCAGTACAAGCATTCTCCATAGTATTCCGGCTCCCGATCGCCATATAGCCGCTCAACATGAAGACATGTGTCGGGGCTTGGCCGGTTATGATAGGGCGAACAGCCACCGCAGGACAGGTCATTTTGTGAGAAACCGTTTCTTGTACCTCACGACGAAGAAGGCGGTGCTTTTTGGGGCTGGTGCCTGTTTTTTTGTGTTGCATTCGCATTCTTTCTCCATTCTACTATTATTGATTGATTGCGCCCTTTTTTGTTTTTCTCCTTGTCGCTTTTGTTTGTTGGAAGCCTTGAGCGTTTAAGCGGCTTTATACTACTACGTTTTGTAGCGAAAGCGAGAGGAATTGAGTAACGACATTTTGGAAAGAGACATTTTTTTTGGATTATGGAGATTTGCCGCGAGGAGAAAATGGGTCGTCGGAAGGCTTCCTGCTATTGTCCGAAGCTGGAGACAGTCTCATGGCGGGATTGCTCAGGTATAGATGCCTCACCTCACCTTGATTCCTAGACACCGCCACTTTGTCGACTTTGGGATTGATTCACCAACACTCTTTTTGAATGAAGATCGGGGCAGAATTAATGAGTTGGATGAGAATGCTGACCGATGGTTAACGGATGTAGGCGAGAAAGTGGTTACGACGGAGAGATTGACTGCGCAGGACTTGTTGAGGAACAAGGAGACTGAGTTTGCTGTTGCTGATGTTACTATCACGTTCGTAATACTTTCTTCTTCTTCCTCAGCATCTTTTGCTTTCTTACTTTATTTTTGAACTTTCGGGTGGTCTAACTGGCTTTGAATAGATATGCCCAGGGTGATCAAATACGCAAATGTCGGAAATGCAAGACTGCGTTTGATGAAAAGTTTCTGATACCGCGGGTGTGGTGGACGACGTTGGCGAAGCGGTCGAATGGGTATTTTGGTTATCAGGATATACTTGATTCAGATGGCACGCGGACGGGCACAAGTAAGTATCTGACTCATTCATTTTGGATTTTCACTTGAACAAATGATTAATGCAACGAACTTTCAGTCTCGTGGGTGAGATTCATGGTCAAGCGAGTCAGCAAGATTCTCGACGCCCACGACGTCGACGAGATCAAATACCACTGGGTCAAGCTCAACGCCGTAACACGATGGAATGCCTCAAACAACCGTACAGACATCATCCTCTTCGACCACCCCCAGTTTGCGCATCTTAATGGGGATTCTATCCTGCGAGACATCAACCCCCGCGAGCTGGGCGATCCATTCTGGGTGTATCCCAGCATGGTCGAAGAAATCGCCCAGCTTCACGACGTGACCATCTGGGAGACTCGCAACCTTCTCCGCGACTTTGAGTTGCGACGAGCCTTTTACCGCTTCAACTACAAGTACCTGCACGAGATCCCGCGGCACATGACGCACGTCAACGAGATGGTGTACGTAACAGAGAGCATCCTCACCAGCATCCAGAAACACCACAACCACTTCCTAGCCACGGACAAGGCCGTCGACGCGCCGCCGAGGATGTTCTTCCTCAACATCCAGAGCCGGCTCGACTCGCTGCACAACATGGTGACGAACCTGCGGCACCGCGCCGAGAGCAACAACGCGCGCATCCAGAACGAGATGGCCCTAACCTACAACGACGCGGCACGTATTGATTCCTCGGCGATGCGGGCGATTTCGCTGATTGGGCTGCTGTTCTTGCCGGCGGCGTTTGTGGCGGCGATATTTAGCACGAGTTTTTTCAACTTTGATGCGCCGACGGGGATATGGAAGCTTTCGAGCCATTTCTGGATGTATTGGGCGGTGGCGGTGCCGTTGACGGTTGTTACGGTTGTGTCGTGGTTTTTTGGGCCGGTGATTATGGATAAGGTTATGCCGCAGTGGAGGAGGTGGGTTGAGTGAGTGAGTGAGGATTTGAAGGGGAAGATGAGGATGTTTTGAGATACCATTCATTTTTTTGAGGAAGACAATGTCTTTGTTTGTTTTGGGCTGGGAGAGGGTATTGGGTTGAGTATTCTTTTTATATATAATGTGAGTGATTGGTGTTTTTGGGTATTTGAGGACTGTTATTTCATGGAGAAAGGGGATATAAAGCTTTGAATGGGGGATATATGGAAGGAGGAAGAGTTGTATTTGACGATAACTTGATATCACGACAGGTTTTTTTTTGACTTGATGCAATTTTATACAGAACTTGAACCATTGTGGTGAATCTGTGACATTAAGCCGTTTTATCATTCACAAAGATCTACAGACGATCATCTTCATGGCTTGAGACTCGTCTTAACGGCTTATCTGGATCAGGGAACCTTACAAGAATCCTGTCTAACCATGCGTAATCTTGCATTTATATACAGCTCTGTTTAACTCAGATAAATATCGCTTTCATCTGCTTTACGTTGTAAGCTTTTAGTATGAGTATGATTTGAATCTGCAGAGTTGAATCTCTCTTTTTCCTAATAGTGAGTGGGGTATAGCTTGCTGCTGAACCAGCTACCATATGCGATTTACTCCGAGATATTATGAAGATATAACTTGAATATACTATTTCCTGACAATGTAAGTTTTTGAAAGAGACATCTTTAGTATATGTTCCTAGAGAGGGCTACAATAGATCTAAGTTGAAGAGTTATCAGGGGCGTCAAAGCCAGATTGTTGAAAGAAAGCATCTAGGTTCCAAAGTGGGCTTTGGGGCTTGGGTTAGAACTATAAAGACGGAGAGCGTCACATTTGCTAAAGAGGTTCAGAGGTCAAAACAGTCCTTACTATATGTCTAGTGCTGTTCAATGATATATCTTGTTTTATTACACTTCTGACTTTGGGATGCAGATTTCTGACAAGAATAAGACTACATCTATACAGCCACATAAAAAAGCAATAAGATGTGTAGCTACATATAGCACACAGAGCCCAAAACATTGACCAAAGATTTCACAGCCACAGATGGCCCAAGTCAGAGCTGGACTACCCAATGAGATTTCGAAGATGACTTGTATGATAGTGGCGCATTGTTGGATTGGAAGATGACAAGCTTACTTTGATCCTATCAGACCCTAAGCAACAAGCCCATATCCCAAAAATGGTATAAATGGCCGAATGTATATAATTGGAAAATGATATTGTATTCCTCGCCACGATTTTGGATTACAGCCACTTTGTAAATAATCTTGTCCATCATTTTCAAGTATTTATTGGCGAATAGGCCAGGCTATAAGCCGAGGAGAGGCTGATGTGAGCAATCATTCTGTCACAGTGGATATGAGAGCCATGTCCAATCCTACGGCGCTATACTTGCCTCAAAATATCATCTGTTTCATGCTATTGTCGGAGTGGATATGTCACATAATACAAAGCCCTTTCTGTCTAAATGAGGACCGAGCCGAGGCCATACCACACAAGGCGTTTACATGCGCCTAGAACGCAGCAAGTGAGAAATAATGTAAATATTTGACGCAAACCTGATATCGTCGCCTCATTTATACTCACTAGCTCGTACGACTCGTAACAAAATTGCCAAACCGTCAAGCTGTGATGTGATATGTATCACGCACTCCACAGAAAGTTCGCATATACGTCAAAAAGTCAGGGCTGCTACTCGATCCGTGCTTAGCCCCAGGGTCCAAAGCGGCCATGGCGTTTTTGCGGCTGACATGCCAAAAAAGTGAGGCGGCTTGCCAACAAGCATCTGACAAGCCCGTGGCGTTGATGTCCGTGATGCGGGAGGACTTACTAGTGCGACGAGCTGAGTGTGAAATATGCCTACGCTAAGTGGCTCACCGAAATTAAGGCCGCGAGCCACGAGCAGCCACGTTGAATGTTGTGGGATGGAGGGAATGAGAGAAAGTGTTTGCGTTGACATGGTTTTTGTTTGTGTCCAGTCATATGTGCATGTGTGATTGCGGGCTTGCGGCTGCTCACGATGGGGTTGGTCGCTGGCATCGTCACGCGGGTGAGGGAGGTGACATGTAAGTAAGCACGCCTCTGGTCTTTGGGCTTTGATCAATGAAACAAAAGAGGAGCAATTGAAATCTCCACTGTGTTTCCTGCAAAGATTCAGCATCTCCCCACTGTCGTCTTTGATTGTCTAGAAGTAGGGCTTGGTTGATGCTTGTAAAAATAGTCACGTTGGAAGCCTGGCTATTGGAGGCTCATGCTCTGAACTAGGAGTGTTGGTTCTTTTGTGAGTGTAAGTGAGTAATACCGTTTCTGAACGGTCAGTTCCTGACGGTGACGGCTTGCCGGTATTATGTCTGTGGTCCATGATTGAGTTCAGTGTCCGGGGTCAATGATGAGAAGAAACCTGAAGATATTCGAGTGTGTATATAGAGCTTCCAGTTCTTGAGCTTTGGTTGATGATGACATAAGAAAAGTACTCTTTGGCGTGTACCCAGATTCATAACCTCGAATTCCTTGGTACGAAAGGGCTATTCGTATCAATAATGCTCTTCAAAGGAAGTGATGAAGATCCAAAATTCACCTGCTACTTATAGTGTGACGAGATACAGAAGAATTCTACATCTTTCATCTGATAGCGCCTGTTTCTTCGAGTATCTGCTATTATCGGCATACCTGTATTGGATCTGGTAGGTACTAGGACATGATACATGGTACTCCTGGATAGCCTATTGCAATGACAGGAACAGAGACGGACGACACCTTCCCGTTTGCTACCAGAGTTTCCGCCTCAAAATTGAGTCGCAAATCTCCTTTCTATCTTCCATCTTGTCCCTCTTCATATCTTCACCTCCGTATTCCCCTTTGAGTAATTTTCTGTAAGTACTTGGCATCTCCTATTATTTCCACGGCAAACCCAGATGCCGAACACTCGCATTACAATTTACAGCCGCCCCGCCATCCCAAACTCAGCCTCACTGCAGGTGCCGGATACACCAACCACTCTTCCTCGTGCGATTCTAGCCAATCTCTTTTCCCCGAATCTACGACTACTACTACTACTAACATTCAGATGGCCCCGGCGCCCAAATGATCCGCGGCAGCATCGGCAACGGGGTCCAAATCGAGACAATCCAACCTGAGCTAACTCTGGGTCCACCGTTCTCTCCAGACTGACATCGCTTGCAAGACTCTAATCAACTCCGAACTCCATACAGTACCATTCAAGGACTGGGAATCTTCTGTACGGATTCTATTCGATTTCCCGTTTGCCACCGCTACACAACATCCCGCGCACAAAAAAAAAAAAAAAAAAAAGGTTTTGTGAGACAGTCATCATCAGACGCTCCGTATCCGTCGCACGATGTTAGCGGGCCACAGGGTTTAACATTTTTGTCTACTGATTACTACTACAACCACAACCACTGACACAATCGACATATGAAATTCAAGCTCTCTCGTCATCTTGCTGCAAGGGGTCGTTGAAACTGCCAAGAGGGGAGATATTAATCTAGCTTAAAAGTTGATTGATCGGCTAGCAAAGCAATCTCGCTTTCATGGTTAGGCCCAAGGCGGAGTGAGCTAAAAACGAAATCCGATTTCCAAAAATATGAGCTTGGAATAGCCAAGGAAGAATGCCACGAAAAGGCTTCTAAGCTGGAATTAACGGGATCCCGGCATCCTCTTTGCTCCGGGACGTGACGAAAATTCACAATTAAAGGGGTCAATGGTGTTTGTTCGCCGCGTCTCCACCGTGGGAAGAAAGTCGCGTGCAGACGGTGGTCAAGACCAGTCGGCAGAGCGGTAAATCACGCTTTAGCACGCACTGTTTCCAAACCACGGACGGCCATAACGGCGCTTCTCGTACGAGCCGAAGCAGCAGAGACTAGAGGGGGCTCGTATTCACTGGTTGGCTCGTCAGGGATCATGACGTTTAAACCGTCTAGAAGCCGAAAAAGGGGGCCGCCAGACACGCTGCACTGGATTGGGCTTGAGTTGATAACGGCAGGGAGATGCCAAGATGCATGTTGAAGACCAAATGAACCGCGATCTGGAAGATGCACGGAGATGTACGGGGTGCTTGTAAGCGAAGGTGATCCTTGGAGCACGACAAATTCTGTATTCACCGCCTGCTACAGCCTATTCAGACTCGGAGGACATGTCATAATCGATGGCATGGCATGCAAGGATTGCCATGCTCATGGTGGTTCACCGATGGGTGTACCTGCAGTTTGCAGGCGCTTTTCAATTCTGGACCGAAGGCATTTACGTACTCGAATTTGGTCGATAAGATGACTTCGACAACGGGATTGGTGTGTTGCGCGCGCAGCGGCACAGAGGGGAAGTTTGTGGACGGCATCTCCAGGGAGTTCTGGCATCCAGACATGCAGTTGCTCCCGAACACTGCTTGGCCCCAACATGAAGACATTGGAACGTGCCTCGTTCAATGTTCTTTATTCCTTCCCGTGACGCCTTGTGTGACACGCCGTGCGACGCAGCCCGTGCTCCAAACATGTGAAGCCGGAGATGGCGACGGCTAAGAATAGAAGGGGATGACTTGGAACGACAAAGATTGGTGAGCAAATAAGCTTTGGATTTGGCCGCTCCTCATTGAGCAAAACCTCACATGCCCAAATCTCACCTGCAGCAAGCACGAAGGGTCTCGGGCTGGCAAACGAAACCGCTTGCAATGATTGATCAACAATGCTACTGTCAAGCAATTCCCCTTACGGGTCGATGAACAGGTACCTGCGCATCGCATAGCCGAATGCCACTGCGAGCAAGTACATACTCGTACCTCGCAGCTTGACGCACCTTGGGGCCGCATCCCTTCCTTGATCTTTGGGGGGTTCCGGGTCTGTGTTCGCGGCGGAGAGGCGTCTATTCGCTGGAACAGCCCCCTGGAAAGTGCCCTAGCGTGGTTGTTTCTGGCGTTCTCTCCGCTGGCGCTTTAGCGGCTCTAGCGGGTGCGCCACCGCACCGTCACTGGGCTCCCTGGCCTTGGCATCGCCTCCACTGGAGTCAGCAGCGACTCAGCCTTATCCTGAGAGACGAAGAAACATGAGCGCGGGCGAGCTTTCTCCTAGCACGGAGCGGGAGGGGGGTCCCCTGTAACGGCTGTCGTTGATTTCATATATCTAGCACACCGATCTTCCAACTTGCGTCTTGCTCGGCTTCGATTCGATTCACTGCTCCTCCACTCGCTTTGTTACTGTTGCTGGCATTGCTCGTTTGCATCTCTGCCGCCTTTGCTCGCGTGATCAGCTACCGCTACTGTACTGTTCTTGCTGCTGGACTACTTATTTCAGGGTCTGTCCCCCACACCACACACGCAGGACGAAAGACGACAACGACGACGACAAAACAGACAAGGAAGAAAAGAAGAAGAAAAAGAAAAGCAGAGAATTAAAAGAAGAAACACTGCGAGAGCAAGGAAATCAAGGCGGATATTTGTGATACCTGGGGTTTTCTGGACAAGAGGCGTCTTTCTTTCTTTGCACTGCAAACAATGGGAAGCGGCCCTACCCGATTCGCACCACACCAGATCGGAAACGCAACCGCAGCTCAACACCGCAACGATGCAGCGACGAGGTAACCGTGACGTCCGCTTTGCGGCAGATGACGACGACGATTCCGACTATGAGCGAACCTTTACCTACCGGCCCCTGTCCAGGCTGCCCACACCGCCGCCGACCCTGAGCAAGGCGAGCGTGGACCAATACCAATCGCTCGAGGGCGATGAGACGCTAAATCCGCGATACCGAGGTGAGTTTTTTGGAAATAGCTTGTTACGAGCCATGCTCTGTGGTCTGCTCCGTATTCTGCTCTGCTGTGCCCTGCACCGTCTTGTCTTGGCTGGCTGCATGGATGGGGACACGGAAAGGCGGAATACGGAGTAATCCGACTGCAACCTAAGGCTTGCATCTGCATTGTCGCTCTCCCTGGACGAATCAAGTTTTTGTTAACAATTCTTGGTTGCAGGTCCCGCCATCCATCTTGTCAATCTGATTCCCGCATCGGCGTCGCTGGCGAGCGCATCGGTGCCCTTTGTCCAGGCCATGCTCTCGAGGGCCGACCTGACCATGGAGATGCTGGCCCTGGCGGTCTGCATCCTCGACAGTCTCGACACAAAGTTTGCCCGCACGTGGCGGCTGTCGTGCCCGCTGTCGTGCCCGCTGCACCCTGACGATGTCGACTCGACCGCAGCGTCGCCATCCCTCATCAAGCGACACTCTCTTCCATCGACGCCGCGCGACGCTCCCCGCCGGCAGCTTCACATCGACTCCGTACGTCCCGAAATCATCATCCTGGCCGCCCTTGTTATCGCGGCCAAGTTCACCCAGGATCCGCAGCAGCCACCGCAGTTCTACCGTCTGGCGTGGGGCCGCGGCCTGTGGTCCAACGACCAGCTCAACGTCACGGAGCGGTGCATCATGGAGAGCCTGGACTATCGGATCCTGCCGCTCTGCGACGACGACTGCCTTACCGACGCCATGGTCGACATGCAGCTTGCCGCCGAGCTGGAGTCTGGCTCGCGGTGGAAGCCAGCTCGCCAACTCACGCCTCCGGATAGTGCAGCCAGCAGCGACTGCGAGTTTGTGCCGAGCCACACCCGATCCAAGACGACGGTTGGCGTGGGGTTTGGCCTGTGAAGATGTGGGGGCAGCGCAAAAAAGGAACGGTGATGTTTCAGCTGAATATCCCGCAAAGCTGGAAAGTTATCCATATTCTGTTTTCGGCATACTTGACGAGTCATTTGACAAAGCGATGGGCATTTATTCATTTTTCTAATATCCGGCATTTTTTGTTATTCCTTTATTAGCATGTTGAGGACATGAGCATATTTACAAGGGCGTTTCGGAGAATTGCAAAGCGTGAAGCAATAGTGGCCTGACATTCGGCTCACTGGATTGAGGATTCTTATTTTTTTTATTGCTTTTTTGAGGGTCACTAGCATGGTATTGTCCTGATGGACGTACCCCTGGGACTCTCAAAAAGGCCTTTCGGGAATCATAACTTGGGAGGGTTCTGAGTTGGATATGGCTGTTTTTGGATGGGACACCCATCTCTTTATACCACTTTATATCCTGTTATTTAGTAGCTACATAGCTTTTGTATTTTGGATACTGAGCATAGTAATCACTTGATGCCCTCCTGTGGAAAGGGGGGGCATATGATATACCCAATATGATGTTTTTCCACACCTATCATGATCTGAACTTTGTTTTTTTTTTTCTTTTTTGACTCTCTTGTGTTATCTGCTCCCCTTTTTCTTTCACCCAAGAGCCTTGTATTAGTGCATTCTATGCCAGACATGTTGCATTTTTTCTAATATTACATGTATATAGAGAGCATGTAGTGTATGTCGGGGTTGACTTTGCAGAATCAAGGACTCAGTCTCTCCAAACGCCACTTGCCCTCCTTTCCATCCTCGCCCTCCTCCCACTCGTACACGAAGCGATCGTGCAACCTGCTCTCCCTGCCCTGCCAAAACTCGACGCGCTGAGGGACAAGGCGCAGGCCGCCCCAGAAGTCAGGCACGGGGATCTTGTCCTGGCCCTTGAAGCGCTCCTCGACCTCCTTGACCCAGCCTTCCAGCTGGGCTCTGCCGTCGTCTTCGTACTCTGGGTTAGTAGTGGCATCTGTGCCGTTTACCAGAGCCTCGGATCCAGATTCAGGCTGCTTCGCTGAAGGCTGGGGCTTGAGCACGGCAGACTGACGACTCGCCCAAGCGCCAATACGACTACCTCTAACGCGAGTATCAAAGTACGTCTGGCTCTCCTCCCGAGAATTCGTCTCCGTAATACCCTCGACACGGACCTGGCGCTGCAAGGGGGGCCAGTAGAAGACGAGGCTGGCGTGCGGGTTTGTCTGCAGGTCGTGCGCCTTACGCGAGGTGCCGAGGTTGGTGTACATCACAAAGCCGTGGGGGTCGAGCTCCTTGAGGTAGACGATGCGGGAGGAGACGCGGCCGGAGGGGAGGTGGGCGGTGGACAAGGTGCATGCTTCGGGCTGGGAGATGGACGGGGTGCGCTGGGCGAGGGAGAACCAGGCGTTGAATTGGGGGATGGGGGAAGTTGGGTCGAGGTCGGAGCGGTGGAGTTGGGAGAGGGTGAATTGGGGGGCTTGGCCGTGGGGGTGGTGGCCTGCTGGGGCGACTGTTTTTTTGAGGAGTGTTAGTTTTGTTTGACATGATGCTGTATGATGGGGTGTGAAAGGGGGTGGTGATGTTGAGGTTATGGTGTTGAGGGGATGAGTCATGAGAGATGAGCCAGGCATGATGAGTGAGTGAGGTAGAGAGAGACACAGACATGGACACAGTGAAAGAGACGTACAAATCAGCTTCTCCTCCTCAGTGGTGAGCACCGTCGAAGGCCGGCGATACAAAGCCATCCTCGTCCTCGTCGTGGCCGTCGAAGCGAAATATCGCAAGCCTGAATATCTCATCAAAATCAAGCCAGTAGCTTTTGCATACGAAAGCTGATCCCCCCTCTCTTGAAAGAAGAAAGTAGGAGCACAGCTGTGATGATGGACTTTAAATAAACGGTTTATTACAAGATTATGAGTTTGAGCAGTGAATCATCGTCATCATGGATTTAAAGTAAAATGAAGTTCTTAGAAATGAAAAAGGCAGCGAGTTTGAGGGAAAGAAGAGGTGCGAAAAGTGGGGCAGCCATCCGATTGCATGACGCTCTCGAAATCGAATGAGGCGCTTTTAGCCGTGGGGATCTGGGAATTGGTGTAGCATCTACACTGTTTTCGCTAACTTTCAATACCAAAACAGTGAGTAGACTGTACTTTGCCGAGGTGGTTCTTGAATTCCGTCTTGATTGGTTTGTTTTAGTCAATTGGACGCTGGACGTTCCCAGATTCTCCACTACAAAGCCAGTGTCTTTGATGACAAAGCATTGAAGAGCCGGAGTCTTGTACTCTACTATTTGAAGTCGGTTGGTTTGATTCAACGGCTTGATCAAGTGAAATTAATTGCTTCTCATTGAAACTCTTAGAGTTGTATAATTGTTGTTTTCGAGTGTTGAGTTGTACAATTGCTAATGTTTGAAAAAATGTCGAAGTAAACATACCTGTAAAGATATATACAAAACTCACCTCTCAAATGAACCTACACACAAAACACACACACATACAAAACACACATACACGCAAAACGCACGGAACGCACATACGTACATACGTACGCACATACGCATACGTATAAAAATACGTATGCGTATACAAACATGTTTATTGGGTATCATACGAATATCATCTACGGTCTGCTGGCTTCAACGCCACACAAACCCAAAAAACCCTCCAAATGAAGCAAATGTTGCCCTTTGCTGAAATACGGGTTTTATACCTAGGACGTACTCTAACACGTAACGTCCGGAAAAAAGAAAAAGAAATAACCTTCTACATCATACCGCCTTTTTGAATAAACCGAGCCGTGCTATTCGCCTTCCACCCAAAAGAAACCATCGAATGTGAAAATCGAAACGAAAGAAAATCTACTGTGTACAGTCTTTGGGAAAATGCGCCGCCGCGTCTGACAAAATATAGCCTCTTTACGAGCTAGCCATAACAAGTGCCAGGAGCGCCATCCTGCAGTAAAGACCATACCGCATCTGTAAATCAATGTTAGCCAATTCACCTCCTCATTTCGCTGGGGAGTCGTGCTTACCTGTCTAAAGTACGCCGCCCTCTGGTCAAAGTCCACCTCCTCGGCCACCTCCTCGTTCCTGGGCAGAGGGTGCATCACAACCATGGAGCTCTTGGCATTCTTCAGCGTAGCGTTATCCACACGGTATGAATCCTTGACCTTCTCATAAGCCTCCACGCTCTCAAACCGCTCCTTCTGAACACGCGTGCAGTACAAGACGTCACTGCGGGCCAGGATCTCGGGTGTCAGAGCCTCAGACTCCACCAGTAGCTGTCCTGAAGCAATCAGCTGCTCTCTCACCTTGGCAGGAAGAGACAGAGCCTTGGGGGAGACCAGCTGAACCTTGACCTGGTAGTGCTGGAGCAGGTACACCAGCGAGTGGACCGGTCGGCCATACAGGAGATCACCCAGGAAGGTAATCGTCAGGCCCTGAACAGTGCCCAACTCCTCACGGATGGTGAAGAGGTCGAGGAATGCCTGGGTCGGGTGCTCCTTGCTACCGTTTCCGCCATTGACAACAGGGACGGGGCAGTACTTGTTTGCAATGTCCATAGAGGTCTCTTGGGGGTGGCGTAAGACAACTGCATCTCCGTAGCAGGCCAGCGTTCGCAGAGTGTCCTGCAGCGTCTCGCCCTTCTGAACAGACGAGCTCGACGTCGAAATCGCAATTGTGCGTCCGCCAAGTCTCTGCATGGCAGCATCAAACGAGGCCGAGGTGCGAGTAGAGGGCTCGTAGAAGAGCGTGCAGAGAACACGTCCGCGGAGGACGTTCAAGACGCCCTCGCGCTGAACGCCAAGTCGCATCTCCTGGGCAACAGTAAAGAGCAAGTGCAGGTCAGCTCGGGTATACTGCTTCACAGACAGAACGTGAGAGTTCTTGAACGAGTTGGGCTGCGACAGCAGCTGCTGGAGAGGGGAGCTGGCGGCGGGCTGGGGTGACAGAGACAGACCCAACTCATCCACGGCACTTCCCAGTCTGGCGGGCGAGCCCAGTCCCTCCATGTTGCGGAACCTAGCCGCAATCTTGGGGCTGCTGAACGCGGCCTGCTGTCTGGGCTTGGGGCTCTCGGTGACCTGGGTAATGAGGCCCATGGCGGGCTTCAGAGGGGGAGAGACGGGGATGTCGCGAGAAATGTTGTGCGAAGACATATCCTTGCCCTTGGGGGGGACTGGCAGGAGCTCGCCGTCCAAGCAGACGGTGGCGTCCTGGAAAGTGACCCTGCGGACAGATCCGCGCATCACACGGCCCTCAAACGGTGACCACACGCTGCCGGGGAGAACCTGGTAAGGACGATCAATCTCAACCTCGATGCTGGTACCGACCTGATCATGGAGCTCAAAGATCTCCATGGGGTTCTGGTAAAGCTTCTCCTTGAGATCGTCAACCGTCAGCTTGCCTTCGGTGACAGAGGTCAGCAGGAGCGGAAGGGCATCCGCAACGCCGCTGGACGTGTCAGCCTTGTGACCCAGGGACTCGGCGAGCTGGTAAGGCAGGCTTCCGACGGAGAAGACGTCAATGTGTGCCATGTTCTCCCAGAGAGCAGCTTGGTCCTCGGGGGTGGGGAGGAGTCGGTCAAGCTCAGGGTAGTCCTTGGTAGACAGGTAGAGAGAATAGATGGAGACGTCGCAAGAAACACGCAGACCCTTGGCCTTGGACAGCGCAATCAGCCGAATGTCGTCCTTGTTCGTAACCGAAGTAACGTGAATGCGGCGGTTGTGCAGCGAAGCAAGCAACAGGATCGACGCCAGGTCAGTCAGCTTGGCATCGGTCACAATGACCTTGTGCGTCGGCCAGGCGTCAAAGTGGGCTGTGACGGCAGCCACCTTGCTAATGTTGCCAGACAGGTGGTTGAAGGGAATAAAGAGGGAGCCGACTTCACCGGCAAGGGCGCTGATCTGGCTGTCGTTCTCTGAAGTGGCAGAGACAGACAGGTTGTAGTCGCAGAAGTCGCCGAGCTTGCTGTTCTGCTGAGCAGCCCTCAGAGTGATGGCGTCAGTGATGGCACCCTCGAGACCGAGAGGCATGACACGGATCATGCTGAAGCCCGCAGAGATGGAGGCCTTGGTGACAATCTCCATGTCGTGGCTCTGGGGGGTGACAAGACCGGGAACAAAAGCCGCAACGTTGACCAGGCCGGGCAGGACAACCGTCTTGTGGCTAGTCTGGTAATCGCGCTTGGCAACGTTGAGCTCGAAGCTTCGGGCAATGGCCTCAATGAGGATCTTGGCGTTCTTGACGTTGGTCACCAGGGGGATCTGGTAGTCAACGGCCATACGACGAGTCTGGTAACCCTTGCTCATGTAGTTGGCCGGGCGGCGGTACTTGTTGTTGGAAGGCAGATTGATGTACAGGTCAATCGTGTTCTTGGACAGGTGCTGCGTGAGCGAAAACTCCGACTCCTTGTCCTCCTCCTTACCGAGGACTTCGAGGTACTGGACGGGAACGCCGTGCTCCTGCAAAAAGTCGGCGGTACCAGCAGTGGCAAACAGCTTGTAGCCAATCTTCTGCAGCTTCTGCACCGACGGCAGCATCTCTTTCTTGTCCTTGTACGAACCAATGGACAGCAGGATGTTCTTCTTGGGGATCTTGAATCCAGTGGACAGGAGAGCCTTGAGGTATGCCTCGTTCTTGTCGACACCGAAGCAGGCAACTTCACCAGTAGAAGCCATTTCGACACCAAGGACGGGGTCGGCTCCGGAGAGACGAGAGAAACTGAACTGAGGCACCTTGACACCAACGCAGTCCGGAGGAATATCCGTGGGAGGGTACTCCTGGAAGGGCTGGTTCATAATGGCCTTGGTGGCCATCTCGATGAGGTCAACACCCATGGTCTTGGAAACGAATGGGAACGAGCGGGAAGCTCGGACGTTACACTCGATGACCTTGATGTCGTTGTCTTTGGCAATGAATTGGATGTTGAAAGGGCCAGTCACGTTCAGAGCGGCACCAATCTTGCGAGTGGCCTCGACAATGCGATCGATGGTAGTGCGCTCAAGATCCTGAGGGGGCAGGATGAGCGTGGCATCACCGGAGTGAACACCAGCGTTCTCCACGTGCTCGGAAATGAAGTGGCCGACCATAACACCGTCCTTGGCGACAGCGTCCATCTCAATCTCCTTTGCGTTCTCAATGTACTTGGTAATGACGACTGGGTGCTCGCGAGAGACCTCGGCAGCCTGGGCCAGGTAGCTCTCCAGGTCCTTCTCAGAGTAAACAGTGTTCATGGCAGCGCCAGAAAGGACGTATGAAGGGCGGACCAGCACAGGGTAGGACACTGCCTGGCAGAAAGCCCTGGCTTCCTCGAAGCTAGTAAGCTCCTTCCAGGTAGGCTGGTCGACGCCGATTCGGTCCAGCATACGAGAGAACTTGTATCGGTTCTCAGCGGTATCAATCATCTCAGGTGAGGTACCCAGCACCTTGACTCCAGCGCGGTGCAGAGGAAGGGCAATGTTGTTGGGGGTCTGGCCACCCATGGCACCAAGAACGCCGTGTGCATTCTCCAACTGGTAAATATCCAGAACCGTCTCGAGCGTGATGTTCTCAAAGTACAGCTTGTCTGCCTCGTCGTAATCTGTGCTCACCGTCTCTGGGTTGTAGTTGACCATGATGGTCTTGTGGCCGGTGGCTCGCAGGGTGCGGATGGCACGGACAGAGCACCAATCGAACTCGACAGACGAGCCAATACGGTACACACCAGAGCCAAGAACCATGACGCCATGGTCCTCAAAGTCAACATCGTGCTCAGACGCGTTGTAAGTGAGGTACAGGTAGTTGGTAAAGGCAGGGAACTCGGCAGCAACCGTGTCAATCTGCTTAACAAAAGGCTGGATGCCAGCCTCGAGCCTGAGGCGGCGGACAGCGATTTCGTTGGAGCTCCAGAACTTGGCCAGCTGTCGGTCGCAGAAACCCAGACGCTTGGCCTGGAGAAGGATGCTGGGGTTCTGTGCAATATCGACGGTGGTGAACTGAGTCATTTGCTTGGAAAAGTCGCTCAGTCCCTTGAGCTTTCGGAGGAACCACTTGTCGATTCGAGTCATTTCCCAAATCTTGTCGACGGAGTAGCCCTGGTGCATGGCATTGGCAATAGCAAACAGACGCTGGTCAGAGGGCGTCTGCAGCTCGTCGTCGATGCTCATGAGAGCCTTGGTCTCGTTGAAGCCAAGGTTGTGGAAGTCGATGGCTCGGATAGCCTTTTGAATGGCTTCCTCAAACGAGCGACCAATGCTCATGACTTCACCGACACTCTTCATGGAAGAACCGAGTTGAGTAGAGACACGAGTGAACTTCTTCAAGTCCCATCTGGGCATCTTGACGACAACGTAGTCGAGAGAAGGCTCGAAGCAGGCGCAGGTGACCTTGGTCACCGAGTTCTTAATCTCCTTGAGAGGAATTCCAAGACCCAGCTTAGCAGCAATAAAGGCCAATGGATAACCTGTGGCCTTGGAGGCCAAGGCAGAGGATCGGGACAATCGAGCGTTGACCTCAATAATGCAGTACTCCCGAGAGAAGGGGTTCAGGGCATACTGAATGTTACACTCACCGACAACGCCAAGGTGTCGAATGACGTTGACGGCCGTTGTTCGGAGCATGTTGTAGTCCTCATCTGAGAGGGTCTGAGAGGGGGCGACCACGATGGAATCACCAGTGTGGATACCAAGAGGGTCAAAGTTTTCCATGTTACAGACAGTAATGCAGTTGTCCTGGGCATCTCGAACGACTTCGTATTCGATTTCTTTCCATCCCTTCATACTTCTCTCAATCAGGACTTGAGGACTGGCGGCGAAAGCCTTGTGGCAGAGATCAAGCAGCTCCTGCTCGTTGTTGGCGAAACCACTGCCCAGACCACCGAGGGCATAGGCGGCACGGACAATGACGGGGAAGCCAATGTCCTTGACGACGTGGAGAGCTTCGTCCACATTGCTGGCCGAGGCTGACTTGGCGCACTTTTCGCCGATGGAGTCCATGCTTCGGGCAAAGAGCTCTCGGTCCTCGGTAGTGATGATGGTGTCGATGGGCGTACCCAGAACCTTGACGCCAAGGCTCTCAAACTCATCCTTGAGCTGGATACCGACCTGCAGAGCAGTCTGGCCACCGAAAGTGACGTAGATGGCATCGGGTCGCTCATACAGGATGACCTTGCGAACGAACTCGGCGTTGACAGGCAGGAAGTAGACCTTGTCGGCCAAGCCCTTTGAAGTCTGAATGGTGGCAATGTTGGGGTTGATGAGGACAGTGTAGATGCCTTCCTCCTTGAGAGCCTTGATGGCCTGGCTACCAGAGTAATCGAACTCGCCAGCTTGACCAATGCTGAGACCACCACTGCCAAGAACAAGGACCTTCTTGACAGAAACGCGAGGGTGAAGCCTCTCGTTCTCCGCAATGGTTCCGCCGGGGAAAGCGACGGGGGCCTTGAGAAGAGCAGGGTTCTCAGCGCAGTTGGCCATGGTGTTGATGAAGACGTCAAAGAGATATTCTGTGTCACGAGGGCCGGGTGTGCTCTCGGGGTGGAACTGGACGCTAAAGTATGGCTTCTCAACGTGCATGATACCCTCGTTGCTGCCATCGTTGGCGTTGACGAAGAGCTCTGTCCAGCCGGCGGGTAGGCTGGCGGCATCCACAGCGAAACCGTGGTTCTGGGAAGTGATGTGGCACTTTCCAGTGACCATGCTTGTGCAGGGGATGTTGTGGCCGCGGTTACCAAACTTCATCTTGGCGGTCTTTGCGCCAGAAGCGCGGGCCATGAGCTGGTGGCCCAAGCAGATGCCGAAGATGGGGATCTTGTTGGTCTCCATGACGGCGGCAATGTTCTTGGCAGTGCTCTCAAGGACAGCTGGGTCACCAGGACCGTTGGAGATGAAGAGACCGTCGTACTCCTCACCGGCAGCCTTGGCCAGATCATAGTCCCAGGGGACAACTACGACTTCGACACCTCGCTTGAGGAAGCATCGAAGCTGGTTGTACTTCATACCAACATCGACACAGAGAACACGGATTGTCCGGCCGGAGGGATGCTTGCGAGCAACAACGGACGCGGGAGGCTTATACAACTTGGGCTCCTTGACGGATACTACGAAAGGCATGAGCATATTGTCTCTTTGTGGTTTTTTTATCTAGTAAAAAGGGAGGCAGATGGGGAAACTCACCCTGTGCCACCAAGTTCTGTGTGTTGGGGTTTACCCAGTCAATTGCCTCGAATTCGTCGAGAGAGGCGAGGCCATTGGCCGCGCCGTTGGCAGCAGCGGCAATGCTGGCAAGTCTCATCTTGCCCAGCATGCTACCCTTTTCACGGATCCTCTTGGTCAAGGCTCTGGTGTCCACGCCATACATGGCGGGGATGCCCTGCTCCTTGAGCCATGTGCCCAGAGAGGAGGTAGCAAGGAAGTGGGAGAAGTCCTCGCCGCAGTAGGAAGCGGTAACAAGACCGGCAATGTGAATCTGGGACGACTCAAAGTGGGCAGGCAGGTCGCCGAGCAGCTCGTCCAGCGTCTCCCGCGAAGGGACACCATAGTTTCCGACTAAGGGAAAGGTGATGACGAGGATCTGGCCGCGGTATGAGGGGTCTGTGATGGATTCGGGGTAGCCCACCATGCCGGTCTGGAAAACCAGCTCTCCGGCGATGCTCTTCTCAGCACCGAAGCTGTAACCCTGGTAGGTTGAGCCATCCTCGAGCTCAAGGCAGACGAGGCGCTCGCTGCTGCCATAGCTGGCCGAGGCGGGCTTGAGGAGCTGAACAGCCATGTTTTTTTTGGTGTAGAAAGTTGGTTTCTTTTCCTCTTTTGTGTGATTGAGGTTCAGCAGAAAGCAACTCCTGATTTTTCGCCGTTCAAGAAGCTTTTTCCCCAGCTGTCTTGTTACTGACGATACCCAAGGCGGGGCAAAAGATGGTGATGAAGAGAAAGTGAGGGGCGAAGGTTTGCTGGCGACTGACACGAAAAACTCGTTTTCAGAGCTTCTCCCGGGCAGGTCAAAAGCTACCTCGCTGTCATCTGCTTCCTCAACAATTGCAAGGCGTCCTTCAGAGAGTATGGAGAGAAAGAAAGAAGCTTGAAGGATGCTCTTGCCGTAGTTGAGGAGGAGGAAGAAGAAAGGAAAAGGAAGAGAAAAAAAATCTCGGCGGATTTGACACCATCTTATTTTTTTTTTTTCTCTTGCCAATCAATACCATCATCAAGCCACGACTGGCGCGGATTAGCCTCAAAATGTTGAGAGCCAGCGCCCTGCCATTGGCCAATGCAGCTGAGATCACAGCGCCCGTTCCACCGCCACCAGCCAGATGGGCCAATGGCGGCGCTGCTCGGGGGGCTCTAGATTGCCTATGATGGATGTTTGCAGGCGTTTGCGTGGTATTCCTTCAGAAGCCCACGCACTAAATGGACCCCGCAGCGGCCCTGGGACCCCCAAAAGAAAAAAAAAAAAAATTCAATGGATCGAATAAGATTGACCCCTCCATCGGTGATGGATTCATTGTTGCCTCCCCGGTTCACACGAGATACGATGCGTCGTTGAGTGTTTGAACAAGCACGAGGCAAACTGTATGACCAGAGCGGAAAGGAGAGATGGATTTTAGAATACAGATATCTCGAGATTGGCATTGTACGAGCACGTTGTGAAGCAGGAAACCGGCTCTCCTGATGTCACGAGACTCTTCCTCTACCAGAAGCACATGTTTTTACCACCATCTTGTTTGTGGAGCACCATCCAAACGCCTCCGCAGATCTTTTTTTTCTCTTGCTTTGTTCCCACCATGTGGATCACGGCAAGCCAAAAAAAGATGCAAAGATGGTTGGGGGACGAGCATCCTGATTTGCTCTTATTTCGATTAGTCGAACCCGTAGGTAAGCGGTTGCGATGTGTAATTGTCTATCGTACAAGTTATTCTCACCTTGAACCTTGGTAACTCGGGGCTAATGAGATTGAGTTTAGTCTGTAAATTTCTTCCATGATGGAAGAGAACTAGATGCCATCCGAGGTGACCTTCATTCCTGCCTACCTACCTACCTATGTACGGAAAGTCTACGCCAGGTGTGTTGATGCTTGGCCTTCTGGCAACTACAGTACTGTAATGAAGAATGGATTCTATTCAATCAACAGCTTTCTCAATAGTGCCGGTCAACAATCGTCTACTTGAAGTGTACTGGTAGTCTCCATTTGATGCTTCATCTACTTCAAAATATTCACTAGTTGGAAAGAAATTATGTAGAAAAGGGTATTTGCTCTTCTGTCTTCCAAAGTTGCAAATAGTATCAATATACCATGTAATACTACTTCATAGGGTACCATTAACCAAAACATTAGGTAGGTAACCATCGCCAGTAGAACAGGCCGTTCAATTCGCAAAGATCCATACAAATCGCCCAACCATTACACCCTCAGCACCTCCGGGCTATCTCCCCAATTATAGAAAGGCATGCGCCGGGGGCTGTAAAGCACTATTCCCCATATAAATATCACCACCGTGATGTACATGATTACAAAAGATATCGGTATCCACGGAGAGTGAATTCCAAGGTCTTCCAGAACCATTATACAACATGAGAACATGAGGGCCACGAGTAGAAGGTATAAGGATGCATATACAAACACGTAACCCTCGTACGCTGATCGGCGAGGAGATCCGCCGCGTGTGAATATGCCGAGCGAGTCAGGAATATGCAAAACGCGGGACTGGATGTTGTAGCCTCGGGTGGCTATTGTAACGAGGACGGGGTTTGGCTGGCCATTTTGCACTTGGCGGCCAAATAATAACCTGACGGTCTTCATGGTACCTCTCTTGGCACCTCTTGACGGTCTGGAGGCCTCAGCAGTTGCATTTTCTGGTGGAAGTCAGCGAGTTGCTCTGATCGGAAGGTGAGCCGGCGAAGCGCAGTTATCACTGCGTTGATCTTACCTTGAGGAGGAACATCAGAGGGAGGGCGAAGATGAGGGGGAGGGGGAGGAGTGGGAGTTGTTGGATACGTTGAAGACATGGCTGATGAGAGCAGCCAAATGGTCGTGTAGATGAAGATGTAAATTGGTGTAAGGGGAGGTTCATTATTTTCTGATGAATGGTGGCACTTCTTTTTATAAGAGAGAATGAAAGTATAATAGAATATTCCACCAGCAACCTAGAGCTTCCCAAAAATGTATCTAACAACAGTCTCAATGGCAGATTCTGAGTTTCGAAGCCCTCTGTTAAACTTTGGTGTAGAGGCCAGAATACATGTTCAGAGTTTTGTCATGAAGGCTACTTGAGGCATTTCGGCGGGAAACGCATGCACAAATTCACCAGCTTACCTTTTTTCTTTGGCCATTATCAGCAGTACCTGGAATTTTATGCGCCACTACAATATATAGGTACCTGGGTAGAAGTAGACACCTCCTTTCATATTTCCCGTAGTAAAAATCCACAAAACGACATCCGAAACATCCATCTTACTGCCAACTCGTATTTTGCCAAATTCATATCTGTGATGTCACACTCGCTCTCGAGTAGAACGCTGATTACGGCTTTTATCTTCTTCCATGACCACCTGTCACGTTTACAAGATACCTAAAGGCCAATTCCCTCGAGAGAGAAAACACAGCAGAATTCAAGCTCTTTATTGTAGCTATCTTGAAGCAAATTCATGACTTGCATCCGCTATACCGTGTGTAATTTCCAACCTTTGGTCCAGACATAATCCGGCGAACGGCGACGATGGAAAACCACTATCAGCCAAGCAATGGCAATCAGGGGAATCGCAAACATCAAATAAGCCGATACTAATTTAAGAATCGAGAATTCTCTCGACTCGACAAGATAACGCAGCATAAGAACCGCTGCAACAACAATAAGGAACAAAAGGAGGAAAGCTAAATGTGCCACCAAATACCCTTCATAAGCTTGTAGGCGAGCAGGACCGGACGAAAACATGCCGTATTGATTGGGAATGCCCAGCATTTGCTGAATCTTGTAGCCACGTCTGGCAAGTGTAACATGGGCAGAATTGACGGTGTTGTTGACGATGCGATCCTCACCGCGCCACCAGATGAGCTGCTCAGTTCTATTCATTTCAGGAGGCGTCCTGACGGCTATTTAAGCAAGGAATCAGTGAAATTGTCCATGTACGAGGGAGCTGGGCGACGCGGACACGTACACCTATTCTCCTTAGGAAGATGATATGGTGGGAGGGGGTCTGTTTTCTGTGCCATGGCGTGTGGAATAATGTAACACTGAAATAATTATGGATTACAATGTAATATCTTTACTCTAAATATCAGGCAGAGATCAAGAATTGTTGAGCAGAAGCAAGATGGGACTTCAATTTAAGGATAGCATATGTATTGTTAAATGGATCTGAGAAATTGCTCAAGACGTAACTTTGTCTGCCACAGGGCGGCCTCTCACAAAGAAAATAATACTTAAGCCCTAATTTTCTCTCATATTCGCGCATATCCATCTATATATAACAAAGTTTACAGGTACCTACTCTATCTTGAGGCTGAGGTGACAAAGTGACATGGAGGACAAATATGAACTCTCGACGTTATACTCGTATTTCAATGGCCCACCGGGAGACTGTAGCTAAATCTTTAGCGTGGCGCTAGCAGATCTACACTCTAGATCGGGTTTTGCATATCAGATGAGGCTATCACTTTGCTAAAGCCATCACGGACATGTACTGTCACACCAAAGGCATACACCTTCATTAAGTAGGACAGATACGTTGACAAAATCTCCGAGTATCACATGATATACCCCTTTCTTGAGAACTCCTAGTTTGTGTAACGTCATAGGTAAAGAGTCAATAGGACGTGGTAGTAGAGACTATCCCATCACACAGAATCCAAATACTCACATGGCTAACCGCTCGTCAGCACTGTAAAGGAGTTATACAAGTACTAGCTAGTGTATAAGAAATAGATAGGTACAGCTAATCTAAGCAAGCATGCCTCCCGAGAGAGTTTCGTCATTTTATGCTTCATGAGTGTATGCGTCTCCAAGCAACGTCGCTGTCATGTGGTCTCCCCCCAAATCCAAAGGTGAGGAAACGCAATACCAAGTGGTATCATATAACCAAGTAACCGAAATCAAGCCTCTAAGTCGAAAACGCCAACAGGATAGCGGGAATCGCAGGCCCGCTTTCCCTTCCCTGCTATTCCTGTTCTTCCATTACGTCCACAGACGTCCGCAAAACGTCCCAAATTACTACACAGCGCAAAAGGCTTCTTTCCATCGTCCTACTGCAAAGCCAGGTTGGGCTGTAGATTCATTGGCGGGCCAGGCATATTTGGCAGCTGGGGTGTCCTCTGGGCAGCGGGACTGGCATGTTGGCTCGGAGCCATTGGGTTACTAGGCTTCTGGCCCGAGGCCGTCGTGCGGAAGGCCGGCTCCTTCTTAGGGTCGAACGTGGGGAAGACAGCTTGGAGTCGTCGATACAAATCCTGGATCGACCTATTCCGCTCTTCTCTATCCGCTACAGCATCTGGAGGCGTTGTTGAATTCTCGGCGCCAATCGGTACTGCTCTGGGCCTGAGAGTCAGGTTGAGCGGAGGTGCACTGAGATATGCTGGACAAGGCGGTCCCTTGACTTCGGGCTTCCTATCTGCTAGTGCAGCCATATATGACAGATTTGCTTGTAATCGTCGCATGCAACTATGAACCATTAGTTTTGTGTGTCTGTGTCAATATTTTGGCATGTTCAACATACTGCAGATAGTCTTGTTGGAAGTGGTTCTCCTCCTCGGAAGGTTTCCTGTCTGGGATGTTGCCATTAACAGCGGCAAACTCCTTTTTCATTTCTTGTAGCGTTGTCTGAATCTGGATCGACTCGTATAGTAGCTCGTGGTTGATGTCTAACAGCAGTGCGAACCTCTCTTTTTCCAGAGCCTCTGTTGTAGGGCTCATAGGTACTGCACCACTTGGGGGACCAGCCATGCCGCTGGCCGGATTGGAGGAAAATGTCGGTGTCTGAGGGGTGCCCAATCCCATTTGCTGTTGATTTGTCGGCGTCTGTCCCTGGGACATGGGCTGCGGAGTCGAGAATTGAGGCTGTTGGGGAGGCATAATGTTTGTCGGCGTTCCTTGGGCTGTGCTCGGGGGTCTCTGGGGAGTCGACACCTGGCCCATGGCCTGGTTCGGCTGCTGCTGCTGCTGCTGCTGCTGTTGAGCTTGCTGTTGCTGTTGCTGTTGCTGTTGCTGCTGCTGAGCTTGCTGCTGCTGTTGCATTCGTTGCATCATCATCTGCTGCTGCTGAGGCATACCGGGCTGGCCCATGGGGAAGCCCGGCATTCCGGCACCCATCATGTAGTTATTCGGAACGAAGCCCTGAGGCCCGACGCCCGCGGGGAGGACTTGGCCGTATGCCGCGCCGGGGAATTGCTGCTGGTAGGCCACTGTTTGCAACGCGGGTTAGTGTTGGTACATCCAATGACCGTTTGCCCTGTCGCGCGACTGCTGGCTACAGGGGAGGGAGGTAGAGAGACGCACTCTGATTGTTTGGCTGCATGCCCGGCATGCCCTGCGACGGCATCATGCCTTGCGACTGCATCATGGAGTTTGCCGAGTTTGCGTCGGCCATCATGTGCGGGTTCGCTCCCGGAAACGCCCCTTGAGGCGCCATGCCGGCGAATTGCTGCTGGCGGTTGAACATGACCTGCTGGCCCGGCTGCATTCCTGGCTGCGGTGTGCCCGCGGGGTTGAAGTTGGGCGCGGCATTGCCAAAGCCGTAGTTGTTCGCGTACATGGCTGGCGATGGATTGCACCGGTCGTGTCGTGTCCAGAGGGCGATGGCGATGGCGAGGGAGGAATGGCGAGGTAAAGTGGCGAGACTCGGTGCTGTAGATTATATGTAGTTGGACGGACGGATTGGCTGAGAAGAAGTTGTAGATGGAAAATGGCCTTAGCGGGTCAGAGAAGCGCGAAAGTGGCCTAGCCTGTCCTTTGCAGTCGCGAAATGACGTGAGATGCCGATTTCGATGCGCTGGGAGTATCGCCAAAAGATACCAGAGATGGACAGAAATAAAGGGCAAATGTAGTAATTTTTATGGATTGAGATGATTGACTGCAAGGGAATCAACACGAGAGAATTGTCCTTGTTTTTATATATTCCTATCTGCGCGTGTTTATTTATAGTTTTGCAGATGGAGCAGCAAAGTTTTGCTGGCGCTCGGAAAAATGCGACGGCTTGTGTAACTTGGCCAGCTTATGGGATTGATTGGATCTGATGAGATGAGCAAAGTCGGGCTGCAAGCCTCGGGCCGTGCCTCTGCTGAATAAGCTGGAGAGTTCCCGAAAGACATAAGATTGTTGATGATTGAGGAGATTCTTTGGCTTTTGATCAAGTAGAAGTGATGTGCCGGTATCAGGTACTGAGGAACAGCAGCAGAGCTATCCAGGTAAGAGGTATATACTACCAAGAGGAATAATATCATATCATATCAACTTCGTACTACATAAATTTAGCCACAACTTTAACATGAAATTGACCATGTATCTTTCATAACTTGTATCTTGCCAAGCGGGGGACAGAAAAACCGAGACTGGGAAGATTACGGACACACATGCCTTAAATAATATGCCCCCAATTCTAACTTTTCAAGTTATCTACTCTGTATATTTCTCTATCTAGTAGTAACTGCCACTATATCTATGTTTCTCTAGTAGCTGTTATTATATTTCTATTTATTTACGACTTACCTAGTAGTAGTATTTTTATACTGCGCCTGTTTGATAAACTGATTGGGTGCTTATATTGCTGAATGTATGGACTTATTCATTTTGCAGTCTCGCTTTTTCTGACCTTCGCTTGCTTGCTCATCACTCGTTGGCCTCCAACCTTAACATGAGCCCATTCGTCATCATCATTTCTCATCAGTCCAAGATAGGAATGTCCAATACTATTTTACAAACAAGTCCGCACCCGTTTTAACCGGTCGCCATAAATACGACAAGCTGAAATGCGATTATAAATCTCTCTCATCCGTGATTCATTGACACAGACACTCAGCAACGTTATGCGTCAAGACGCCGGCTTACTCCACGAATAATACCGGCCACCAGCCCAACCTAATCGTCGACACAGCTTTACTGTCTCAGCCTCGAATCATGTTTCCACGTATAAAGCGCGCAATGACCACCAAAGGCCGTTGTAACTCTGGCTGCATTCTGGATGCCACTTATTCACCACACAATCAAGTGAGGCAACTTAGTGGTAGATGGTGCCGTATTTCGATCTTCCTTCCAGCAGATTGATAAACTCATCGGCAACGTGCTCGCATGTCCTCTCCGATGGATGCACCTCGTCGTACCTATTATCTTAAGTCAGAACCCCAACTTTCACCTATTTCATCTCAAAGTCACGCCATGAAACACTCACCACACGAAGTTCGACTGCGGCTCTGTCGACTGGAAACATCCCGAGTCTCCGCATCCTCTCCAGGATCCGGTAATGTCAACCGGCTCTGTGTAGTACTTGGTTGGATCTGAACGCAAATCCAGCAACAGCGAGTGCACGTCCAGTAAGCTGACAGTAGCCCCTGGCCAGCGCTTCTTGACCAGGAGGTTATACGGCGCTCCCGTGGCGAACATTGTGTTGGCGCTGGTCAAAAATTCCTCCATCTTATACTGAGTGTCCGTGGTGTTGTATGTTGCCTTGTTTCCCCAATACTCATTGTTTCCCGTTCCGCCGTTCGCGATAGAAGCATACATCGGCGAGAGCTGTAGTGGCAGCACGTTGAGAAGTACAAATTGCCTGCCTCCCAGCTTGTAAACGCCGTCAAAAGCTTTCCAGACACACTCTACAAAGTCTGTAATGGTGGCGCCATTGACTTGGTTGTTGCCCAAGAATCCGTCAATTCCTAGATCATTAGTACCGATCCAGAGCGCGTAGACAGTGTTGTCTGGTCTCCTATTTGGATACAAGCCCTTGTAGCCGAGATCTGTCTTGAAAGCCGGAACCTCGTAATCCAAGATGGATGGGAATGGCCCATTGATATTGCTGAGAAAGTGCTGGGTGACGCTATCAGAGCACATGCCGCCGGCGACGGCATAGTCGTAGAGCTTGGCTCCCGTCTTTTGTGCTACGAGTCTTGGCCAGGCATAACCGCCTACTGACGTTGCATTGTTCACGGGTAGAAGCTGGCCTGGAGGAGGTAGTGCATTGTTGGCAAAGATGTAGTTGAGACGGCCTTCGTCTGTATAGCTGTCTCCGAATGTGACGAGATTGCTTAGCTCCCGCAGGCCGGTTGTGCTAGCAGCCGTAGCGGCAGCAGCGTATAATAAAAGAGGAAGCATATTGGTCTAAGTGTTCGAGTATATTGCACCGGACTTGAGATTGTCGACAGAGACCCTCCATATCGGCAAATGACATGATATTTATACGTTTGTTAAGTTCGGTCGACCGGATCATTTTCACATGAGTTGGACAAATTATTCGGGTTTATAAATCCTATGCATAGTTTTTGTAATAAACATCAACCGACGGTAATCGTTCAACTATACGGTCTTAATAAATGGGCCACTGTGCCCAGCCAATCGTGGAATATATGAGAACCGGCCTTTTTTAGATGCCGAAATCCCCAGATCCGTGGTCCGGCACATCTTCCCCGCATTATCGCCATCACGATGGAGGCTGTAGAAAATCACATGCCCATTTACAATATCCCCTCTACTTTACATTTTGGATAACGGAAAACGGTTGATTCATCATGTTGCAGTCTAAAACTTGAAAAGGTGAAATTACATGTAAGGTGTATGAACCATTTCTTTAACTAAATGCAGCACACTCTCATACATGCAGTTAGAAACGGTACATTACAAAGTCCGTTCCTCAACACCATCATACGACATGCAGAGAGAGTCATCAGAATTAGTAATTGCCGTCGGCTATATAATGCACCGTCTTCTTTACCCCAGATTTCCAAACCTCTTTCCTATTTCGGTGGTAGAGCCTCTATGCCGAGCCTTCATGATCTCCGAATGATACTCCGAGAATAGTTCATTGGGTCGGATAATAACAAAAGTGCGTCACTTTAACAAGCTGTTTTTATCCAAATGGATTTGATAGAGGTAAGCACTGCTCTTTCTAATATAGTCACTAAGCATAGAGAGCAACCTCTGCGAGAAGAAATCACATGGCTCAGCTTCGTGTCATATTTGGCGTGGATTCGTTCTTTGACAGCCCAGTCCTATTACATTATATGTATGTTCAACTTTGGTATATGACAAACACGCTGTAAATACGAGTAGCAATTCTCCTTCCATCTTCTCAAGGTATCCGCAAACAAACCTAGCTATCCACACGATGCAGCTCCCTTCATCATGAATCTCTCAAGAGGGCTGTGTGAAATTGCTAAAATGGGCCGTAAACCACTTGATGCACTGCTCAGTCGCATCATCTGCCTGCTGCAAAGAGTCAGGAAACTTGTGGTCCGCTCGAACACAAAACCCATGTCCAGCCTTTAAATAGATAGTTAATTCTCCGCGAGCCGGTTCGGGCTTCGCCTCAACAATGGCCCTGATAGCCTCTGCCTTTTCCACAGAGAGGTAGTCATCGTGCTCGGCCATTGCAAACGACACTGGCAGTTTCAGGTTCTCAATGTCGCTGTTGAGACTTAACATACTTGGGTGTCCGGTGAATCCAGCGTCAATCAGCGGTCGTCCGTCGATTGTGTCTCCGCGACCCAGCAGAATGACTTGCTTGCCTCCCCAGCAGAAGCCCGCGGCGCCAACTGGTAGTGAAGCGCCTTCTTCCTTGCGGAGCTGCTCGAAGAAGCCTTTGACTCTTGGCCATGCCCTGGTGGGCCAATTGTAGGTGATGAAGGGCAGCATGCCGCCCATAGCATGGAAGAAGTGATAGCTACAAGTTCATTCGAGCTGCGTGTTAGCGACTGTAGCTCAATTTCCACAATAGTGTTTAGCATGGTACTTGCATTTTGGAGAAGATTCCAGCTTCCTTCGATGATATAATCTTCATGTCGTCAATCATGTACAACGGTGCAGGTCGTCCTACAGCAATCAGCCTTCAATGTCTAAAACGTGCTTCAAGAGCCATGAATTGTATATCGAGTTTGACTTACCGTTCATGAAATCAGGAGCATACACCTTGAACCCGCCCTGGTCGGCATACTTATCCGCAAGAAGCCTTGTGTTGACAAAGGCCCATCCAAAAGCATCTGGAATTATGACGGCAATGCCTTTCAGGGGCGTCCCATCAGCTGGTTCGACGACGTAGGTCTCGAGACCGTAGGCGCGAGTGACGGTGCCCCGCGGCTCGCCTTCGTGGACAGAGCCGCGGTAACAATCCGGGCATGACATTTTTGTAGGATGTTTTACTCAGTTTTGAGATTCGGGAGAGTTGGTGAATTGGTGACAAGCGGAATTGGCTGGAAAGGTGAATGCATGTATTTGAAGTTCATGCTGTCTGTATTTATCAGATGAGGGGAGGGGAATTTCACATGCCCGGAGATAAGGAGAGCCACATCCGGCAGTCTTAAAATCGAAAAACTCCATCGTTTATCAAATAATTTTACAATTGTCCACGCGTACATCATGCCATTGAAAAAAGAAAATTAAACTAAGTACGTATGCATACCATCGTTGGTTTTACACTTGGGATCTAGCTTACACGGAGCATGAGAGTGAGCGCCACCACCTGTGTTGGTAGTTGACCGCATGTGATTGCACTGAGCTATGCTACCCTACACCACCATGCAAAAATTGAATGCCAACCTGGAACTTATATGTTTTGTGATTCATTGATTAGATTAACTGTTGCAAATTCTCTTGAAAAAAAAAACTCGGAGATACCTGTCTTAAGCCCACGAAATGAACGCATACCGACTCTTTATCATGGATCTATCATTACTAGGTAAAATGACAGGGTAAAGCCAATACAGTGGTCTTCACCAGTCAAATCATGCGCTTTCGGCACCGGTTCGGCAACGCTAATACTAAACTCGATTTCGAGTTAAACAGCAGTCAATGCGTATTACTGAACACTCAGTTAACTACTTTCAGATGCTTCTCAGCTAGGAAACCCATCAATGATGTGGTCACCCTTGAATGCCTGACAGATTGAGTTAGAAGGCTGACAAATATGGAAAGTATATGTAAGGAAGAAACGATAGCATGAAGCAGTTGTGCACGCATTATGGACATGGTATACGAATACCAAAGATATTCTCTGGTATTGTGAGAAACAACTGTATTGAAGATACAGATAACTTCTACAGGCCATTCTTTCCGCCGATTTGTATTCTAATGATGCCAATGCGTAGTTTTCGTGGTCCTTGGTCGAATTGATTCACATCTTGATAAGACTGTCCACGCCAAGGCTTGACTTTAACCCTCCTCCTCTGTGTAAGTGGTTGTAAATTCTCAACAGAGTCCTGTCTGTTCAAGAGCAGTTAACCCGATAACCCGATATTCTATTCAAGTGGTATCAGCAGTGTAACGAACGATAGTCATGGATGGTTGTATCTCATCCGTGGTGTCAGATAGCAAAGATCCCTCCGTCCGAATGGTCTTGTAGACGTAGAAAGTGTGGTTGCCAATCTCTCACGAATGACCCGAAAGGTCAATCATGGCTTTAGTCTTGACATTGCCATTGCTCGGCTCTCGTCGGCTCGCGGCCAAGCACGGACATGTCAGTCCCACGAGCCCCCATCTTCATCCCAAGCCGAAGAAGCAAGGAAAGCATCCAGGAGCCCACGCGCACCGCCGCCAAGGCGAGCAAGACAAGATAAAGGAATCAAGCTTCTTCTGCAAGCTTCGACTAGACCTCGAATAGGCAGCAGGGGGAATCATGAGAGGTCTCCATTGGGCAGGAGGAACTGTCCCTAGACCCCCTAGTATTGCTAGGCTAATAAGATGCCGGTGTCAAGGGGGATTTTTAAAGTTAACGTTACGGGCAGCGGTTCGAGAAAAGGACAAGGGGGAGACTATTCTGTACTCGTAGATAATCTAAACTTACCAAGGGATGTATGTCCCTGAGTGCCGTTTCGCGTTGCATGCTAGCGCGTGTGCCGTCCATGGCAAAAATGGCGCGGGCAAGGGAGATCGATAGTCGGAGGCATCTAAATTTCAAGCTTCTTTCTGGAATAGGAAGGCCGTGAGATAGGGACGTCGCACGGCGCGGCATGCAAACATTGCGACCTACCGCTCTGGCAATTGGGGGGCTGCTTTTGATAAAAGTTCCGCTTTATGTGTATATGTTTGCGAGGGTGAGACTGCTTCGGAATTGTCGGAGAGCGAGGCCGGATTTCTAAATAGCAGATTTGGTGGGCTGCGCTGACGATAGTCTGAGTTTGGTGTTTTATACGAGAAGCTAGAGTTGGAGTCCTGCAACCCTGGTCATTCATTGTGAGCGACCTTTGGTCTTGAGCGAAGACTGTCCGGAATATGCCTGAAATGTGTGATATCGGTGAAATGAGACGATTTGAGGCAGCCCATATCTTTGCCGCTCCGAGCAATAACGTGCCGAGATCCTGCATACATGTAGTCGCAGTATCAGTGCCCACAGACGTCCGATGTAGATTGAGGATTTGTATAGGTTGCCTCTGAGCATTGGCGCCAAGGACGGCCAATAAATCTATTGGCTTTAGTTAGTATTCATATCCATCCTCTGCACCCCTTTGTATTTGTAACGTGCCAAATAGAAAGATGGTGGTTTACCAGACCGCAGCCAAGACCAAAGTGATGATTTCTTCGTCTCTTCTCTCCACCTCCGCGTGTACTTTGGAGAATGCGCTGATCGACAGGTACCCTGTATGTTCCTGTTCCTGCACCCGTCAAACGCATGCTTACCTCTTGTCAGGGGCTCCCGATTGGTGGGATCCGCGGCTGTCGGTCCGAAGCCTCGAGCATTCCAGAGCCAGGCAAGTCCATGGCTGTTTTCTTTGTCAAGTCTCCGCATCATCTTTTCGGAGCCTTGTTGTTTCCCCGAAATGTTTCTGTTTTGTTTCATGCGGCGGTGAATAAGCGGAAATATTCATTCCAAGGACTTGGCGGCTGGCTGATTCTCCTACGAGGCGCTTACAAGGCTCTACGCGTTTGCTTAGACAAAGCAATGGCTGGCGCAACACCATTCGAACTGGCAACACGTGAATGTTCATCAAGTAGAGGATAGCGTGTGAATATTTTACGTTTATGAGTATGCGATTAAGTGATTTTCAGTTCCATCTCTTTCTTAAAACGGCCGCTCGTTGCAAGTTGATTTGATGGGCTTGGCGCCTTGGCTCATCATGGCCGCTTACACACATACACGGCTTACCAGTAACACTATTATAGGAAATACTCGTAGTATCATGATAACCAGCTTCCATACGCAGCGGTGGGACCAGACAAGGGAGCCTCTGCATCACAGCCTCATGGTTTCGTCGCAGTGGTTCAGGTCCACATGGCACCCCTGTGCTGGAGCTGGTAGTCACAAGAGCAGCGTGTGTGTAAGTGGCTGGGACAGACTCCAGACACTTTAGCCTGGTCACGATCTGTGTTTGACAGCATCTGGCATTGCCTTCCCCCACAATGGCGCTGTCAACAGGTTAATTGGACCACCCAAGTCGGTTGCCGCCCAGCGTGCCGTGGTTTGGCCTTCTTTATTGCTGGGGTCGGTGTCAATGCCACCCATGTGGATGACTATCTAGCAGGATTTCAACAATGCATAGAATGTCAAGAGACCAGTGTGGTGACCTCGAGACTCGGTAGCATTGGGGGTCAGAGATGGTGGGAGATGGCATGCCCCAATCTGGGAGGTTGACTCTGCTATTCATGGCATCAGCAACATGCCTGTCCCCCTTTCACGCGAGATGTAACGGAACGATTGCCGCATCGCTGGCAAACCCTTACAATGGGTCTAGCTCGGTATTCTTTCCTAAATCTAATGGATCGCTTCGTGCCTTGTCTGCATTATGTTGAGAACAACTACTTAAGAGACCACTTGTCTCTCATCTCTCCATCCACCCTTTCCATTGGATCTATCATACAACAACAGTCTCTGACAGCTCGCCTCGATCGGATCACTAGCCTAAGACAACAATTGTACCACTCTCACACAATCAGCACAATGAAGGTCTTCACTCTCGCCTCTATTCTTGGCCTCGCCGCCATGGCTCAGGCTCACATGGAACTCTCATGGCCCTATGCCTTCCGCTCCAAGTTCAACCCCAACGTGCCCGAGGCTCTGCGAGACTACAGCATGACCAACCCGCTGCTCCAGGCCGGCGGCAACTACCCTTGCAAGGGATACCAGGTCGACTTCAACAGGCCCGAGGGCAAGTCAGTTGTCACCTGGCAAGCCGGAGGCACTTACAACTTGACCCTCTCCGGCTCTGCCACTCACGAGGGAGGCAGCTGCCAAGTCTCCCTGTCCTACGACCAGGGCCGAACCTGGAAGGCCTTCCACTCGTGGATCGGCCAGTGCCCTCTCAAGCCCACCTGGAGCTTCACCCTGCCCAACGACACGCCTGCTGGAGACGCCATCTTCTCGTGGACCTGGTTCAACAAGATTGGAAACCGTGAGATGTACATGAACTGCGCCCACGTCACCATCCAGGGCCGGAGCAAAGCCGCTCGCAGCCCTTCTGATCCGTTCAACAGCCGTCCTTCTCAGTTTGTTGCCAACGTTAACAACGGCTGTGGTACTCTCGAGGGTAAGGATGTGCTCTTCCCCAACCCCGGCCCGGATACCGACTTCAACTCTGCCGGCACTGCTCCTCCCACTGGCTCATGCAACACTGGCAAGCGCACCGCCCAGCCTTTGAACGTGTAAGTCGGAAAAGATGTCAGTCTAAAAGGTTGAGAGGAAATCGAAAGAGTGGGATTTGGTTAGCATTGGGAGGCTAGCAGTGATGGTGAATCTGATTCTGTATATATAATTTTAAGAAGAGGCTTTGTACATACGGGTGGTCCTTGAACTTCACCATACTCTCTTCAAATAGCTAAGGAGAGGTCTGAACTGTCCATAGTTGGGTATAAATACATTGTACATTTGACACCATTACCTTGAGAACATGTTTGTGAAAAATAGCGAAGAGTAGGTATTGTCCGATAGTACATGAATAAGGAGTGACCAAGAGAAGTAAAGCAAACATTGTAACCAGTGCCATGCAGGGTGGGCCAATATGGTGATATTTGTTGTTGGTCAGACATCAGTTCATCGTCTCCTGATTGGCTGCCCTTCCACCGCCTTTGCATATAAAGTCGTTCTTTTCCTCACTCAATCTTTATCTGTAGTGTCTCCCGCCTTCGCCAACGCCAACATCAAACAACGTCACAGCTCGACTCTTTTACTTCGCTCACCATCTCGAGTTTCTCCTGGCTCTTACTTCAACTCACTTTTACCAACTCATCTTCGCATTGCCCGGTCAATTTTGCATAATCCCCCGAAGCTCCAATTCGCAACGGCCCGCGCCACTGGGATTCTGCATCTCTCGTCTATCAGAAGCCATCATGGAGGCTCCTACTGAGCAATCAAATCTGTCGCTACAATATCCGGGACCGGTACGAATCCTGGTGCAAACAGTAACAAGTCTTGTACCAGGAAATGATTATTGGCAACGAATCCTGTATATTCGAAACATCATTTGTCAGTACCATTGGAACCGTGACTTTGATTGGGACAAGGATCGTTGGAATTCGTACGGTGACGACTTTGGCTATGAGAATCGTAACTGCTACTTCCTTATCGATCACGGCGAATCTGCTGAAGATCCGCCAATTTTACGGTACAAGTGGACTGGAAAACTCCTGTTAGCAGAATCCTATGGCGTTGTGAAGCCATCATCAGTCCACTAACATTTGAGTAGCATTGCGATTCCGGAACCACTCCCTGAGGAAATACAATCTAAATTGGAAAAACATCCATTCCCGAGGCAACCGAGGCAACCAACTAAACGCTTACGAAAGCCAACACCTGGAAAGCTTGATGCAAAAGCTCATCGCCGGATTATTCAGTCAAACCTTCGTCGCGATGCGATTATTATAGATGAGAGTATTGAATTCTTAGCGACGCATCCAGAGGACGCAAGATGGCTCAAAGATAATATCGAGGCCCGATTTTGGTCCAAGATTCAATCCTTATTGGAGTCGAGACAGGGCAAAGACACCGTCTACGCCAATCGGGAGCGTACGTTGGCGAATTCGTCCATTCCAGAGGAGTAAGTCCACCGCAGGCCAACAGACTTCCGCCTCGGATATCCATATTCTCACGATCAGCTGTTCAGGCGCAAATCCGAAGACAGTCTTCTTCCGATGAGAGCAAAACGAAGTGATAGGAATTCTGCAGGAGGCAAAGAGATCGAAAACTCATTCAATTCATAAACGACACGAGGGAATCTGGTGAGATGCGTGATGATCCTTCGTAGCGTCTAAGTCTATCATAACCCTATTACATCCGCCACCACCAGCACTTACTGCCCTTGATCGGGCCTCATTATATCATTCGGAATAAGGTAAAGGAATATTAGGAAAAAAATGCTTTCTGCTGGGATGTGAGTGTCACCACCGTCACCGGTTCATTGCTAAACGTTTGGCGTTGATCCGTCCGTCTTCAGTCTTTACATGACCATACTATTTCCTCCTTTGTTGAGTTCACTCTACCTAACGGTAACAGGATGGGTGACGTGCAATAGTTCATTTATAGAAGAAGAGGATTGGGGCGATTGGTAGAGTGTCACTCTTTGTAGCCGTGAGGGTCTATTCAGTATAGATTGCTAATTACCTCTGTCTGGCCAGTACGCCAAAGTATAGCCCGTGGCAGTAATGATTGTATTGCAATAGAATTAAAAACACAAACATGACCGACAAAGGACAACTCCTGACACCAATCCATTACATGAGACTGCAACCACCTGCCCTAGTTGCTAATAGTACCTAAATTGGTCGCAAATTCCTGAATCGAACATTGAAATGAGATTGCAATCATCAACCCCAGGAGTAGCTATGAGTTCCTGAAGCAGTCGCAGTCATGTGTGACAGTCTGTCGTACTTGTTCAATCCGTATGCCTGATCCCCGGCAATGGGCGCAATCACAGTTTCTGAAGCCCCAATAGCTTGCGCTCCTGTCGCAATCGGCAGAATGCCTTGTTGAAGGACATCTGAATCCACGGCCGTTGCACATCCAGCAATTAACATCTGTGTCGACCATGACCGTCTCATTCCAAGTACCGCTTCCATTGCAAATGGCACAACTTGGGTCAGGTCCGCTAGACTTGTGAGAAGACATGGTAGGGGTCTGCTGTTCCTTTGAGAAGAGACACAGCTGGTCGTAGGACGATACCGAGGGGGTCGGTCAGTGGAGCAAGAAGAATTGACTCGACTTTGGCAAGGCAAGTATAGTAATGCGAAGAGCGATGGTATTCTTGGTTTGAAGAAAGGGCGGTTGTTGAGGGAGAGAAGCCGCAACTCGAGGAACATAGTAGCTCTTTATATATCTCTTTAGACGACGACGAGGTTCCCTAGGCACCACCAACATAGGGAATTGAAGGCCTACGGGGCTAAATCTCGAGACACTTGAGTATCGTCACTTGGCCACGGTGTAATGGGAGAAGCTTTGCACGGCCAGAGCTGCGACCTTCCTGCTCGGTCAATCCCGGCTTTGTTGGGCAATACATGTACCTAACCACCTTGCCTCTGTCTAGAAAGGTAGGGTTAAATTTATAGGTGTTGGGCGCCACATTAACAACAACCAACAAGCAGGTCGTTAAAACATTTGTGAGCTCTATACAAACTGCGCCTACGTCACTATCAAGGCCTAAAGTGGCTTTGAGGCTGGCAGCGTACCAAAAGGCTAATACATGTAATTACATGTACATATATGGTACCCAACTCTTTAAGTCTCTGCTACTATCACTACTTTCTACTATTATCACTGCATTTTTCTAATGTCTGCTACTAGTATCATTTTTTCCTTGTATCTGCTACTATTGTTATATTCTTTCTCTATTGTCTCGTTTCTGGCATTATCATCTATTATTATGTGGCTTCAAATCTGAAATACGAGATGCTGGATAGCACTATTGTTTCTCATTAAAGTTATTAAACTCTCTTCATATAACTAGGTGGAGGTGCGAACTATAAATTACCTACCTAGGTAATTATAACTACGTCGCATATTTGACATGACCATCTGGAGAACACGTTTGTGAAAAGCACATTGAAGTAGTCATTGTTCGATGCTATGTAAAGAATAGCCAAGAAAAGAAAAGCAAACATTTCCAACAGTATATCTATCGCATATCATCCAGCATACCGCTGCCAAACACCGTACCGACGTAATGGTGATCCAACCCAATTTCTACTTATATATCCAAACCTGCCCATCATAAGTTCATACCATCAAAAAAACACCAATGGGGTATAACGCAATCATAAATTTGGCATTTTCTAGTGCCATGTCCAGTTTCATCTTGTTCCGCCCACTCACTTTGTAGTAGAGGGAACAACCACGAGAGGAAGAGAGTCTTGCTTCTTGTAAGACCAAGACCATCCCTTTTCTTCGTGGGGACAAGGCAAATCTTCGTCGTCTATCAAAAGAATTAGTAAACCTCCACAGCTCAATTGAATCAAGAAGCCTTACCAAACTCAGAATCCGAATCACCATCCTCATCCGCAGCCAAGGACATCAACCCCTTACCAACACCATAAAATACACTCAGAAGCTGCGCGAGTGCGATGAAAAATGGCATGAACTGGCCCGGAGCGACGAGGCTGTGGACACCAGAGATGTTGTTCCACTTGAGGGCCAATTCCACATAGACGATGGCGCCAATGTTGACGAGGAAGTCGATTGGCCCGAAGCCCATGGGATTTTCTTCCTCCTTGGACCTCCCGCCCTCTTCGCCGCGGAATCTCTGCACAAAGTTGGCGGCGCGGACAAAAGTGAAGAGGATAATAGCTATATAAGCAAAAGGTATTAGTGTTTGGAGAAGCCTATCATTGGGAAAATTACAATGACTAACCTGCGAGATAGAAGATGACGGAGACGACACCACCGATAATGGCAAACACGGAGCCGACCTTGTTAAGAGTGCGGAACCAGTGCCAAATGCTAACCTTTGCAAAGAAAAAAGCCTTGTCATCATGACACGCACGCGGCAGCGTATCCATACCATGCCACCAAAACCACGCAAACAGCGCAATCAACCCGCCAACCTCGAACGTGTAAATGAGCGCCGTGGTCTGGCCCTTCCAGTAAGGAACGCGGCACACGCCGACCTGGGCGAGTAGCAAGGTGAGGATGGGGAAGACCTCGACGGCCTCGACGGTCTTGTCCCGCAGCTCGCGAATGAGGACGATTCCCGTGGCGAGGACGAGGATGATTGTGCCCTGGCCGAGGGTGTCCTCGGTCTTGAAGATTGCGCTGGCGAGGCCGGAGAGCTGGACGGTCATCATTTGGATGTAGATGCCGATGCGGATGCCGAGGCCGTAGAGGTCGGAGTCGCCATTGACGGGGCAATGGAGGTCGGTGGAGTTCATGGCTCCGGTTGTTTGTACGTTTTGCCTTACTGCTGAGTTGAGTTGAGTTGAATTGTGGAAAGGCTAGGCTACAGAGTTGTGTTGTTTTGTGTTGTTGAAAAAAGTCAACAACAGCTTGTGTAATAAAGCTGTGAGAGGATATAAGCCCCCCCATGCCATGTTATCTACTGCATCTACCATGCAACCCAACCGCCATCGCCAGATGCACCACAGCCACACAGCCAGGCTCCCTCTCCACACATGCTGCAAATCAGTTACACTCAGGCTGTTGTCCCAGACGCTGGCTGCCTGTCTCCTCAGCCTCAGTCTCTCAACCTCTTTCTCGCCCCTCCCTTCCCTTCAGCCGCTCGAGCTAGCAAGCATCACATGCGGGAAATAGCCATAATCAAAGCAAGACACAGGACGAAAAGAGGCACAGCGATCGTATAACGGGGAAGCACCAAGAACAGCTATAGTTGCTAGCGCATCGCGCTGGCCCGCAACCCCTGTCAGTAAAGTGTCTGCCTCGCTCTCACACGATAATCTTGATTGGCTTAAGATGCGGATCCATGTTGTGGCGGAGGGCGGTTCGGGCCAGCGCCCCTGGTCTGTGTCTGTGCCCAATGTCTCAAGAAGAGGGAGCTCGCAGTAGTTTTTGAGTTGTGAGGCTGAAAAAGCAAGGAAGAGACACCCAAGTCGTCTGTCTCTCTCCCCCACACACCACATGACGATCGATATAGTCTAGTGAAGTGAGGCGGATATCGCCAAAGCAAGGCTGTCGTTGACGTTTTTCTTTGCTTGAGCTTTGGATGCTCGAGCACTGCCACCTTGTTGCGAGGGGGGGGCTAGAAAATCAATGGTTTTGATCTGCGTTACTCACATATCTAGCGGACGGGGCCCATAACTTAATCGAGGACCGAGTTCTGTTGCTCACGGGAATCGACAGATGCTTGGCGGCGACTAAAGTCTTTTTATAACCCTCTGTGCGAGCGTGAGAGATTGCGTTTGTGTCACGAACCCCTCGAGTTAACGGAGTATTGCATGTTGGTATAAGTGAAGAAATCGGCAGGCTCTTTTACTGGCTTCTGTTGGGTTCATCTCATCCCCCAGCTCGCCCTTCTTACTCTCTCTGCCCTGGCAGTTTGTCGCTTCATCCTCCGTTCCTCATCATCGAATCAAAACAACTTCAGATAAATCATCATCATGGTCGTCGCACCAGACTGGTGCCCAGACGGCAACTCAGATCTTTACGGAGTCGGTGTCCGTGCCGGTCTCTACGCGCAATGGGTCGCCACACTGCTTGCGACCCTCTTCGACCCCAAGACTGAGAGCACGTACCGCATCGCCAACCTCATCATCCAGTGGTCCATCTTCCTGGGCCTCTGCACGCAATCTGAGCCAGGCGACCCTGTCATCGGCGCCGTCATCACTCAATACCTGCTCTTTGGCTCACTGTCTAGTCTAACGGGCGATGGCGTTGGTCACTTTAGCCACTTTTCAGGCATCTTTCGCATCATCTTTTACACGGCCGTCTCTTCATACGGCTGCTGGTTCTGGTTCAACGGGATAGACGACATGACGGTGGAGGGATGCCCCGACATTGCCTTCTTCGGAGACGTCAGCCTCCACGGACCGTTCCGCACCGCAGGCAAGGTGTTTTCCGTGCTGGGAGTCATCATATGCGTCTTTTCGCTCGTCTTCAGCGTCTTTGCGACAATGAGGAGATTCAGAGGCGGCATTCGAGATGCCTTTGCGACAAAGGAAAGGGCGCGCCCAAAGGTGGAGCTGGTGCTGCTGGTTCTGTCCATGGCCTTGATCGGCATATCCATTTACTTGGTCGAGCACCTGATTGAGCGCAACGGCATCACTCAGGTTGGCGTTAAAGCGATTACTTCTGTTGGACAGTTGATTCCGCTGCTGGCGGGTGGATTGGCATGCGCAATGACTCTTTGGAAGATTGTGACTCACCAGCTGTTTATGAGGAAGCGATGCTGGTACCTGTTTGGCTACCACTTGTGATTTGAAGCTGTTGGTGCTGTTTTTTTCCCCTTTATGATTATTATGGATGATTCAACGAAAGCGATACCAAGTTTTGGATTTGTGGGTTTTTAGAAGGGAAATATTTAGGATAGAATATAGTTCTTTTTTGTTTAATGCAATTCATCATTTATTATTCCTCAATTCAGTCTTATATTCACACTACAATGAAACTTGCCCGCCGCATCTCCGGAGCCCAAACCCGATCGCCCCACTGAAGCCCGCCGCCAAAAATCAACCTCCGGCCTCGGGGCTTATCGTTATCAATATCTGATTCATAACTTGACTTGACTCGAACTTCTTCCGACTTGGACGCATTCAGCGCAAGTCTCAAATACCCTCTTCCCTCTTCTTCTCCCCTTCTTATATCCCCTCTTCTTCTCTTTATACCGCATCAACAGCCTCAACATCGTCAATTGGTACCTCTCCAGAGGCCCAATCCCCCCCCGCCAAAAATGTCTCCCTTCAACCTCGAGACTTGCGCTCGCCCCAATATCCTCGCACTCCAGCCTTACCGCTGCGCTCGAGAGTTTGTCCACACTCCTTACCTTTGTCTCACCTGGAAATAAAAATACAAATTGACACACATAATAAACAGCGACTACAAAGACGATGGCACAAACATCCTCCTCGACGCAAACGAAAACGCATACGGCCCCTCCCTCTCCTCCTCCGCCGTGTCCGTCGCCTCGCAAAGCAAAAATGGCCTCGGAATCGACCCCCTCGGCCTGCACCGCTACCCGGACCCTCACCAGGTCGACCTGAAGCAGCTGCTCTGCAAGCTTCGTAACACCCACGCGCACACGGACAAGACGCTGTCCGCCGAGAACCTCTTTGTCGGCGTTGGAAGCGACGAGGCCATTGATGCGCTGCTGCGCTGCTTCTGCGTCCCGGGCAAGGATCGCATCTTGACATGCCCTCCTACATATGGCATGTACGCCGTCTCGGCACAGGTCAACGACGTTGCTATCGTCAAGGTGCCGCTTCTTCCTGCGCCTACTTTTGGCCTTGACGTTCCCGCCATCTCTGCTGCTCTGTCTTCCGACTCGTCTATCAAGCTGCTCTACCTCTGCTCGCCCGGTAACCCTACTGGTTCTCTCCTAGCCAAGGCCGACGTCGTCGCCCTGCTCAACCACCCATCATGGAACGGCGTCATCGTCCTTGACGAGGCATACATCGATTTCGCCCCCGAAGATGCCTCCCTCGCCGAGCTCGTCACCGAGTACCCCAACCTCGTCGTCATGCAAACCCTCTCCAAGGCATTCGGCATGGCCGGCATCCGTCTCGGCGCAGCCTTCGCCCCAGCTCCCATTGCTTCTCTCCTCAACAGCCTCAAGGCGCCTTACAACATCTCCAGCCCAACCAGCGCCCTCGCCGCCTCGGCCGTCAGCGCAGAGGGCCTCGCCGTCATGCACGGCAACCGCGCCAAGATCCTCACCCAGCGCGACAGAATCATCAAGGAGCTGCCTTCAATTCCCGGCGTCGGCAGGCTTCGCGGCGGCACGGAAAGCAATTTTTTGTTGTATGAGATGCTTAATGCGGAGGGTCAGCCTGATAATGCTGTTGCGTTGGCTGTGTATGAGAAGCTTGCTGAGACGAAAGGCGTTGTCGTGCGATTTAGGGGTAAGGAGCACGGATGTAATGGCTGTTTGAGAATCACTATTGGTACAGAAGAGGAAGTGACAAGACTTTTGGAGGCACTGAAGAAGACGTTGGCGGAAGTAAGAGGAAGTGCGTGAAAGGTGAGACTACAAAAATGGCGGTGATTGTAAAAAAGGGGAATAGCGATTTACCTAGATAGATACCATGCTGGAAAATAGAAAAGAGTAAAAGAGGACGTCAATGACATTAAATAGAGCGTTTATATCTATCCATATAAAACAGGGGTTTCTAATTCAACTCATGTTCTAGAGCCACATACTGCCAGCACGATATATACAAAGCCGGCCGGTCTTTACACTATATACACATGCAAAACTTGGAAAACAATGGGAGGAAATGAGACAGCTTTAAGCCAGACCCCAAGTGGCCAGTAGTATTCCAAAACCAACCACCGTCAACGGCTTGAAATCAAGATTCAGTCTCGCACCAGCAGCGTTCTCCGTCGGCTTCGCATCTCCCGCAATGCCTCGCTTTGTCGTCGGCGCCTGCGAGGGCGTAGGCGTATAACTCTCCTGAGGAGGCCAATTCGTATCCCGCACAGTCTTGATATCCTTTGCCTCCAAAGGCGGCGCGGCCCCGTCAATCAGCAGCCCCTGAACAGTCTCGAGCGCGCACATCTCCGACCCCAAGTTGGTCAAGCCGTCGAATTCGCCCACGTACCACTTCTGGCCACAGGCACGGCCAGTCTCGGTTCCCGTGCAAGTTTTCACGGCAGCTTGAGCGCTGATAGTGAGAAGGCCCTCGACTTTCTCGCGGAGGGAGGGGACCATTTGCGTTGACTGCCACATGAAGCGTGCCAGGTAGCCCTTGAAGGTCGTCATGTCGGCGTCGCAGCGTTCGACGGTCTCGCAGGCGCCCTCGTACATGATCTTGGCGGTGCTGTTGGGCGGAGTGAAGAACCAGCCGGCGCCGTCCAGCAGTTTCTCGGTGCGCTGCTTCCACTCGGGCTTCTTGGTATAGTTTGCCATGACGGCCGCGCCGTAAAGATAGATGCCGCTAGTGTAAGTGAAGGATGCTGGGTTCGTCTTGGTGCAGTTGGTATCGATACCAGCGCCGTCGTAAACGTGATACGATTCAGGATCGATGAAACCAATATCCATGGACCAGTCCCAGACCTTCTCTGCCCACTCGAGATACGTGTCGTTGCCCGTGGCGCGAGCCATCCTCGCAGCTATTTGAAACAGGCCCCCGTTGCTGACGGAGTTCTTGTACGTCAAGCCGTTCGGATTGGATGCGTAAATCTGCCACAGGAGACCACCGCCGCAGTCTTGCGTCGTCCAGCGGCTCGCGAGCTGGTTGAAGACATTAGCTCCCAAGTCCAGCCACGAGGGCAGAGTCACATTTGGCTGCGGAAAATTTCGCTCGGCGGCGGCAATGGCAGCCGAGCCCCAGAAGAAGAGATCGTCGTTTCCTTCTTCGAATTCGTGTTCTGCCGGCATGTACGACTGCTGGATTCCGAGATTCGTGGGTGCCAGCAGAGCTTGGATTACGACGTCGTTGTAAGTCGAGTCCCCTGTGAAGTGATAGTAGTCGAGCATCGCCCCCCAGAGTGCGCCGGCCGTCCACCAGTAATATGGATCCTGGAGATCTCCCATGGCGACCGAGTCCGGGGCGGAGAGATTGCCCTTGTAGTAGGACATGGCATCGTATGCAAGAGTGGCAGCGACATTTCGTACCGATGCTGTTTGGTTCTGGTGTTAGTTACCTCGTCTGATACCGGATTTCAATTGCACCTACATAGACTCTTGACATCCAATGAGTTAGGAGCTGTGATGGCTGAAGTTACTGCCGCAGCATGGACGCTTGTGATAAACTTCATATTGTGTTTTTCTTTGTGTGAGACCAATCTATAGCCGGCTGATCGATTGGGTATCCAGCACCAGTAGATCGTTTCAAAGCTCGGCAGCAAGGATATATCGATACCAATAGAATAATGAAATGAAGAATCAATCTATCTCCGACCTGGAAGATAGAAAAGACCAAAAAGAAAGGATTGGGAGAAAACGAGCGACCAGATGCGTCCAGCGGCAAGGCAGTCGAATGAAAATCGATAGGATGGGGTCAGGCACGTCAGATTCCGACAAAGGAGGGCAGTCAATATGCAATTGTCGCCACTTGAATAGTGGAAAAGGCTAGAAAACAAAGAATCAAGCGCAGCAAGATCCAAGTCAGAAAAAAAGAAGGAGGTAGATAAAAGTGACAAAAAGGCGACAATGCCCTGACCTGGTGAACAGAAAGAAAAGAAAAGTGAACAAAAAGAGAGAGCTCAAGACTCGTTTGAACAAGACAGACACAAGACCAGGAAACGGAAACAGAAGGCAGCTTGAACGAATAAATAAATAAGCACCAAGCTCGTAACTTCAAAGTGAAAAAAGAGCAAAAAATAAATAGCAAGTCCCACGTAACAATAGCTTAGCACCCTTCCCTTCCCTTGCATATTGTTTCGTCCAATGCAGCCTCTATCCAAACAAGGAAGCCCACAAACCAGATCGTGCATCTTGTCTTCGGTGCATCTCACGCCAATCAATGAAACATACAGCGTCCAGCGCTTGATTTGGTCTGGGGGGCCGCCCATCTAGCCTAATTGTGACGGTTTATTAGGTCCGAATAGGACGGGATGGTGGAAGGCGAAACGCTCATCCCGCGGGATATTTGGCTAAGAACAGAACTGGATGGAGCTGGGCAGCATTTGGATTTAGGCGCGGCTGCAGGGGTTTCGTTGGTGCTGGTGGCGAGGAAAGGAAGAAGAGCGTTGCATACATGGACACGTTTTGTTTGTAGGGAAGAGAGAAAATGATTCATGGGGGGCTGCGTTTCATGTTGCCCGCGCGGCAAAATATCTCTAGTTCTCCAGCTGGTCATTAGGGAAAGGTATAGCGATAGGCAATGGTTAAAGGATAGGTAGAAAGAAGCAGCAGAAAAAGGCTGTGTCTAGCTGGGCATCTCCCCAGAAGAGCTGGATTGGCTGACAGCGCTTCGTGCTCATGAAACACGGGGGTTGAAACAGCCGGGGTGGATCGGGCTGACATGGGTGGTGATTCTGGCTTCACTTGCATCGTGAGTTAGTCTATTTAGCATCATTAAGGGCGTCAATAGGTAAACTAATAGTTTGTAGCAATGACTGGAGGGAACAGGTGCCTACCTAATTGAACAGCGGTTGGTAAAATAAAGCGTCACGACGAAGAATCCACACAAGCATAACCCTCAACACAAACGTCGCCACAAAACGGAACAAGACATACGATGAGTCCATGCCTGATCAATTTGGCTATCCGTTTACCAAATTTTATCCCATGAAATTCCATAGGCTACCGTACATGCGCCGCATCATAACGCGAAGAAAACAAAACATCTTGACAAATTCGATCCCAAAACTCCACGCTTTAAATTCCCATGAAATTACCAACTCCTCCATATGCTTCGCTAAAAAATCAAATCGCAGAGAGGGTATAACGCAATCATAACGCCTCCGGGAAACAGGGTGTAAAAACTTGACAGAGCACACTCCCAAGGCTTGGTCGCTTTTGACCGGCCATTTCGTCCCTCGCCTTCGTTTGTCTCCATGCTTATTCGATAATGAGAGCTCGTATCGCACCGACATTACTATAACGTCAGGTATACGGCCACAATGCCTGCCATGAGCCCATAAAGCGATCGCGATCCGGAAACACGCAAATTCGATCCTAGCGACGTCGGCGAAGGTTCATACATCATCCCAGACGGCGCCGAGGGCGTGGTCATGGTTCCGGCAGGGTCAAAGTCATCGTCGGTTGTCCCTGGGGGTTCGGCCATCGTCAAAGTACCCCACTGCACCTCTGATCCAGTAAAGGTGGACGTCCATGAAACCTGCGTTGGTCCAGTGTGGTATGCGTTTGTGTAACCAGATCTATAGCTCGAGTAACCCGAGCACGTTGCGGCCGTTGTGCCCTTCAAGTCGCACTCCACGTCGGCGATACTTTTGACGCAACGTTAGCTTATCTCTTCTACACTCACACCGAGTTACATCTGCTCACTATGTCGACGTCACTGTCCCATGGAACTCGAGCGTACCGGGCCCCTCCACGATGACGAAGGGGAATTCGAGAGACAGGTCGCATGCGAGGGGCGTTTGCGTCGGGCAGAAAATGGTATACGTTGTTCTGCTGGCGGATGGATCCTAGAGGCTGTGTTAATCCTGCTGGGAGGTACTCGTATATCTCAAATGAGAGAGTGGAGAATGTAGGCAAAAGAACCAAAGGCTGTGGACCCAGCATACCGTTGAAATGATGCTCCCTCGGACCAGCGACCACGCGCGCTCGTCATAGTAGGGCAGATAGATGGGAGCAGCCGTCACTGTTGGGGTCGAGGCCAATCTGTGAGGCTCACCATCTGCCTCGTCGTCGGCAGCACATGGAGCGGCCAGCGCGAGCAAGGCAAGCAATGCCGACCAAGGTTTTGGATTAATTCTGGCCATGTCGAGCCGTCGCTTTCTGGATTGATGTGGTTTCGTAGCGGCACTGCTGGGAAAGGTAGAGGAGGTTGTCGCGAAGCCAAACTAAGCGAGCGCAACTGTGAGACTTGAGAGATGAGCGATTCCGCGTGCGTCAAAGTTTCGAGAGTTGTTTTCGGGTGCCGATTGTCAAATGTCGACTGGACAGTAGACTAGTAGACTGTCGCAGGTTGGCCGTTTGACGCAAGACTCTGACTGACAGCAGTTATCGTCAAGGCGTCTTGTCACCACTGGCTTGGGCGAACAAGATGCACGGGCAGATGCATGGAGGATGGAGGATGGCCGAGATGGAAGATGAAAAGACGGAACGGCAGAGATCCGGCCAGAGACCAGAAGAAGCCCGAGAGCGGCCCATGGAAAGCAGAAGCATCAAGGGTCAAATACTAGCGATTTTGGTCCCACGATGCCAAGAGTTGGAACTCTGTCTCCTTTGCAGCAAGTCGCAAGGCATGTGGCCAATTGGGTTTAGAGCCAGTGCCGCTACGAAGGGGGTTTTTCTCCATGAGGTCTTGGCACTGCCGGGCTCCTTTTTTCTTTTCTTTGCCCATGACGAACGTCGATTTGTAGGTGGTATAATCTGTGGAGCATCAGTTATAAGCACATGGATGAGATGAGAAATGAGATGAGAATTAATCTATGTACCAGGTCATATAATCATTATAATAGTATTCGTATGCTTATGTAGTAGTGGAAGCATTCTGCCGGAGTCTCATTAATAGAGAGAAATAATGAGAGAACAGGAGGGGCCCGTGATTGTCACACGCAGATACGAAAAGTGGCTGTACTTTGTCAAAGCAGCACAATAGAAAATTGTGCGGCACCAACACACAGTAAATCCACAAGGCAGGCGCAAAGGCCCGGCGCAGAGCAAGGGAGGGAAATCACGACCGGCTTGGCACGCTGCCGCAAAAGCGGCCACGCATTTCTTCCCAACTTCCTTCCTCTTTTTCTGCGACCTTGCGAGTCAAACCAATGGGCCGCCAAGGCTTTGCCAAGACAACGTCTGAGAAGGTTTGATGCCGGCGCGTGGCTGCCAAGAGGCGAGCGCTGCCGGATAGGTGCATATTATGCAGCGGGCATTTCCGCTTAGTGTACTCCGTACGTATATCTCCCTATCTGCGTGGGTACCGATGAGCATATCCTCGGGCAAGCAAGGCGCATATCTACCCGCGGCGGTACCTTAGAGGTGAATTGCATTTATAGCGTTGTCCATATGTGCGTCTCAAAAGAGAAAGATCGGCGGGCAGGCACGGGACTCTCCGTTGGGTTCGTGACTCCCAGTTGGATGTTTGTGCCGATCTCGTCATTTAGTGAGTCTAGTCTAGTAGAGACACGTGAGGAGGCAGGGAACAACAGCTCACCTTATCGTGAGTGAATCTAATTTACTGTACACAGGCAAATTCGAGTGTTGCATCGCCATCTCATCGATCTCAAGATACTGCACAGCATCTCAAACACGCGCCATTCAAACAAGGTTACACAGCCAGTCTCATGTTTGCCGCTAAAATAAGCGAAGTGCAGAGACTTTGAATGTGCAGCCCGAACAAAGCAGCTAGCGGTTAAATCCAGGTGGCACAGATCGCCTGTTTGAGCCCCGAGAGCAGCAGCCATTGGCGGGATGGTGAGGAATAAACAGCTGGGCTGGCTTCTGGGGATACACATGCCGCATAATATATGCTTACTTGATTTCTACTAGGAGTATTACTCGTATACACGGCAAAGGATTTGACACGACCCAACGAGCAAGCAACAGATGCCGTGTCAAGGTTGCATTTCGCTCTTATTAATTCGCCGAGAAGCTCTAGACTCGTCTCTCCACCTCCGAAACCAACTGCGCCCTGTCATGGCAAGAATTTCCATTTAGTAGAAAGAAAATTGGATCACTCTAATGCCGCCTCCCGCCAGACCAATCGGTTAGCCAGGGGCTGTAAAGGGAAAATTTTGGCCATCCATGCAAACCTTGTTGGCTCTGGATCCTCTTACGAAGTCGGAAGAGGAACCGAAGCATTGCGATTCCAAAATCACGTTACACCACTGGGCTTGACGATGCGATGCAGACAAGAAAAAGCTATGGACGGCCTAATTTTTCCAGCATCACTCGCCATCTCAAGTGCTCTCCTAATGCTCAAGTAATGATGCCCAAGACGCAAAATGACTGCTCTGTGCGCTAAATATCGTGAGAATCAAATCGGGAAGCATGACTAATGTTCTGACAATCCGACAGTCCGGGTCTTTTGCCACGATCTAACTTATAAAGTCAATCGCCGAGACTAGCATGTGTGCAGCGCTACCTTGAAGAAGGAAAAAAAGGGGACAATACGGGAGTAGTCTGGACCGTTAGAGGCCAAAATGAGCTTGAAAGCTGCTAAATAAAGATCGCGTGGTGGCCGGTTTAAACCCGCTGGACTGTTTCTTCTTCTTCTTGGTTCTACGATTCACTCATTCGATCGTTACGTCAACCAGCCATTCACTCGTTTTCACAAACCAACGGCAGCTAATATCAATCTTTGGACTCGTCAACGTGCAAGACCCGACTTGACTACTCTGCCAGCACATTCGTTCATCCATCAAGATCAACATCAACATCAATAATGGCTCGTTCACTCGCTCTCCTCGCCTTTGCCAGCGCTGTCATGGCTGCCCAGACCACCACCGTGTCTCTCCTGCTCCCCTTTGCCGACCCTCAGCCCTTGGTCGGCTCAGTTATTGGCGTTGACAGCACGGCTACGACCTATGCTTACGGATGTGCTCCTGGAACTTCTGAAGACGATTGCGGTTTTCCCAGCAGCGAGACTGTTACTCAGGGTCCATCCACCTGGGCCTTTTCTATGTCTTACTCTGCTGAAGGCAACTCAGTGTAAGTGGTATTCTGGCTTAACTCTAGCGATGTCTTTGGGTGTGGTGGGCTTGGTTACCTTGAGCCAAAACCTGGAATCCTTTCAATAGCCAGGCTCACACGCGAGACGAGCATAAACCTCACTTTTGACTACTTAAGGAGACACACTTACGCTTCTGATATAGTTCCGAGGGTGGTACCTGCGTGCTCAACACTGCCAAGGATGCTGCTTCATGCAGCATGGCTTTCGCCCAGGTAACGGGCGGCAGCATCTCTGCTACCGGCAGCTCTGGAGTTGAGGCTTTCCTCACCTTCCAGCTTCCCGTCACCATCACCGCCGGTCTCGAAAAGCTCAAGGCCACTCCCGGCGCCTCGGCCACCGATAGCTCAACCCCTGCCCCTACCAACACCGGCGCCTCCCAGGCTGCTCCTACAGGCTCTACATCTACGACTCTCGCCAGGCAGACATCCGCTGCAAGCACTGGTAACAGCACTCGTACCGCTTCTTCTACGGCCGGTCCCTCAAGCACCAATGCTGCAGGCATTGTAAACGCCCAGAACGGTCTACTGGCTGGTGTTGCTGCCCTTGTTGGTGGTGTTATGATGTTGTAATTGATTAGGGAAGGCGTTGTTTGAGCTCCAACAACGGCAGCCATTTGACAGGATGGTGAGGAAGAAACATGATGCACGTATGTATGCTTATTGAGTTGATTAGTAGGTACAGCCAGCATGGAATTAATATACACAATAAAGGATTTGATAGATCCAACAACCAAGCAGCCCGTCAACTACGGCGTCATATACAGATTTAGTCAAATATCCCAACGATCGATGTGCCAAGCGTTGCGCCATGTAGAAGTATCGTGATATTCCAATCAGGCAGCATGACTAATTTTCCGGTGATCCTTCTGCCATTTTCCCCATGACCTAACTTGTAAAGTCAATGGCCGAGACTAGCATCTGCAACGCTACCTTGAAGCGGAAAAGGAGACGAATAGTGTAGACTTGGCAACGAGAGCCTTGGTTGAATCCTTTTAAAACTCGAGTCGTTGGCCGCTTGGGTTTTCCCTTTTTCTCACTTGACTATCGCGATCCCACTCATTTCTCTCGACGATCGTTGCTTTAATTTTGAATTGCAACAGCCATTCGTTTTATTTATTTATTTATTTGCAAGATCCAACTACCAACACATCGTTACACAACTGACCCGGCAACCAACAATTAAGCTTATTACCTATATATAAGATACGAGGTTAAGCGTGCAGTTTACCAGTACCCTCGTTCGTTCTTATCAACACGTCAACAATGGCTCGTTTGCTCGCCCTTCTCGCTCTTTCCGGCGCCGTCATGGCTGCTCAATCTACTACCGTCTCTCTGCTGCTGCCGGCTACCGATCCCCAGAAGCTCGTCGGTTCTGTTATTGGTGTCGATAGCGCGGCTACGACTTACGCTTATGGATGTGCGCCTGGAGTAGCCGCTGATAAGTGTGGCTTCGAATCTAGCCAGACTATTACTCAAGGTCCTACTACATGGATTTACACGAATACTTACGGTGATGCCGAGGGCGGCCATTAGTAAGTGACACTCTCTGCCTCAATGTTTATGATATGATCTCATGTCATCGGCGGCATGTTCATTATCGATCCAACCGTTGAGCAACTACTACTCCCATCATATGAGCATACAAACGCCATTCGAAATAAAAAAATATATAAGCTAATGTTTCCCCAATAGCACCGAGGGTGGCCACTGCAAGCTCTCCAGCGCGGCAGACGTCGCTTCATGCAGCATGTGGATGTCCGCGACGGATTCCACCGGCAGCATCACCATCGTTACCAGCGTCGGCACTGCATCAGATTTCCTATCGTTCCAGCTCCCCGTGACCATCACCGCCGGTCTCGAGAAGCTCCAGGCCGCCCCTGGTGCCTCGGCCACGGATAGTTCAGCCGCCGCCGCTCCCACCAACACTAACACTGGTGCTTCCGAGACTTCGCAGACGACTGCTGCTTCTTCGGGTGCTAATACGTCTAAGAGTGCTTCTTCGGGCCCTGCTTCTACGGCTGCTTCTTCGAGCGGCGCGTCTACGACTCTTGCTAGGCAGACGACCGCTGCTGTGAGCACTGGTACCAGCACTTCTTCTACTACTGCTGCGCCTAGTAGCACTAATGCTGCTGGGCTTGTGAACGCTCAGAACGGTTTGTGGGTTGGTGTGGCTGCTGTTATTGGTGGTGTTATGATGTTGTAGTTGAACAGAGAAGACGTATAGAGGTAGGATATGTGTTGAGAACTTATGAACATATGAGCCGCTAGTTTTGTTCAAAAGCCACTTGTTTTTCAGCGTCTTCAACTTGGATTACTCTCATGTTCACTTGTAATAGAATAATCAACGTTGTTTTGAACACGACTCGCATTGTGAGGATGAAATTGAAGGACGCATTATATGAACAATGTCTTCGTGTTCTTTGATAAGTCTAACTAGGCGCCTGTTCCCTGGGTGCATATTGTCTTTGAACAACCTGTGATACCAGCATGCATCACTTCGTTTCTTTGTCATTGCACTTCATATCCAGTATTTATAAGCCTCCCTTTTCCGACTTGATAACCTTCTAAGCCGCCTATCCATCACAACCACTCTCAATCACTATACACACGTCAAAGTTATCTACCTACACTTCAGTGATTCCCAGCATACCTGTATTTTCCACCATTTGCACGATGGATTCCACCCAGCAAAATGGCTACAACCTCTACAGCAGAATTCTGCACGGGATCAAGGGGATCTTGCCCAAGTCCTTCGTCATCGCCGCGTATCTTGTCGCCATCGTTTACATAGTGGTGAGATACAGGAAAAGCATGGCTAAGCCAACCGACGAAGAACATTGCGAATGCGGGGATCAACATTATAAGAGATTGCTTCGACAGGTGGAGCATAAGCCCCAGGCTTTCGCGTCGGGTGTGGATGCTTCAAGGTACCATTCGGACGCTGTTTAATGCGATTGTCCATGATTTCTTATTGTCTTGTCAGGCGGAAGAAATAGCACATGTCAGGGGGGGTGCTCATCATTTAGTCAGTGTCGCGCTGCGTGGTTCGGGGCGTGGTATCAATGTCTTCTCTGCCGTCAAGCCAGCTGCTGCAGTTGATACATCGACGAGACTACACGTGTTTGCCTATAGTATTAGTCCTTCGATTCTTTCCATAGAGTAAAGTCAAATATACAAAATGTCGCACCTTTTTATTAATCCGCTTCAAACAATATGGGCATTTCTTGGAATACTTGATAATAGGATCATGCGAAACAAGCGTATACACGTGTGCCAGCCCGTAGAGCGAAAAGCCCATCAAGGTAAACGACACCATCTGGTAGATAAAAGATCCGTAGGCCATGACGACGGCGCCGTCGGCTTGCGCCTGGTGGAGTGTGTTGTAGCCCCCGGCGGGTGAGGAGGCATTGTATTTGGGGCCGGGGCGGAGGACGGCGAACTTTTCTTCAATATTTTTGTTGATGGGGAGGATGACGGAGATGGGGGGCATGAGGATTGCGCTGACGAAGGATTTGACGAGGTCTGTGAAAGCAGCGGCGAGGCTGGTTGGTGGTGGTTAGTTTGGGGGATTTTTCTATGATACGGATTTGCTTTGTCTTTGTGTCTCTTGGTGTAGGTTATGCCCTTTGTTGTGTGTAAATGGAAATCGAGAAAAAAGCTGCTCACATTAAACCAAACGCAATCTGCAAAATGTTTCCCTGAAATGCAAAGTCTACGAAGCCGTGAAAGAAGCGCGTCACTCGTGTACGGCCCCTGTCGAGCAGAGAATCCGTCTCGCTGGGACCACCGATCTCAATGTCGTGGGAGGAAGAGGAGGCATCTGGGCGTTTGGAGCTCATGGTTGGGAGTTCTACGGAGTATAGAGATGTTGATGAGGATTACAAGTTTTGGGCTTCATTGACAATTTAACTGTATTTATTATTGAAAAATAAGGGTTGGACTTAGAGATTCATGCCTGATGTTAGGCGCGAGATCGTCAATGTCACGAGCTTTGGCTGTTAAGCGCTCAATTCCCCGTTTAGGCAACATATGACGCAGATGGCGCTGAATCTAATGCGCTGTTGCGGAGGCTTGGAATAAGCGAAGCAGTAAAATGGCCATCGAGATAAAACAAGGATAAAACACCAATAACAAAGACTATGCTTGCAGTTGATGCCTTATCTAGCACTGCATAGTAAAAGAAGTTTGGAGCTTTAGTTTTGGTCTAAAGAGCGTGAATTCTTGTATTCAGATATCATTGCTGTTATCAGCGTGCATATTAGTGAGGTTTGCCCTCGTAGCATTTTGTATCTTGGCCTTTCCACAGCCACCCTAGAACCAAACCATCCAGTCCATAACCTAAGCTCTGATATAAACGAGCGAACAATAGGAAAACAGAAAAAACCCGGGAAATCATTATAGTGCAAGTGTTGCAACCCCCATTTTCTTCATCTTTGTCATTATGCAGACAGACATTCGTCCTAGCGCCAGCACCAGGGAGAGGGACGGCCGACAAGAGTCATGCCAGCTTAGAATCCCTCCTTGGAGTATCTCTCGCGCTCCTTCTTCTCCTTCTTCCAGATAAACACAAACTTGCCCACCCAGAACGCCGACGACAGAATCATCAAGGCTGAAGTGACCCATGTAATGGTGTAGAACTTTGTGCCGTTGGTAGCTACCACGGTAACCGGCTTGCCTTCGGTGTTTATAGCATTGACGGCAACAGAACCGGCTGCCGTGGCGATGATGCTGGCAAGAGTGATGAAAAAGGCGGTAGCCGATGCGAGGCCCGTGTTCACCATGAGGATGATTCGCTTGTCGCCCAGGACGATGGCCGGGATGCAGGCCAGCATGGCGAGGCCGCTGAAGCCCACGCCCAAGACGTACAAGACGAAGAGGGCCATCAGGGCGGCATTGAGGGCGTCGATTTTGAGCTGGATGGAGCCTGGCCAGTGAATCTTGGCGAGGCTGATGTGGAGGGGCCCGAGAGAAAGCTGGTGGTCCATGATGGATGTGAGGTTGAACCGGACTATAACGATTTGAGTTAGTTGAGCTGCTGGGTATTCAAAGTGAGGATGATGAAGCAGTTGTTAGACGTACCTTGGGGAGCTGATTGAGTGCAGTTGGTGGTGTTGAGCTGGAAATGCGATTCCGTTGCGTTTGGCCCAAAGCCTCCCCAGCAAGCGTTCATGACGTGGAGCGAGTACCAGTCACTGATGCCCAGCTCGTCGGCAATGTCGCCGATGATGTCGCCGGCGATGTCGTTGATCTTGCCCTTGGCAGCGTCTCCGAGGTCGTCGAGCCCGTCTGTGAACTGGTCCCAGAGACTGTCACCGTCACCGTCGTCGTCGCTGCTCGACTTGTCGTCTGATGACAGTATGTTTTGGCCAAGCATCGTGGTGTTTATCTGCATGGCTGTATTAGCTCTGCGTAATCGCCTCTTGGTTGGCGATTTTACTTACTCTGACGACGGCATACTCCTCCATGAAACCTTTCTTGCTTCCAGCAAACAACGTCAAATTCGTCAGGACAAAGGCGACGAAAGAGAATATTAGGGGGATGAGAACGGCGAATCTTAAAAGGACAGCCATGATTATTAATTTGTATGAAAGAATGAATCACCAGGATGCAATTTTAGAGGTATGGAAAGGTGTAATAATGTGTAAGAGAGTGTATCACCAGGATGCAATCCTATAGGTAGGTATGGAAAAAGAAAAAGGAATGAGGCGTAAAAGAGAGAGTGTGTGAATTACGAAGAAGGGGGCCGATGATGACTCTATATAATCGTCGGCTTGGCCATGATTGTGTGAATAAAGCCTGGCCTGGCCTGGCCTGGCCTGTTTGATGAAGTGCACACCCACGTTCACATCCAGTTCACTATTTTTTGTCATTGTGGTAGAATGGATTGGCCCAGAGCCCAAGTTACGCGTATCAGCGCCGGGATCAAAGAGGCAACCAAAAGGACAAACTCGATTCTGCCGCGGATTGTCGCTGCCGATGTCTGGGATTGGCTAGCCGCGCGACAATCAAGTGTCTTGAAAACAAGTTCGTAGGCGCAAATCCGCTGCAGCAGTTTCACGGGAACGATTTGCCTCTGGGATGGCGCTTTGCATCATGATGGCGGTGCTGGGGGTGAATGGTTGGCTGAGAGTGGGTGAATCGTGAACAGGGTGTGTTCAACTGTTGGTGGATCGGCAGCAGGGGTCAAACAGCAAACGCAGTTGAACAGACACAATGGGTAAATCACGAGCTCATATTGATCAAATAATTGAATGAATATTGAATAGAATATTTGTGAGTTGTGTGCATTATTGATGTTTAAAAGATTAAGCGATCAACCTGGAAAATGCATTATACAATCATTAATACGTCTGAAGTGACAGCCGCACGAAGCTTCCTTATTCTCACTTCTAAAATTATCCAATAAGCGACTCGGATATTGATGACTCAAAAGCCGGCTCTCGATGCGACAGCCGTGTCAGGCGGCTGTTACAGGGCGGATTTCAGATTCTGAGGCGCTGGGCCAATCGATGCTGGGCGCTTGGGCGCCTAGTTGAAACGGGCTGGGCGTTACCAGCCCAAGATTTCGTGAGGACCGATGCATGTTTCGTGTTTTTATAGCACAAGCCAAATAATCCAAGCCTACTACAGTAAGTCAAATGTGCACTTACATAGTGCGTTGTGTAGTAGGTACTCATGCTTGTGCACGGAAGAGCATTCAGAGTGTTGGAAGAATGGAGGCCATTCTCCGGCTCCAATGCCTAGTCAAATGAACTTATAGAAGCGTGGAGAAAGAAAGAAGAAAGAAATAAGATCTCACTCCGAAAAAAAAGTTTGATGTAAAAAAAAAAAAAAGGACAAGGAGCCAAGCAGCCAAATCTGCAAGACAATAGGTAACTAAAGCTGACTGCGCGAGAGTACTAGGAGATTCAATGCTGTTTCCCCAAGCTAGCCGCTTGTCGCTGGTTTAGCATGTCGCTGAACTTTTTCGGTTTGCTACAACAAAGCAACCTTTGGTCCAGAAGAGCATAATTGCGGGATTCCAATGCCCAATCAAATGAATTTTAATTGCTCATATACTAATGTGGCGATCGTTTTCACTATTACGCCAAATGGCCTAGAATTCGGTGGCCTTAGATCTTATTCTCGCCAGGTGTCTGCGGTTGGGGGTACTTTTGCTTGTACCAGTCGTGCAGCAGCTTCGCCGCGTCGTCTCCCAACTTGGTTGCTGTCAGCCACCTGTTGTTTGCCCCCGGCAGGTTTGCTAATCCTATCAGGTATTCTGTCTCGTGCCCATTCTGTCGCTCGCGGATGATGCAGTCCATCTTGGCGTCTTGGAGTTGTACTGGTGCCAGTTGTTGGCCCTGCGCGGTGTCGTCTTCAGGCCTTGGCGCTGGTTCCAAATGGTTGACTGATATGACGGGACTGGATGACCGATGGAACATTCGACATCTCATAATCATACTGGTTACGCTGCTATTAAGTATACCTAATTCTCGATGGACATCTTAACCAACTCGTAAGCATGGTACTTTTGGAGGTTTTTGGTCAGGACATCCGCTCCGTCTGTTTCAATTTTTCGAAGCTTTCGCAGAGCAACGGCCGCCACGATACTGGGTGCCGGCAGTACGTAGACTTTTTTGAAGTAGATAAGTACATAAATAAGTCTTGACCATCTACCGTTGGTGCAGATAGTAATAAAAAAGAAACACAATGAGCTTGCCATAATGAAGGGCAAAGTCTTGAAAAGAATTTATAATTGGCCTTGCACGGACGACTACCGATCTGAAGTACTCTTTTACCTGGAATAAGATAATTGGGGCTGGGGAAAAAATTGCTGAAGATGATAATGCAACTGGAGATGCAAGAGGTGGCTATTTCTTTTTGCCTATTCTCTCTTTCTGTTTCAATGCCCTGATATATGGTTTTATTATTCCCCTGAGACTATTACAATTGTATTTTGTGACCTTGAAAGAGGTAATAAACAGCAATATTGCTGTTTTGGAGTTGGTAGCTGGCATGCGGAGGCCACATATTGTGCACTTCTCTGCCAGCTGCGAGGGCGGTGAAATTTGCCCTATTTCTTCATAACAAACGGAATCTCAACTTCCCTTCTCTTCTTCTTCTTCTTTCTTCCTTCTTCTTCTTTCTTCCTTCTTCACACTTCCTCATTCAAAGGTGAGTTTCCAGCTCTTGTGGTCACGGTCACGCTGCTGCAACCTGACAGCTAATATTGACGGTACGATAGTGTCCGTCATGGCTGACGAGGCTTCTTCCACACGTCCTGGTGTCCAGAGCACGTCATTTGTGTGAGTAGCCGCGAGGTAGTAACGAGGTCGCTGCGAGCTAGATAGCTAACTGCCATATAGCCGTCGTATCCCTTGCAAGAGATGCCTCAACCACTACGCGCAGTATCCAACGAAGAACGAAGAAGCCAATGGTACTCAACTTGTGGCTTGTTGCGAAGATTCTAGTAAGTATCTGATAGCTGCTACATGATGTATGCTAATTAGCTTCCAGGCGCCTCTGACAAATGTACTCGATGCAGACATGGCAATAGGCCTTGCGAGAAGATTGACAAAGCTTTTATTGCTGTCGCCAAGAAGCTTCACGAACACGCCCAAGTGGGTTACACTGTGGGTAGAAGCTGTGTGATCCTGGTACCAGATGGCTGTTAACCACGAAAGCTGCTAGGACAAGTTCAAGAAATACCAGCTCGCAGGTCGCAAGGCTCTTTCCCAGATGAAGAATCGATCTCGTGCTCGTAACCGCCGAACTAAGAAAGACAAAGTCGCAATGAAGGAACGTGCTCGCGAGGCGCGTGCTGTGACTGATTTGAAGATTCGCCTTGATATGGCGAATTCGTTGTCTGTCATTGCGAATGCTGCTGCTAGCTTGGCCTCTGTAAGTTGCCTGCTGGTATAGTGAGGTAACTGCTAATGTTTGTGATAGAATCGTTGGCAGACCGTGGCCCCCTATGACCGTGAGGTCGCTGATAGTTATCAAGGCGTTCTTGATGACGAAGCTGATGAGATTGAGTATTCTGAAAGCGATTCCGACGAGAAAATTGAGGAACAGGCATAGTAATTGCTTTCTAGCATTTATAGTAGCTTCATGGGGATTACCAGGGCGTTTTAATATCCTCTTCTAATGGGATTTCAATAGATAGCTGCGCTTGCGCATCTAATACGTATCTAAGTCGTTACGACTTCACTGCTATAGTTGTTCCTTTAATGTTGTGAGCTTCCTAGTATTTGCTACTATTATTACTTGCTATTACTATAGCTACGTTTCTCTAGTATCTGCTACTATAGTTATATTTCTATAATGTTTGCTACTATAGTTGTGTTTATTTAGTATCTGCTACTATAGCTATGTTTCTCTAGCATCTCCACTGTCGTTAAATAGTTAATTTAAGATACTAAATGGGCATTTCCTATGGAAACTCCTTGGTTACTATAAGAGAGACTTGGGGCTGCTAATGGCATGTATTTGTTATCCACTACTAGTATACATGATAAGGCCGACGATGGCGTCAATCTCGTGAAGTGCCGCTGACAAGGGTCAATTTGCGGAGACGCAGATTTCCTAATCTGGCAATATACGCAAGGCCCCATCTTGGGCCTCCGCCTTTCATCTGCCTCTGTTAATCGGCGATGAGATCTAATGGATATTCACAGCTGTAATGATGGCTTGGTAAGCATCCTCTATCACCAGATAGATTATGCGGTAATAGAGTTTGCTTTAGTTCAGGGTAGGTATGTGCAGGTGGGTGAGATACATGCGTTGCTATTGGCGTATACTCCATTTCTATTGTTCAATAGCCATCGAATATGTTACCTGTCATTGTCTCTTCCGTCGTCTGATCCTTCACGCAGCATGGCATTGTTTACTACACCACCACGGTCTCAAAATCATCTGACCACCAATAGCCGGCATTGCACCATCTCCAGACAAAACATGACCTTTGGGTAGCTCTGCAGCCTGTATTTGCCTGGAACATGCATGACCGCGTGAAGTCCATCGAACTTACAGCGTTGGTCAGCGGTGGCATTAGCCCGCTGGGGGACTGTAGAGGGGCCACTAAAGCCGCTACTGCTACAGAGCCCCCCTCCACTCCATCCCACAATGCCTCTCCAACGGCACTGCAGCTTTCGTCATTCCCATGTGGGAGCCCATTATCGGCTCTTATCTGAACGTCCATTTTCCATTTCTCCTCACATCACCGCTTTTGCTTACTGCATGTACCTCCTCCATTGGTCTACCTTTCCTCTTCACATCACAAACCTCGGAATAGCCTCATATCCGCGAGGCTTGCCCTTTACCTTTCCTCATCCCCCACCTCGACGAAACTCAGCACCAACGTCCACTGAAGGCAGTTTGGAGGGGCTCAACTCGATTCACTGCGCCACTAGCTGTTTAGCTCCCTCCCATGGAAGAGTAACGCGCCATAACTTTTCTTCCTCTTCCTCCTCTTCCTCTCCCTCTCTCTCACTACTCCCGTGTCGTCTCTGTTTCCCCCTACGATGCCCTCGCATCGTCCCTCGAATCTACGCCGCCACCGTCTCCGAGTACGCTGACGCGATCGACAATGCGATAAGCAACCTCTTCGACCCACCCGCGCGCCAGCCATCCCGTCCTTCATCTTTTTGCTCGTCCAAACTTTCAATCCTCGCTTTCGACTCATCGCTTCATTCTTCCCTACCAAACTTCACCCTTCGATCCGCACCCCATTCAAGATTTCACCCTCTTCTCCTCGTCTGCACGGCCTTTCCCGTAAACCATGTCGTCTTCTCTCGAGGCCAAGATTGTGGTCTTGGGCGCCCAAAACGTGGGCAAGACGTCCCTTGTGATGCGGTACTGCAAGGGCTCCTTCAATCCAGCCCAGACGACGTCCACCGTCGGCGCCAGTTTCCTGACCAAGCGCGTGGTCGACAATGACTCCGACACTGTTGTGCGCCTCCAGATCTGGGACACGGGTATGTGCATCTGCTGCTTTGTATCGCTGTCGTATTGTCTTATGCATCCCTGCCATTCCTCTGCTGGGTGCTGCCTAGACGTCTTTCATGCCCGATGATGACTTTTTTTGCCTGTTGAAATCACGTAATTTGCATAACATTTTATGCTGACTCTTTTCGCAGCCGGTCAAGAGCGTTTCCGCTCTATATCCCGTTTATACTACCGTGGCGCCAATGCTTGCATCCTCTGCTACAGCATCACCGATGCCCAATCTTTCCTCGACATGGGCGAGTGGCTCATGGAGCTGCGCCGCAACCTGCCCGCAGACGTCGTGCTGCACGTCGTCGGCACAAAGGCCGACATTGTTGCCCGCGATCCTTCTCTTCGTCAGGTCCCCTTTGAGCGCTGCATCGCCTACGTCGCCGAGAATCTGGCCCCCGGCCTCGGCAGCACGCCGCCCCCGACCGCCACGCCTAGCAACGGCCATTCCTATCCCTTAATGGGCGGCGTCGAACCCCGGAGCCCCAGTTCTAAGCGGAGCTCCGGCTTCTGGGGCCAGGAGGTTGGCTGGGACGCCTGTCACGAGATCAGTGCCGAGAGCGGCGAGGGTGTCGAGGAGGTCTTCCGCGTCGTTGCCAGGAAGCTCGTCGAGCAGAACCGCAAAATGCAGCAGGCCCTTCTCCAGGCGACCGCCACTCCGAACACCCCTGGTTACGAATCCGGTATGGACGGAGGATACTTTGAGGGCATGAATGCTAGAGGGAGCTTCCGCATCGGACGCGACAGGCGGAGCTGGCTGTTTCCGCCGGGCTTCTCGCCCGCTGTGACCATTGACAGGGCTGGATCTACACAAGAGCAAGACCAGCAGGTCGACAGCCGGCAAAAACAACGGCGGAGCAGCTGCTGCTAGATGATTGACTACGATCACTGAGGCTCCCGCTTATGCAGCTACGTTATTGCTGAATTCATTGGATTCGCCGCTCAAAGGTTTATTTTTTGAACTCTGGCGGCGACCTTGGCTCCTTTTTTACTTCCCTTTTTCTTTTTCTTGGGGCTTCACGAGGCCTTTTTCTTGATTTGCTCATATGGAAGTTTTTAGAAGGCTGGTTGGTGTTCAGGATACAATGTACGGACGGGCTGGAAAAGACGGCAGAAGGCAGAGGATGATAGGAGTGCCGTCTTGCCCAAAGGGTGTTTGTTTTGTTTGCTTGTTTGCTTTGCTTTGTTATACAGAGGATTGGGAAAGAGAGCTCTCACGAGACTATGGCTTGTACTCCTTTTTTGTTTGTTTGCGGATTATGGTACGGGATATACGGGGGGTATGGGCAATGGGTTGATTTACGTTGTTCCTTTTTCTTTGCGTCTTTTCGCTTCTTTTATACTTGATGTCTTGGTTGGCTTTGTTACGTGTTTGTTCCGGTTGGAGCTTAGGGTAGCGTACGTACGACTTTGACATGTTAATATTTTTCATGTTTATGCAGGTCATGAACAGATTCTGCTACAAAATTTCTATGGGCTTTTTATGCTGATGATCCTTCCGTTGCCTTCTTTGTCTGCCCTGACTTGTCCAAATCATCGTCCACCGCTGGGGGAGCTGGAATATCCACTCCGAGGACCCTGTGTTCCATGCCGATGTATCCATCACTTACGACAATGATATCCAGCTTGCGTGCCTCTTTGGCCTTGGGCGGGGGAAGCTTGAGCACCGTTCGTGCAGAAGGGTAAGAGCCCTGGCCGAGCGGCTTCTTTGCTCCTGAACTACCCGCAGAGGGACTTCCCCAGCCGAGACGTTTCACGGCAACGACCTCGTCTTTGGCGACATCCGCAACAATGACGAACCATCCCTCATTCTGGGGCTTGTGGAACTTTGGCGCCCAGATGCGTGCGTCGCGGTCGACGAGGGGGTTGAGACGCTTGACGTTTACGGTGAGTGAAAGCGTGGTGATGTCGGTGACGGTGACGGCGACGTTGGGGAGCATTGACGCGGCGCGCTTGAAGCGAGCTTGGATGTTGGATGGAACATGGAGTTTCTTGGCAAATGCGGTGACCTGGTCCGGCGAGTAAGTGCTGATTGTTGCGAGCGTCGTGTCGTTCTTTGTCGAGTCTGGTTCTACGCCGGGTAAGATTGATGCGGGAGGATCGGTTGGCCATCTGGCGCACTTGATGCTCTGAAGAAGCTTCATCATCTGCAGACAACTAGAGAGGAAGCCCATCTCAGTGAGGACGTCGATAGAGGCCTGAATGATACGAATTGCCTGGTCAAGCACACTGGTCTGATCACCGACGTAATCCGTGACAGGCAACTCAATGCGCGACATGAACGCCTGTAGTAAGAGGAACGACTTGACATGAGGATCCCACATGGGCAAATTAAACGAGTTCCCCGGGAAAGGAAGGTTCTGCGAGAGCACCTCGTTGACCAAATCTTCATTGTGGCGGACGGGCAGTTCGTCGTATTCCGTTGCATGACACATCCACGACAAAACGTTCAAGAAGCTGGCATTCGCCTTGGCGTTGCGCGAGAGATACCGAATGGTCATGTGCGAGAGATAGTAGTAACTCATAATCTTGCCAAGAGGAGTAGGATCGACGTCGCCGTTGGGGAAGACTTCGACGCACTTTGATTCGTCAAGCTCTTCGAGAGATTTATCGACCATGTCAATCATGAATTCGTTGGCTAGCTGCTGGGCGGCGATGGTGCTGTGTTCTTCCGCCGAAATCTCCAGTCCGTAGTAGGATGGGTTCTTGTGGAGTCGTCTAAAGAAGAATGTCCATGTCAGATAGTCGAGTGCGTCTTGTTTATTCATAATCGTCTCTGCAGAGATTTCTGCGCAGATATGGTTGTCCAAGACTTTGTGCAGGGTTGATTCCACAGGGAAACCAGTATGCAAAAAGTGCTTGTAAAAGTCCTTCTTGGCGTCTTGGGTGAAGATACGAGCCACACCGGAGTTGTCAAACTGGGGTCGTCCAGCTCGTCCCAGCATCTGCAAGACGTCTGTAAGATCCATGTCCTTGTAGCCGCTGGTCTTGGCGTCGTAGAACTGAGTGCCCTTGACGACGACAAGGTGGGCTGGCAGGTTCACACCCCATGCAAGTGTACTGGTTGCGACCAGGATTTGAATCTTGTTGTTTAAGAAGAGCTCTTCTGCAATCTGTCGATCAGACTCGACAAGACCAGCATGATGGAGGCCAATGCCAAAGTTGATGGCTTCTCTCAGAGCATCATCCTTTACACGCGACAAGTTGAGCTGCAAATCTTCCTCGTCCATTCGAAGGAAGCGTCGTGGGTTGTCCTCCATACCGCAGTAGTTGATTAGATCCTTGGCAGTGAGGCGAGTCTGTCGACGGGATGCAACAAAGACGATGACGGGCTTTTCAGGGCTGTGGTTCTTGATTGCCAAGAAGGTTGGCCGGTTCATAGATTGCATCAGTGGGCAGAAGCCCCTAACCTCTGGGAACCCATCAATGTACAGCTCTAGAGGGACAGGGCGGACGGAATGCCTAAAGTTGAAGAGGCCTTCCTTTACACCAAGCCAGTTAGCCAGGTCAGTGGCATTGGCACAAGCTGTCGACATGCCAAGCAGCCTGACTTTATTCTTCGTCGAGGACGAGATATAGTTCATTCCTAGTTGATCAGTTAGCGGTCAGATTCTCTAAGATTAAAAGAAAGACATCTTACGAGAAACAATAATCTCCAAAATCGGACCACGATCTCCGGCCAACAGGTGAATCTCATCGATAATCACCAAGCTGACTTGCCTAACATATCCTCTGGTCTGCCAAGAACGAGAGATACCATCCCACTTCTCAGGAGTCGTGATGATGATGTCTGCATCCTTGATAGTCCTCGTGTCGGGAGTGTTGTCACCGGTCAACTCGACCAGTTTGAGTCCCAAGGGCTTGGCAAGACGATTCCCCCAGTCTATGACACGTTCACGAACCAGGGCCTTCATTGGCGCAATATACACCACCTTGGACTTGGGTCTTTCTCGGAATGCCCACCACATGGCAAGCTCGGCAGCAACAGTCTTTCCACTGCCTGTGGGAGAACCTAGAAGAACGTTTGCAGAAGTATGGTACAGAGTATGGAAGATCTGAGTTTGCATCGGGTTAAAGAAGCTGAATCGCTTGGCATAGAGCTCTTCCAATCCGGGATTCTTGAGTGCCGTGATGGGAAGGGGCTGCAAGTTAAGCAAGTCTGTATACACGCTTTCCGTATCCGGACGAATGAGATGTTGGAAAGAAACAGGCGTTACCGTTTCAGATCCAAGCCATCGGTCAGAGATTGCTCGAACGTAAATCTGTGTCGGTAATGGGTCTGATAGAGGGATGGTGAAATTCAGTTCGTGCTCATCATGCAGCTTTCTCCTGTTGAGAATAAAGTATTCATGATGGTAAATCTCTGAAGTCTCCGAGTTCTCGACCCAAATGTAGAAGGATTCCGACGTTCCATGGATGTGATCTTTCCAGAGGAAGTCTGGGATAACATACAACTTGATACGCAACACATCTCGGTTCAGAGGGGCAATCTCAGCCTCCACGTGAACCATTGGGAAATTGTTGAGTATCTTGGCAATGTTTTTTCCAGCACCTTGGTTGTGTACCAAGCTTCCGATCTCTGCTGGCTCCATTTCTTTCATGACGTCGATTGTCAAGTTTTCTTTGCTGTCGAGTTGGTTTAGGATTGGCTTCTGGAGCTCAAACTGATGGAGAGGATGTTGAAACGGCCAGATCCTCTTCTCAATTGACTTGGACAGGGTCAGAAGCACTAGACATTGGTGGCCCCATCTACGATTGAGAGCAAGCATGAACAAGGCTCTGCAGATTCGACCGGATTGCTGAGCAACATAGTTCATATCGTTGGTAAGAGCGAAATCGTCTGGCTGGATCTTGGAAATGTATGACTGCAGCAGAATATTGGTCTTTACCTGAGGCGTGTCAATGCCTTTGTCAACATCGCAAGGAACAATGTCTTTGAACTGCAGCAGCTCCTTTGCTTCGCTGTCTCTGGACTGGATATTGTCAAACTCTCCACTCATACTAATCATCTTCAAGACGTCGGCCTCGGTGGCTTGAGGATTCATCATTGTGTTGAAGACTTGGATGCTCGAGTGAAGGATGTAGTATTGACTAGCAATGCGACCAATATCCTTGCTGCGGAGCTCTTCGGTATTCTCATTAAAGATGATCATCTGCGATTGCTGCAGAGTTCGCGCGGCTTGTATCGCCAGTTGGCGACGTCGCTGAACCAAGTTCGGATCATCACGTATTTCTGCCCACTCAATGCCATAAGTCATCGGGCTCCTCTGCATACGCACAAACAGATATGAGTATCCTATCCATTGGACGGCTTCTGGAATCGACGTGACAGTGCCCAAAGCGATTTCGGCATTGAGATTGTCAACCAGCTTGGTCGAGAATTTTGATTCGATGGGTTGCTGTTCCGTAATGGCTGATAAGTAGTGTGGAAGCTTGTCAAGAGTGGTACAGATCATGCCGATACCAGTGTCTTCAAACTGGGGACGACCGGCACGACCAAAGATCTGAAGCACATCAAGAATGCTGAGATCAATGAATTTACCGTCCTGTGCACTGTATACCTGAGTACCCTTAATAACGACCGCGGCAGCCGGCAAGTTGACACCCCATGCCAGAGTAGCAGTACAGCAGAGAACTTTGAGCACGCCATCGGCAAAGAGTCGCTCCATGAGATTTCTGTCTGCTCTTGCCATACCAGCATGGTGAACACCGATACCCTTGGAGAGCAAATCTCGAATATCCTTGGACTTGGACTGGCCTATATCTCGTGATGCTTGGCCATAATGAGGATGTCCTGATGGATCAAAAAGATCGACACAGAACTGCTCGATTGCCTTTTGATGAAGCATCCTTGCCGTTACCATAGTGTCTCTCCGGGAATGCACAAATACCATGACTTGATGATCGCGCTGCAGCATCTCTTTGACCTTGTCAAACGCAACGTTATCCAAGTTGTCTTTGGAAGTCTTGGAGCCGGCTTTTCCTTTGACACCGATGAAGTGCTGCTCCAGTGGAACAGGGCGGAATGAAGCATCAAAATAGAACAGACCAGCGTACTTGTTCACTTTCAGGAAATCGGCAACATCGACATAATTGGGCAGGGTAGCACTCAGACCGATAATTCGAATAAGCGACTGAGTGCTTTCGACCTGCCTCTCTGTTCGAGCAACCAGAGATTCCAGAACGGCTCCACGCTCGTCATGAAGCATGTGAACTTCATCGATGATGAGGAGCCTCACCTTTTGCACCAGCTCCGTATCTCCAGTTCCCTTTCTGGTGACAACATCCCACTTTTCAGGGGTGGTGACGATGATTTGAGTTTGCACAATTTCAGCCTTGGTGAGCTGCATATCACCAGTGTATTCTCGACACTTGATGCCTAGCCATGCAAGACGCTTGCCCAGCTTCTCGGTAACTTCGGCTGCCAGAGCCTTCATGGGTGCGACATAGACGATTTTGAAATCCTCCGTGTTGACAGCGAATTCAGTCGCCTCGGGGTTCTCAATGGGATTTGGCTGAATATGCTGGCCAATGGTGTGAAGAATCGTGAGCATGGCTGCATCAGTTTTACCCTAATCATAATCATGAGCACCTGTACAGAGAACTTGCTACAAAGTCTAGTGAACTTACCGCACCGGTTGGAGCACAAATCAACATGTTCTCACTCGTCTTGTATCCAACTGGAAAGACCAAACTCTGCATCCGATTGAGTGTCTTGTACCCCTTGAATGTGTTGCGGCAAAGTCCATCTAAATCAGAAATTTTGATGAGCTTCTCTCCTGGTCCTGGTACGCCTTTCTTTCCAGCTGGCACGAAATATTCCTCATATTTCTCAAACTGAAGACGCTCACTACCAACCGGTAGGCCGTACTTTTTGCCAGAAGAGCTCAGGGTGTTTCCCGCATTGTATGCCCTGTAAACGTGAGGGTACTGAGGCTCTTTGGCGTAGCTAGGCGCAAGGGCAGCGTTTTTGTGCTGGTAGTCTCGCATACGAAGAGCCTCATCTCTCTGAGCTTTGGTCAAAAGTTTTCGTCCTTGGGTTTCCGGCTGCTCATGGTGAGCCGAGGCGGACGCAACAACTTCATCTTTGTGTCCCAAGAGCTCAATGATAAAGTCCAAGTCATCGAACCCAACCAAATCAGTGAGATGGGCCTGCAGTTCATCCTCGGGCTGGCCGGATGACAGCACGCTCACGATCTGAGACTCGAAAACATCCGGAGACATGCCATTCTTGGCTGCAATGGAAGCACATTTGGCGGCAAGCCACTCGGCCCCAAAACCACCAGCGGCTGCACCGGTGCCATCCTCCGCAAAGTCGCTGCTGTAGTACTCCTCGTCTTCGTCGGAGATGAAGTCCCAGACATCGTGGCCGCTGGTGGTAGAGGAATAGCCACCAAAGTCGTCGTCGTCCAGATCGGCATCAGCATCGGGCGCTTTGATACTATTTTGAGGCAGCTTGAGATTAGCAAGGGCCGCCTGCATAGCAGCAAATTGCTGCCTCCACTCGGCCTCTGCGCTCAACAGATCAGCTGAGGCCATTGTTCGTCCAACGTCGGATTTTTTCTTGAGAGCAGCAGTAAACCGGAAATCGAGCAAGCGCTGTCGGTTCAAACGCAAAAACGTCGCAATCTATAGCTTTGGTGTTCTTGATGCTTAGCGGTCCCCTCTAACCTTTTATTCTCAAGAAAAGATGGACTCCGAATGACGCATCCAGCACCATCGGAGAGTCATACCGTTCACCGCTACCCCACTAATGGACTTACAGCGGTCCCAACAGCGCTGGATCTTGCTTCTGCACCTGTGTGGATTTAGCGGGGTCCTCTTTGTGCTTTGGAGCGCCTAAACTCCGTAGGCTGAGGACATGGAATGCTGAATCCCTCCCAGTAGCGCATGAAACTCCGACTGTGAAACACCTGCGCTTCCAACGTTGAACCTCGTCCATTTCCCGCCTCTTCAACAACCCTCCTTTGGCCTGCAATTTCAACCCGCACTCTCCCATCGCACGACTCTGCACCTCCTTACTCGAACATCTAGACAGAAAAGACCAGATTCGTTCAATAGAACTCGCCCACCATGAAGCTTCACTACATCGGCGTACGTCCACTCGTGTTTGCCCTGTTGCCCGGCGTCTTCACCGAATCGTCGAATCTAATCGTCCCTTTTGGCTAACATGGAATCTCCCGAGATAGATCATCCGCAACGATAGCCAGCCCGCAGTCGAGATCGTTTCCGAGAAGGAGCTGAGCGCATACTCGCGCTTCACACGCAGCAAGTTCGTTCCCCCCGCAGGAAGCCAGCCTCGTCCTTCCCAAGGCACCGTTTCGCCCAAACAACAACTAACAAGATCTTCTCCAGCTATGGCGAGTTCATGAGCCTTTTCGCAAAGACCGTTGCCGAGCGCACCCGACCCGCCCAGCGACAAGACGTCGAAGAACAAGGTACGGAATCCTCCAACGCTCTCCTCCCTCCCTTGCCAAAGGGGGGGAGAGGGGAAAGAAAACCATCACCGCTTACACGCAAATCAACCTAGACTACACTTTCCACGCCTACGGCCGCACCGAGGGCATCTGCGGCATCATCATCTCCGACCACCAATACCCCGCCCTGGTCGCCCACCAGCTCCTCAGCAAAGTCGTCGACGAGTTCCTCACCAAGCACCCGCGCTCCTCGTGGGCCACCGGCGAGCCCGTCCTGCCCTTCCCCGAGCTGAAGGATTACCTCGAAAAGTACCAGGACCCGCAGCAGGCCGACAGCATCATGAAGATCCAGAAGGAGCTTGACGAGACTAAGATTGTTCTGCACAAGACGATTGAGAGTGTGTTGCAGCGAGGAGAGAAGATTGACGATTTGGTGGCGAAGAGTGATGGCCTGAGCGCTCAGAGCAAAATGTTTTATCGTATGATATACCCTGTCTTTTATTCTTTTTCCCCTTTATGATGATAGGGATTCATTTGCTAACATGTTTTCGAAATTTAGAGCAAGCAAAGAAGCAGAATTCCTGCTGCGTGTTGATGTAATTAGGTCGTTTCATTTGGCGTTGCATGCGGTTCATGTTTCAGCAACAAATGGGGTGTTTGCTTTGAAAGATTGGTTATTACGAAAGACACACAACTCGCACAATACCTCCTACTTATATCTAATACGTATCACACAACACACAATGGGAAAGACGAGGGTGTTCACTGCGATTTTTGCACACAAATATATAAAAAATACCAAATGATATTTTCGTTAAATTTTTCATAGGATTGCTCAACACAGCCGTGTTTCGCTTTGTAATATTTTTATATATCCGCCATCAAAGCTGGCCCCCGGGGCTATGCACTAATGCTATTGAACAAAGTAGAAGGGAATCTTGAAAAAGTCAGGTTAGAGAGTATGAAGAAGAAAAAATGACAGATGAAATGGAAGTAAGTGAGGGCATATGAGTAGGTAGCTAGTTATGCACGCCAGGCGGCTAAAATCATAAAGAAGAAGAAGAAGAAGAAAAAAAAAAAAGGAAAAAACAAGGGTTCAAAAATAGACAAGAATACATCAGTCAGAAACGTAAAAGGTCGTTCCGTCATGCTCCTTCAAGAACCACACGCGAGCTCTTTCGATAGCCACCACCACCACCTTGCGGAGCATTCGCCCGGCTAGCAGGATGAACCAAAACCGGGACCGCGGTCCTCGTCTCGACAAGCCGCTTGTTCTTGTCCAGCTTGATGTTGGAGGCCGCGTCAGGCGCGGGCTCACCCGGGTTCCTCCTCGAGGTGGAACGGTTCAGAGGCACCAGCATTTTACGCTGCTGCCTTGAGACGCTAATCTGCCGCGCAATCGAGATTTCCACGGCCTCGTACAGGGCCTTTTCGACCTCTTCTTCGCCTGCGTCGGTGCGGATGGACGCCATGGACATTTGGTGTTGGTGATGCTTCGGGGGCGCAGCTTCCTGAGATGTTGCTGTGGGTTCGGCGGCGCGGTTTGTAGGTGGAGGAGGCGGTGGTCCTGATGGCTTTTTGAGGATGGATCGCGGCTGTGGTGGCTGTGATTGTGGTTGTGTGGATACAGAGGCAGGAGATTCGGATAACTGTTCAGTGACTTTTGGTACACTGGGCTCGGATGGCGATTCTTTTCGATGGAACTTGGAGATGAGGCGCTCGCGTCGCTCTGGCGTCGTTTCGGCGTCTGCGGGCAGGAGAGGTTCGTCGTTAGAGGGGGTAGAAACTGAAGTAGTTCTCTTTCTCGACTGTGCTGGTACTTTATACATGGCTGGAGTCGGAAAGTTGACCACGGCAGCAGGAGTGGTGTTGGATCGTCTCCGTGAGGAGCCCCTAGGGGGGTTGCCTGCTGGGGCTTGGTTGGGCACGGCGAGAGAGTCTGATGGTGTGCTTTCTGGCAAAGGCGAACTTCCTCTCCGTGGTACCACTATCTCGATAGGAATAGATCTATCTCGGTAGCTCTTGGCTGCAGGCAGGTTTAGGCTTTCTATCTTGATTTGTCGTCGGACAGGCAAGCTAGGCCTTGGTGACGGTTGCGGCGGCGGCTGCGGCGACTGCAGAGAGTCTTGTGACTGTTGCGACTCCCGAGGTTCCTCGGGCTTTTCCACCTCTTTTGAGTTTGATCGCTGGGGTCTTGGAGAGGGCGCAGGCCGTTTGGGTGCCTCGGGACGTTGAGGCACCTGGATCTCCTGAATTTCTTGAACCTCCTGAACCTCTGGGGCCTCCTGTACTTCTTGCAGCTTCACAGTCTGTTCTGCTTGTGCTTCCAACTGCGACTCTTTTGGTGGTTGAGATTCTTGGGCCTGTTGCAGGAAATATTGGTACTGCTGCTGCTGCTTCTGAAGAATATTTCCAAACATGATGCTGTAGCGCTCCATTTCAATCGTCGGAATCTCAATACTCAGAAGGGACTGCAGTTGTTTCGGCTGCTCAATCTGAATCTGCGGCGGAGCGGGAGCTTCTCGTGTCGGTGCTGCTGTGTCTCGTGGCAGCACAGGGATCTCGGGGACTGGATGTCTCGATAAGCTGCCTGAGCTGTCTTTGCGTGCTGTTGACCCCTTTCTGTCACTCTCTTTCTCACCACCATTTTTCGATAAATTGGTACGACTTCCAAGATCCATGCTCTTGCCCGAATCTGTACCCGCTGCTCGCGAGGCCGGGCTATCGGCCGGCTTAGATCGCTTCGACTTGGTCCTACTAAAAGGATTCCATCTTTTCGACATTGACCTTGACATGCCATTGGGATTAGGATTGGATTGTGACGCATCTCCCCCAGAAGTTACAGTCGTAAGGACTTGAGTCTGGTTCCATGGTGCCTCGGCAGATCCAGGAGGGTGGCTGGGACTTCCAAGTGCCATTCCGATCGTAGTTGGTGTGTCGCCTCCGGTTATTGAAGGTGGTGCCAGTGAGGATGAAGTTGGAGTGTTTTTGGAAATTGATGCTGGCGAAGATATTTCGCGTGGATACGGGATGTGATATTGCCGGATAGCTCGTCCTTCCAAGTGTCTCGTACTCGCAGAACGATCAACAGAGATCGTCGCCTTCGAATCTAAACTGATCTGATCGGTAGACCTGCTATATCCAAACTGATCAACTTGTCTAAGCCGTCCGGCAGCAGAATTGGCATCCAGGCCTGAAGAATGGTAAGGACTGTGGTTTTGAGAAGGGCTAGCAGCGCTTTCAGTCGCGACTGATCTGAGCGACGCGGACGAGGCCGGTTTATAAGAGGACTTGTAATCCCCATCTGCCCATTTTTGCGGGCCCTCTTCTGATGCTGCATAAGTCGGCGTGCTGCTGTGGGCAAGCTCAGATTGGGAGAAATTTTGTTTTTGCAAGGTTGCGGCGTCCCCTGCCCGTACCTTGAACAGCCCCATCATTGAGCAACCAGGGCCAGACTCTGTGAAGAAGACGAGGACTGGCCTGGGGACAAAGTCGATCAGAAAGCGATCATGCGATGATTTTCCCTCTTGGCTCAGAACACGGGGAAGAGGCGTTTGATAAAGGTAAGATGCTCTTAGTTGGCAACCGGCGAACTATTGGCACCAGTCCAGTAATAGCGCCGAAGTGGCGGATCGGCATGAAGACAGTGGCGTTTCGAAATCCAAAACGCAATACCTGTCCTTCGACTTGCACATTCATCCACCTTTAAAGGCCTTGCATTCTTAGCGGCGTCCTTTCGGGGCACGAGAGCAAATGCCACCTACTCACCGGGGTAGGACAAGGCCATCTTCACCTGGGCGACGTATTAACTTGTTACTCCGTAGAGACCCCATGTTTACTTTGACGCTGCAAGCGGAAAGACCCCTAGACGCCGGCGCGGCGCATAACAATGTACGAATAGTCGTATGAGCGGGCACTCGGTGTGTGTTACTTGATGCATCAAGGCGACAGACAAAGGGCCTCACCGCCCCTGTAGCGGGAGACTTGGGGCAGCCATGTCATCGAAATGCGGAACTTGGGCCACGATCTTGGCCAGTAGCATAACGCGCGGCACTTCTGGTTGGCAAAGCTATGTTTGAGGTTGATGAGAGGGGTCGCGATGTCCGGATGTTAAGGCGGCTTGATCCGCACCAGGATGGCTAGACCAGGGCCCAAATCAGGGACTAGCAAGGATTGCCGGATTGGGCAAGCTGGAGAAATTGGGTTCCATTCCATTCCGAGTTTGCGAGCGATTACAGGCGGAAATCTGCTCTGTAACAAAAAGCAGTCTCGGGACAGTGGGGGAAATGACCGGCATGGACATGTTTGTAGGATCGATATAGCCGACGAGTTGGGCGGTTTAGCATTGATCCAGCACGGCGAATTATCGATTGTCGGCAACCGTCACCGCCTTGGTGCATTGGGGATACTGCCCGGCATTTAAGCTACCGCCTGCGATACTACCTCCAGTCCTTAGTTGGGCGTCGGAATCTCATACAAAAACAAAAGCACAGACAAAATATTATTCTCAAACACGTTGATCGATGAACGAAACTACAAATATAGCAACAAACTGCAGCAGAATATGCTTGAACCGACGTTCCAGAAATCCATAGGGAATATCTCCCAGCCAGAGGCCGATCTGAGATCAGACGCGGTGGCTCCTCAGCCCCCTGATAATTTAACATGGCGGGGTGCGACACTAAGCTCGACTCCTGAAGACATGCTGCGACAGCCCTGTTGGCCGGTGCCTGGCTGTGCTGGTGCTGTCCTTTGTTTAGATTTTGGCTCCGTAAGACACAGAGCACATGCGAAAAGGCCGCTCTATGCGTCGTGACGTTGCAGAGGCGAAGAGGCCGAAAGGGGATTAAGCGATGCTACGGAAGCCTCGTTTATCGCAGCCAACCTCCGAGCGACAGATGGCCTACGCCTCCCGTTTTCCCGCTTGCAGCTAAGCCAAATCTCTGCCTTCTTCTGATCTTTATTCAAAGGTTTCTTCCCAATTACAGCAATCCGTATACCAACATGGGCGTATTCAGCTCTTGCGTGGCCCTTGCTGTTCCCATCGGTTCCTCTTCCTCCTTGTAATTTTGCTGCTAGGATTTGTCGGCTCACTTTGTCAAGGGGATGCCCTCTTCGTTTCACTTCTTCCGTGGACGAGGTTGCCTGGCATTTATTATCCTCGTCATATTCCCGTGCACGATGTACTTTGCACATTGCATCTGAATAATTACAAAAACTAACGATTCCTCAACTATGCAAGAGGTTAGAGGATGACCCCAGAAAAGGCAGTATATCGATAGCGTTACTTGCCAAGGAAGTGGCGGCAGGACAAAGGGGACGGTGACATTTTACAGCCTTGCATCGACTACATATGCCAGTTAACATGTCTCTGCTGTCAGAGACACCACAATGCACCCCATGGCAAGTCATACGATAAACGATAACCTCAAGATTGTTTCCAAAGGTGGATTCTGACAGCTTGTTGTTTTGTCATTGTATCAGATAGAGAGCAGGGTCCGTTGGGAGATGGCGGGAACAGTCTAATAGCTTACACGTCAGATGCGCAGCAGCTTACTGCAATTTCGGGATGACATCCGACGAGCATCGACATATTTAGCCTCTGTATCCTGCACTAAACAATCGCCATTGCCGTCAGCGGTACGATATCCGGAGTTGATCTCGAATAACCCTAGTAATGAGTGACCATCTCTTGGAAACATTCCACTCGATATATATCAATGCTCTTGAAAACTTCATAATGTCTGGGGGTCATTTATCAGACGTAGTTGGTGGTTTTGTGGAAATTTGCAGTAGAGGCTCGCGATTCTGGGTACAACCATAATTACGATCCCATGGACGCCGAATTCATGCCAGTGATATATTTCTCGGCCATCTCGCTGATCAATGGAAGAGAAAGAGGGGAGGCAATACTTATAACGCCATGGCAATAGCATTAGGAGAAGAAGCGAGCATCGTATAGCGGAGTGGAAGTCAATGTCACTGCGGAAATTGCCACTCATAGCCATAGTACTCTCCGACAATGGATACAGAAATTACTATTGTTTGACAATGGAAACCGATATAATTTGCTTCCATACTCCGCCTAGAGGAGGAAATTGCAGTCAAATCTCATCATTTCACGATGCCTTCTCCGTCCCACTTACAGCAGAGGATGGGGAAATGGGGCCCCGTTTGCGGGAGCAAGTCCAGTTTCATGTGATCCAATCTCTGATCAACTACTAGTCATTGTCAAATATCCAAAACCTTGTGGCAGATGATCCGGACACGGATGATGCTTTTTAGACATAGGCATGGACATGGATGTGCGAAGGAATTCCGGAGCGTGACTCTTTCGGCTCTCATGTCACCGACAACGCCAGCGGGAACCACATGGGATGAATAGGTATTCTGGAGCCGCGGGAAGAAGCTCGGCTAAACTGCTTTGATACTTTGTCTGAAGTTGGACGTGCGCTTCTTCATCCCCTGATATCCTGATGACGTAGGCGCAATGGAAACTGCTTGGCATCAGATGTCTTTTGAGTCTGGATGAAGAGCTGGATAAATCCATACCTGGGCAAGTGGACTTGTCAGGTTATGGAGCGTTGCCGAGGCCGCGATTGTTCCGCTGGGGAAAGGGACCCCCTTAAACTGAGTCCGGGAGAAGAAGACAAAAGGATGATCAGAATCAGCGCATGGATGACATCGTAGGGCCTGGAATGGTGGTTTTGGAGTACATTGTATAGGCTGCCACCATAATTCCTGGCGTCTTGGAGCGAATCCTACCCAAATAATCTGGATGCCTAGGTTGGTGATGTAGCCAATTTAATTTGCAAGCAGTATCACAGGTAGTCCCCCTTTATCGAGTACCTTACATGTATTGTTCTTATACTTGTCTCTCTATACCTGTAAGAGTAAACCAACCGGCTTGCTCGTGACCATGCACCATGGAACGGGCTGGGCACATGTACATGCCCAGTAGCATCATCTCGCTGAATTTGACGTCAAGCCCAAGCTAGCGCAGCCTCTACTGAATGCAATAAGCAGGCACCCGAATTAGCATCACCTGGCAATCCATCAGCATCAGGCCCCCCCTGGAATCTGGCCTCCTATACCGGGCCCTCCTATCTGGAGATACCCGCAGCGGGCATCAAGAGTGGCGGTAGACGCCCTGTATGTAGCGCTGATAGCACCAGAACATGAACCTTGAAGCTTAGGTACCTTGTGTTGTTACTGCTGAGCTGGTTCGTGGTGGGGTTTGGCCAAGTCAACAAGTGTCGCCGCCTCCCGCAGCGGGGAACTTTGGGCGCGGATTGGTCAGTGACATGGAAGCTGGCGCAAAAAAACCGGCGCCGGCAGGTACCTTGCACCCAGCACCTCGTTCAAGAAAACGACTGAGGGGCACACGCACGGGCACGGCTCAGCACTCAGTACAAATCCAATCCAATATCCACAGCCGCCCAAATAAACAACCCACTCCGCCATTTTCCTCTTGCGTTGACTCTTCTAGTCGCGGAAACTTTTGCCATCTTCATCTCTCTTCTCTTTCTTCTTCTCTGCTGCTCTTTCGTTCCTCAACCTCTTCTCTACCATCACATTCCCGCTCTCAACCATGTCCTGGCAAGGTCAGTCCAGTTCCAGCTCAGCTCCTCTTCCCCCCTGATCCGAGAATAACCCCACCTTGAACCTTCGAGGAGAGCAAAAAAAATGACAGCTACTGACATGCCTCATTATCACAGCTTTCGTCGATACTAGGTGCTTTTCCATCCTCCCGCGCTTCGTCCGACTCTCCGAACCATCGAATACTGACTGCGGGACTATGTAGCTTGGTCGGTACCGGCCACATCGCCAAGGGTGCCATCATCAGCTTGGCTGGCGACAGTGCTTGGGCTAGCTCTCCTGACCTGACGGTATTGTTGACCCCGACTGCTAGTCTAGAGCCATATGAAGAGACTGATGGTGGGAAATTCAGATTCAACCCGCCGAGATGAAGACCATCGCCGATATCGTCGCCAAGAACGAAGCTGCCGTCACCAAGGCATACGCTGAGGGCATTTACATTGCCGGACAGCGCTATGTCTTGACCCGAGTCGATGAGGGGGACCTCTACGCACGAGCTGTACGTCCGCGATCCTGCGCCGCGTCTTTCACATGTTCATCATATACGTGCACACACTTCAGTCGGGTCTGTTACTAATAATATTTGTTAGGGTCGTGAGGGTGTTGCCATTGCCGCCTCCAAGCAGGCCATCGTTGTCGGCATCCACCCCGAAGGCGTGCAGGCCGGAGCCGCCACCCTTGTCGTTACTGCTCTCTCTGATCACCTTAAGAAGACCGGATATTAATTTTGACCGCCGATGGATGGGGAGTCAAAAGGGCATAAAAGTTCAAGGCGGTCGAGCAGTCGTGTCGGGATAGCGTTGGATGACATAGGGGGTGGGGGAGTTTCTGTGGGAATCTTTGCAACTTAGCTGCCGTGTATTGGGAGGACAGAGACGTCTTCTTGGCAGAACCAAAAATAACAGCATTTTTCAATCTCAACCGCGGTGCCTTTTGTTATTCGGCTCTAACATTGCCATCCAAAGCTGATTCAAAGTAATCCTTCATGTTAGCTGTTTAGCTATCACTACAGTTCGCATCATAACCATCCCGCCTAAGCCTAGGCCGATACACGTATTTTACAATCCATCAGTATTGTTACATCGTCCAGTCTCTCTGAAAGCCGCTGTTCAGTTAACGCCACAAACGCCGATGTCGCTACTCACTCGAGCCAAGTTATTGCCGACCCTCGAAGCATATTCGCTATCATCACCCCACGCTCGAATTCTTCAGCATTTCCAACGTACAACCAAATTACGATATGGCAGCTGTCATCGGAGCGAAAGTGCACGGGGATCTTAGACGGGCAGCTCGGCGTTGCGGCGTCCCAGGCCTATCCGATCTGCGAGCATTCCGATATAGGGCCCGATCACAGGCAAGCCTCGGGCGAACCCTGCAATCGTGCCCAGGAAATCGCCAAACAGTACGGCGATTCCGTACGCTTCTACTATGAAGCCGATAAATGTCCATTTTATCAATATCAGCGTGAGGCCTGCAAAGAATGCAGCTGTGCCTTTTGCTTTCTGTTTCCTAGCGAAGAAGAAGAATGTCTTCTGAGGACCAATGATAATCGTCAAGCCGATGAGGAAGAGGATCTATTTTGTCAACAAGGTACTTTGTCAGCTCGGTCGTCGGTTCGCAAGCGGGTAACATGGGAGAGACTGTACATTTCCCATCGCAAGCCTGTGAAATAAGGTATTAGCCAGATGAAACGCCGCAGAGACATTCGCGTAGAGTCCTTGGAAAGGCACGACCTACATGGCGCGATCAAAGAATAGCATCACTCCACCGACGAGGAAGAGACCACCTGAAACGAAGCGATCTCGTTAGATCAAAGGCGCCCTGGTTACGTCGAAAGCTTGTAGACAAGGTCGCATACCTACCGCCAGAGCAGAAAACCACCCCAATCTCTATTTACACGAGTCAGTTATGCCATCGCATCAACTACCGGGGACAGCCCAGAAGCTCGCGTGAGGTTCCCTCTGCAGGGTACATACTCTGGTTATCCGACAGCCACATGGACATTTTGGCAAGCTGATGTTATTCCCCTCCTTTTGAAATAAGTTGTGGTATAGTATGCGGTTCTTGAGGTTGTCGCGACAAGATGTTTCGGGTTCGGAAGGACGGTACAGATGACGCGATGCTGGTTCGTTGGAGAGATGAAGGATTCAAAGATAACAAGCCGCTGTGCAAATTAACCTGGATTTACCAGAAATTAGGAGATGAAGCTTCCCTTGTCTTAGGACACCATGGCGGAACGCGATTGGGGGGCTTGTCTGCTCACCTTATCGCGGATTAGGCTTAGCGCAAGGGTCTTTCACGAGGTACCTGCGCTGGGCTGCGATTCTCGACGTCACGCTGCTTGATTGGTTGAGAAAGATGTTGGTATGTATACTGACATGTGAGGTTGAGGTTATTGCGTTGACTGGCTGGTTTCAGTAAGGATTCAGATTCAAGATGAGTCGAGTGTGGCATGATGAGATGTCCCAATAACCTCATCATCACGACAGCTGGACCGGCGTTGTGTGTCTGAACGTTTGGTTGCCAAGATGTACTTATAAACAAAAAGCCTTGGCGAGAGTATCGGACAGGCGAAAGGGGGTTTCAGAGGGGAAATGTTGGTTTCATTCGAAGCGAGACTGTTGTTGTTACCTTGATGCTTCATCTTAACCATATTATGACCAAAGCGAAAAGAAGGTCTTCATTCATCACTGATCATGACTCCATGTTTTCAGGGGGCCATCGTACCCAACTGTGACAACAGTAATTACTAACGAATTTGTAATAAACAATCGAATGTTGCCTTTAGACTTGGCAGAGGATACCATGCGTACTCCTACCAAGTTATCGAGTCCTAGAGAGTTTCAAGAAAGCCAACTACCTACATCGAGCAACCAACCGATCAATTCACTTGACTCTTGCGTTATCGAGTGACTGCCTAATAGACCAAGAGTACGGTGTCTCAACAAATACACCTGTTGATAGGGTTCTCGCATGAAGATTTACATATAACTCAACATTTTGAGACCTCGTGATGAGTAATAACGTTGTAGAATGGAGTGAATGCGGAAAGAAGCATCGAGTCCTCAACAAAACTGCCTAGACCTGTCACCAAATTCCCGCCTCATGACACCAAGGGATGGCTTTACTTAGCCCAAATCTGCAGACGACCGGCGGTCAATGATATATGCCTCTCTCCGTCCGTAGTTACTTAGTTACTCAATAGTAGAAACCGCCAAAGCATGAGAGGCGGCATCAAAGCAACAGTTCTCATTGGTGAATTGACCCGGGATCACGCACACATGAGATGCAATAACCCAGTGTTGAGCTCTCAACTATGGGTAACCACAGCATAGGGTGAATTAAAGGTCAATTCACTCGGTCTTTCCAGTCCGTATGGCAGATTGCAACGATCTGTATAATGTCACGGCATTTCCATTACGATTTCCTTTCCAAGTACACACAGCCCCCATGTGATCTACCCATTTTACAGATTGTTACAGAAGATGCATCACCAAGGGACTCAATCCTATCCTCCAAGGGCATAATATGACTTGCTTATTTGATATACTTCAAGGACGACTGCTGTAAGCCGAGGGCTCGGCCCCGCATTGATGACACCTTCGAAGAGCATGGTGGTAAGCATCGTTCCCTAAGGTGGCTATTAACATAATACATGTGGCTAACTAGTACACTGATTTAGCTACATGTGGTATTTGTCTGCGATCCCTAACCGGGCTAGACAGGCGATTTGCCGTTACCGTTCGTGGTACCCATATATACCCTGGGTTCTGAATTCTGTGGTGCTAATACAGTACCACATAGGAGGAGCATCCGCTCACAAGCGTCGCGCTGGTGAGGGCTTACCACCGGCGAATGGACTGCCTCTGGGCAGCACAAGAAAGCCGGAGCCTCAGCAAAGTCGCAAGACTGTAACGGGCAACAGAAAGGGTTCGCTGTGCAGCAACCCAACTATACGCATGGCTACTTGCCAAACAGGAGGCATAGAAAGCCAACAACGAAGCCAAGGAGCAGTAAGAAGGAATTACAAAACCCGCCTCGGATCGGGATGTCGTAGTGGAAACATATCCCGAAGGCGACGACTACTGTAAGTCATTCTATCCATTTTCAACCAACGCTTCCATCATAGCCCTGTTGACTGGCTAATGAATGGTCTTACTAGACGCCTGCTTTAACTTTTTACATCAGCCATCTGAGAGGAATTGTACAAAGTCAAACACGAAGTGAGTATAATCCCCTTTCTACACTTCCTTTGTTGACTTGGTCTTCATCCACTGCAAGAAGATTGACGGTGGCACTCGAAAACTGACCATCAGACAGCACACAACTTGGCACAAATACGCAGGGCATAGATCCCCAATATGAACCACTTTTCTCACGCCTCTACAAACACGGATGGTTGGGCAATGGCACTCACGCCAACTTTTGCCCTATAGATTTACCAACAGATTTCCAATGAGGAATTGGAAAGTCAAGGTCTCAGCTCGGAGCTGTCTGCCGGAGCTACATCCCGAAGTGTGCTATATCAGCTTGCCCAAAGTATACAGCTCACATATCTTTACTCGACAGAACAACGGAAGCCCCACGAGCACCACAACACGGAAATGGAGGAAGAGGATATGTACTCTTCTCGGTGCCGTCTACAGAAGAATTACCTTTACCAATGGATACGACTCCTGACAACCAAACACCTATCGAACGGCGAGCGCACTGAGACGTACAAGATATTGGAGGAAGGTGGGACCGGTTGAGCGTACCTACCTATAAAAGGTCGCCCCTTAGCAGCATAACCTAGAACTGAGCATCAACATCAATCAATCGTTCGCAACAGCTTCTCTCATTCTCTCTAATCTCAATACACGAATGGACCAGAGGTTGCCTATTCGTCACAGACACTACTGGAGGATAATGAGTACTGGCTGTGCTTTGATGGAGGCGTCGAAAAGTTGTCACTACGCATTGAGCAAAATGAGGGGGCTACCGAGATTTTACAGCAAAGGATCGCCCTTCGCCCTCCAACGTGGTCGATCAACCAAGGGTGCTATCTATGCCAAGGGATAATGGGATATCAATCTCCCAAATCCTAGCGAATCGTTGCGTTGCCGTTGTTTCTTCTGATTTGGTGTTTTTTTTAATTATATTTGTCCGCTGAATCCGCCGTTATCGCCATCGAGATGTGTGGCGTCACTGGAACGAAAATCAGCGAAAGAAGTATATTCTCAAGTTTGACTAGGAGAAGCGAGGGGATTATGCACAGGCGTCAGCCATCACAAGTTGTTTCCAACACACTTTCGAATCAATCCACAACCAATCACGACGCCATTTACAATCAATTCGAAACCATAACGCAAACAAGGACAAGGAATCTTTGGCTGCCTACATGCACTGCAGTCAGAAGATCAGTCTGCCCGAGCAACCGCACAATGGCATACCCCAAGTCAACGCGAAGATAAGGTCACCTCCGAACAACCAAACCTTTTGCAATTCCTAGATTAAATTTTGGCAACGCATAGAAACGAATTTACCCTTTATTCGATTACCGATGAGTGGTAGTTATCTCCCTCAACAACCAACCAGGCATCTACCCCTGAGAGTATGAAAGCCCCTTGACAAGATGCCCGAAGCTGAAGACTGGACAGTGGTCCGGCCTAAATCTCGTCGATCAAGACGTTATCCCACTTAACAACCAACAAGTGCATCTGCCCCTAAGGGTTTGAAAGCCCCTGACAAGATGCCGGCAACTGAAGACTGGACTATCGTCCGGCCAAAATCTCGTCGATCCAGACGAGGTCAAGGCTCCACTTCAACCTCCAACCCTTTCCCACAGCCGTCTCGAGCTGTCTCCCACCTCACCAACGAAAATTGAATCTAAAAAAAATCTACCTATCTACAGTTACTCCCTGGACATTAGGGACACCAAGATGCCGAAAACGAGAAACCTGATACTGATGAACCGCTACTGGTTCACACGGTACCCAACACCCACAGCGAGGACTAAAAAGAAAAATCAACCAACGTCCAATGGAGGAATCTCTCCCATCACCCACTCACTCACTCTCAACAACCAACCTGAACAGTTCCATCTACCTTTACCCCTGAGAGTGTAAAAGCACCTTGACAAGATGCCTGCAACTGAGGACTGGACCGTGGTGAGGTCCAAAACTCGTCGATCGAGACGAGGACAGGGCTCCACCTCAACCTCTAACCCCTTCTCCCAGCCTTCTCGCTCTGTCTCCCTAGAGACAAACGAGGACGGCAGCGGCATTGATGGGGACATGGATGATAGCAACTCTGATGAGGTCATGGAAGAAAACGACTCTGAAGACGAGTAAGTGACATGTCCCATTACTATTCTGATTTCTACCTACCTCCTCTTATCATGAGTTTTGACAATAAAGCAGTAAGAATTCCTTTCCTTTAATCAGACGTTTGGTCTACGGTTAAATTATCTACACGAGATCAAGGTCTTATAAGCCACGAGTGTTTTTCACACGAGTATACTACGAAACGCTCTTTGAGATACTCACCATTTGGCAAAATCTCTCAAGCGGCACTCTCAGACAACCATTTCCTTGAGCGAATTTGGAACAGGCAAAACACAGTTGTGATACCCATTGAAAATGGCACCTTGAGAACGTCTTCTTCTGCCCGGAGGGAGCAGCGAGTATGGTTAGTCCAGGAGTCCTGAGAAGAAAGGACATCGTCATCGACGGGATCCATGACAGATTGATGCTCCTGAGGGAGGGAGAGCAGATTGAGATCATTAAAATCTTCCGGAAGCATGGCATCGCAATGCTAGACTGCCAGATGCCCTCAGAACTTCTACAACTTCGCTCTCTTGCCGTACAGAGCTGCAACCATGAATGTGGAATACTCCCTGATGCATGCCTGGGCCACACGTGCTTCTCCTCTGACTCTCTGGCCTCGAGCAAGCCTGAAATCTAGTGGCTATAGGAAAGAAGAGATTGAGTTTTATAGGATTTGTGCTGTTCTTGTGTATCTGCTTTGTGGAGAAACAAGGCGCGATCTTATACTATCTTCTCAATGAACATCTCATACTGCTGGTCAAGCTCTTGGAGTCCCTACTGTTGTGCTTATTCGTACTGAACAACTCACATGACCAAAAGGGGCGACTGGATTGGTGGAGGCTGACGGTGGAAGCTTCTTTGCTACATACATATTCATATACCACGATACCACGAAGGTGCCGAAGGAGTGGGTGAGCCTGGCATACAGGGCCGTCTCCAAACTCAGTCTTGTTCTTGTCTCACCAGCAACTCGTAACAACTTCAGTCGCAAAAGATTGGAACGGGGTGTTTACAGTCTACACTTTTCATCAGTCGCGAAACAGCTGCACGAGTTCTGACAGGCAGACCCGAGCAATTGACACCTTGAGCTTCACCGGGTTGCAGATACGCCATGGATCAAGACTAGGGGCCATGGCCGCAGGTCCTTGGATTAACTTTTTGATGACCGAGTCCCATCCATTTCTTTGTTTCTTCAGCGCTTCGGTTGTATCTTTTGCATCTTATAGAACCAAGGTTGGCTTGCTGCAGATCACTCGGCATAAAAAAGATGCTCGATACCACATCTACTTACCGCGCTCTTTCATTCTGTCAAGTTCAGAAGGTTTTGGAAACTTTGGGCGCTCTCAGCACAGGCTTTCTAGAGAAGTCTCCCGGGTTCGAACAGTGTCATAAAACGCCATGACTGAGGCGGTGATTCTGATTATGTTGCAATGGTATGTCTTGCAGTTTCGGGTCGGGGACTGCAGAGTACTACTCCTAATCGGCGGAGGCAATCTTTGCGTCATCTCCAGGTCCTCTGGTGAACGTGGCCGGCCATTGTTTTCTTCAGATCCTACTCTAGTGATTCTGCAACTTATATGAGACTCGAGCTTCCATCGATGAGGCACTGGAATTTATCCATCAGCGCCTTCTAACTGCTTGGACCGTCCGCATTGGAATCGGTAAGTGCCAATATACGTTTCTCGAATGATGTCTGGATCTAATATGGCCCCATTAGACTACCAAAATTCCAACGGCACGTTTTAGGAAGTCGAGAGAGACGGACTAAATCTAGTCCATACGGTGCCAAACAGCCCAGAGGCAAGCAATAAGGAAGAGGGCCGGCAGGCAGGTTAGCCATGATGATTTATTTGGGGAAGAGGATGATCCAAGAATGAATGATTGTATCCTTCTTACTTAAACTCCTCTGATGGGAAGTTTACAGGAGCAACCACACTCAACAACATGAAGGGGTTAGAAAAGATTCTCGCGGCATACAGGACGCAGTTGGACAGACAAAGCACACTGGTCCTCAACAAGGAGGAGTTCGACGTTGATTAAACAACCTACAGTGACCTCACATCAACCGTCTTGATGGATCCAACAAATATTAACATCGTCAGGTTGAACAAACAAAGCTGCTTCAACAATATTCCCACCACGTTGCACACGGCAGGATTCGACTTGGGCACAGACATCAGCAAAACATCACTTTGGATCACAGAAAAAAGTGGCCAATGAAGACCTTGACTTTGAAATATACAAGGGCAGACAACTTACCTCCACATAGAGGAGATACAGGCAGCAAGTCTAAGTTCATGAGTAGACATCAGGCGACACCCAGTTTCTCGAGGAATTCCGATGGTCGTTTCCTTTTACACAGATGACAATCCCACTATGGCGCAGAGATTTGACATCACACGCTTGGAGACTTTGAGCACATCAGGCTCCTCGAATGAATGGATAAACTTGACAGACTTTCCGTGGCTGCTTTGGAGTGGATTAGGGGACAGAAACATGTCTTGTGTTTGCGGCCGCAGAAAATAGCTACAAGCATTTGGATGACTTTGACCCCAAGGACCTTGTTTGAAAGGCTGAATCACCCAAAATGGTACCGGGAGCTTGGTCATATGGCTATATACCAACGAGATACGTTTACAAAAACCACTGGCTGATAAGGGACTCATCGAACTTCTAGACTACGCAGAAGGATTATTCCAGCAAAACACCAGACACGCAGCAGCAACTACTTCGAACTACAGCATTTTTGGCCAACGTGATGGGCGTACAATTGGAAATTGTTTGTCTATCAATCTACAACACTACAGACGGTGGTGGATTCTGCTCAGAGGCTCTATTACAGGGCCATCCACTAGCGCAATGCTTGGCTCGGATGATCCAATCTCAGATGGTCAAAAATGAAAACCACAGCTGTGCGTTTACCACATCAACGCCAACTGCCATCTATCACCTTTCTACCCCCTAACGATCCTGAGTATGACTTCCCTCATTATTTGAGGTAGACGGAGGAGACGGGCGGCTCAGAGTACCACCACTTCTTCAGATATGTGGACCATATATTCTGGGCAGACCGGGAGAGACCGGCTCTGTCAACCAACGGAGTCACCATTGGCACCATGAAGCTGAAACAACTGATGATTCAGATCACATCAAAGGTCCCTGGCCCGTCTGCACAGGCGAGGCTGGAGCTCCTACCACACATGATGCCAGACAGTAAGATGCCTCGCATGATTAATATGGGGCCATATATTGTCTTCCTCTACAAACCCAGTCTTGTTGTTGTCCCGCCAGCTACGTCTGGGAACCCATTTGACTTGACCAACGAAAGGAGATGCTAGAGGCTCTCCACACGTCCAGTACTTTGCTGAACAACGCTGTGTTTCCACCTCCCATGCTCATTTACGGCTAGATGTCACGTTGAGCATCGCTAAGCGGTTCCTCAAGGCCTACATGGCAGGTTATTGTAGGGAATATTCATGAGCTAAGGGTAGTCGTGCTACGATATGGCACTCAAACATTTGACACGCATTTACGCAATGAACATTTTTCTATCCCATCTGACTGGAATTGATCTCAGTCTCCTACCTTCCATCATCTGGGAAGCTACACGCTCGCCGAACTTACCTACCTATGCATGGGTCCGAAAACATACCATTGAATTTCGACAATCCCCGCAAGGCTCTTGTCCAAAAACATGGCCGTGATGCTGCTAAAAACATGTTTTCAATGGCGAGCAACACCTTACAGGAATTCACTGCCTCGCCGTAAGGTATTAACGCATCTGATCGCGAGGCGTTGATAAACTTTAATGCTTACAGAGAGGGGATTCTTGTGGCGTTCGATTTTCGCAATCTGAAGATTCTCTACACCAATGTTGACGAGATCTTTGGCCGAGACGTCTTTAACATTTCAAAAGCGCTAGTCAGCGTACGGGACTCACAGACGATAACAAAAAGCCAGCAACGGCTTTTCCAACGCACTAATAAAGACGATATGCCCACGGTAGGCGTCGAGCATTTGCAGCAACTACTCGGCTTCGATAATAAGTGTGGCCTTGGTTATGTCTTTACAAGGGCATGTCTCGATTCAGATGTCTTCTTCGCTCATGACTTCAGAATCTCCATATTCAACCATTTGGACATTGGTGGACGTTGCAAACAAACGCTGTGCCAAACAAATCGAACGACCAATTCCATGGGATTGACTCTTACACGCAATAACGAGTCGCGGCTAAACCAACCTTTGAGCACCAGCCCCAAATCCTACAGATATACCTCTCTTATATCGCCCAACTTCAACCTATTTTCTTTCTGGCCTCTACAGACCCTGCACATGGCTTCCAGGCAGCGGCGGCGTCTCATTACTATCGAGGTATCCCAGCAGCCGAGAATGACAGAAGGGGAGACATCCCGAATTATTGTACCATGGATTCAGGAGATCTGCTGGATTTGCAGCGGTTCGAGAGCATCTACACGAGCAACGACACCCCGGCATTAATTCAGGATGATCCGAGTACACAACCATCCTACGATCGTCCAAGAAGTACACGATTGCCCTAAACTCGGTACGTCAACGAAGCGCATATGTTGGATGGTCCTCATACATGCAGGGACCTGTATTTGACAATCTTATTGGGAAAGCACGATACCTTTCATTAGGCTCACCCCAGGTAGAAAACTTAAATTTCGAAGGAAATGAGTTTAAGACCGAAAAAATCGCAGAACTGTCTGCGTTAGCTTTCATAGCATCTCTATTACCACAATTATTGCTTTTATCTCCATCATCTCCATCATCTACTTCTTCACACAGCAATTCCCATCCTTGACAACCTCATCCGCCAAAGTTTTCATCTCGCAACTTGCCGGCTCCGGCTCGAGTTCACCAAAATCCTTTGCCAGGGAATCACAGAGGGTAGCTAGGCCGATGTCCTTGTCTGATAGGCCCTTGGGGACATGTGTTGTCCAGCGAATGAACGTCGTGTTATAAACCTGTAGATAGTCAATCCATCAATTCTCTCTCATCTTTTCCAATATATCATTTGTGAAATCTGTAATATACTCACATTAGACCACTCAGGATGATGATTCCAGATCTTGCACTGCAGCGAAACAGCCGTCATGAAATCCTACAAAAAAAAACTCACTCATCAGCCCAAACAACCCGAATTTCGTCATGTGTATTCACGCACCCATGTCTTTGTGAAGTTTTTAAACTTAAAACTCCGCTCCAAAGCCTCTCCATCAGCCGTCAGCGTCCACCTGCCGCCATTCGATACAAGCAGCTGCTCGAGCTTGGGAGATTGAGAGGACATGAATCTGGTGTGTCTGATGCCGGAACTAGCAAGGGAAATAGTGTTGTGAGAGAAGAGTAAGGATGAGATTTTTGAGCGGGACATTTCTTTCTATTTTTTAGGGCATTGATGAATTGGGTGTTTGGTGTTTGTGATGGATTATGTAGGTTTTGGTTGAGAGTTGTTTAGGTGAGGTTCGCTTTAACGCTATTTTTTAAGCTCACTCCAGGGTATGTGTTTATAACTGCTACGTCAAATGATGTAAATGACATCCATCAAAACCTCAAGCATTCTTTTATTTACATTTCAACAACTAATAGTTGTTGCTTCATGCATCTATTTGCCATCTTCTCAATTGGATCAAAATAGATAGAATATCGATGATCCCGAATCCCCGCTTCAATAGCTTCTATCGGGCTCTTCGGCCCCTGTACCCGCTCCACAACCAACAGCTAACGTCCGCCTCAAGATCTTTTGTAGGACTGCATTTAGCCAGGATCCTGTTCGGGCAAGTGGTGCGCCTAAATCGTATTGATGGTATCTCCATGACATATAAGCTCCCTTTGTAGGATTCCCCAGCCACGCAATGCGGGTGTGATAACCGCCAAGGAGCTATAAAAGGAGGATCTTCCAGCCCATGACTCTTGAATATAGCTTTTGTTTCTTTTTCTTTTTCTGTACGCTTTTTTGTCGAATTGATTTGGTACAGCACTTCTCCCTGTCCTTGAACTTGAGTTGCTCTATAATTGTTCCGAGCTCCCGTTAATATGCGCGTTCCTATCCAGCCCCCTCTTCCCCCCTCACACATTGCTTCAGAGCCTCCAGTCGAGGACAGCGAGACCGTGTCTCTCCTCGTAGCGACGCTGCTGATCCCCGGCCGCGGAGAGCCCATCAACAATGGAGCGCTTGCCATCAAAGGCGGCAAGATTGAGTGGGTTGGCAGCTATTTCGACAGACCGCCCAAGTATCAGAATATCCCGCCAAGACATGTACCTGTCCTGATGCCGGGCCTGTGGGACTGCCACGTCCACTTCATGGGGTTGGACGTCATTGGCGACCTGGCCTCAATGGGTTCATACCTCCCAGGCTACAATGCCCTTGCCGGCGCTGTCACCGTCGATGACCTGAAGGAGACACTGTTGGCCGGCTACACGTCGGTGCGGGAGCTGGGAGGATACGGAGGAGATTTGTGGCCTGCTGTGAAAAACGGCCCCCTGACCGGACCCAACATCTATTCTGCGATTGCTCCGTTGTCCATCACGGGTGGCCACGCCGATGACCACTCGGCGCCCATCAGTACGGTCATGGCTGCCATGAAGTGCGGCGGCAGTCCTATTGGTGTATGTGATGGCGTTGACGATTGCATCAAGGCGGTTCGTAACTTGGTACGACGAGGCGCTCGTTGCATCAAAGTCTGCTCCACCGGAGGTGTCGGCAGTCTCAACGATGACCCGGAAGACCGCCAGTTCTCCGATGAGGAGCTCAAGGTCATTGTCGAAGAGGCGGCTCGAAGCCGACGATCAGTGGCCGCTCATGCCATGGGCAAAGCCGGTATTCTAGCTGCGCTTCGAGCCGGCGTCAAGTCCATCGAGCATGGCTGCTACCTCGACGACGAAGTGGCCGACGTTATGCTCGAGAAGGATGCCATCTTCGTCCCTACGCAGCACATTATCCGTATTCTAGCTCGAGACTACAGCGATCTGCTCCCCGCTCCTGTCAAACGCAAGCTGCTTGGCATCTATGACCAGTCCAGGAACGCATATAAAGTGGCAATTAAGAGAGGAGTCAAAGTTGCTCTAGGCACCGACATGACCAGCAGTGCGAGAGCATCAGCCCTCTCACACGGCAACAATGCACATGAACTCACGTACGCGGTAGAACTGGGTATGACACCACTTCAGGCGATTGAAGCCGCAACAGCCAACGGACCAGAGACCCTTGGAGGTCTGGCACCCTTGAGCGGGCAGTTAAAGGCGGGATATGATGCCGATATCATTGCTGTTGTCAAGAATCCGCTGAATGATATCCGAGTCTTGACGGACACCAGCAACATAACGCACGTATGGAAAGGCGGCAAGTTGTTCAAGAGTCAGCCCAAGATGCCAACTCAGACATTTGGTCAGTTGCTCTAGAAGTCACGAGTTGGCCATTTCTTCATTGGAAGAATAGACGCCTCCTTAATTATGAATGTTATTCCCGGCGTGTAACGATTCGCTGTCATGCAATTGGACAGCCGAATTTGATATCAAGCTTCGCGAAAAGTTGCCCACGTTGTTGTAAGATGGAACCTGTAGGATGCCATTGAAGTCAAAGCGTAGTCAAAATACAGACCTCGACTATATATTTCATATGCTGCTTTGACTCGGGAACCGCTGGGTAGCTGCATACGAACACATATAATTTCCGCTCATGAAGAACCAGGAATTCCATCTAGAAATCACGGATCGTTATAAGATCCGCTGTCAAGTACTCCGTACCGGGTGCAAGTACCCATACACAACACGGCCTCCATTGTTTGCACCTTGATCGATAGACTCGCGTGCTACAGTAGTAGACTCCGCATCTAGACTATCGCGAATGAAAAAGTCACCGAGGAGGCTATTCCGTATCGAGAGCACGGTTTCCCGAGAGAGATCCGGCAAAAACGGGACTTGCCGAGGGACCTTGGCCGGAGATAGCAGGACGCAGCTTGTCAATGGAGTAGCCTGTAGATTCCGAGGTGGGATGACACAAGCATAAGGAATGCTACTATGTAATCAAAGGTCGAGCTAATGCCTGATGGGGCAATTTTTGAGCTTACTACTGCACTCCACGCTCCATGCTCCGTACTGTAGAAGCAACACACGTCGAGGAGCGTAGATATTCCCCAATGTGTTGGACGGACCAGTGCTGGCGTGTTTGGAAACATCCGAGAGATCCTTCTTCCTCACTCGAAGAGAGACGCAAAGTACAGTAGTGGTACCTAGCTTCGGACAGGGCGGGTCTCTGATTCTGCCAACAGAGCACACTTGCACTCTGTCCGTCCACACATGCCTGACGTACAACTGCCAAACTCTGGCATTGTTCGGAGCCCAATAATGTCACCAACGGAGAAAGACCTCGATCCAGAGGTGGCAGACAGTCCAACGCCATTGCTGCGTCTGGCGTCTGGGCGAGTAATCATGGCACTGACTGTGGTTAGTCGACTTTGTACGAGTACGGGGGGACCCTCGAGAGCATCGAAGCGTATTAGTGATCAAGGGCGTGTTTGTTTTTCGACTACGTGGGTTAGCACGAGTAGTCGAAAAGAGGTAAGCCGTAAGGCGAGACGCGGAGGCCCCATCGAATTGCGCTGCAGCTCTTGACGCGGTCCGCTCGAAGCTGTTTGTCTTTTCTTTTTCTTCGAAGAACCATGCCTCTCCCTCCCAGAGCCAGGCTCGGAAATAAGCTCCTCATTCCAGCTTTTGTCCCCCATGCCAGTGGCAGGCCATGTCATCACGTAAAAAGGCAAAAAGGGACATGGGCCATGGACGAATCAGTGCCACCAACCAGACACCCCTCCCGAGGAGAAATCGTGACTCGTATTTGGTGGCTGGCGAAGAAGAAGAAGAAAATCGAAAGAAGGCGGCTGACTGTGCAAACGGGAATCCAATATGCACTGTGTGTGCGGCATCGTAAGCGGCATAATATTGGCACTGTATTCTGCCCTCATGCACGAACTACCTTCGGATACATTCAAGCGGCCGGGGTGGGCGCTGTGTTGCTCCGTACTGCAGCGGTACTGAAAATTGGGGCACAGTTTACCGCTTCCGGCGCAATATAGCGAGGGAAGACCCCATTTATCCGACAGCGAAGAGAACCCACTTCTTATCAAACATGACTAATCTCGCTAGTCTTGTTGGGGCTAATACGGAACACTGCTGACAAACTCCGATCGGGTTTTGAGGAGCTGCAGGTGTCGGCTTGGAAGCCGGGATCAGTCAAGGCCGAGGCGCCCGCAGGCGTGACAAAACAAAAGAGAGGCGGCTGTATGGATGGACTGGACGCGGCTGGATTCACACGCTGCCGACGTGGCTGTTTGAACTAGGACTGTGCTGTAAGGTACTGCCAAGTAAATGATGTTGTTGCTGTTGTTGCCGATGTCAATGCCGTCTTTTGGTGAGGAGACGCGTCGACGTTGTGTATCTCTGTTGCTTTCGAGTTCGGGCGGTATTATACGGAAACGGTATGCGAGTATAGATACAAGAGATAGAGAACAGTTGATGTACCCTTATTATGCAGTTGTAGTCATCTACACCTTCACCGTACTCGGCACCACTGGCTCAAATAGGTATTGACGGCTTACTGTATGTGTGGCAGCAGAAGCACCATTACTGTGGAGGAGTAATGCGGCACGGAGGTCCGGTACAAATCGTCTCCCAAGTACCGCTCGAGCCTGATACCCGGGACAGTGCTAAGACAATACGGCCGTGTACTTCGTAGCTACTTCATAGCAACTTGACAATGTTGAGCAGCGGCAAGTGGGAGGGATGGGGCAGTACGTGGCGTGTCTTGGTAAATCTGCAGCGGACTTGGGTATCAGTTGAGCCTCCGCTGCAAGGCCCTCAAAGTAGCCGTAGGTTCCGCGCCATCTCCAGCACAACGCAGCACGAGCACAGGCAGCCGTCAGGTAGGTACTTGGGTCGTGCCCATGCCATGCCATGCCTGCATCGGTTCTCCGGACATTTGATTTGATTCGATTCACTCAGGTCAGGTCAGGTCGAGTCTTCTTTTCCCTCCCGCTAGTGCTCTCCTCAAATCATTACCCAACCTTTCCGCGTCCCGGAATCCGATCAGTCATCATCAAGCCCCATTCACTTTGTGTGCACAACCCAAGCCAGGAAAAAAGCAGAAGCAAAAAAGAAGGGCAGAAAGGGCGGATCTGGAGAAGCAAAGAAGAAAAGAAAAGAAGAACCGAACCCCGTACTGTACGGAGCACGGAGCACAAGCCCGCCAGCCACGCCATTTTCCCAGGCAATCCCGCCACGCCGCTGTTACATAATCCCGTCGCATCCAGCTCGACTTGCACTTGGATTTTCCATGTTTCACGTCAGCAATTCTGCCCCCCCCCCTCTGAGTAGTCATCAAAAATCTGCGAAGCTCAATCTGCCTCTCCTCGCTCTTTAAGCTGCCTACGACTCGTCCCGGATGCTGAGTCAGAGTCCTCGAGCAATGCAGAGCTCTCCCGCCAACGGCGCAAACACGCAAGGTTAGTTGAGCAGTTCTTTTTCTCTTTTGCTCCTTTGCTCTTGATTTCCCTCGAACTTGGCCTGTCTCTGTCTGCCCTCGTCGTGTCCATCCTATTCCTATTCCTGTTCCTATCCCGGTCCGGCCTGGTTCTGCCCTCCGGTTCTACTTGTGCTTGCTTGTTGCTTGCGCTTCTGCTCGGCGTTGCTGTAAAAGGGCACTGCTCCCACTAGCATCGGCATCAGCATAAGCATCATCAACATCCACCACCTGTGCGGCTGCTTGTTCTCGGCCTCGTCCCCTCAACGCCGTCCTCCAAAAAAAAAGAGGAAAAATTCCCGGCAGCTTTTCTGGTTCTGTCGGATTCCTCCGGGTTTTATAAATCCTATTCCGTCTCTCAAACGCCGCTTGGCGCGCGACCTAGACGCCGACGGTCCGTATTACTCCTTTGCCATTGCTCCAGGACCAGCGGCTTTGAAAACAACAACCACACGACACCACGATCCGCTTACCACATCACCATCTGCCCCAACTATTTTCTCCCTTGTTGATTTGCCTCGATTGGCATCCCATTGAACCACACATCGGCCCTCTTCCTCTACTTTTTCTCTTCCTCCGTCCTTAACGCCGTCGCTCCATCCTGGGACGCCGTCTCATGATCGCTGAGCTAACTCAAGCTGGCTCTCCAGAACAGCACTTGCGCGCACAGCTCGAGCTCCTCCAGAACCACGATTCCGCTGCCTCGTCCGCCTCGCCAAACCCGAGCGCGCGCGATCCCCGAGCTCCGTCGCGGCCGCCGAATGGATACGACGTCCTGGCGCCTCAAGACGTCTCCCGCCCTCTCGCCAAGCTAGACGCTGAAGCGCACATCCACCCCGATCTTCGAGCTTCCGTCGGCCACGCGCCCGCTGCCAACATGATGCCCATGGTGCCTCCCGCCGGCCACAGCCCTGGCCCTGCTGGTCCCGGACCTTCGGCTGTGCCCCTGGCCCCCGCGCCGCCGCAGCAAATGTCCATGGACGACTCCAATCCCGCTGATGGCCGCAAGGCGAAGCGCGAGCTGTCGCAGTCCAAGCGCGCCGCCCAGAACAGAGCTGCACAGGTGAGTTTGTCTTGGTTTCAGCTTCGTCCTTGTTCTAATTCACTTGGCGATGGCGCTGGCGCTGTCCGGGCTATTGCTGGGTAATGCCGGATTGGTCAGCCGAGGAGACGGCGCCGGCAACGCTCGGATTGGTTCGCATGACTTGCATCAAGCCATTGCGCATCGCCATCGCGTCCCTATGTGGATGAGCTACCCGCAAGCGCCTGGGTTGAACCCAAAACATGCCCAATTCGCATTAATGGCGTCACAATTGCTGACTAGTATTCTTCTTACAGCGAGCTTTTAGACAGCGCAAGGAGGGCTACATCAAGAAGCTGGAGCAGCAAGTTCGCGACCTGGCCGACTTGGAGCACTCGTACAAGTCGATGCAATCCGAAAACTACGCGCTCCGCGAATATGTGATCCACCTCCAGTCCCGACTGCTTGATACCCAGGGAGAATTCCCACCGCCCCCTCCCAACGTCAACCTCTCGCAGCCCTCGTCTGCCGCGCCTCCTCCGCCCAGCGTCCCTGAGCACCACCAGCAGCAGCATCAGCAGCACCACCAGCCGCCCCCGCCACCGCAGGCTACCAACAGCAGCAACTCTGGCGTCGGCACCCCTCTCGAGGCCGTCGCACAGGCCGTCGCTGGCCTCGCTGCCCAGGAGCAGATGGTCGAGCGGTCGCAGACATACCCTAGCCCGCCTTTCAAGACTGACCCGGCAGGCGAGCAGGATAACACTCCTCGTCCCACTGCAGACGACTTGAACAGGTCATTGAACCCAGAAGAACGACCAAGCCAGCCCTAGAAACAAGAGCTTGACCGAGGCTGGATTTTAAAAAAAGAAAAAACTACCTACTTGGTGACCAAGAAAGCGTTTGTCTATTCTTCCTCTATTCTTTCATTTTAAAGGGCTAGTTCTTGTTGGTGGCGTTTGAGGGCTGTCATCGCGTTGTATGTGCAGATATAATCCAGACGCAGCTTTGTTTTTTTCTATTTGTTTGTTTCTTAATTAAGGAAAGGGGGGTTCTTTAAATCGATGGGTGTGGCGTTCCGGGAGAAAGAGACCATTTTTGTGTTTCTAATATGAAATTATCCTTTTTTTTTCATCGCACACTTTTTTTTATTTCTTGGTTTCCTTTGTGTCTATGTCCCCTCGATCCTCTCTTGATGTGTCTCTATAGAGGGCGTGTGACTTGGGCAATTTTATAACCCCCTTTTCCTTTATCTGTTGTGTTTTCGTTGTGGGAATTTTCTTAGTGATATCAATATTGGGTTGTGTGTGTGTGTGATTGGGAGGGGATATGTGTGTGTGAAGCGGAAATACCGAATCGAATGTAGAAGACCTTTTTTTAAGAGAAAAAATAAAACAGGAGAATGGTTGCTTATGAGAACACGGCATGTTTATGATTTTATAATGAGAGGCAAAGCGAGTGCTTTGGCCATGTGCTATGATGCTTACGAAATAATATAGGATGGCGAACTTGGAGGACATTGATGGTAGAGAAACAGGTGGTTCTTTTTTCTACTTGTTGCGTGTGATGGGCGAACTTGGAGGAAAACTAATGGTGGAGAAACAGGGGGTTCCTTTTTCCTACTTGTTACGTGTGATGGAATGATCTGGATGTTGAAAATGGAAAATACCCGAATAAATGGAAGCATATTAAAAACTACCGAGACGTTAAAAAAAGGTGAAACTATGAATTGACTCCCCCATCCAAACATTTTCACGCGTATGAGTTGCCCATGTCGTGTTCCTACATAAATCAAGAGTGGTTAGTAAAAACATACTTGAAGAAACACAAAGAGGCAAAGAGACAGGACAAAACTCACCTTGATATACTCCGCCCCCTTTTCCTGGTACTCCTCCCTCGTTATCGCCGCCGTCTTCCAAGCCGACGACCCAACCCACCCAGCAGCGCCCTTCCAAGCATCCAACAACGCATCCTCAGCCCGGCGCACATGGAGCGGCGAATCCGCCGGCAGCAAGGCCCTCAAGCCGTCTCGCACGCGGTCGTCAAAGTTGCGGAACAAGGTGTTGCCGCCCGTGAGAAAAATGTCCTTGAGGAAGTCATCGCGGTTGGGCAAACTTCCCAGGCGCTGCGTGAGCACGTCACCTGCAATCTCAATGATGCCGGCCTGGTCGACGCCCGCGATGGAAGGCCGGAAGACGACCTCGGGCACGCGGATGCGCTCGACGTTGAGATGGATCTGGTGCAGCTCTGCCTGGGAAGCCGGATCGATGGGCCGCGGGCCGCGCGTAAAGGCGTGGAGTAGAGACTTGGACCAGACGGTTTGCGCCTCCTGGGTGTTTTCGTAGGTAAAGTTGGGGTCGTACTTGAGTAGATCCTGCTCCAGCGTTTTCAAGGTCGAAGCGAGATCTTCCTCCTCTTGCTCTTCATCGCTGTTGTCTCCCACCGCAATCTGGCGATAGACGCCCCAGTCGTCATCGTTGGCACCAAAGTTGTCGTCGTCACCACCGCGCCGCCTCTTCTTCGTCGGGTTGTCGGATGCGAGGTTGGCGATGCTCTTCATGCGGATCTGGGATGCGAGAGACTTGCGGTTACCCAAGTCTTGCTTCAACCTATCGCGCTCCTTGATCTTTTGGAGTGTGTTCTGCAAGGCTTGGTGCTTCTTGTCAAGCCATCCGTCTAAATCATTCTCACGACGCTCCTGGTCGAGCCGTTCCGCCTCAGCGATGCGGGCTTTCTCTGCCTCCTTTTCAGCCTTGGCACGAGCTCGAGCTTCGTGGTTAGATTTAAGAAGACGTTGCTGCCGCTTTTGCTTTATTTGTGCTTCGTCGAGTTCCTCGTCTGGAATTTCCAAGAGGCTGAAATCGGGTTGTTCTTGCTCCTCTTCTGGATCGCCTCCAACATCCTTGGTGCGGGCCTTCTTGATTGACTTCTCCAGCTCCTTGATGATCTTTTCCAGCTGGCCCTCATCTTTGATATCGTGACTATCAAGCAGACGCCGCGTTTCCTTCTTCGTCTCGTCGACTAACCGACCCTGCAGGTTCTTGTAGTACTCCAAATCTTGTTCCTTCTTAATGAGCTTTTCGAGTCTCATCTTGGCAGCTTGCTCCTGTAATCTTCTCCCGCTCTCCTTTTTGCGCTCTGCGATTCGATCCAGCTCTTCCTGGCTCTTTTGAACAATCACCTCCTCTGTAAAGGGATATTGGATGACAATATCTCGATCTTCCAGGCCATTCCAGTCAAGATAATCGCGAATCTCGTTGTCATAATCCTTGGAGACATAGAAATGATCCTGTATCATGTGCTCTGCTTGTGAAGAGTTGAGTTTGCCTGTAAAGGAAGGGTACTTCAACCTTATCAGCTTCAACAGATACTCGGCGTTATGGTAACCACCCCAGTTCAGTCTTGTGGCTTGAGAAAGGACCGCTTTTGAGTTGTAAACTGGTATTATGTGAGTAGATGTATGGGAAGAAGACACGACCAGTCCCGTCTTTCCATTGTTATGCCTATACGAGAAGAGCGAGTCGATACCGTAGGCGAGGGATGGTGCGCCATAGCATTCGAAAATGATCTCGGTCATTGCTAGATGTAGGGCAAAATGTTAGCCAATTGAAATCTCTTGGTGGCCAGTCTTCCATTTGAGCTTGGATTTGACTTGCATTTCCTTGAATAAGGCAGGTTTGCGACAGCTTCTGTCATCACCACGGGAACATCAATTGAGCCGCTGGCATCGTTCATGCCCAGCTTCAGAAAGACGTAATCTAGGACATGCTCTGCCACATCCCAGTTACTTATGATGCCGGTGCCGGCCTCGAATGCGTTTCGGATATGGCCTCGTGCCGTCGTATCAGCGTAGCAGTCTGAGCCGGCAAAGGAAAAGGTCTTTGCAAGCTTTCTGTCGCGGTACTTGGCCATGATGGGCGGTATGTTTATCCGGGGCGCAGACTCGAACGACCATCCTGCTCGAACGGCGGAGGATCCTACAGACTGTCAGTCCCCCTTCCCTAGGTCTTCCGAGCCGGTGCGACAGCTCACCATTATCTATCACGATGGCAGCATTGCCGGGCTGCTCCAGCGCTCTCTTGTAGCCGTCGGTCTGGGGCTCGACGAACTTTTCAAACTTGGTTTCCTTGACGGGGAAGATCTTGGCCGGCGGATATGTCTTTTCGTGCGGTGCCTGGGGCACTCGGTCGTCGATGGCAGAGGGAGCCATGATTATGATTTCGTCGGAAGGGAGTTATCGCAGGAGTTGCAGGACGTAGCTCTCACAAGGTCTAAGCAGGGACCATGTTGGGGAGGAGAGGATTTCGATGGACGTGGGCGGATTTTGATGGATGGCAGTTTTGGATGATGGCCAATTGGGGGATCTGAAGACGTTGCCGAGCTTGAAAAGGTTCAATGGATAATCGCGAGGCTGCAAGGCTGATGACGGGCAAATGCATTGGCGCGGGTCCATGCCGCTAAACGCAAGCGCGTCGGACGTTTCTTTTGGTCGCCTCACGGGCTTTGAGACAGGCAACGCAAGTAGCAGTACACGAGTATGTGCAGCACCGTATGAAGACGAAATGGATAGCCCTCTAATGATATTGCCAGGTTCTTTTTACAATGATCAAAGTATATTTAGTCATTTAAAAGGAATTTTTGTTTCTTTTTTTTCTTCTTTTTTTATTAATTCATATTCGTCGTATACATCTTGGTATTTTGAACACCGCCATCCTGTCTCTCTCTATATATCACCCAACAACAAAAATGTCATAACCAATACACCTAAGATCATTTGCATCACATCATGAAGGAGGCTTCAAATTATCCGTGGCTATTATATACAATTAGCATCTTTTTGAGAGCACTCACTCATTGCATCTCAAGAGTAACGTACCTTCAAGATGAAACAAGACGTTGGACTGGTAGTTTTTGAACATCTGGGCAACGAGCTCCACGTTCATGTTTTGGACATTAATCTCCTGCGCCGCATTGGTAAACAGGACAGCATAATGGATACATGACAATCATCCTTACCTGAAGGCTCTTGTTCATCACAACGATGGCTTCATTTAGTTTTTCCTGCACTCATTAGCCGAAGCCTCATGCCAGTCTTCGTAGTGGATGGCCATACCACGTTTGTGATGATGCGCGAAAGCAGCAGGTTCTGCTGGTGCTCGTGTGGGCTCTCCTGCACTTGAATCAGCAACTCCGCGATCAAATATCCATGTATGATTTTAATAAATACCATATCTCAACAGAAAGGCTTCCGCAGTTCCTCGATGGATGGTTGTTGATGAGATCAAAGAGACAAGATGGAGGGGCTCTCAGTTAGCAGCACTTCCGCCTGTACCTTGTACTTGATTACAGCGCGCTATCAGGTCCCTCGGTGAGCTCAGCGAGAGCATCACGCCCATGACTAAGCAGTGTTCCAAGGCTAGGAGGCTCTGACCTTGGCCAGCCGATCCCTTCATCAGTTGCCTGATCATTCCGCCTCATCAATAATCTCTCCAAAAAGTCACCACAAACACCAATTCCCAATTCATCTATACAATCTCCTATATCCCGATCGATACCACATCCCATCCCGCCATGGCCGCCCCAACAGAAGCGCAGCTCGCGCATATCCAGCTGCTCGAACAGCTCGACATCCACTCCATCCACAAGAACTTCCGCAACCCCAATTGGAAGCCCAACCAGCGCCGAAACAAGAACCTCAAAGCCATCGTAGGCGACGCGTCGAAACGAGAGGCCTCTGCCCTCGCGACACCGCAAGACGTCAGCGGCGATGCGACCCCCGCGGCCGACGATGGCCTCTCGACCAGTGGCACCTCGACGCCGGCCACAAGCACCAATGGGAACCCGCCGCCGCCGAACCTTGCGCAGGCTTCGCGTAGCTTGTCGAAGCTCGTGCTGGAGAAGACGTTGAAGCCGCCTGTGGGAGGGGCTGGAGCTGTGTCGGCCCCGAACGCGACGTACACAAATATTGAGTCGGCGCCGTCATTAGCACATTCGAAGCACTACTGCGATATTACGGGCCTTCCGGCGCCTTATTTGGATCCCAAGACTCGACTACGGTATCACAACAAGGAAGTGTTTGGGTTGATCAGAACACTGCCTCAGAGCTCTGCGGAGCAGTTCCTGGCTGCTCGTGGCGCGCATACGGTGCTGAAGTGAGCGCAGGTGGATGATTATACGAGTTTGAATATCAATAGCACATCACGGGCTTTTTTTTTTCTAGGAAGGGGGAATCCACCAAGCACAAAGGAAGGGTATTTTAAAATCTATCGCAACGGCGCACTGGGGTTGTTTATATTTTTTACACCGGCTGTCATATTGGAGAAATCATGTTGGATCCACAAAGTCAAGCCTCAACTATGCACCTCCCGCCTTTCGGCAAGAGGATGGCAATTGACGCTCCGGCTTAATCGGAATCGCGAGCTTGTTGTTTGCCCTGAACGAGTACCGAAAAACGTATGGGGAGACGTCTCAGTTGCCAGAGCTAGTATGGCGGTGGCTGTCAGGGCAAGTGGCAGCATGAATAATATGCAAACGTTTGATGCTCAAGTTGTCTGTCGCTGTAGCTGTAGCTGTGATTGATTCTTCTTTTTTTCAGCGGAAAAGGAGCAAAAGAATAGCGGATCGGTTGTAGTATATCCATGAATGAAGCAGACTTGGCGTGACGTGCATGTCCCTCGATGCGACGGCTAGGACCTTGAATCAAAGGCCAATGATCGAGTCACTTGAAATCTCGACCTCTGGTAGCTTTACCATTACCATGTCTGTCATTCGTGCTCAAACAGCAACGTAGCTTGTTGGTAACATTGAGAGGATGCTGAAGAAAGATGGATTCAAGGCTGCAAAATTTATTGTAAGAAAATATTCTAGCTGAAGCTCCAGTTCGCTTACATAACGAGTGGGTCACCATCCCCCGCGAGTTGCATTTTAAGGTACGTGTAAATTATTACTGGCCATGCCTCTTGTATGGCTACCTAAACAATGATCATGTTGGTTTACAAGGACAGGCAGGAAGCGTAATTTTAACCATGGAACTGACGTTGAGCTGTATTAAGTATATGTCTAGGGTGTGCGCAAAGTTCGTATATATACAAAATATTAAAGAAGGTCATGCTCACGCCACTCCCCCCAACGCCAGTTAATGCCATTGCCATCTCGGAGGCTGCCGCAGCCAGGCCATAGCTGACTTATTAATCTAATCCTTCTTTTTTTGTTGTCATCAAGTATGTGCATTTCTCACATCGTGCCTCCGTTTTCATTGTCGGTTTGAAAAATTGGGTCGTCTCCATTAATTCTGGTGAAACAAGTCGGACGAACCCAAGCCCGTTTACTGAGCCTTCTTGGCCTTGATCTGGGCCAACTTCTTCTCACGGCGTCTCTTGTGGGCATCGGCACCAGCCTCGGTGTCGAGCATGTAGTCCCACCAGCGGAAGCTGGAAGCGTAGTTGCCAATGAACTTCTCGTGGTGCATGTCGTGGTGGTCGGCACCGGCCCAGACGGGCAGGAAGTGGCGCAAGCTCCAGGGGAAGTCGTAGCCGCTGTGGGCATCGATGGCCTGAAGAAGACGGAGGGTGATCCAGACGTACATGGTGAGCAGGTGGAGCTCGCCGGTGATGGCAAGGAGAAGGATGGGAGATCCGACAACGCCAATTCCGAGGAGACCAGTCTCAATGGGCGAAGCGTACTCGGCAGCCAAGCCAAAGGGAGCAGAGTACAGGTGGTGCATCTTGTGGATGCTCCTGTAGAGAGGGCCATAGTGAAGAGCGCGGTGGAACCAGTAGTGCCAGGTATCCTCCATGACGAAGAGGATGGCAATCTGCCAGGCCATGGTGAAGAGCGAGGGGAACGGAATGCCGTAGTCCATGCCGAAGTAGGTGGCGATGGGGTGGAAGAACCAGATCTGAGGCAGTTCGGCGGTGAAGTGGCTGATGAGGACGATGGCGGCGCAGTCCCACTGTTCTTTGAGGGTCGGGATCTTTTGAGACTGAATCTTGTATTTGTGGAAGTAGGGGATCTTGTCCATGATCATGAAGGGAATGCAGCGGCCGAAGTAGATGACCTCGTGCATGACGAAGCTCATGATGCCGGTGGCCAGAGTGTCATTTTGCATGAACAGGTACCAAGCCTGGAAACTTCGAGTCAGTCTTTATTCTCGGGTTCGTGAAAGAAAAAACAGCAGAGAGTGCAAAAACGTACAGCCCAGAGGCGCTCAAAGTAGTTGAGCTGAACATTGTATTTGCCAACTTCTTCGAGGACGTTGAAGTAGCCCTGCGTTTGATTCAACGCGGTGAAAGTCGCGCTCCTATCAAAAGTTGCGGGTTAGAAAAACTGCCGGGCCAGTTGCAAACGCGGCTCACTTACGCCACGTCCATGGTTGAGGCCCAATTGGTGAGATGCTGCTGAGATATCTTCCAAACTTGCTGAGGGGATGTGGGAAAGAAAGGAAAAGCTCCCAGAAACAAAGGAGCGGAAGACTGGTGTAGATAAGGAGATGAGCTTGAGGAAAGGACAAGCGTATTAGGGGACTAGCAGTGGGGGCGAGAAGGGAGATTTTTATCGTCGGTTCGCAGAGTTTGGAGGCTTTCATTGGCCGTGCTAACTGGCTAGTCAGGAGATGGACTTGTGTGGCCAAAAAGAAACATTGCGAGTGCTAAGGAAAAATGGACCCTAGCAATGAGCCCACAAGGGAACAAGAGTTTCCGTGCTCTGGGGATTCAAATGCGTGCGAATCGAATCGGAGCCACCCACGGCCCGCGCAGCCTCGCGCAATTGCTGCGGCGTGATAGGCCGTGGTTGGGCGCTGATGCGCTGTGATAGGCTGTGGCGGGAGGGTGTTCCTGCATGGGCCGCATTCGTATTCGCATCGGGGTGAGACAAATCTGGGCGAATTTGTGTGGCTTGGTGCTTCGTTCTCGCGATGAGCACACACACACACACACACAACTCCGTACACACACAATCTCTCTCATCTCGTACATACGAGCCCATACAAACTTAGCTAGCTCTCTTTTGCCTTCTGATCTGATCTTGATGCTTTGCTGACCCCATTTGCTCGTCTTTGGCACTGACCGCTTCCACATGCGTGGTAGTAGCGGCCGCCGCTCGGCATCTTTTGTGAGGCAGCTTGCGGCATTCTCAAGTTTTACTTTGCTTTTTTATTTATTTCATTTAATTTTATCTTAAACAAGGCGCTAGGGGTGCTGTACTACATACTTTGCCCATGCATCTTCTTTTGGATATAGGCAGGGCTACAGTAAACACGCGAGCGACATGCACCCGCCACTTTGGGCAGCTTTTTTATCGGAGACCTGGTAATTGGATGGGGCAGATCTACAAAGGGGTTCCATGTAGAAGAGCCTGACGCTGGATATTGCCATCAAGTGCCCATGTGCTGTATGTACGCGCGCTTACAGTAATAGTATTCCAAATTTTGGGGTCCAGTTTGATTTTTGAGGTTGCAACTACTGGAGCTGTCTATGATCTCATCAAGGGCATTAAATTCTACAGTGGCCACTCAAGTGGTTTTTAGCACGCTATGGTACTTATCGCAGGCGACAGTAGTGACATCACAGCCAATTGCAGCTCCAACGAGCCACTGGACAGTTAAACATATCAGCACCCCAATAAGAGAATACGCAATTCTGCTCAGCCATTCTCGCCTCATCCCCTCCATCATCTCAACATCTCGACATTAGCTTCATCCTCTTCCCCCTATTCCTGTGCATGACGTGAGCTGTTCGTTTGTCGCTCCGAGTACGAGCCATCCAACAATCAATCGCGGCGTTTCCATATTCTGGAGCTCAGGAAAAATTCGGGCACAAACTGCCCCACGCAGAAGCTCCTCCTCCTCCTCTCTTCTCCTCCTCTCGCAGAGCAGCAAACCGCGGATGGATCGATAATACTAGCCGCGCCCACCTGTTACCTGTTTACTCTCGGCCAGCTGTAATTCCGGACGCTGCCTGTGGTGTGATGGTCTGACTATCGTCCAAGCACCTCCGGATTCGACTCCACCCGCAACCTGGTCCAGCTCCAGCCCAGATCGATGCAGATTCAGCAAGGTTAACCTAGCCCTGGTCGAGACAGCCGGACCGTTCGCTTGTCTGATCGTTTCATCGGCTCATACAATTTTAAACCATGTCGCTGGTTGCCGAGTGAGTTTGCGGCCCCCTCCAACAGCTTCTAGAGCGAGCTACTGCTATTCCTATCTTGTGTGTGCTGACTTTGCTAATCTCTTTGCAACAGTCAAGTGCGGCGACTGGATGCCTACCTCGACCGTCTCCCTGTCCTATCCGAAGAGGCTTCTGAAGATGGAGTTTCCGAAGTTGGGCACCCCTTTGCCGTCACAGAGGCGCTGGACGTTCCGCACCTGGACCGTCTGCTGGGCATCATTCGCTCACTGAGCACCACCTCGTCTTCTCAGCCGCTACTCTCTCTCGAACGTGTTAAACTCCTCCTCGACGAATCAGGCATTCCTGCGATAGCGAATAAGGGCCATGGCACCGCAGGCGGGGCTTATGCACAAACCAAGACACCGTATGAGAACGAAATCGAGTGGCTGCTTGTCTCCAAAGCGACGGTTCAGGTCTATGGAGCTATTCTCAACACGCTGGTTGATCGCATTGTCCCGTTGAGCGATGATTTGTGGTATTGGGACGGAGTCTTGAGCTCCTACAGCTATAGCAGTATCTACGCGGTACAGACATCTCCTCTCCGGCTGTGGGCGTGGTCGCATGACATATACCAAGCCAGCCGGGCACGATTACGCTCTTTGTCTGCGGCAGAGGCTTCGGCCGAGCTTGTCGAGTCTACAAGATCCACCTTCTCACAGCCATGGAGCAGATTCTACGGCGTTGTTCGAGACAGTATTCGGGAGCACTCATTTGCCAACATACAGCGAAAAGTGCTCTCGCCCGTTGCTCTATGTCGAGCCGAGGCTAGGCGCAAACAGGCGCACCTACGAAAGCTGAGGGAAATGACAGCCAGCGGTCTCGGAGTGCTCATGGATGAAGGCCTTCAGCTGGGCCACGATGATGAGAGAGCTGGGGCGCAGGATCATGAAGACCTTAAGGGGGTCGTTGAGCGCAGCGTAGCATTGATGGACATGGTTCTCAAGGAGGCATGCAGCCTGGAAGCCAATATTCATGACTTTGAGGAAAAGGTGTTTGCCGGTGTCGAAGAAGACGCTGAGCTATCCGTGCATGTCGAGGAAGACATGACTCCCTATCGCCCAAGCACCCTGGCTCGCCGACTGCTTCAGATAATTGACAAGACGCTACCCCAACATATCAACGCCATGCAGACGCTGGCTAATGAAAATGGTCGGCCGCCGGTTATTATTCGATACTGGCTGCCGACTCTCATAGGTCTTACGTCTTCTACTACCATTCTCAAGATCTTGGTCAACCGCAAAGCAGATATTATCCAATGGATCACGGATTTTGGAAGCACGCTGCGAGATTTCTGGATTCATTGGGTCGTTGAGCCAACCGAAAAGGTCATCAAGACGATTCGGCACGATGAGACGAGTGAAATTGCCATTATGAGCAGAGACAGCCTCAAGGCCGACCGAGAGAGCCTGGAGCGAATGGTCGTCGACTTTGCCACCGATAAGCCTCACTTTGCTGTTGGTGGTTCATCCATCACCGAATCCCAAATCGCAGACATTCGCTCCAAAGTGGCTGAGGGCGATGTGACCCCGGTTCTTCGAGCCTACGAGCAAGACCTGAGACGCCCCTTTGTCGGTGCTGTCCGGGGCGATCTCGTCCGATCTCTCTTAATCCAGGTTCAGAAGACAAAGGTTGACCTCGAAGTGGCCATGACTGGCATTGATTCGCTCCTCAAGAGCCAAGAGCTGGTTTTTGGCTTTGTGGGACTGACCCCTGGTGTATTTGTTTCCTTTGGCGTCTTCCAGTACTTCCGCAGCATCTTTGGCGGCCGATCTGGACGGCGTCATAGCAAAGCCTCTGGCAAGGCCATTCGCATCCTTCGAAACATTGACCGTATCTTATCCGAGGCGAGACCAACGGAGAACAATGTCTTGTCCTACAAGGACCACGGCCTTTTGCTATGCGAGGTTCACGTGCTTCGTAATCTGGCGAGCAAGCTGATGCCAGATAACATACAGAAGGAGTTTTTGGAGGATCTGGACGACCTTGCGAATGTCAAGGGGGTGCACATTCAAGCAAAGGCCCTGGAGAGGATTCGCTGGGCATACGCAAGGTGGCTTAGGTAACTGGACAAAATGTATTTTTACATATCGGAGAGCAATTCTTTTCGAAAGAATTCTTGTTTGACTAGAAGAGAGGATAGACAGGCGAGTGAGCATTGTAAGAAGCATGTCAATTACGTCTCCCATTCTGAAGCAATACTTTTGATACTGTATTCAATGTGCATTTTTGCGTATTAGTCTAGGGTACCTGAAAATCTGTATCGCCTTGACGCTGCCAAATCACCAATCATCGTGCTCCATAACCTGCACCCGTTGCGCCATTGCCCATGTTAAATGCTTCTTATAACAATAATAATGCCAAAAGAAAGTTTTGTTGAAAACACTCTAATTGTGTACTCCGATGACTCATGCTTTTGTGACCCTTTACCCGGTGTCCCAATGATGATGCTAGATTAGAAAATACTTGTAAAAAAAAAAGAAAGAAAAAGTAATGCTCAAACAGTTTCGCTGTCGGTGGGAGGCTCTTCCTTCTCGCGGAGGTCCTTGAGGCAGGGAGCGAAGAACATTTCGCCCGTGATGACGAGCTGCAAAGTCCTCAGACTGACGAGAATCCAGAGGAGGACGACAGTAAGAGAGATGATCTAGTAAGACAGTGGGTTAGATGGACGTTTTCCACAAGACAGGTCATACAGACACAGAGAGAGGGAAGGCAACTCACCATGGTTGCATATTTGAAAAACTCGCTGCCCAGATTCTTCCACAGGGCATTGGTGCAAGTACCCCATACGCCGAGCGGGAAAGTGAATCCCCACCAGCCCATGTTGAAGGGGAACTGGCGCGTGGTCCTGAGGCTGATGAGTGCGAAGCAGACCCAAGCCAGGGCGAACCCCCACATGACGATGCCGAAGAAGATGCCGAGGAAGTACAGAAACTCTGCGCCGCGAGTGGGATCAACACCAGCGACGTGGAACATTTCCGTCTGGGGAATCACCTTGAGGGCGACTTTACCGAGCTGCTGGATGCCGAACCCTCCTTGGCCGAGGGGTCCCACGGGGAGGAAGACGGAGACGATGACTTCCCGAGGGGGGAGGGAGTGGATGGTCAGGCGGTGGAAGTAGAGGGCCATGACGCAGCCGGAGAGGGCCTGGCCGATGCCCCAGAGGACGTAGGAGACGATGAGCGTTGCGTAGGCGTGGGAGGCGGAGGGCAGGGCGTCGGCGACGATGCCGCCCGTGGCGGCGGCGACGACGGCGGGGACGATGGGGAGGAGGAGGGTTGCAGTTGTCTTGTCGAGGCCGGGGCGGTGGCGGTGCATGACGATGAAGGGCATGGAGATGCAGGTTGCCATTGAGATCAGGACGTCGATCCACCAGAATGCCCAGGCGAGGTAGATGAGCCAGGGGCCCCATTGGGCGCAGGCGAAGATCATCATGTTGATGATGGCTGGGGGGAGAGTTAGTTGGTTGGTTTATTGGTGTTGAGATGAGATGAGATGGGAGGTGACTTACTGGCAAAGCCCATGGGGAAGCAGCCCAGGAACAAGGACTGTGCAGGATGTGAAATCATGGCCATCCAGATCTCGGGGTAGAGCGTATATCGTAGTAGCGAGATGATGCAGAAGATGGTGAAGAGTAGGATGTTCAAGGCGAAGAAGATGTAGGAGATGATGTGCAGCCAGTATCCGTTCCAGGGGAGGTTGAAGAGGAGGATGGAGACGATGCCCGTGCCCATGTTTACGGCGAACCATCTTTGGGAATTATTGTGTTAGTTGATATTGAGTTCAAATGATGGGTTTGATTTTTTCTTTGAGGAATGGGTGGTTGTATTGGGTGTAAGCGAGAGCTGAGAGCGTGTAGGTGAGACTTACGATGGGGTAAAGTTGCGGACGATTTTGCGCCAGCCGCGGTTATTTTTGCAGGGTCTTGATTTTGAGGGGCATGGAGTATCTGGAGTATCGGGAGTGTTGGCATCATCATCGCTACTGCTGTCGTTGTTGTCGTCGTTGTTGTTGGCATTGTTTTCTGGCTGTGGCGGCTTCTCGGTTATTGTTCCGAGCTGAGCATCTGCCGGCCTGGCTGTTGTAGTCGCCATCATGATGGAGAGTCTCCAATGAGACCAAAATGTAATTCAAACTGGTAATTGAAAGAGCACTGAAACTTCGATTGATGTTAATAAAAATTTGAAGTCGTCGTCCAATGGTCGTATTTATGAATGTCTTGAGACTATTGCTTTAGGCATAGCCCTCTCGGTATTCGGGGCGCTCGCTATGACGTTATGTTGTTTGTGTGTAAGCCACCAAAGGGATGCAAGATGCAGCGGTTCGTCGGATCGGAATGAGTGAGCCGAAGGATTTACTTTTCCGGGAATAGGGGCAAAAGCTGAGATGTAATGAATTGAATTGATTCTCTCTTTTCATGTGAATGGATCAAGTTGCCGGTCTGCCGTTATATAAACCTTCTAGTCATGGCTATTGGAGGCAAAAGAATTTTCTTTGACTAATTGGTTTGTTCGCCCCCTAGTCAGATGATGCACCGGCCAGCCGGCCGTCCAGGTACGGAAGACCCTTTTTTTTTCTCTTCCCTTCACCTGCGATGAACCGGGATCCACCAATATCGGATTTCTAGAAGATTACCTAGCAGCTGCAAATCCAGTTTTTTTTTTTTTTTGCTGCTCAGCCCTTCTGACGTGCAAACATGATTCACATGGGCCGCCGCTATTCGCTCTTTTGGCGGCTGCGAATCTGGGGAAAGCTCGGCATCGGGGCGTGATGGGGGCCGGCTGTCGGTGGAGATGGATATGGCTGATCAGGGCTGCTTTTTTGTTCTGTTTGGGCGACGGGCCGAGATGCGGGTTTGTGATGATGAATGCTGGATGGAAGTGCCGAGCTGAAATATGTCTTTGGGATTGTTTGGTTGTCTTATACGGTTATTGCGGCATCGGGTAAGAGGGGAGCGGATGCATGGCGGTGGTGATGATGTCCGTGATGACGATGGTTTTGGGATTTTTGTAAGAATAGATTGTGAATGAAGTTGGAGATAAACTCGATTCGGCAAGTGGAAGGACATTACACAATGGGGACTGCAGCTCTCCGCTCTCCTATTACGAGTCAAGTTACGGCTTTTGTGATCAAGGTAAGATACGAGATGGCCTATGCAACAGCTTCACCATGACTTAGATGACTGTCGCAATTGAGGTTGAAGGGTTCAAATAGCTTTATGAATTTAATTTTATCGCCATCGGTATGCTTCGTATAGCTACGGGTAGGTATGATTTGTTTATATTCACCAACAACGTCAATATAAGTCCAGGGTTAAATATCTTTTACTCCCGAGGTGCATCACGAACCAGATGGATATGGATATTATACCGAAGATAAGGACTCTTTTGGGAATGCAATCCAATTGGCATCTCATCGTCGCCCACATGGCATACTCTGGGCACATAAGCCCAGCCCAGCAGTTCCGTTCTTTATGTGGCAGTCGGTCCCTAGTTCTCCATCAAGTACATCAGATATCACCGCAATCCACCTTGTAACAGCAGCAGCCATGCATTACTGTACGATGTGTATATTTTCTTTTTTCTTTTCAAAATTTTTTTTTTTTTTTTTTTTTTTTTTTAATTATAATTATTAATTTTAATATGTTTTTTAAATATAATTAATAAAAGTTATTTTTTTTTTTTAAAAATTTTTTTTTTTTTTTTTTTTTTTTTTTTTTTAAATTTCTTTGTCCGTGCACTCTGCCAGACTGGCTCGTGAGCCGAGGAAAACTTGCTCAATCAGCAAAGTCCAACCCACACTGTCTCACAATATCAGATGAAAGATCCTTCGGTCAATGCGGGTGAAGCCAAGCCTCAACCATAGCAGTTACAGTACTCGGTGGAGCACAAGCAAACTCCTATTGAAAAGCTTGGCCATAATTTGTGGAACTCGAAAAGCACATTCCGTGTCCACCTACTCCGTATTCAACTCTATATTGACTTGACTGGTCTTCTTCCTCTCTAAGATCCGTGTGCCGAGTGACCGAAAGTTACATGTACCGAGAGCGCGGGTGTCGGCGGCGGATGTCGGAGAACCCCGAGCCGCTGCCGTCATTTTGTGTCTTGAATCTTGTACCTTTGTACTCCGTTCTCCGTCCGTCCCGCATCTTATCTTATAAGTGGAACAGCGCCACCAATATAAGACATATACATAGATTGGCAAGGTCTGCGTTTCTTGCAAACAAAAAAAATTACAATCAATTCAGATATAACAAATTATTGACAGCTCAGGGGCAGATAAGGCGATAACGAAGAAGGAGAGCACAGAGTTCTAGATCTTCTGCCAACCCCCTTTCCATTCGCATATCGCAACCAGTCACTGAACATCCCTCAAGGTTCCCTTGAACTTTTTCCCTTAGCACGACGCTACTGCTCCGAGCATGTACCAGGTTTCACGAAGCCCCACGCTTGGCGGATACTGTCCGTCTGGTCACCAAAAATCTGAACATTCGTCTCAGTTCGATGCTCGGGTCCCTATCGTAGAGCCTCTCGTGAGACCTGTGACATTCCAGGCTGTAAATCCAAGTCCAGGTGCAAAGTGACCACGTCCAGAATCGGGGTTTCGTGAATCTGACAATGTCCGGTCGTCATCATTTCGTAGCAATCTCATGTTATCTCTGAGGCTGCGCGTCAGCAGTTCGCTGCACCGCCTAAACTCTGGCTGGCCATTGTGCGCTCCTAGCGCCTGGCCGTCCAACCAGATTGTGCAAAACTTGCGCGGCCTAATCCACCGATAGTTGCCAGGTGTACCCGTTCCCCGTTTGCCGTTGCTCGTACAGGCGATCATCCACCATTGCCCTTTTTTCTTTCGTGTGGCTTGAGAGTCAACGAGGATTTTGACAGGCCGACACCGGTTGCACTACCCTCCGTCGGGGGTTTCGCTCAGCTGACCAGACACGAGAGACACCGGCCATCCCCGCCCCCAGTCGGTGTGTCGCTTTTCGTTGCGTATCTCTGAGATCTTGATAAATGCACCCGTCGTATCGTTCTGTATTGCCCATTCGTTAGATCCCTCATAGCATACCTCCTTATACAATCCATCCTCTATAGCCACCATCAAAAGATACCATCAATCATGACCGTCAACGTTGTGTCTAGCAGCCAAGCGCTCGGTGGCGTCGGCGACGTCGTAGCGCACAAGGGGGATCGCTTCGAAGAACTCGTGCTGGCGCTCAAGAACGCCCTTGGCCCGTCGTCGGGCTTGACGTCTGACGATGTCGACGTCGGCTTCCTGATGGAGCTCATGCGCGACTATGATGGCAATGACATGAAGTGGTCCAAGTATGCATTTGGCGACGGCAGCAGAGGATACACTCGTAACCTCGTCGATGAGGGAAATGGCAAAAGCAACCTGGTAGGTCATGTCTCGAAACCTTCACCCATCCAGGTGCATCCAGTGTATTGACAAGAAGCCAACTAGCTTGTACTCGTCTGGTCCCCAGGAAAGGGAAGCCCCATCCACGACCACGGAAACGCGCACTGCGTCATGAAGATTCTTCGCGGCGATCTCACTGAGACTCGCTACGCCTTCCCAGAGAAGGACGAGCCCGAGGGACCGATGACTGTCATCTCCGAGAAGACATATAAGGAGAACCAAGTGACATACATGGCCGACGAGCTCGGCCTCCATAGAGTCTCCAACCGTGGCAGCGACTTCGCTGTCTCACTGCATTGTAAGTTGCATCGTGGCCTCAAGACACTTGTGCTGGACCCAACTAAACAACTTCTTCAGTGTATACTCCCCCCAACGTAGCAAGGGAAGGCTGCCACATCTTTGATGAAAAGACTGGCAAGCGAAGCCATGTGCCCGGCTGCATGTACTTTTCGATGTATGGTCGCCTGGTCAAGGAGTAGCAAGCAGCAGACTTGGCAGCGTGTGCATCGGGTTCATAGGAAGCGGCGTGTTGGCGTTGGTTTTGTGATGTCTTTCTCATAATCGTCTTGTTGCCTGTATTGTTTTAGTTCATGGTTCTGGGTGTCGTTGGGTAGCATCTGCCATGTTCATCCATGGCGGAGAAGAAGCGGTCCTCAGCGACGGATATATAGCGAAGCACAGCATTTTTGGTACTGAATGAAACGCCTCATCGCATACAAGCTCGTCTGCCCTGCTGTAGCAAGAAGAAAGAGTGTAGTTGAAAGAAAAGCAAGGTTGGACGCATGTCGTTGATATTCTGGCTCTTGTTCTGGAGAGCCATCGATGGCGTGATTTCGGCTAGACCTAATTGGGGACAGTCGAGTGCTTGGTGGTGACGGATCTCGGCGCACTTTTTATGGGGGTTACGGAGGTATTACGGTATTCTGGCTGCTTAGTCACGGTGATTGTGATGATTCACAGGCATAAAAAACACGAGACAAGCTGTATTAGACGGTAGGGAGTGTATCATAAGGGAGCTGTACTTGTATTGATGTGTTGATTCCCTCCATGCGTGGGACATGATTGTGTGGATGCCCGACTAGAGATGAACTAAGGCGCCTGTGCTCCATATTGCTTACAAAAATGGTACGAGAGCTGCCAAAAGTCGGAGTGACATGCTCGGCCTGTCGGATTGCTCGCTGCTTGCTGGTATCTTGCACGTCACATGACCTCGCGTTTGCAGTCTCGTACTCGTAATTGGCTATCACTAAACGGGACGCGAAGTCAACTGGCGGACCTGCCATAATTATAGAATTTAGCAGCTTGAGAAGAATCAAATTGATAGAGATGCTCAGCTCTAGAAATTTATTTCCCTTCAGCAGACTCAGACATCAAAACTCCTCTCTTTCAAATTAAAATTTCTGCCTTTCATAGCATCTATTTAAAAGCATTCATTCTCGTTACAGCAACATGCCTCGTCGCAAGCGTGCCGCCGCCGAGTTCATTGATCTCACAGGAGATTCCCCTGAGCCAGTTCGCAAACGACCGGCTGTATCTTCTTCACACCGTTCTCGGGCACCTCCTGTTCTGAATTATGCATCTCAGAGGGGCCAATCATTTGCTTATCCAGCGGCCACACAAGAGCCAGACTATCTGGACTTGACACAAGACGACGACACAGCCGACAAAGAATTTTATGGCACTTTTGGTTCGTTTCTTCCCGCAGTTCATTTGTTTCAATAGAATGCTAATTCTTTTTGTATAAAGATGGCAAAATCGTCGGTGTGAGGTACTATGATGGATATGCTTCGCCTGGCGAGGCCGTCTTGTGTCGCAGAGAGCCGGAAAATCGGGTATGCATCAAGTATAACAGCTAGTTTGGCATCATCAAGTAACAGAGCTAATACGCAAACAGTATGACAAAAATGCTATCCGAATAGACAACGTGCTCCACCAGCAAATAGGCCACTTGCCTCGCACAATTGTTGAGAAGCTCGCCCACTACATTGTAAGTTTGGCGTCCCTAAACACCGCCTCTTTAGGTCTAAGCCAATGCGGAATAGGACTCTGGAGATCTCACCGTGGAAGGCCAAATCATAGGAGAAAAGGCCTACTACGATTGTCCCATAAGATTGTCCTTTTACGGGCCAAGTGATCCTGCAGAGCGGACCAGGATCGAGACTGCTCTAAAGGCAGACAAGTTTGTCAAGGCTACCCAGCTGAAGAAGACCAGAAAGGAAGCCGAGGCACGTAGGGTAGTGCTTGGGCTATCTCAAAGCAGATCAACAGCTGGCTTCGACACTAGTCAGGCGGTTCCCGAAGTATCACTCGAGGAAATCCTCCAGTCCAGCGATGCAGTCGAGTTCCGCAAAGGCGGTGACGCCATCAAGACCCTGGCAATGGGCGAGGATGAGCTGTCCAAGATGCCGCAGGCCGAACAACCCAGTCAGCTCAAGTCTACTCTCCTGCTGTATCAGCTACAGGTATGTCTACACGAAACCTTGCTTATTATTCTTTGTTAGTCCTTAGTTGCGTCAAATCAGAACTAACAGCGCGTAAAAAGGGCCTGGCTTGGATGCAATCGAAAGAGAGCCCCAAACTTCCCGCTGTGGGTTCGGATACAGTAACCCAGTTGTGGAGGCGCGACAACAAAGGCCGATTTTGGAATGTCGCCTCGGAATTCATCACCTCCAAGCCACCAACGCTCTTCTCAGGCGGTATTCTTGCGGACGATATGGGTTTGGGAAAGACGCTCCAAATCATCAGCTTAATCCTCACCGGTGGTCCTGGTTCAACGCTAATAGTTGCTCCCGTTAGTGTGATGAGCAACTGGGAGCAGCAAATTCGAAGGCACGTGAAAGAGGAACATCAACCCAGTATCCTGATATATCACGGTGCCAAGAAAGTGGCAGCTGAAGAGCTGGAGGGATACGACGTTGTCATTACTAGCTATGGCACACTTGCCAAGGAACTGGACCCCGGCGTCAGCAAAACTCTCTTGAGCCAAAAGAAGAACTGGCGGCGAGTTGTGCTTGATGAAGGACACACAATAAGGAACGTCAAGACCAAGGCGGCTCTGGCAGCCTGCGAGCTCCACGCCCAGTCCCGCTGGGTGCTGACTGGAACTCCAATGTGAGTCCCATGTTACAATTGGTCTTTGATTATTCTCATTGTCTCGATATACTAACCAATCATCAGTGTTAATTCCGTCAAGGATCTCCAATCTCTGGTCAAGTTTCTGCATATCACCGGAGGCATTGAGCAGCCAGAGATATTTGGCAATGCGATCTCGCGCAAACTGATGATGGGTGATCGCAGTGGGGAAGCCCTTTTGCAATCTTTGATGCAGGACATCTGCCTGCGACGTAGGAAAGACATGAAATTTGTCGACCTCAAACTTCCCAAGAAGACAGAGTACCTCCACCGAATTACCTTCCACCCAGAAGAACAGGCCAAATACGACGCTCTATTGTATGTCAACTACATCTTTTTTTGCCTCTTGGTTTATGGATTTGGCACTAACTCACTTGTAGATCAGAGGCCAGGGGCGTGCTGGAGGAATACCAAGCCAGATCGCAAACTGGACAGAAGGGCCGCTTCCAAAACGTCTTGGAGCGCCTTCTTCGGCTTCGACAGTCGTAAGTCACCTGCTCATAGTTTGATGCTGCTTGCTGATGTGTTGTAGATGCAACCACTGGACTCTATGCAGAGAACGGATTAATGATCTAATGCAGATGCTCAAAGACCAAGATGTTGTACCCCTGACCGAGAAAAACCGCGCACTGTTGCAAGAAGCCCTTCGGCTGTACATTGACAGTCAGGAAGAGTGCGCAATCTGCTACGACTTGCCTACTAACCCAGTGATTACAAACTGCCAGCATGTGTTCTGTCGCCACTGCATCTCCAGGGCAATTGAGCTACAGCACAAATGCCCCATGTGCCGCAACCCGCTGACAGAAGACAGTCTCCTAGAGCCAGCCCCAGAAGGAACGTTTGACAAGAACTTTGATACCGAAGAGCAGAGCTCAAAGACAGAGGCAATGCTGCAGATTATTCGAGCCACATTGAAGAATGACGGCTCGAAAATTGTCATCTTCTCACAATGGACATCATTCCTCGACATTGTGGAGAAGCAGCTGCAAGGTGCTGGTTTGAAGTATTGCAGGATTGATGGAAGCATGATTACAGATAGACGAGATCAGGCCATCGATGCTCTTGACAATGATTCAGATACGCGCATTTTGCTAGCCAGTCTAGCGGTTTGCAGCGTGGGGCTTAACCTTGTTTCCGCGGATACAGTCATTTTATCCGACAGTTGTAAGTCTTTGCTTCGTTGGCATCCCCCCATGCTTACATCCCATTATGTGTCTATACTTACTTGTACTCTCATAGGGTGGGCGCCAGCAATCGAAGACCAAGCCGTTGATCGAGTACACCGTCTCGGCCAAAGACGCGAGACGAAGATTTGGCGTCTCGTTATGGAAAATACTATTGAGGAGCGTGTGCTGGATGTCCAGCAGGAGAAGCGCGACCTAGTCACCAAGGCGTTTCAAGAAAAGGACAAAGCGAAAAAGTCTAATGAGACGAGAATGGCGGACGTGGTGAAGTTGCTTTCTTAGACGGGTACATTGGGCGGCGCAATTTGGTTCCCGATGGATCTCCACATAATGTAAATAATATAGACGATGCTATCAACTTGAGCATAGTATTGAGATTTCGGAGAATGCGGTATAGACACGGGGGATCTCTTTGCTCCGTCTACCTAGGGTTAATAGAGGCGGTATAGCTTATGGTGCTGACATATGCTTACATACGGGAGATTATGAAGACGCTCAATGTCACCATATACAATGACTTGTAGTTAACGAGGAGATGTGACTGCCTGATCAATGCTCAATCAAATTCTCGACTTCACTAAGTTTTTTAGAAATCAGCAAAGTGATGTACAATACCAAAGGGCGAACATATTTACTGGCTATGACGAGCAACTTCGCTCTCAGAGTAGCTCAAAGAGATATACCGTCTATTTGATGCTCACTTAATCACTTAATCTCCAGCCTTAACTAGCTTACTAGAAGCTGGCTGGATCCTTTGCAATACGAGAGGTCAAATGTATGAAGTTGCTGTAATGGGTAGGTTTTCGATCAAGGGTAGTTGTAAACCAATTATAGTTTTTCATACACGAAGTCGGCATGATTTGTAAATACGACTTGTTAGTTTGTAAGCTCCATATTTCCTAAGTCAAAGCAATCTTCCATGGTATGTATCGGTTACTCAGTTTAGACTGGATTTCACTTGAACGTTTGTGTTGACACCCTATGACACCCTTCTCCCTTCTTTTCATCCATTCAGGTGTAAGCTATAACCTAAAAGGAAGTTGACCCAGTGTTAGACACTATTAAGTTGCGAAGAGACTTCAACACAGAATTATATCCTTTTTAGCCTAATACATGGCGAGTTTATAATACTAATTATGATCAACCTGTTGTTTGTACTTTGACAAGGGAGAATGCGAGAGACATGGAGTTGGAGTTGACAATACTTTCCTCGTATTATGTAACCTCACTAGACAAGATAAACGCGGTGGAGACTAAACGAAATACAGTTGGTTTGGGTTGCTAGCGGTAGACCCTATGACGGGACTCCTGACAGACTTAACCTAAAATCACTCAAGCCGCGAGACTTACAGAGCAACTAAGCTTACATTGGCTGATCATAGAGGAATGACTCGGACTTTCTATCGTTATCATCTAGCGGCGAGTATGTATTTTGGGAACACCTAGATCAGGTAATTTGTGCCAAAGAGGGAAGCATGCAGCAGGAGGTTTCGTGCGAGTTGGTGCGAATCTTCACAATGAAATCACAACATCTCTTGCTATCTTAGTTTTGGTCAATAGTTTCCTTTAAACTGAGGAACAGATGAATCAATTATGTATTCTCTGTCAAAGTGTTCGAAAAGGATGTAATCTCTAATTCATCTCTAGCCATAACTAATAGACTACATACTAAGCTTAATGATTTGTATATTTCTCGTCCGATTCTAACTTTTGGCTATTAATCTTACATTGTGAGACGGTAACCTGGCTGATTTATGAACAGACGTGGGTTGATCTTTACCGGCTTCGACTAAACACCAATTAGTAATCTACGATGCTGCAAGGGAAATCTCCGTAATGGTCTGCGTTGTTCTAATCATGGGGTCCCTTTCCGAGGCTGTAAGATGGAAAATAAAATCATGGCTAGTTTCGGAACAGTTCCGAGTGGCTACCAGAAATTACCGGGGGAGTATATAAACACAATCCGTCTCGCCAACGTTGAAAAGGAGCCAACAGCTTGACACACATATCAGTCAAAGAGCTTTCTATCTTTTCTATTCTCCTTAAGGAAACATACACGGCATAATACTTTGATCTAGTAACCATGGCTGTAATTCCACCTCCCAAGCCACACGTCTTCGTCATTCCTGGAGCCTATCATCCGGGTTCCGCTTTCAACCTATTCATTCAATCACTCGAGGCAGCGGGATTCTCTGCTGAAACAACTACAAACCGCAGTGCCGGTAACGCAGGCATCACCGTACAAGACGACATAGCACACGTGCAATCTCTACTTATCCCTCAGATCGACGAAGGCAAGGACATTGTTGTCGTCGCCCATTCATATGGCGGTGTGGTTGGATCGGGAGTCATTGCCGGTCTGGACAAACGAGGCCGAGAAGCTCGAGGCTTGAAGGGAGGCATCATCGGGATTATTTGCATCGCAGCTCTTATGACCGCGCCGGAGAAGTCGATTCTTGAGATGAGGGGTGGAGGGGCATGGTCACCATGGGTTGATACAAGTAAAGTAAGTTGAACTCCCTTTTGCTTCTTCTCTCCTATGTTTAGTTTTGTCAAGTAACGTGCTGTATCTGTATCATGATAATGTGCTAAACTGTCCGCCAGCTCGAATCCGAAGGCGTCACATACACGAGGAACGAGATAGAGACGTTTTACCACGACGTCTCTCCCGAACTAGCCAAAACCATGATAGCAAGTTTAACGTCACAGTCTGCGCTGTCAGTGCAATCGAAACCTGCTGCAGTTGGCTGGCTAGATAATGTGTATGATGGCCGTCGCGCGTACATTCGCTGTCTTCAGGACGGCGCGTTGCCTCTTGCGGCGCAGGATGGCTTGCTTGCTCAGTCGGGGGTCGAATGGATCATTAGGTCCTTGGAGGCTTCGCATAGTCCGTACTTGTCGATGCCGGATGAGCTGACGAGCGTGGTGGCGGAGATAATAGCGGAGTTTGCAAAGAGCTAAGTGTTTGTGTTACTTGTATTCGTGGTTTCGTAACATGGTGTCTAGTATATATCACATGAATCTGAATCACAGATGAAGAATATTAGCGTTAATAGTTCTTTTAGTATGACTTTGATCGTGTTGAAGAGAAGCTTCATAAACTTACTCAACTCTCTCTGAACGTGATGCCAGATGTCATACTGGTGAGGAAGATCAGTGAGGTCAAGATAGGCCCCATCTGGTAGAAGGCTGCTAACAGTTATTGGCTAGGCATTTCGTATGCATCCAGACATAGATGCCTAGCTTCATTAAAAGAACCAAGTGGCTCTCTCGATCTATTTTTCGGGCAAGCCACAGGCACTGGCTGTCCTCCCGACTCGCCTTTGCATCCTTAAGGAATCATAGGACCAAACTTTGATAATAGGGATGCCCCTATTCGATATTTCCACACAAATGTCTCCTTATCGTACGAGTCATTATAAAACATCAAGCAACTCATCTCCAGAGCCAATATTATGGATTTCGGACATGTAACGCCTCCGCGATATGGTCGTACACGCACGCACTCCCTCGCAGCAATGGCTTCACTTACATACAACCGCGAGCTTACTCAGCGGACCTATATCCCACCTCCAACCATCTATCTGTATCAACAAACGAACACGAGGTCTATTTTCCATGGAGATACCCTATTGCCAAAACTCACCAACAGCAATACGGAGATAAACCACGGATTCAATATTCTAAAAAAAATCCTTCAGAGGGAAATTTCCTTTTGGTTTCGTCATCGCGCACATTATCATTCCTCCGCAGTTATTGTTTACCCATCCCGCCGATTAGCTAAGCCAGATGTCGGCCCGCCTGGGGCTGTTCGCGCCGACAGCGAAGCTCCGATGCTCCGACCTCCGATCTTGTTTTGGTGAGAGCCGTTGCGTGTAGAACGCGATTTGAGCGAAACCAACTGCGTATTTTGACGCTTTCTGTGTATCCGCAGGCTGAAAGCAATAGATGCAAGATTGATGTTTATAATAAACAAAAAGATGCCAAAAAGCCAAGCCTCTAAATCTATTCAGCTACTACCAGCCCTGCTGTCTCTATCCCATCTACAAGATGAATACCCGGGCTTCTCTGTCTCAGTCTTGTCTATCCCTCTGTAAGCACACACAAGCTACCTAATACTCGTATATCTGGCGTATCATCGGCCGCGCCAAAACAAGTCTCCCAAATAGCCTATCCATTTCAACTTACCATTCCCCTTACGCACCCCCGTTTTTTCTTCCCCCCCTTCCCGTTTAACGTTAAAATTCATGCCGCTCACTCACCACCCAACCAACGCGCGCCCGGACCTACGTGTGTGGTATCCCCATCCACCTTCTGAACCCCGGATCTTGCACAAAGTGCGAGCACCGATCACCACATGTTTCTGTTTTCCCGGTCGGCGGCCTAGACCCGGGGCCTCTCTGCCTAAGCAACACCGGCCTGCCTAAGCAATACCGGCCGTTCGTTTCATTTGTCTTGCGTAGCGTAGCGCAAAAGGGCCCGGGCCAGGTCAGGCTGTCGGTCATGGCACCTCGCGCGAAAGCGAAAGCGGACAGCGCAGCTGAGCTGCGGAGGATTTTTGAAATCAGAAAAAAGATAACTAATGTACAATGACGCTCGTTGGTTTCGTGTAATATATTTTTCTTTTTACTATATTACTAGATGTGGGCAGTAGTTGCCAAGTCCTTTCTTTTTCCATTCTGGTCACTCCCATCCAACAAACCCCCTTGGTTACTGCGAATCGAGTATAATTGTTCCATCTCTCGCTCATCTTGGTATTTCAATCTCTTGGCCTTTGCGCAAACGAATATAATCGATCCATCGTGCGCTGTGTTGTTATCAATTCCCGCGAGCTTGGTGTTTTTGGTGGTGTGACTTGGGACGACGACTTATACGCATCTCCTCACGCCAACCTATCCATCACCTGGACCAAACAAGACCCTCAACAATCACGAAAATATCCATCTCATCAAGCTCAATTTATCGAAAAAAGAGTCTCATCTGAAAAGATGGCATCCAGCGGCCAAAGCGGCGGAGTGCCGCCACACATGGTATGTTTATCCCCCCCCTTTCCCCCTTCAACACCATCACCAAATCCATCACAATAACCTTCAAATCAAACCAAACTAACATGAAATTCTCCCCCAGAGCCCTCCCTACCCCCCCAAATACGCAGGCCTCGGCCTCACCCCAACCGTCGGCGTCGACATCCCCATCTCCGCCGTCATCCTCTTCTTCTTCATCTGCTCCGCCGCCCTCAACATGACAATTTTTCAACGAAACCGTCGTCGAGGTCACAAGTTCGTCCTGTCGGGCCTCTTCTTCGGCTTCTCCATGGCACGCATATCCGCAAACGTCATGCGCATCGTCTGGGCGTGCTACCCGAAAAACGGACGCATCGGTCTTGCTGCGCAGATTCTCGCCAACGCAGGTGTTTTGCTCGTCTTCGTCGTCAACGTTATTCTCGCTTTGCGTGTATTGAGGGCGTATCATCCTCGTCTTGGTTGGAGTTTGCCTGCCAAGATCGTCTTTCGCTCTATTTATGTTTCGGTCGTGGCCTGTCTTATCATGCTCATCGTTTCCATCGTCTACAGCGTCTACACGCTCGACCAGTCTGCCATCAACAAGACCCACGACGCTCAAGTCGTTGCCTCAACTTACTTCGCCTTCCTGGCATTCTTCCCGATCCCAGTCATCGCCCTCTGCTTCATCATCCCCCGCCGCCAGCGTATCGAAAAGTTTGGTGCCGGAAGCATGCGCTATAAACTCTTCCTCATGATCTTCAGCGCCTGCTTACTCACTCTCGGCGCGAGCTTCCGTGCAGGAGTAGGATATTACCGCGTTCCTGTAACCCAGCCGAGATGGTTCCATCAAAAGGCCTGCTTCTACTGCTTCAACTACGTCATTGAGCTCATCGTCATCTTCACGTACGCCCTGTCTCGATTTGACAAGCGCTTCCACATTCCTGATGGAAGCAGCTCTCCCGGCCACTATGTCAACGGCGTTCCAGGCTCAGACGGACGAGTATTCGATGAGGAGCTTCCGGCGAGCGCTTCTGCGCAGACGATGCATGATTCCACCTGGGACACACCGCTCGAAAACAAGCTTGAGGCCGGCAAATGATTTGGAGAAAATGAAGAAGAGAAGCGAGAAGCAGATAATCACAGCATGGAGGCACCTGAGGGTCTGTATATATGTCAGTGTGCTCGGTATATTTAGACAAGGACATCACATGGCGTTGGGTTATAGATAGTGCGTCGCATTATACGACTGGAATCATGGAATATCACGAAAGGGCCCCTTGGTTTAGGGCAAAGGTTGAAAGAATCTTCTCTCAGTATAGAAATAAGCGTTCTCGGATAATGTATAGAACAAGAATGATATCACCTATTTTGCCAATTAGCAGTTTTGTCACCTAATACTCGTGACAAACGAGGGGGTTTGTGGCATCGCAAATAGTCTGATAGCCAATGTCTCTCTCATATTCCAATTCTATTGCTCTCAGTTCTGACCATGACAGTGCATAGGTACGCACATGCTGACATCATTAATGTCAGCGCATCGCCATCCCTGTTAGTAAACTTGAACCAGCTTGGAGCGGCAGCACTTTGGCAACTCCTGTTCACATTGAGACTTGTCACGGCTGGGTGGCGTGGGCCCGTACACCGGCAGTAGGATTAATCGTACATTATTTTTTCTTTAGATGCCCGGCTCCCTGGGCTCTAACAACTATAAACCCTCTTGCAAAAAGCCCTTTACAGCAATAACTCGTTTGAATGAAGAACGTCGGTACTAGATTAGAGGAAGTAGTCGGGGGTTCCTAAAAGGGAAAAAAAGTCAACAGTCTGATTTGAGCGCTTGGGTGGGAATTGCAACACATACGTCTAGAGACCATTGGCTCTCCGGCTCTCGGGCACGGATCAAATTGCAGGCTGTAGGGGTTAGCACTTGTGGCTCCAACATGGGATGCAGGTTTGTTGCTTACAAGGTATATTTCAGGTGCTCGTCAATCTCCATTATGGCAGCTTGGTTACCACATCGGTAACAGTAATTCGGTGCTGTAAGGAAGCGGCATCGTTAAAAAAAAAGTTCAAGTATTATTAAGTGATGCAGGCGGCTGAAAAAGGGTAGGCGGCACGCGGGCAGTAGAGCTGTTGGTACAGCAAGGGCTCGCCATTGGCAAGCGAGGGAAATGTAAAAACAAAAGAAAAAGGCTCACCTGAAAAGATTGTCACCACGTTCCGGTCCTGGGACCAGTTGTACCCTTCCATGACAAGCTGATGCGCTCGTGCCACCAATGTCAAGCCGTTGTTGTGATTGAAAGCCTCTGAAATGTCCTGGCCAAACGTGTACCCCGCACCGCGGGGAGAGATGCCCCAGCCGCAGCGGTCGTCGGGGTCAGACCATAGGAGATCGCACATGGGACCTTCGTGGGGGACTTCCTGGACACGGTCGAGGGCCCTGATGTTATCTAATGTGTCGATGCTGGGGGACAGGCCGCCGTGGAGGCAGAAAATCTGGTTCTCAATCAGGGCGGTCAGGGGGAGGTAGTCGAAGAAGTCGGTGAAAATCTTCCACACATTGGCGTTGCCGTATTTGCGGAGGCATTCGTCGTAGAAGCCGTAGACTTGTGTGATCTGGCGCGACTCGTGGTTGCCTCGCAGGATGGTGATGCGTTGGGGGTAGCGGATCTTGAGGGCGACGAGGAGCGATACGGTCTCGACTGAGTAGTATCCTCTGTCGACGTAGTCACCTGCGGCAGTTTACAAATCGTCGTCAGCAAACGGAGCTCAAGGGAGGGGATCAGGTCGCGTCTGTTCGCACCCATGAAGAGATAGTTGGTGTCGGGACTGGGGCCGCCAATCTTGAACAGCTCCATCAGGTCGTGGAACTGGCCGTGGATATCGCCACAGACCGTGACGGGGCATTTCTGCAAAAGACACTCAGAGTCAGCATTCTCCCACGCCAGTGACCGGACAAGACACCCGATCACTACATCGCTCAAGGGCCAAACCTACCACTGGCTGGACGTTTGATTCCTCCTGAACAACCTCTCGACCCTACACGAACATCCAAAAAGTCAGCATCGCTGGCGCCCAACAAAACAGCATCACGAGCAGGCGCCAAAAAAGGGCCACCAGTCCAGGACCCAAGAGGTCGAAAAATCTGGGATTCTCGCATCGCCATCGCTTCAGCATCGGATGCTCACCATGTCGCACAGCCTCTGGACGTCGGCCTCGGACAGCTGTTTGCAGTTCATCAGATTCTCAATCCACTGTTCCAGCGTGGATCTGGTCGCAGGCTCCGTCTGCACTGGCGACACGTCGGCCGGTACCCTCCCGACGTCTTCCATATTTGTGTCCATGGTCGAAAAGCGCAGCTGCGGCCGAGGCGAGTCGATTGGCGATGCGTTGCTGGTTGGGGGTCGGAGATAGAGGGGGGGTCGAGCTGGTTTGAGGTTTAGGAGGGGAGAAGGTTGATGCTGTGAATGACGTTGCGGTCACGCTTCGGGTTTCTGTCCCAAGAGGTTCTGGCAGCAACAGCCTTGGCAGCAGGCGGCGGGTGGCAATTTAGCGGTTGGCAGCTGTACAGTCCAGTAGCGAATAGCGGCCGGTGGTGGGGCAGATGCGCCAAAGGAGGCGGTTTTATAGCGATGGATACGGCACAACGGTCGCTATGAGCCAGTGCAGTGCAGTGAGAGAACAAAGACAGGGACGGGAGGGATATGGGAATGGAAGAGAGATTATGTGTGAGAGAGCTGGAGGGAGCACGAGAGATTGCGAAAGATGACAAGGGGAGGGGGAGGGGGGTTCAAAACAAGCAAAGACAATAAAATGGGGTATTAAGGCTTTACAGTAGCGGCTACGAGTTACATGGAACTTAAATGCTATCAGTTTGACTTCAGTTTGCATGAAAGAGGCACCAATGACTTCTTTATTGGTCTCATCTTTTCTTTGTTAAATCTGCAGGTTGTGCACTGGACGGCTTAAGCGTTCGCGTCTTGTCTCGAAATCGCTAGGCCGTAATTTTGCGTGCTTGAGGTATGTACCAAGCATGAGGGGTTGGTTCTCAGCTTAGCTATCAGCAGCATGTCTTCCATTTACAGTATGTACCTAGTAGCTTCAAGCTCTCATGCATAGCACTGCTATATCGTGTGTAAAAATAGTTATCTAAGATACATCCATCACATCTATTCTTTTCGCACCAACATGATGATACTTCCTCACCTGCGCCATGGATACATAGCAGCACAGCTGCTGTACATACAGGCCCAGGGGAAACGAAATTAAAAGCTCCCCCCTTTGGCGCCAAGCTGGCGACCTCAGCTCCGGAGCTGCCCCGCCAAGCTTATCCCAGAACCGGGGCATATTATCTACATGAAGATGCTCCAATAGACGTGACAATGTTGCCAATTGCCGCGATAGAGCAACCGTGAATCTCTTTCAATCCCGTTGACCGAATTATGTATATTTTGAATATTAAAGTAGTAGAAACTAGTAACTATTTGCTTTACGCAGCAACCCCGACGCTGCTGACTCATAACATCATCTACCTGCATGATAGGGGGAGCTCAGCTCCGATGCCCGGCTCTGTAGACTCCATGCTCATGCCTGGAGCCTTTCTGTATAGACATATAATCATGCTGCCTTCTCTTGCTGCGTCATAGCCTTCCTCTTCTAGGATCACATGCCATTAGCATTTCAACTTGACCCAAGATCAGATACCCGTCAACTCATTCATCCTTTAAGCCAGTCCCAACCCAACAAGGTCCGAAGTCTCGGCTCCCATACCGCTTGATGGCCCATCCACGCCTTTGCCCACCAAGCTTGTGAAATCAAGGCCTACATCAGACAGCTTCTTCGCGTGCTCCTTTGCCTGGTCCATGCACTGCGTCCAGACTTGTCCGCCGCGCTCCGTGCTCGCCAGCTGCCTGGCAAGAATCACGTTAAATGCTTCAACCTGCTCCTTTGCCCACTTGACGCACGTGCTCATCATGGGTGGCGGGAAACAGCTCTGAAAGCATTGGACCGTGTTGTGGATGAGGGTGAAATATACAAAGGATAGCTGCCAGATGTACAGGTGCAAGTCACCTTGAAAGAGACATTGTCTATTCACAAAATGTTAGCTTGTGTAATGTGTGACGCAATACATGTTGAGAAGAGAGGGAAAACGAACCTGGCTCTCTTATGAATCGTGTCAGCTCGAGCTGCAAGATACGCCTCTCTGGCCCTGTCTTCATAGCCCAGTCTCGCCAACCAGCTAAGGTTTCGCTTCGTCTTGTTTGCCTGGTGATGCGTCGTCTCCATTCCGTGAATAATAATCGTCGCAAGCTTGGCGCATCTCTCTTCAACCTCAAAGTTGATAAAGTCTTGGGCTACTGTATTGCCCTTGAGACCCCGTGCTAATCCCTTGAGCTTTTCCACGCGAGCTACTGCGGGCTCGAACCCCTGAAGAGCAATGTCAATATCCAGCTCGTCCATTTGGCCTTCCACCCATCGGAGATTCTGCTGCTTGCCATCCACCTCGATAAGCATGTCTTTGATATCAGATAAGGTCTCTAGCAGCTCTGTCTTTTGGAGCAGGCCAGGGTCTCTTGATGCAAAGTAGTTGATCGTCTCTCTTGCCTTGTTATTGGCCTCCATTTCAGACTGCAAACCTTTGCGTAGCTCTTCCACTGCCTTGCGCACATTCATCATCAATGCTTTCTTCTCACTGGCTTCTGGCTTTTCCGTGCGGTAGATGAACGTCTCTTGGCCACCACCCCGAACCATGATGGCATCGGCCAACTTGGTACGGCCGCCAATGGAATCGCCTGTCCCAGGCATTTCGATGACCTCGATGTCGAGCAGGGGCCAACAACGGTCCGCGACGAGCTTTACCATGGGTCCACGGGTATCTGCGTTGGGAGCGTCGACCTTGCGTTTCTTTCGAGAGGCGATAAGGAGATGGTCGTTTAGCAGAAATATTTGCATGGCCCTTCTGCTCTTATACGTTGCATTGTCCAATTCGATCCAAGGCCCAGCATTGAGAACCACATGGCGCCCAATCGCGTTTGGTAGAAACTTTTGCGACCCTTCCACAGTCTTGTAAAGAGATTGCATCTGCGAGGTCCAGAGAACGCTTCGATCTGCGACGGAGCTGCGCTTGTCACGTTTACTCATGGTGACAGCTCCTCCGATAGATGAGTCCACCTCGTTTCTTCCCGAGGCTTGCCTAAGAGCCGTCGTGTTTGCCTTGAGTTCGGACATCAGATTGCGGAGAGCTCTCATCTCCCCCTTGAGTTTCTCCGCCTCTTTGCTGATTTTAATGAATTGCGTCCGATTCTGCAATAGATTCTGCTGCAAGTCTGCACCGGCGCGCGTCTTTATGCCTTGTAGCGACTCTGCATATTCCTGGATCTGGTCCTCACTCGCCTCGCTCAGCACCGAAGCTACATACTGGTCGGGGATAAGATTCGGATCCCGCAGTGCCTTGAGGTCGACAACGGGAGCAGCTCCTGGCCCGGCTCGGGACGGAGGAGGGGGCTGATAGTCGGTGTTGTACCGCTCGAGAGGAGGTAGACTTGGAACTGGCGGGGCGGCCGCGTCGAATTCGGGAGGCAAGTTGTTAAATCGAGAAGAAAAGCGTCGCTTGACTAAATCGGATGTCTGCCAATTTAAGATTAGCAAGAATCCTCCCATTTAATAGTATCGAAATCTCACCTTTCCACCTGCTCCTACAGGTCGGGGGCGAGGCGCCTCAGGTATGGAAAGCATCCCAGGAGCAGTAGCAGCTGTTCCTCCCGTCGAGCCATCTTGAGGGATTGGCGCAGAAATCTGTCGCGGCGCACTGATGACGGGACGAGCCTTTCGTCGCTTTCCGCTTCGAAGGGACAGGGTTATCTTGCTGCGTTCCTCAGACATGTTGCCTGCTTATTGAATGAATGACGGAGGGAGATTGATTGATTGGTTCAGCAAGGGATAAAGAAGAACAACTGGTTTATGACGAATTCAAATGCATCCGCTCGTATCGCTTAATTCCACAGTCGCGTTTGCCCGTACAAGTTGCTGCACAGAGCTTCCTACCGCTCGCTGCACGGTGATGTGATAGGATGGCCGTTGCGTGGCAGATGCAACTCGATACAACGAATGTATGGGGTATCAAGTACCAAGCACTACTAGGTAGCGGAGTAAGAGCAAGCTCCAAGGCGGTGCCGTTTACCCGACAATGTGCCGGCCGCCTCCAGCGCTCAATCGATGTTCCGAGCTACTAGCAGGTATCGCCGCTGGACTCCATATTCCTTGTGATATCTTTTTCAGAGCCAAAAAAGCTTGAAACCGGCGACGGCATCTTCCCAGCCACGGCTCAATTCACTGCTACATTACGCCAGGGCTTCTTCTGAGCAGCACCCGCAAAGGCCGAACCCCCCGGAAGCCCGTCGTCTTTTATTTTCTCACCTGCAGCTGCAGCTTAGAAACTCCCCCCAGAGCTCCCCTCCATTTCGCCGAAAAATGGTTAACACAAGCACCGTGGTGACGGCATCAGTCGCAACCGTTGCGACAGGCCTCGTTGGTTCGTCGCTGCTCCAATGACATGCGCGGCATGTTCCCGGTAGACATTTGGGTTCGCTAACCTTTTGGTTTTCTTTTTTTTCCTCGTCGCAACAGCCTATGCCGTGTACTTTGACTACAAGCGAAGAAAAGACTCCGAATTCCGCCGGAACCTGAGAAGAAACGAGCGCAAGCAGGTCCGGGCCGAGAAGGAAGAAGCAGAAGCCTCCACACAGCGACTACGCGGCCTCATCAAGGCAAAGGTGGACGAAGCTAAGGAGGAGGGTTTCCCTGTGGGCGTGGAGGAGCGAGAAGCTTTCTTCAACGAACAGGTTATGACGGGCGAGATGCTGAGCCAGGATCGTATGGACGAACCCCTCCATGTCGCTATCTTACGCACCGACAAAAGCAAAAAGGCTGACTCTATTTCTTTCTCCGATGTAGCTTCTAAGATGATCGATTCTGCGCTCGCTTTCTACAAGGGTCTCAAGGTCTACCCTGCTCCCGGCGACCTCATCAAGATCTACGACAGCACCGTTCCCAAGGTAGATTATGTCATTGTCATATTGCGTTGCATCGACTGGATTTGTAGCTGACGATTTGCACCCCACAGCCTATACTAGACATCCTGGCCGACATGATTGCATACGACGGCGACATTAGCATTCGCACTCGTCCCTCATCCGCAGGCATCAACCTGGGTGACATCCCCAGCGTTGGCCTCGATTAAATTAACACTCTCCGAGAATCAATCAAACAGCAGAGTGTTCCTCTCCACTCCATTCAGCTTCTATCAAAAAATGATGATGAGAAGGGAAACAAAAAAGACAATGCATCGACTTTCCTTCTGCAACGAAAACAAAAAGCCTTTGAACTTGGCCAAGAACTGATGACAAGGGAGAGAAAACAAAAACAAGATAAAAACTGACAAAAATAAGTCCTTTTTGACTCGAAGCTCCGGATCCCTCCTCTTTCATTATACATCTCCATCTGTACCTAGAAAAACAAAACATGAGGGGGGAAACGCAAAAATCGCTTTGGTGTACCATAAAAATCCTGTACCTCTTTCTTTACGGGCTCTTTCTTCTCGCCCCGGGATGCAAAATATCTGGTGGGCATTTGTGTAAACAGTTGTATGTGGTGGTATGATACAGCCATGGGAGGTCTTTGGGAAGGGCAGTGCGGGTAGCGTTTCCATAATCCAACATGAAATTCTAATGGCTTGAATCTTTTGGTCTACGTGATGTTGTCAAGGCATGTCATTCGGTCCATCAGTCGTTTGGTTGACAATACTATGATATTATGCTCTTCATCTTATTCATACGTCCTGTACCATTAAGCAATCTTACTCAGGCGCCTCACGCGCAACAATGGCCTCCATCTTGCGACCCTTCCTGTCCACTCTCTCGTCTCGAGGATCGAATCCTCCGTTCCCCCACAGCGCCCACTCAGGAGTCGGCGGGCCCATGTAATCCTCAGGCGTCCAATCGCCATCAGCACCCCTCTCCTCAAGAAGCTCAAAGAACTTTTGATAGTCGATGTGTGTGTGCCACTTGCCATCGACGTTGAAACGGTTGCTCGCCAGCAGGACGCAGCAGCTGTGCGCATGCTCGGCTGCAATGCCATACCCGAGGCCCTTCTCCGCAAGCCGCTTGTCCAACGCCTTAACAAACTCGCAGACTTCCCAGTAGAACGGCACGTTGGACATGCTGAGGCCGGCGTTGGAGGATGTTGACGTGCCGCAGTACGTCACACCCTTGACCTCGACGAAACAAGGCAGGCCGCGCTCAATGAGCTGGGCGTAGCCTTCGACTTCGTCTTCTACATTGAAGCCCTTGACGAGGGTGAGGCGGTAGACTGTGCGGTGGCGGAAACGCTTTTCGCGGAGGATGTCTAGGCATCGGAGGAACCTCTCCCAGAAATCGCGGTGGAGAGGCCTGTCAATCTTTTTCAATGAGTCTTTGTTGGAGGCGTCAATGGACACGTATAGCTGCGTGACGGCCTTGAGAGCAGCGAGCTGATCGGGGTGTTGCGCGTTGCAGACTAGGAAAGATGAGATGCGCTCATTGTGCAACATGGCGAGGAATTCGTTGATGTAAGGGTAGAAAATGGGCTCTCCAACCAGAGACAGAGCGCAGTGTCGGATTCTCAGAGCCTCGGCGTATCGCTCTGCTCGGACGCCGGGTACACCGCGCATCATCTTGATCTTCTTGTAGTGGTTCTCCTTGACACCGTCGAAAATCATATCGGGGGGATCAACCACCCATCGCCAGGTTGTGCCGACGGGGTTCGTTCCGTGACGCCAGCAGAAGACACACTTATTAGAGCATGAGAGCGAAGGGGTGGTTTCCATGCACTGGTGAGAGTTGATGCCGTAAAGAGAGTACTTGTAGCAGCTGCCTCGTCCACGCAGAGCAGACTTGGTCCAGCGACAGATCTTAACACCAGAGTGGGAGCCTACGATGGAGTATCCTTGTTTGGTGAGAGCGGTATAAGTCGGTGAATCCTTGGCCACCATTTCCTTGATGATTGGTGCTTGAGCCTTCTTCTTGTTGGCGGAAGTATATGTGGTAAAATCAACGGCTAGGGGTGCTTTCCGAGTGCCTTCGTTTCCGTCTTTTGTGCGAATCATCTTGCCAAGATCTTCAACATCGTCCAATGGTCGGGAGTCGTCGGATTTTCTACCCTCGCTAGGCTCCTCGTCGTCGAAAACGACTTCGCCATCATCGGCTTCGGCCTCCTCGTCATCACTTTCCACCGCATCACCACTGCCGGGCACTCCTTCGCCAAGGAACCCGGTTTGGGCGGCCTGAGCAATGACGTCTTGGACTCCTGAAGTCCATTCCGCAAACCGTTCCGCGTGATCACTCTTCATGTCGCCCATTCCTACGGGATAGGCTCGTTTTCGACCAGTCAACTTGGACATCCATTTGTCTAGGTCTTTGGCTTGGAAGCAGAATCCCTCGTCCTCATTGGGCCATCCCTCCTTGTCACCGAAGCCGAATACAGAATATCCAATCAGGGAAGACAGAGGAGCGGTATCGATTCTGAAATCATGATGGGTTTCCTGCAGATGCTGCAGGAAGGTATCGTTGATGGTGTCGATGTTGTAGCTCGGAATGAGGAACAGGTAGAAATATGCGACGCCTTCAGCGGACTTGGGAGGGCTGACAAAGTAATCCTCAAAGTCAATTTCGGTCAAGTCGAGCAACTCTGGCTTCAAGAATTTGCCGTCTGTTTCCTTTGCTTTCTGGTCCACGAATGTCTCGAGCGCATTGATATAATCGCGGGCAATCTTTTCAGTCTTTGTAGTAACAGAAGAGAAGAAGACCAGCACCTTTGCAGGTCTGTCCGTGGATTCGTTCGTCGCCGGCTTTCCCTCTTGCGAAGATTTCCTTGTCAAGCCTCCTTTGATACGTCGAGGGCCAGTAGACTTTTTCTCGGTGTCGACGGCGGGTTGCGCTTTCACAATCGGCTTTTCGCTTGCCTTGGGCTGTTCCTGGTTGTAGATCTTTGGAAGTGCAGCGAGAGGCTCTCTCTTCTCCGTCGTATGGAGGAATATGCGCAGACCAGCAAGGAGAAACAGAGAAGCCAGGATTATCGTCGTGCGATGAATGTGCCAGACTTCGACCAGGTCTATTGCATTTTTTGTCAGCACGCGATTCAACATCCAGCCGCTCAGAATCGACGAGAAACTCACCAGCGACCATCGCCTCCAGCTGGAGACGAGATCCCGCATCCATCTTTGACGGCGGAATTCCTTGCGCGCAATTCAGGCGTTTGCGCACAAGAATTTCATGCAGCACGTGGGCTCTTGTCTGGGGATGCTGGAGACTGGACTTGCTAAGAAATCTGTGCCCCGCGATGCAAATTTTGGCGGGGCATCACGATAAAGTACTTCTGCTGACTTAATTGCGAGTGCACGCTCGTGTAAATGGCACTGTCTAGTTTCCTATTCGCCCACATTTTCAGCTTCTGCTTTCATAGCATTCTGCTTCCTGAAACAGTCAATTTATGTGATATATAGATTCAGGGTATACTGTAATTTGCAATTGCTCTATGCAGGCACTTATACTGAATGAACTGCTCCAAGCAGCCGCTATTCGTTGTGACAAGCTTCCCTAACGCGGATGAAGATGCCTTCTCTATCCCAAACTCCGTCCTATGGCCGATTGTTGTCTGACTACGGTGCTATTATGGGTCTCAACAACATGTGATTAATTATCATCGCACCAAAACAACATATTTTCAGCTGTTTCGGAATTACGGCATACAAGTCTGCAATCCATGATGAAGGAGTCTCTCAACGTAACTTTACTTGGCTAGTAAACAATCTTACACATCACCAATGATCCGTGCTAGGTAAGTGGCAAATGCCTCATCAGGCAAGCTTACACATGCATCTAAGAATGTGCGTCTACGAAAATAATTGGTATGAAGGCGTAGGAATATCAGAGGCTGATTACCAATGCCTTGTCCCGATTAGGTTACTTGGAACTTGTGGCCCTCACCATCTTGAATCTAAGTTTTGCCCGGAGAATAAGGAGAAGTCCGAAGCATACTAATACAATAAGACTTTTGCAAGTATAAAGGTAGCTCTATGTTCTAAAAGGCTGATTCCCACCCTCAAGTTATTATTCAGCCTTCATTGATTCCTTTTCTCTCAAAGCATCGGATCCCACGTCTCTAATATCGAATACTACGATGGCTTCTCAGACCCTCAATGCTATACTGGTTGTTGGTCCTACGGGCTCCATCGGCAAGGTTCTATGCCAGTCATTGATTTCTCGAAAGTCTGAATTCAAACGCATTGCCTTCTTCAACGATACATCTAGGCCAGAAACAGAAGAGAAACGGGCACTATTCGACACATTCCGCAATGGCGGGATGGAGCAAGTCTCTGGGCAATACAAAGACACAGAACCATTCGTTGGATTTGACTGCGTCTTGATGCCATTGGGAAATCACGCCATCAAATTCCAGCCCACCATCATCGATTCGGCCATCACGGCTGGAGTACGCCACTTTTATACAAGTGAGTGGGGAGCGGACCTCAGCGTGGGATCAAACTGGACGCAACGTTATTATAGAGACAAGGTCTTCACAAGAGAGCACTTGGAGAAGCGTGGCCACGATACGGACACTCCAGATCTTGGCTGGACATACATCCAACTGGGACGCCTCACAGAATGGAGTATAATCAAGCATTTTGGAATCGATAATACAAACTATGTTGCCAATATCTACGGAACTCCTGAAGGACGACAGTCGTTGCTTCCGACTAAAGATGCTGTTGCGTACACGATGAAAACCCTCAAGCACCCATTCTCGACTGCCAACAACGGTCATCGACGCACGTATCGCTTCCATGGCTCCTCTCCCACTTGGAATGAAATCTTCAATGACCTGGAGGCAATTACTGGTCACAAATATACAGTCACTTACCATGACGTGGAAACAGCTGTGGAGAAAGAAGCCCGAGCAAAACGACTCAACGATGTTGAATTGGAACTAGAGGCTAGCCATCAGTTGATCCAAGGAAGAGGTGGGACTCTTTTGCCGGAGCCATTTGACAATGCTCTTTTCCCAGATATTCATCCGGAGCCAGTCCATTCAGTTTTTGAAAGAGTCTTTAAAGACCCGGAAACGAGGAAGTTCATTGGTGCCCCTTGAGCTATTTGAATAGAACATGATACTCTTGAATAAAAGCTCAATCAATTGCCACACAATTCACAAAATACCTGTATTAATGTGATATTATATTTAAGAATATAAGAGGCGATCCGTCAAGATGTAATCCGGTAGTGATGGTTGAATTCCTGACTTGTGTTGTTACCAAGAGCGGGCAAATTCTTCCATAGACAATTGTTGATAGGCGATCAAGTGTATGAACACAATGAACTGATAGACATATTGAAAATACGTATCCAGATGTAGCAGATACGGTAGAAGATAAATGGTCGTCGAGCTATTAGACTGTATAACATTAGACAGCCATATATCATGACCTTGACAGCGAGCTTAACTTGACGCTATGGGATTGGTATGAAGCAAGTGCCCCAAGTATGTACCAAGGGCATTAACTATCAAAACCATAACTGCATGCGCCAGCTTTACTGTCTTTATCATCTGTGCTTTTACAGCCAGGTGCCTAGCTTGGTGGGAGTCCGCGTATACACATAGTCAAGGCTCCTCAACTTTTCAATGTGCGGTTCTTGTTAAAGTAATAATAATGGAAGGTGTTGACACTGAGGTGATAACATCAGTTAATTCATGTAGCATTCAGGCCGTGCAGAGATTTCACGTAAAGTTGAAGCCGTCCGAAATGCCGAGTATATAAGTAATGCTTCGCAAGGCTAGGTTGCTGCATGTAAGCCCAGCCCATGTCGTCGTGGTGGTGGGTCGTGTCGACTTCAAGCACAATAAAGGGGTAATGCATCGGGCACAAAGGCTCCCAACTTTCTCTGTGCACCATATCTGATATTTAATTTTAATTGATTGTTATGTAAAGTTTGACTCAGACTTTGTAAAGCACTTTGAGGCATAACAGATCGAAATGGCTGATAAATCTAATTCACAAGCTGGAGGGAGCGCACCGAACAAAGAAGAGAGGCAAGCTCAACATGACACCATAATCCGCCGACTAAGAAGTGGGTGAGTATAAAATGCTGGTCATACAATTAATTCATTTTACTAAACATTCTCAGTCAACTACGTGGTCGAGCCAAGGTCTTTCTTATCACAGGTTATGCTGGGGCCGGAAAAAGCAATTTGCTCAGGTTCATCTCAAAAAGTGCAGTCCAAATCGGTTATCGCACAACAAATGGTGAGATTTGATGGATTCGTTGCGATATACCCAAGCTAATGCATTTGCACTAGGACCCGTGGACGCCTTATGCCATTTCGTCACCCTCGAGAACGAACTTTTCGTCTTTATTGATACACCTAGCTTTGGTGCTGCGGGTTACAGTGTATCTCAAGTTAAGAGCGCTATTCAAGGCGCCATTGGTTTTGCTACACGCTACTTTGGCGGAGTCCGCGGCATCCTATATGCTCATAGCATCGAAACTGGTCGAAAATACAGCGGAGTAACGGAGAGTCTCGAGTTTTTACGAAACTTGAAACGGGAAGGGAAGCTACCAACTCTCATCTTTGTTACGACTAAATGGGATTGTGTGCCAGATGAGAAGGGGCGGAAGTACGAAGACAGAGTCGCAGATCTTGAAAACACAACATGGGAAGAGTTCACTGACCACGGCTATATCGAATTTGGATGCAATTATGAGGATAGCAGCCCCGAAACCCGACAAACCGCAAGAGCGGCACTAGTGGAGCAACTGGTAAGACAATATGACAGAGTTGGCGATGTGTCAAAGGAGACGTCGATCTGGGAGTGGACCTGGGGAGAGATTGGGACGGGGATTGCCATGGTGACGGCCAGGGCCACTGGTGATGCTTTGGCTGTTGCTGGCAACACTCTCGTTACTAGCAGCACTCTCACTGCTGCTGGTATGGGCTATGGAATTTTTCTGTCAGCTCCATTTATGTTTCCACTTGTGATTGCTAGGATGGCAATCGGCATGTTATGGCCGGGGTCAAGAAATGGAGAGCTAAGAATTGGGATTGACACTACCGGGATTTAGGACATCCGGAAACTGGGAGAAGGTACGGAAATAGTTAGATAATCATTAAGGTGAAAGAAATATTATTCTAATTATAAAGTGATATTGTTCTCGCTTGAGCATCGTAAGAGTCTTGCAATATTTATGCCGGTATCTATTGAGTGTCTATAGATACGGATGGTGGCTTCGTTAAAGAAATGAAGCCGCCCTTGTCCGAGTCTATAACAGTTGTCTACATATGAAAGGTAAAGAGTGATGTAAGAGCATGAAGAGTATACAGAGTGAGAGCCGTAAATTGGCTGTCCCCTGCTACTGTCCCCTGCTTTCCCTCCTGATTTCTCTACTATTATCCCTGCTATTTCGCCTACTGTTTCCTCTCCCGTTCTCCCTGCTGCTCCCTCTCCTGTTCTCCCTACTATTTCCCCTCCTTTTCCCCCTCCTATCCTTCCATGCCCTGTTGGCTAGCTCGCCTTGCTCTTCAGGCTCCAGCTTGTGCAGCATGAACCCCAAAATCAGGTAATCAAAGACAACAAGAAACTCTTCAATGACAGCCATGGCAGCACGCACGCTGACTTTACCGCCAACGACGGAGAAAGTATCGTTGTTAACGAACACCGCAAGCGCGGAGTAGATGAGGCGGACGAGGATGAAAGGCCAGGCGATGGCAACGGCAATCGGGCTGCGGCGTTCTTGACGAGGCACTCCGCTTCTGTAGCTGGATGAAAGAAGGAAAAAGTAGGTGATTCCTGCGAAGCCGACAATGTAAAGAATGATGCCCGCTTTGCTTGTGCCGGAAACCGTCACGGTGCCGTTGCTGTCAGTCGATCCTCCAGTGCCACCGGCAATACTGAGAATTAGGCCAAGGGTAATGAGGAGTTGAACAAAGCGAAATTGTTTTACACTGAAAAGCTGAACTCCTTTGGCGTTGACGAAGTCGATACTAGATTGTTGTTATTAGAAGCAGAATCTGGGGAGTAACGCGTTGGGGTGTGTGCATACAATCGTGAGAGTATTCCCAAGGTAGCAAGCAAGAGAGGAGAAATTCCGATAGAGTCGATGATAAGAGTTGCCGTAAGAAGACCGTCTGAGTGGTCGGTATGCGTGAGGAGCTGACAGATTGCGCCAGCGATTCGTACCGTACAAAGGACGACTGTATAGATCCATCCCGAGGCTCTGTGAAAACCATGGCGCGCGGTAACAACGATGGCGGCAATGAGAGCTGGTATGTAGATAATAAGTTCTACGATGGAGACGTAGTCTTGTGAACCAAGCCCCATGACGAAGATTGCTGTTTGTGCCGTTGATTTGCAGGTTGTTTCTGCTTGGTCACGGTGCTATGGCTCAGTGATTGATGAGATACTGAAGGTAAGATGGGAATGAGCTGGATGATGATGGTGAGTATATTGATTCAACAACAATAAAAAACAGTAGGTGCGACATCTATATAAGTTCTTCAACACCGCATACAAAAGAGGATTGCTGTATCAACTTCTGCTGAACTGAAGCGATACAAACCACACGCGTCAGCCGTATCCATAACCCATTCTAGGATGCAATTCGACGCTAAACGTCTCTTCTGTTTCTGCGTTTTCCTTTCTAAAGAGAAAATTATTAATGGCCATATTCAGAGGCTGCTTAGATTGTAATTGCTATCAAGTTTACTAGTCATCTTATTCAGGGGAGCACCAGTGTCGAACAGAGGGAGTGGCTGGGCCATATCCCCACGGTTGCGCTATTCCGATTGTAGTATATGTTTCGTCGTGACGAGGCTTCAACTTCGAGCTGAGAGCGCAGCCCAAAAGGATTACTGCATTGCGTAAGAACGGGTAAGGTACCAGTGCGCCAGCTCGCTTCAGCAGTCTGCCTTGTCAGTCTGGATATGGACATGTACATATGAATCATCTCTTAATCCCAAATACACCGTGAATCAAATGATGAAGAATAGTTCATCTAACATAAAGCATCTAGTAGCTTGGAAATGCATTTAGTTACACTATTTTATAATTTGTAAGGATGAGATCGATACTCTGGTGTTAGGAATGCCCGTGACCGTACCCCATCTTGTATTAATTTCGACATGGCCAGCGCTTGATTAATACCCATTGAATGGCCAATCTTATCCAAACAGTTCGCAATCCATTTGCGAAGATCATCGCATGCAAATCCTGAGTTTGCAGCAACCAAGAGAGGCCACATGATGGTGAGGCCGCCTGCTCCCGAAGCTTGAAAGGGTGACAGAGTGCTCACCATGTCCATCCCCTGACAAGTAGATGTGTGTGTGGTTTTTAGAGCAGAATCTTTCAGGCGCGTGTCGTCTTCTATTCCTATGTCTAAGCTGTAAGGCACGCTGGCACATATGTCTTCCACCAAATGAAGCGCTGTCTGGCTTGCTTGGCTTACCAAGCTGCTGCGTTGTGAAAGACCAATATCATCATTTTCGGAATCTTCTAGATCCTTGAGGGTATCGATAATGAGCTCTTGAATGATGATACGAATTGAACGGTAATTATTCCACATGCTGCTTGCGGGAATGCTCTGATATATGTGATAGCTGTCACCCCAGACAGCTTTGGTGATAGGCTTCCCCTCAAATACTGGAATATTGACTATAGTGTATCTCCACGAAGGGGGCACACCGATCATCAGTGATACCAGCTCTGCATCGAGTTTCAGAGCGGTGCGGATGATTTCTGTCGGGTTAAGGATGTGCCCTCTAGTTACATTCGCGCAGAAATCTGTCAATCGAGTAACTATAGTGGCGAGCTGATCCAGGATTTGATCATTAGGATTCTGATCTCGTTGGATTTTTTCGGTTAATTTATTGAAAACTGGTGAGCTGTGTCTCTCCTGGTATATTCGACAGAGGCTCTAAATTTACTTTGGTGAGCATATCTTCTAGGTAATAGAGGCTCGTATTAGATCTTACCACTTGACCGCGTAGTTGTGTGAATAAATCTTGCCCTTCCTGCCGAGAAAGCTGTTCTGGGCCACGAATCTCTATCAACCTTGTTGCGCCCTCCATATGATGCACCCAGCGGTCGATAAATGAGCCGTCAGTACATGTCATGACCTTTTGCTCAGGATTAGCAGATACTGAGTTGGCATTCTGGGACTAGCTTACTTCAAATATACCAAGCATAACCACTGCTGCTAGGATACCGTCCGTCTTGCACAGGACAGGATCTTTCAGGGCCGAATTGGTCTTAGACAAGGCCGTAGTATACTCTTTCTGTGCCTTCAACATGGTATTAGGAGAGAGTCGGATATTTGATAGAGCCGCTAACGCAACGGCATTGACTGCTGCGTTGACTGCCGAGTTTTGTGAGTCCTCCATGAGAGGTAATAGATATGACATATAACTGCAACGGGGACCTCCTGTCATGTAATTAACATAGAGATAGCTCCTTGCAATTTCTTCCACAGGGTACACAAGAGCAGCCGTTGGAATGATCAAAGTCGCTTTGTCGCTGCATAACAGTCCATAATCAGTTGGATCCTCGGGCACTCTAGTTGAAACTGATGTCTGAGATTTCACGATGCGTGTCGACACAGAGCGCTTCTTGCGCGCTGGAACTTTATAATTGCGAATAACATCGTTGCTCTGATCCTGGAAGTTCAAGTCCAGCAAATTCCGGTATCCAGAACAGTTGACTTCGGCTCGCATACATTGAGTGCATGAAGGCTCTCTATGATCGCACTAAGAATCTTGATGTTAGCTGGTAAAGTTTCATAACCTTGACCTAACCATTTTTCCTCATTATTGACAAGAAAAAAACGATCTATTACTAAGTGTCCCTATTGACTTAAACGCACATGCTATTTCCGCTTACCCTTAATCGGCGTTGCCGGCAGCGCTCACACGCAGCGCTCGGCTTGCCGCGATAAACCATGACCTGCGTTCTCAACTGCCACTGCAAAGAGATTACCAAAAGAAGAAGTCAATACGTTGACCAACAATGGAAATATTTAAGAAGTTAGCGGTTGAATAAAGAGAGAATGGCGTTGATGGCGGCAGCACCCCCATTATTTAGGCAAATCCATTTTGGGTAACCAGCTCGACGCTACACATTAGAATGTGGCTCCAGCGAGAATCGTACCGTTTTATCCGTGCTCAATACGTGTAATTGGTGGACTTCATCTTGTAGCCGCGTCACCGCCACCTCCTAAGCCTCATAGGCCATCATTCCCTACCATCATCAGAAATTCTTTTCACGAGGAGGATTGAAGTGTGATGAGGCTGACGCTGTCGAAACGCGTCGTCTTATGACGTGGTCTTTTGTTTATACTCTGCTGATACCTGTATACTGACCAAATAGCGACGGCAAGATTAGTCGTTTCGTTTCATTTCATTTCAATTACTTCTTTTACAATTCAAGCTTATGATGAACATTGAAGTAAAAGTATATGCTACGGACTGATTCATACTTGGCCTTTGCTCCTACAGCAAATTATTTAACATTACATATAGAACATTACTAGACACCAAAGAAAAGCTTGTTCATCGTAAAGAAAAATATTAATATACCTCATCGTGTAAACGAGCAAGTATACTTCTAAATTGTATTAGGTCGATCAAAATGCGACACCCAGCACTACGAGTTATAGGGCTTGGACAAACTCTTCGATCGCAGACGCAACCTCATCGGGCTTTTCAATAGGCAGCAAATGGCCGGATTCTTCAATAATGACAAGCTTCGCCTGGCCATTTCGCCTGCTATTTAGGTCCTCCTGAACTTCAGTAATCATCTTTTCAGGCGATTCAATAACATCGCTCTTCCCGGCCACTACCAAAACTGGAACCTCAATAAGATGAAATAGGGGCCGAATATCTTCCGCGGAACCATAATGAGGCCACGCAGACTTTGCAAACTTATTACCACGGACCATATCGCCGGCCAAATCCCTCACCACGGCATCTGTCAGGGCTGGGCTTCCTGGCGCAGTAAGGACGGTTCGAATAACCGCTTCCGCATTTGAGGTACTGTCATAGGCACTAATCTGTTGTTCTTTCATGTCTGAAGGTAGAAAAAGGGGCCCTGGAGGGGCGGGTGCGACCATGATTAAGGCTTTCAAAACGGTTGGTGGAAGACGACGCCGCCCAGCAATCGCAGCTGCAACCTTGCCGCCCATGGAGTGACCAACCAAGATGACGTTTGTCAATCCAAGGCTCTGAATGACGGCTTCAACATCTGAGGCCAAATGACTAATGCTATAAGCCCCAGCTTCGGCAGGTCCCGAAGAAGCACCCCAGCCACGAAAGCTCAGCGCAACAGTTGGGAATAAAGGAGACAAGGCGCGGACAACTGATGACCAAGTGTCAGCCGACCCGCCCCAGAAATGGAGAAAGATTAAAGTCGGAACCTTCATAACATCAACTCCTGCGGGATTCGTCTGGCTGAAGTGAAGATTGACATCCTCGTTGATTTTCACAATTTTAGAGACTGATGTAGACATTATGGGCAGTTTCTTTAAAGTGTATGACAAAAGGGCTCTGTATAGGATTATATAGAGAATTCTTGGCTGTTTCGCCTTTTTTTTATGTAGGCATAGCAGCTGTTCACTTTGAACTACTAGAGAGTAGACAGTGTTGGTAATATCCGAGTGAGCTCGGATAATGTTGAGATACGAGCTCCCGCTACATTGGATTCCAAATTGTACTCGTCGTATATAATGTTTGAGCTTGGAATATATGTGATTAATAGTCCTAAATTATGGATCTGCACTAGATAAGTTATACAAAATTGAAAACCCTTTTGCAACTCCAGAGGGAATTTTGTCTTTTGACATGTATCAGTAGGAGATGACTTAGTGTATTTTTATTGCATTTGGAAACAGAAGCAATGACTTTGGCTCGTCTACGGCGTAGATGGATTATTTGTACTTGACATAATAAAATTCGAGCAATGTACGGTTCCTAAGTCTTGTTGCATTTATTCCGAGGGCAATCGGAAGGAAGACAACTAGTTTCGGGACGTGGAGTCAGCGGCGACATGAGTGGCGAAGAGCCAGGTTCAACAAGAAAACGCCACCACCACCAAGGAAAAAAGACAACGAATCAAAAATATGAATAAATTGTTAGAGAATATGAGATAGAGCTATAAGTCGCACTGATTATTCGAATATTAAGCGTCGTGTATGCTATCTGTCCCTTCTACTACATTTGCATCACTAGATCTAGGTAGTAATGGAGCTGAGCTTGTAATACAGACCGAGGGCGTTCAATTCCGAACTGTTTCGGCTCTGGACTTTACTTTGATCCTTCTTGGAAAGCTTTCAAGTGAGAGTGACTATTTATCCCCTGACTGGTTGCCCAGCACCCCAGTCATTATGTGGAGTTCAAGGATTCGGAACCGGATGTGGAGGAATGCTTCTTATTTACTTGCCTAGGTAGGTAAGTAGAAGATGCCCAATTCTTCGAGTGTCTACTACTATCAATATTCCCTACTTAGTACTACATTATTCTAACACCCAATATTATCACTGGCTCTAAATTTGAGATACGGGATGCTGGATAGCAAACTTGAGTTGGTGAACAGTCATAATTTAACATTTGGCTTATAGCAGAAATTCTTCAAAACCAAGCCCATGTACTTCAGTCAACAACTGCAGGCCTGGTGCTAACACCAATGCTGCGCTGCAATTCTATTTACTTGGAGTTGCTTGAGCAGCGTCAAACAAGAGGCGCCCTTCCGTCGTATAGCCCTCGACAAACCTTTTGCCATATTCCATCTGAAAATTGTCTACACAATGTCAGTATAGAAACAGATCAACGACATCGCAGACTATACCCACCATATGTAGTCTGTGGTTTCGAGCGGCAAAAGCCACAGATAATTTCGCGAAGACCGCCACCTAAGTCGAGGCGAGGAAACCTCTTGTTGACGGCATTGTATACCTCCTCAGAGATCGTACCATTTTCATCCAAGGCCGGACCCCGGAAATCTGCGGCGATTCCAAGAGCACAGACCTTAATGACCTGTTCCTTGTGCAGCGCTATCGAGGGAGTAGTATGCAACGCAATTGCGTCCCACACTAGCCGAATTCTGAAATCGTCCCAGTTTTCTGCTTTTCCGTTTTGCTGCTCTTTCTTGATCCAATTACAAGCAGCTTCTGCACCATCAACTTCAAACCTCTTGTCCTGGGAAACCAGTTCGCCTGTTATGTCCCAGCCAAGGTCATGGAGGATCGCGCTCACAGCGTGTACTTCGAGATCAATTTCCGAGATAGCACCGGCCTCATGGAGCTTCTTGTAAACAACAACACCCAGTATCCATGAGCGCATTACATGGTTAAATCCCATATCATTAAGATGAGCGCGAGCATACTTTTGAGCAGCTTGCACGATTGGAGTGTCAATCACCGTGACTCCTGCGATAGTTGTTTCAGGGACTTGGGCCATGATCCAGAGCAAATTTTGGCTGAAAGTAGTGGAAGGTAATTTTTGAATGGCGACTTTGAGTTGATTTGTATCAAGATGACTGTTGAGGATTATCTACATCAAAAGTGTTTGCTTTTATAGCTAATTCTTACGGGTTCAAATACTCTTGTTCTAGGTTGACAGGGAAGTAGTTCACAGACCATTCAAATAACCTCATCGTGTGGCTATCAGGTTCTGCTCCGATGTAAATCGGTTTATAAATTTTATCAATATACAAAGCTTAAGCCATACTGGCTGGAAATCTTTATTTTATTACTTAGTTGTATTCATAATTGAGATAGCTCATTCCCAGCGTAGTAACTATCAATATTATGTAGTATTATGGTCAAAATGCCCCACGATTCTAGGCATTCATATCCGAACACGTTCGGATATCGTCGTATAGCAGCTGTATAGGATGTGCTTTGATAATCGTACCGAAGTTGCTGACTAGAGCGCTCCACATAGCTGGAGATTAGGCAATTAACCCGATTCATAGCAAATAACCTCACGGAGTAGAGTGGGATGCTTCAATTCCAGGTCATGTTGTACAGCGGCATTGACGAAGCTACTTTATTAGACAACGAATAATTCGTCAATAGCTAGCTATATAAGATATGCTAATAAGCTTATTTTAGAGTATCTATGGTGATGTGCTTCCTTTCGGGGCACTGGCTCCCTGGATCTTACGATCGAACGAGTGAGTCATTCCCATTGATGATTTGTCCTCCGGCCAGTCCCTGTAGTGCCTACACCATAGGCATACTCAGGTGGCCATTAATATCAGGCTATGACGCAGTGTGGCTAGTCAAATGATAGGAAAAGTTTTTAATCAAGGGCAAGAAAGAAGCTGTGAACTCCTTCGGTAAGCACGAATGCACCTTGATTATTGTTCGCAATGGGATAACATGTGTCCTAAAGAAATGTTAGAAGAGGTATTAGATAGAATGCAGTATTTTATTACTTACCGACCAAAGGTCACCCTTAGGAACTGATGATTTCTTAGTGAGTGATTCTTGAGTATTTCCTGTTAGACTGCACTTATTAGTCCAAGTAACCGAACTTCCCTGGCAGTTTCTGCCCTCAAAAAAGTATATGGTACAGCCGTGGTAAGAATCCGTCAGCACATGAGCGCCGTAGAGCTTCTGGTCGAAATTGACGCAAACGAGTGGATCTTGTCCAGTCGTAGGTTTCGAATATATCGGCTTCTGCGTACAAGCTCCGTCCGGGAACAAGAAAATGTTGGGATTGAACCTCCATTTTGCTCGGTCTTGGAGCTCCTTGATATTCGATGGTGCTGCATAAACGGTAGCAGCTAAGATTAGAGCCACAGCGGCAAAGACTTTGTTATTGTAGATCTAATACGGGAAAATTAGTTGATGTAAATTGGCTCTGTGTAGTCGGTTATTTCGTTACCATTTTGCTTTTTAACTTGAAGTTTTATTTTATTGTGCGTCTTCTGATAGAGCAGCAACGAACTGATGCTGTTATCTAGTGATGCTCGGGCATATATATAAGCATTTCAACTACTCAGATACTAGAGCTTTACTATCTTATCCCGAATTTTAAACAAAGCTTCTATAAACACACTTTCTATAAATATAACTCCTATAAATATAGCACGCAAAAAGTACCATATAGAAAATGTAAGCAGTGACCCGGATCAAGGCCCATAGATGTGTCATTTTGCATTTTGGTTAATCTGGAAGAAACGCGGAGCCCACGTGTAATCTATCCGCGTGGTTAATGCCCACAATCATGAAGCGGCGGTGCTAGCTCGAGAAATTGGTGGTTGACTGTCTGGGCGCTAGCGACTCTCATCTTCTATGGACAATCTACATTGAAAGGCGCAATGAGTTTTGGCTTGCTGTTCATACTCCTCTGCTGCATTGTAGATGAGGAAGTAAGATAGCCCTATAAATCATTACGCGATTAATATTAGATCTGTTTTAATATAGTTGAGAGAATGCATTCACTGTATGGAGGCTGGATCCTCCTTATCTTTGACATTGACTGTGTCCTGTTGGATGAAGACGCACTTTGGCGAGTCGCGGTAAGACTACTGTGGCAGGTCTGCATATTAGATCTGGTAAAGCCATGCGCACCGCCCTTGAAGAGAGTAATAGCTTTAGAAAACTGTAATCTTAGTGTTTTAAGAAAAGAAAAGAAAAAAGTTAGCCGAAGTGTTTATACGGAGGAATTACGTGTACTACATGGCGGTTCTAGTGCAGAAAACTGATCAATACAAGTAATACGTAATAAGTCTCTGACGACTCTCGGACACTAACAAAGCTTCAGGTACACGCTCTTGAAATGAAGATCATACTGCTAAATTGCTGTTGTACTTGCGCTTCAAAAAAGAGGTGCGGTGCCATAGATCTCCAAGCATATCTCTATGTTGCTGTGAGCCATAAGCGCCTAAATCCTTCTTTGAACTACCGTTTCCAAGGTCGCGTTGGTGTCTATAGTTTTTCAACATTCGACAGCGTTGTGCGTGTTAGTGACAATAACTTTCGGATTGCTAAATACATGATAGGTATCCATTGTTTTGTTACGTGCGCAAATACGATCACCGGGTAGAAGAAGCTGTCCACAAGCGCCGCACTGAAGATGAATGCATGCTCTAACGCAGAACTGGTTTCTTGTTTTGTTTGCAATACCTTATCGACAGCAAAATGTGACTATTGTATCTCTTACATTCTAGTTGCCTAGCTAATGATTGGAGTCTCTTTAATAAGGCCAGCCTTAAGAAGTGCGGGAATTGCTTGCTTCTCTGTCCATTCCGTGCACTTAATGAGAGGCTTTCGATGCTCCCCAGGGTTATAAAATGTCAACGGGTCCCACTCCTTCACTGGTTCTGTCTTCATAGTTTCGATATTAAAAGCTTTCTGCTTTGGCGGTGGCGAAAGATCTTTTAGAATAGAATCCCATTCCTGTTTAAAGTTGACAGTCTTGGTGTATCCGAGTAGTTCCTTCGAATGTAGGGGCTGGGAATTCTGTTCAATGTGGAAGGTTGTTGATTCATAGCTCATACCACTGGTAATGTCACCAATGACATGAAACTTCGTACCGCTGCCATCAACGTCTGTCTCTACAAATACAACAGTATGGTATCGAGGTTGAGGCATATCAGGATCTTGAACAGCAAGTGTGAATTTGAGTTTATAAACTGAGTACCATTGAGAGCTTGACATCTTTGGAGTTAAGAGGGAGTATAAGTGACGTTGGTGTTGACAGATGAGGGCGCTTTTGCGAGTTTATTCTTGATGAGATTAATGAATCGCGATTAAGCCCAATCACACGTGTGTAGATTATGGCAAGAACCAAAACATCTGCGTAAAATGCGGCTTCTTCCTAGAACACCCTTGCGAAATGCAGCGTCTCTCTGAGGCGGCTGTGTTTAGCGCTGCAGTGTTACCCTGATACAGGAAAAACATGCAGCCGGGATACGAAATTGGCTATGAGTTAAAGAGCGTTATACATAACCTTGACGACGATGACGAAACTGCATTCTTCAATCTCCTAGTGATATGAGATTGATAATAAATTGAGTGTGATGAAGTATTGCCATGACTTGAAAATCTGTACGGTATAATTAAGTCGGATACATTCACAGTCTAATATTCTACTGCCAGCGATCCAGTAGGTTCAGGTCAGCATTAAGTTCTTTATGCATTAAATATTTAAATATCATCATCTAGCATAGACCACCGTCGCTGCAGCTTCCCGAGCAGCTATAAGAACCATCGAGATTTGCGTCAGAACCGTACATGTCATAGCCCTGGAACCATCCATTGAGCGTCTCGTGGAGATAGTTAAGATTCTGGGGATCTCCGTGATCCCTTCCTTCCTGAGAGCAGGGGTAGTCCTGCGTGATTCCCCTACCACCGTTGAGTCCAGTGCCATCACTAGCCGTGAACCATCCATTGTATGAGCCCAGGGCGTGGACAGCATTGCCGCCAGTGTTGTCAAGAGCAGACTGAAGAACCCAGGCACCGCAATCAACATTGTCCTGGATGGGATACTGGCAGCTGCTCTGGCCGTTTTGGCAGTTTGAAGGATCGCACTGCATCAGACCAGGAGTTGGGCCGCCCGCATCAGCATTGCAAGAAGACTCCTGCATGGCGATGAAGGCCAGGATGGCGGGATCGATGTTGTACTTCTGGCCGGATGACTGAAAGTACTGATCATACTGCCGGCAAGGTGCACCGACGCCGTTGTAATAGTCTGACAGGCTGATGTGTGACAGGCTGTTGATGTCCAAGAAGGGGGGATTCCAACCATTGCCATTAAGGCCAGAGTTAAGCCAAGCTTCGGAACCGTTGGGACCGCATGCATTTGAACCGCCTGTTGTTGTTGCGCAAGCGCCTTGTGCGTTTGGGTTTGTCTGGGCCGATGCCAGTCTGGCAATGGTGACGGCCAGAGCCACCTGGATGAAGCGAGATGACGAAGTCATGGTGAATTTAGTTAATTGCAAGATGAGGGATGGATTGAACTGTGCCAGTCTACAACTACCTGAACTATGGCCATCTCCAGCTCCCTATTTATTTACATCCATCCGGCTCTCGCTGGTCCGGAGCCAAACGAGGCTCTCGCGATACTTCCATTGCAACCTCTGCAGATCTTGCTGGAATCGTCGGAAGGCGGTGACAGGCGTTAATGGACTGACCTGCCACGTTCGGAAACATCGTGGCCGATCCAAAGCCGCCATGAAACCTGCAAATGCTCAGAATGGCAAGGGACTCTCTCCACTGCCGGCACCGTTTGTCCGTTTCAGCGTCACAATCAGAAAGACCTTCCAGAACCTTAAAGAGCCCCCTTGTGCTGCGACCGAAGAACGGCCGTCTGGAGAGATACGACGGGTAGCATTGGGACGGATAGGGAAGCTCGTGTTAGTGTTAGTGGGCGATCGCCCGGACGAATACGAGTATGTTGCTGGCAGTGTTTTGTTACCCAATTGCCTCCACGCGGGCTGCCGCAACGACTCAAGTTCGCATGGAATTGGTGGAAGAAGAGCTGACACTTCCGAACAGGGCTTTCATCAAGCTAGCTCGCCATACGATTCAAGTGGCAGGTTACATCGTGTCTACAGGAGCTGGTTTTAGTCATTCGCGGTATGATGTTGATATTTCCGGTATCCCTAGCCACGCCTTGTACAAGGTATCAAGCATGGTAGTTAATGAAGATGGAGTATGAACACGATTATTGCAAGAGAAATATCGAGGTAACTCATAATCACGGATATAATGGAGCTTCTCCGTGACAGACTGACACTGACGGTCTAGCGGGACTGTTTCTGTTTATTCCCAACAGCGCCACTTTTTTGGTTGTTTCATCATGAGAGCTTACTTCGTGCTGCCATTGGCTCGACCCTGGAGATAACCAACTTGACAATGGCTTCTCGGACGGGATTGGACTGCCCTTTGCAAATAGCAACAGTCATAAGACAATCCTCACACTTTATGCATCGGCGTAAACTTAAAGACAGCTACTGATATTTACGATAGCTTATTATGCGACGAGCCAGTGCGGATGCATTAGCATATTGGGAAGCGAATAGGCTGTAAAAGTGCTGTGTCTATTGAAGATGTACCTGGGCAAGGCAAGTGTCGATAGTGAGTGATGAGCTTGAGAGAAAACACCACAGGCGTTGGTCATGATTCTATGACACATAATTAATGAACCGATCAATATGCCGTATACGCATATCGAGTCAACCAAATTAACACATTTCCCCTCATACGCATCTCAATATATAATTGGCTGTCAAGGGAAATTTTGGTGGCGACAAGTCCAATGCAACGGTGGACAAGGAGGCGCTCGCTTTTTTTAAAAGTGCCATATGGACGGCGATCCATGAATGTCTTGCTTGTGAATAGGATCGCAAGATTACGGCAGAGGGCAGGGCCATTCCTGATATCGCAAACACCTCTTGTCCACCTAATAGAAACACCTGGGAGACTGACCAATATAAGTGCCGCTCAAATCACGGCCTTGATCTCTGCCTACACAGCAAGAAATGCCATGGCTCATGGGCCCCTCGCATCTGAAATCGTGAAAAATCCAAGTTGGCAGTTGACATACTTCAGGAAGACCTCCAGAGACTGAATTCTCCGCCTGGAGTTGGCGAACAGTGCCAATAGTAACTGAGCTTGCCAGAGCGTAGTGTAGCAGAGAGCCATGAGAAAGTTCAAAACGACAAAGAATCTGAGATTGGGTTGAGAGAGCACCGTACTACAAAGCCAAGCTTACCACGAAAGAGTTCTTTGTTGAAACATGGGGATAAGGGGCGATCCAGCATTCCGTAGAGTCAGCAGGACAAAAGAGTTGGCCAATAATGACAGCTCTAGAAAGCTAATTCGAACTTGATCATATCACAAAGAAATTGTACCGCTCGCATCTCCAGGCAACAAGTGAGTAAGACCAATAACATGAAGTAGGCATGTACATGGCGGCATCCCAAGCTGTCCTGGGCGTCTGGCTCGACATGCCATGTGATTGCCACGTAAGTGGAGGACAGAAAAACCGGGATTGGGAAGATTTCGAACACCCTCGAGTGAAATCATACGCCTACAAAAAGAGTAGCTACTATATCTACATTTCCCTAATAACTACTGCTATTTACATTTCTCTAGTAACTACTACTATACGTATATTTCTCTCCTAAATCCTACTATATCTGCATTTCTCTAGTAACTACTACTATATTTATATTTCTCTAGTAACTGCTACTCTATATAAACCCTATCTAAAATTCGGGTGTTCGCTGTATCAGCGTTCCCCTACAAAAGCACTCTTGGTTGAGTTAATTAAGTGCTTATATTACTGAATGTATGTACGTATTCATTTTGCGGCCTCGCTGTTTCTGACCTTCGCTTGCCACAGTAGATTAATTCTTTGTTGATCGAGGTGGGGCCACGACATCCTTTGAACATGCGTCCTTTCATCATCTTCGGGTCCACGAGGCTCTAGTAGTTTATTTAAATTCTGGGTCAGTACCCTACTTGTTCAATACCTACTGTTTTCCAGCATACCGACTTTCTACTATTTCCCATATCCTATTGTGAGAATCTACGAATACCCTCAACATCCTCAAAACATGGCAGGGCCTCCTCCCAACAACATCGTGGATGGTCACGTACATATATGCATCCACCCACAGTGTGGTGTCTGCGGACAGCTTTTTCTACCTGATGATCGTATTTGCGCACGTAAGGAGATTTTTCAACTCTCAAAAAGACGTCATAACTAACACTTACAGTGCCATTTTGCGAGAAAGTCTACGTATATGACGCCGGCAAGTTTCAACGCAACCGATTTTCGGTCACAGAAAGTTACAAGTATGTACACTGCGATGAGCCAGATTTTCCTCGTTGGTTTCGTCCGGATGAAAGCGTCACAATCCATATGGATTGTTTAGATCTTTGCCGTCGAGAGTTTGGGATTTGTAAACGAGACCTTAAGGACGGCCTTTCCAAAGGAGGTTTTAATCGCATTTGGCTTGCAGCAGCCTGGAGATATGCTTGGAGAGAGATGCAACCTCTTGAGATGCCTAGTTATAGTGCTCTTGCAGACCTTCCTCCACACCTAATAAGCAAAATATGTGGGTTTCAAAAGAGCTTTCCACCCGAAATCACCACCATGATTCAGAGCTATTTTCCATCCAGCTTTTTCTGGAGATCTTGTTCCACACTTCAGCTTATAGAGGAAATGGATTCGGCAGAGTTACACGAAGTGGTCACCTGCTCGCTTTCCAACGTGCTGTGTTGGTCTCGCGGCAGCGTTCCCAAATTTGTGGAAAGCGGACAAACTGCTGACCCTTATGTCCGTTTAATAATGGATTCTCGAGGCATCAAATCGATAGAACGAATATCTGAAGATTCGGCAAATAACGCATTCCGTATCTTCAAGTATTCTGACGTATTCCTGATAGAACACGCAGAGACAATAAAAACAATCATGGTGGAATTTCTGGTATGTATTTCTAAATACTATACATATTCCGTTGGTTTTTGAGCAACGTTGAAATTGAGATCCGCTGACATTCTCAGCTTGGCATGAGTCGCTTACATATTCCTGCGCCACCAGAGATCAGCATCTGGAGCGTGCCGATGCCCATAGAAAACTTTCTTGGTCTTCAGAGTATTCAGCGCGAGGTACAATTACCTATATCTCCTTCATCTCGACGTTTCGTCGCTATCAATTTAGATCCAAGGCATTGCACTGGGCTTTCTTTCTTTACAAACATGAGAGAGATAGTGTATATACATGGACACCGCAAAAATGGCTTACCTGCTCTCGAGACTTATCGCAATTTGAACGCTTTTTACGAAGGGAACCTAATTTGGACCTATATACCGTTAACGGCAGAAGACAAGATTAACGCAATCTCTGTTAAGCGGTATATTAAGATAGAGTCGGCATGTACTATTACGGTAGGTGTTCAAACACTATTTTCTGGTTCAAATTGGATCTAATAATATTTAGTTGATGATGAAATCTGGTCAACCCATAATCGGTACTCTACCAAGTAATAATCAAAGCTTCCAGCCCGATGAAGCACTATATACAATGGAGAAACAACATCCATTGCTTATACATAACATTATAAGCGGAAATCCTATTTCATATATTGGGCTTAACACCAAGCCTGAGATCATAAGTCATGACTCTATCACAACAGAAAAGACGCCCCTCGCTTGTGCCTGCTTTTCTTCAGCGTCGTTAGAAAATGTTCTAACAGTTTTTGTCTTTACTGATGATTCAACTAAGCTATGCAAAGGCATAATGATCGAGTATAGCAATGGTTTGAAGAGAGCCCTGGGACAATGCCGCCTGGGTTTGGATTCAGTTCAAAAGTATAATCGGCCATTAAAATTCTCATACGCCACTACGAAATATAGTTGGAAAAGGCACAAAAGCGTGTATGTTAGTTTTGATTTGGAAAACGACCTCCATCTTCGAGATAAAAAGTTATCGTGGAAGCATTATGAAATGAGAGGCCAACTTTCCTTTTGGTTTAGAGCAAACGACATTGTTTTACGAGTTTCGCAAGATTAGGCTTCTTATTTCAATAATCCATATCCTTAGTTACCTTATCACCAAATACTTATCTTGGACCGCGAGGGCCTAGCCATTTACTCATTCTTATGTCATTGGTGTCACGATCCGATCAACCAGAACAGTGATTGGTCTTTTGTCCAGAATTGGTTCCTTTACGACTCCTATTACAATTACGATTATATTTTGCTCTCTCTGGCTTTATAACATGATTAAGCGCAACGCCTAGCATCTAATTAGCGAAAATACATTGTTTATAAGAGTACCTAGGTAGTTTGCCTATAGTGAGTCAATCAATTAACAAGCTTTCCCTCGTAAGCAGCTCGATGGGAGTCCTCCCAAGTGAAGGTCAGAAAAAGCGAGACTGCAAAATGAATATGTATGTACATTCAGTAATATGAGCACCTAACCAACTCGTACAACGCCTATTCAGCCAGCACCCGAACTTTACTATATAAATATAGTAGTAGTTACTAGAAAAACGTAGATATAGTAGCAGTTACTAGAGAAATATAGATATAGTAGGGATATGTAGATATAGCAGCTAATCGTTTTGTAGGCGTATGGCTTAACTCGTGGGTGTTCAAAATCTTCCCGGTCTCGGTTTTTCTGTCCTCCGCTTGCCTCCTTGAGGAGAGGTCTTACAAGAGTGACCTTAATAAGGATTCATAATCTGAGAAATGCTGTGGTATTAAAATGAAGATGATAGCAAAAATAAACGACATATGCCTCGGTTTAAGACGTAAGCAACTTCCTTCAAACTTTGTAGTTGCCGGGAAAACTGCCAGCAAGAAGTCGTCAGTTCAACACTACTAGTCTACACTGGGCTAGCATTTCGGCACTCATCTGTCAGCCCGTCTGATCATTGACGCCATCGAAGAGTATAAATCGTACGAACGTTCTCCGACCCACCCATCATATTCTGTCAGTCTCATTTTCCTTCAGCCACAAAGTTTGAGCCCTGATGATCCGATTTCACATGAAACTAAACATGAGCTTTCTAAACAAAGTTTCTCAGCTCTACTGAACCTTCTTTAGGGTGAAAGCCTATTTAAGCTATAGTCAGGTGATGAAAAGTGTCGCTAGCTTCAGATATCATCGTATGACGATCGTGGCACCATTTACGCGTGGCAACATTGCCCATTCGATACATAAATACTGCGAGGTAGACGTGTGGTGTTTCAATCAAGGAAAGTATCGCAATTATATTATGCTTGACAAGTTGAAACTGACAAAGTAACAAACACATCAACACCATGACTACCACCAACGGCCCATCCAAACTCGTCCCAGAACAGCTATTTCACACTGTTCTCACCGTAATCGACTACTCCCACGACGCCTCCGGCGCCAACCGCACGCTATTCGTCCTCAAAACCCACGGCACCCTCGCCGCAGCAAAGAAATACGCCAGCCACGCCCTAGAAGCCGTCAACTTCACAGCCGAGGACTTTGAAGTCTATCGCATCCGCGCCGACGAAGACCCAGCCAAGCCCTGGACCCACGGCGACGGTGTGCTGGTTTTCGCTCGCTCCTTTGATGGGCAAGAGTTTCTCGTGGGAATCGACACTACTCCAAACAACGAGGCTTTGACTGCAACCTCGGATGGAGAGATAGTGCTGCCCGAGGGCGCAAAGTTCCTGCACTACCTTTTGCAGATTACGGTGGACTACAACGCCGATCGCAGCGGCAGCTTGCAGACCACGGAAATCGAAGGGACCTATGTCCATCGTGCGGATGCGTGGACGGCTGCGCATGTGTCTCTCGATCCAGCAGAGTATGCAGAGTTTGATCGTCGGGGCGACGCACAATTTGTTGAAGAATGGCCCTTTGGCGAAGATGTTGCGGTTCATGCCGTTTCTGAGACTGGACAAAACTATTTTATTGCGGTGAAAAGGCCCCCCGAGCAGAAGCACGAGGTAAAGCCTCACTCGCTGAAAAAATAGTCTTCATGTCTATTGCATTTATTTTGAGGAAGTAAGGACTTTGTCTACTGTATACTGGCTATGCTGTGACTTTCCGATGTTGTTTTAATCAATTCAAAGCTGTACATTACTGTCTCTAAAGATTTGGGCTACAGATCTAGTAACTATAATTATAACCTCTTCTAAACATCTCTTTAATATAATGATTCATTATACATAAGCCACGTTCAGTCATGTGTAGGATACAGTTGCAAGATGATACATATTGAAGAATGAACTTGGTATTAGTGAATCATGAGTGACTTTGTCATAATTTCGTCTCTACAACGCCCAAGCTAGAGAGATTGGACAACTCTTGGAGAGGAAGGAGGTCCGTAATGCAGTCTCCGGGACGACTTCCTAAGAGTAACACGAAATTCACGTGGTGTTGCACAACTACTTGTATTTCTCCCCCCTCTCGTAGCAACCAATACATCATGCCTCCATCACGATTGTCAACATCCGTACCAGTGCAAAAAATCTCTCTCAAAGCAAACCAAAATGGCCACTCTCGACGCTCTGAAGCGGGCTCTTAGACAAAAAGCTACTTCTCCGACGCAGCCCCTGTCCGACGAACAGTATAGCGCTGGCTTTGACACCCTGCTCCAGGGCCCCGGATGGAAGACATACCAAGACTTTATTTTTCCCCAGCTATCCCAAGTGCTGACTCCTCTGCTCAACTCGCGAATCCGCATCTCGGTGTTGGAAATAGGACCTGGCCCCAAGAGCGTGCTTGGTTATCTGCCTGACGATCAAAGACGCAAGATCAACAAGTACGGTGCGTTCGAGCCAAACGACTTATATGCCACAGAATTACAAGAATGGCTGGAGACAGAATCTCCGCTCCCCTGTCTGGAAAGCCTGCCCGACATCCATCGAGTGCCTTTTACTCTGGACAGCGCCGTCACTGATGCAAATGATGGCCAAGAAAAGTTCGACGTCGTTCTCTTCTGCCACAGTATGTATGGAATGAAACCCAAGCGCAGCTTCATCGAACGAGCACTAGAAATGCTTGCTGTGCAACCCGAAGGCGGGGTGGTGGTAGTCTTCCATCGTAATGCTGTGGACTTTGATGGCCTAGTGTGCCATAAAACGGCTTCATTCCCTTCTGGAACCGTTTGTGTTGCAGATGATTATAAGATGCTGGATATCTTTTCCTCTTTCATTGCGGGCTTTGTCATGCAAGACAAAGACGCGGACGAGGCTGTCCACGTCGAATGGCGTAAGGTGTGTCGCGACTTGGGTCGCCGTCAGGAAGCTCACCCAGGTCATCTCTTCTTTAGTGCACCTGAAGTTATGATGGCATTCAATCATCATGCCACCATGTTGCCGGAACTCACAGCGCAAGTGTCGTTGGTGAAAGAGGAGAGGATTGTGAAGAACTGGGAGGCTCGAGCCCACCGTCCCGCTTCAATTCTCAGGCCGACGAAGATCCAACATGTCCAAAAATGTGTTCAATGGGCTTTGAAGCACAGAGTTGGTTTGACTGTCATCGGTGGAGGTCATAGCGGCCACTGTCTTTGGCCCAACGTTGTCGCACTTGACATGGAAGCTTTTGATCAAGTACATGTTCAGGGTCCTACAGATAATGGGATAGAACCCGACTTTAATTCTGGCTCCTTGATTATAGCCGGGGCCGGCTGCAAGACGGGAGATATCGTTCGTGCTGCCATGGCGGCGAGTTTAACAGTGCCTCTCGGAGCTCGTCCAAGCGTTGGCGCTGGGTTATGGTTACAAGGCGGCCTCGGGCATCTGGCCAGACTTTATGGTCTTGCATGTGATTCCATTGTCGGTTTCATAATGGTGAGCGTTGATTCGGCCCAGATCCTGTGTGTTGGACATGTACCAAATGAATATTGGCCGACCAGTGGTGTCCGCCCGGAAAACGAAGCCGAATTGCTATGGGCAATGAAAGGTGCTGGAAGCAACTTTGGCATCGTGACGAGCGTCATTTTTAAAGCGTATCCGGCCCCAGTCTATACAGTTCGAAACTGGATTGTCTCACTGGATGATGACTTTGAAGCGCGGCGTAGACTCACCGAATTTGATAGGCTCATCGCCAGCAATCTTCCTCGAAACTGCTCTGCAGATGCGTATCTGTATTCCGATGCTGGACGGTTGCAGCTTGGCATTACCATGATTGAAGCTTCTGCGACTAAGTCAGTCTCAGAAACCCCTACACTTGCTGATACAATTCTAGAGGCAGAATGCACTCTCAAGGTCGTAGACAGCGTCGGCTTGTTTGACGCCGAGATGTACGTGTCCGGAATGCACGGAGGACATGGAGGCGGCAAGACATCCTCGTTCAAGCGGTGTCTTTTCTTGAAAGATATTGGAGCTGCAGACGTGTCTGCAATCTTGGTAGCAGCTGTCGAGTCTCGTCCCACGACACTCTGCTATCTTCATCTGCTGCAGGGCGGAGGAGCGGTTGCCAATATGGTTCCCGACGCCACGGCTTTCGGTTGTCGTGACTGGGAGTTTGCCTGCGTTATCACCGGCGTCTGGCCTCGTCACCAAGATGGAACCGAAACTGCTCAAGCTACTGTACAATGGGTTTATCATGTTGCCCGGACTCTGTTGCCCCTGGCTAGAGGAGTTTACGGTGCAGATCTCGGACCGGACCCCAGAGATGCGGATCTAGCGGAGAAGGCTTTCGGTCCAAACCGGCCGCGCTTGGCTCGTCTCAAACGACATGCAGACCCATGTAAGGTCTTGAATTATGCCTGTCCGCTCCCAGAGGCGCCGATAGAGCCAAAGCTCATCGTTCTTGTCACGGGAGAACATGGTGCCGGCAAGGACTATTGTGCCGGCGTTTGGGCATCCATGTTCAAAACAAGCTCTCCCAACGCTAAGGCACGGGTAGTTAGTATTAGTGATGTGACCAAGCGGCAATATGCGGCAGCCACTGGTGCTGACTTGGACTCTCTACTCCAAGATCGTGCCTACAAGGAGCAACACCAGCCAGCCTTGACGGCATTTTTCCAAGAGCAAGTGCGGCAGCGACCCAAGCTGCCAGAAGAGCACTTTACGAATGTAGTGCATGGTGCCATTGATGTGGACATACTGTTGATCACCGGGATGAGAGATGAGGCTCCAGTTGCAGCTCTGTCACATCTGGTGCCAGACAGCAGAGTGCTCGAAGTCCGTGTCAGATCAAGAGAGGAGACACGGCGGGCTCGTGGATGTTGTCAAATCGGTGATGGGGTTGTTGATCAGCTGGTGCTCGAATCTCATCTTTTACAACGACACGCCTGGAAGTGAGATAGCGGAAGAGTATGGTCAACTTCATTTACTTCCCTTCTTTAGCCAGGATCTGCAGCAACTGGCCAACATGGTGCGTTCGGTACCCGACTTCCCACGCTCAGGTATCGAGTTTCGCCACCTGCTCGACATCTCCCAGCAGCCGGGAGGATTGAAGCTGTGTGTGTCTCTGTTTCGGAGCCACTTCGCCGGTGACTGGAACAAGATCGAAGCAGTGGTTTGTTGCGAGGCTGGAGGCTTCATCTTTGCATCGGCGCTGGCGTCAGAGATAAATTTGCCCCTGGTTCTGATTCGTGAAGCCGGCAAGCTCCCGCCGCCTGTTGTTTCTGTTGTCAAGAGGCCATCGCACATTTCGCATTCGGCATCCAACGGTTCAAGAGAGAAGAAGATGGAGATGGAGCGTGATGTGATTCGCAGAGGCGCATCTGTGCTAGTCGTGGACGATGTTCTTGCCACGGGTGAGACGCTCTGTGCGGTTGTGCAGCTGCTGGCTGAAGCTGGGGTCAGCGCTGATCAAATCAGTGTCATGGTCGTGGCTGAATTTCCTGCTCATCGTGGCCGGGAATTGATGCGCAGTTGTGGTTTTGGAAGAGTCAGTATTCAAAACCTCTTGGTCTTTGGGGGTCTGTAGAAGGGAGAACTGAGTTTGTGGCTATAGGCATGCCGCGTATTGGCTGGCTTGGTATACAGCTCCCACTTGTTACAGTCAAAAAGTAAGGGATTAACAGAAGGCTGTTCTTATAAAATTAAATTCTTTAAAGGAAATAGAAATATTCCTTGTGCATATCTTTACTTGTGTTCTATTTTTTTCTCTTTTTTTTCTCTTTTTTTTCTCTTTTTTAGGGTGCTAGATAACAGAACTTGGGGTGCTGGATAAGGTAGGAATTCCCCATAACTACCTACCACGCAAGTGAAACCTACAGGCGGGTGCTTTAGCAGTACTTCTAGGCGGTATTATGCGCTGTAGGCCGATAACTTCCACCTATAGGTGCAGGTTACTGAGGCGCCGACACTAATGTAGGTACCTGTACCTACATCTGGGCTGGATCAAAATTTGGCCCGAGCAAGCCACTGCAAGGCTTCAAGTTATTTCCAAGAGGCAACCTTCGACAAGTTCCATCATCCCCAATACAGCACGTCTAAATCAAGCCTCTCTTACGCAGCTCTTCACCATGGGTTCTACCTCACAACCATCGCAATCAAGGCCTCCCCTAGAGACCTTGTCTATCAAGCAGCTTATTCGGTCGCATCCCCGGGACAAGCTTCTGGTTCGCCCTCTGGAGTGGACCGGCCGCCATCTTGAGGTGCTGCAATGTTCCTTCGAGGACTCCCCACCCCCTTCACCTTCACAAGAACACCTGGACGAAGTGGACAGAATTCCTGCCAAAGAGTCTATGTATACCATGAAAAATATGGCTGCAGGTGACGTCTGGCAAAGCCGCGAAGCTTCCATCAGATACATTGTCGGTTCTGATGATTGCCCACTGAGGCCCTACGGGTTGGTCTTCATATGGGAGGAAATTTGCTCCATTCCTCCCTCCCCTCCATTCCTCCTTTACTTTCTCTTTTTTCTCCTTTCATTCATTAACGGTTGACTAGGACAGCAATTGAATTCCATTTTGATGGCCGTTGCGTCAGCAGCCTCCCCTGTCAAGCTTTCACCAACAGGTATGGTAATAAGGCTGCCTTTGAGAAGGGCATGGCGCCAGTCGCCTTGGTCTCCATCGATTGCGAGTATATCAAATCCCTTCGCTTTTGGCAGATGTTACCTAGACGCCACAGCAAGCAAGCAATGGGAATACACGAACGCCATATAAAAAGAGTTACGCCACCTAATCGTCTGCATGATCCATACGAAGTAGCCCTCCTGTTGGCAGTTGCATATAATCAACGGTACCGGACAACATCTTCGATATGGTCCAGAGCTACTTTTTGGGTATGCTGCAGCCCCCCTTCCCCCAGGGTATTTCCGCCTCCATACATCAACTGACACATTATATCTAGCCACAGGTGATATTGACAGATCGTGAGGATGAATACGTCCACCTCTTTGCCGCACATATTTCGTCCAATTACCTCAACAAATTTGACTTCATTTCCCGCCGGCCTGCCAAGTCGGCGCAGCAACCGTTGTTGATTCACCATATCCCCGTGCCGCTAAAGCCATATAAGACTTTCCGCCGACGCTTACTCCCAATCCTGCTTCATCCAGCTGATTACTACAAGGGAGGCTAGCCAACAAATAAGGGGTTAGGTAGATTATTAGTATTACTTTGTAAAACTGCATAATATTTCCAATAGTTATAGAGCAAACCTCAACAGCTCTGTCCCTGCAGATCTCATCGATTGTATATATATAAGACGTCTCGCCACGGCTTTTGATAGCTAGATAACCACAAGATCTCTCATCGAAATGATTTCGCAAAAACTACATCTTCAATGACTCTTACCAATGAGTAGCCCTGTTGTATCTTGACCGTATATCATAGATTAAATCATAGGAGTAATAATAATCATATAAAATCGCCCCTATTTAGTATTGTATTGGAATAATGTAGATTAGTTTCCAGTTGTTTAAGACTCCAGTCTATGCGATGCACCGGCACGCGTTATAGATTTTTGCAAATCAAGATACTCAAACCCCTGGAAATTATTCCCTTCGACTGCTTCTACCAGGCCACCCTCCGAGCAAACTCCCATTTCTCTGTCTCTACTCTTTTAATGGCTACTGAGTGGCAATCTGAAATTTGACATGCGCGTTTGCACCATCTAATCTGATTGGATCACGGAATGGACCGTCAAGAGTGAAGGAAAGGTGAAACGCACATACATGCGGCGTCACCTGTCGCTCACATTCTTCTCGGATGCCCGTTTGCTTCATCCACGACCCACCTACAACCCATCAGTGCACTTCTCTCAATAAGAATATTTTCCTCGCACGTTATATTTTGAAAGGTTATATAACTTGATGCTCTGCCTTTCCCAAAGCCAAACTACGAGACATTTTATTGCAATAGAATCAGCATCACCGCCTCAGTCATGGCGTTTTATGACACCGTTCGGAATCCAAGAGACTTCTCTAGAAAAGCCTCTGATGAGAGTGCCAAAAGTTTCCAAAACCTTCTAGGCTCGGGACAATGGAAGACAGCGGGAAGCAGCTGGGGCGTCGAGCATCTTTTTGCATGCCGAGTAATCTGCAGCAAACCAACCTCGATTTTACCAGTTATAAAAGCTACAGTTGATGCATTAAGGATGCAAAGAAACGAATGGGACCCAGTCATCAAAAAAATAATCCAAGGACCTAACGAAGGCAAGTCAACTCTGGGCAGCATGTTGGGGGAAGAGGTACTCCAACTTTACAACAATGATACTCTTGGACATATCTGGACTGCTTTGTCCCCGTTGGTGAAGCCCGAACCTGTACCGATGTCAGATAGACAGCTGCGAGAACGAAACCCTTCTCAATCCGCCGAGTCGCAAGGTTCACCGGAATCATTGCAAATATCGACTCCATCAGCGACAGAGTCGAACGCCTCAAGCATTGGGTACTACGAGGCTGAATGGGCGCCACGTCTCAAAGCATTGACTGTAGAATTCGTCAGTCTTTTTATCCGACACGTTCTCGCATTTTGTCAACCCCGAGACAAAGTGTCAAAGATTACGTATCGACACGGACAAATGGAGCACAAGAGTGATGCATTACGACTGTTTGCCATTGATGACGCCGGCCTCCAAGTTTCAAACCAAGATGGACGGGTATTTCAAGTAGCACTACTGGAGGCCGAGAGGACATTCCAGACGATTCGAAATGGACGACCAACCATTTCTGACGGGCTCCTTGGTCAGTTAGCTGGAGAGGCATTGGGAACAATAGCATCGGGATCTTCAATTTTTCGGAACAAGTAAGTACATGCATCTGGCTCGATACGCTCCATCGACATGCTTTACAGTGCTACATTCTGACATTAGGTAGGGTATTCATCATATTAGCCATCAAACACTTTGTCAAATTTTTAGAATTTTCCGTTTCGGAACAATTCATGTCGCAGTTTAAGACCAGGAACCCAGCAGACCGCGAAAATTGGGATACTTATCTCCTGGTAGATTCGACGGAATGGTTTGACGCAACCAGCATTCAAGGTCGCGGGTACATCGTTAGCCATGTGATGGTCTTGGTAGAATGCGCTGATGATGTTGTTTCGCGTTGAAGAGAGAATCAGAGCTAGGAATGTGGGAGACAAGAAAATTGAGGCCCCTAGTTCAGTGCTTCTCAGCAGTGATTTGGGCATCCCTTACCTAGGTACACACGGTATTGCCAAAGAGAGTTTGCTGTCGCTGACAAAAAAAATGGGTTTAAATAAATGAATCCTATTGGATGACAATCACCTATATGATTTTGTTTATTCATCCTTTCTATGGCAGGGGTGCTTCGAGACAACGGTCGTGTAGATAGTAGGGGTGCATCTAGAAATCCATGACGTTGCGTTGACATCCGCCATTTTCCAACCCACAGTCATATTCTCATCGTCATATATTATCGTAAACACATGTTTCTTATGTCATATTGATTTCAAGCACATTGGACATTCCAGGGCCATCGTGCGGGGAGATTGGTATTTAACTGAAAGCAGCTCCTACAGAAAGCAATCTCACGTAGTATTTCGCTTTTGTTAGCAACAAAGCTCTATTACGGTGCTCTTCCAACGCACGCATTCTACCTAATTCTTATCAACCATGGCAACTTCAAAAGCAGCATATCTTGCTGAAAAGGTTATTGGGCATGATGATAATGCCATAATTGAGCAAGATGTCTCCAACTATCCAGAAGACTCGTTAGATACCATGAAAGCTTTGGTCTGGAAGGGAAAGCAAAAAGTTGAGATTGGTGTGTACCTCCCTTCTCATAGTCAATAATTCTCCAATATTCTTACCTATCTCCCAAGCCGAGGTCCCCAAGCCTCAGATTCTAGAGGATACCGACGTAATTCTCAAAGTCACCGGTTCCACTGTCTGCGGCTCAGATTTACATCTCTACCATGGCGTAGTGGTGCAACTTGCCGACGGCGACATTCTAGGGCACGAGTTCTGCGGCATCGTAGAACTAGTAGGGCGCGCTGTCAGCAAAGTTCAGGTCGGGAAGAGATACGTCGCTTCTTTTCAGATTGCTTGCGGAGATTGCTTCTTCTGCAAGCAAAAGTTGTCGTCGCAGTGCGAAAAGACCAACGCAAACACGACCATGAAGGGCATGTATGGCGGGAGGACGGCAGGCATCTTTGGGTATTCTCATCTTACAGGCGGATTTGCTGGTGGCCAGGCTGAATATGTCCGTGTGCCATTAGGCGATGTGAATTTGTTGGAGATTCCTGATAATGTTTCGGACGAAAAGGGTGAGCATGGCTTTGATCTTCACAGCCTCAAGTTCTGAATGATCAGAACACTAACTCCTCGTATAGCGCTATATCTCTCTGATGTTCTCTGCACATCTTACCACGCCGTCAAAGATACAGCCGTCTACCAAGGAGATCAAGTGGCCATCTTCGGCGCTGGTCCCATCGGACAGATGGCTGGTGTTTTTGCCCTAGGAGAGGGAGCCTCCAAAATTATCTTCGTAGACACTGAGCCGCGGCTCACTTTCATCAAACAGCGTTTCCCTTCCGAACACAGCGACAAACTTACTCTGGTCGACTACAAGAAGCTGTCGCACGGCATCACTTCCAAAGAAACTGTTGTCAGCAAATTAAAGGAGCTTTGCGGTGGCCGAGGACCAGACGTCGCCATCGAGTGTGCGGCAGGGGAATACGCCAAGGGCTGGATGCATTGGTTGGAAATGACGATTGGTGCCGAGACTGACACCAGCGAGATTCTCAACGAGATGATTGAAGGAGTGCGCAACTATGGCCGCTGCGGCGTCACGGGAGTTTATGTCGCATACGTAAGTACATGTCTGGGCCGCACTCTCAAATTACCATGTGCTAACGGGTCGAATAAGACCAATCACTTCAATGTTGGCTCCCTCATGCAGCGAGGCATTCGACTCATCGGAAACGGCCAAGCACCAGTGCACATGTACTGGGAAGAACTACTTGCCAAGATCCAGAAAGGCGAGCTCGACCCTATGCAGATGGTGTCTCACAGAGTCAGACTCGAGGATCTGGACAAGGTATACGCAAAGTTCGATGCAAAGGACGAAGGCATGCAAAAGGTGTTTGTCGAGACCAGATTCTCTTCGCCCAAGGCTTCAGAGTCTCCTGAAGTAACTTTGTATTAGACGTGTTATGAAGTCGCATATCATATCCTCTCTTTCCAAGCACCTAGCTAGTTATAATCATTTTTGTGGAATAATACTAGCCAGCATTCTAAGTCTACTGTCCAACGTCTCGTGTCTCAAATTTAAAGCCATATATATACATGGCGGAGGACCTTGGCGATTTTGCACGTTCTGCTGAGGGGGTTGAGGACCCTGACGATTTTGCACACTCGACTGCGGCACTGGTGCGGCTGCATTCCCCTTCAGTTGTCTGTGGACTTCCGCCAACAATGGCTGTAAACGACGGCTTTCCAGGAGTGGTTTCAGCCTGGTCCATATTCCGCTCTGGTACTGGGAGCGCTCAGAGAGATGGGTACGATGCCTGAGGAAAGAAGAGGTCCGACCTGCCCTGGAGGTAAGGAAGCGATAGTTCAACTTTAATAAGCACAATGTATCGTGTATCATGGCGTACACAAGCGTATGTATATTAGTATATATATGCATGTACGCAGGGTGGTATATCAACCTCCTCTCAATATCATCAAAATCGCCCATCTCTCATCCATCAAGCCCTGGATTCGCTCCACGCACTATTCTATCCCATCATAACAAGCCACATCCATCTCTGGCTCTCGGTAATCTAAGTCGTTCATCTACGCTGTGCTTTCGCAACAAAAAGACCAAAGAGGTTTTAAAAAAGGAACACAAGGAGGAAGAAGAAAAGAGGAACCTTGCTCATGCCTCTGACTTCTTCCTACTAGACGACGCTTCAGCAACCACTAAAATACCCGCTCCCGTAACACCGCCATCGTGGCAAGGTTTCAACACGACTCGTAAACGGCCGTTGTCACCGAACCTGCGTGCCAGCAGCTCGTCTAGAAATTGTTGGCAGTCGGCCAAGTAATCCTGGAAATGAACTATGCAGCCACCGGTGTAACCCACGCCAAGCTCACGAATGGGGGAGCTCGTATCTGCGTCTGCGCCTGCGTTTGCCTCCTCGGGTAACTCGTCTGCAAGCGTAAGCAAAGCGACGATGGCGGCGGCGATAATGCCTGACGCCCGTACTTCAATGGCCTTTGCAATGTGGTACAGCGCAACAGCGAGGTCTTTTGTCCAAGAGAACGAGGAGTCGGTATCTTCGGGGATTTGCCGTCGCAGCTTCTCCAGCAGGGCGGATGGGGGCTGTAGCGGCTTGTAATGACTTAGAAACGTCGTTGTCAGGCTCTCTTTTTCAAGCAGCTTCTTCGGTAGAGTCTCGACGGCCATTTTGGACTCGTTGATTAGATAGTCGACCAAGATGATTCGTGCCAGCTCGCCCAGGTATCTCCCTGCCGTCATGTACTCCAGAGGCTGAAACCCAGGCCTCTCGTTCTGCAAAGACAAGACATCATCCCATTTGGTGACTAGATTCACCTCTGCCATGGGCGGCAGTGTGCCCTTTATGCTCCACTCGGTGTTGACTGCAATTTTGGCGTCGGCAACCTCCTCGCCGGGAAGAAGGCTCACCATCTGCGGGCGTTTGCTAGGATGCAGCAGATCCAGCTTCAGGGGCACCGTAGCGTTAGATCCCGTCCCCAGAATCAGAGCCATGGCTGCTCGACGATGCTCCGTGCCGCCGTAGCTGAAGATGCACGACACCAGCGTCGATACGGCGTCGTTTGCAAGAGCGGTGACTTTGATTGGCGGTAGCTCAGTCCGTCCAGAATCTGCGTAACCTTGCTCGATGTAAGCTCCCAAGTCGATGCCAGACGGCAGAGCGAATCCCTTGCCCATATCCATCAACAGGGCGTGAGAGACGGATCTCTGCTCCATAGGGAAGCTGAAAGTGACGCCCAAAGGCAAGGGCACATCGTTGGGGATGTCGAATGTTCTACAGCCCTCATCCACAACGTCGGCGATGCATCTTCCTATCCATGAAAAAAGACTGTTTGCGTTGTCGTTTTTGAGATGGTTGTCAATGGGCCATGATCTCTCCAGTGGTCGCTGGACACGTGATGCAGGATCTTGGTGGTCACCATGCAGCTCAACGAAGCCAACTCGAAGATTCGTCCCTCCTCTAAGCAATATGGGGTTAGTATAAACGATCCAAGGCTCTACAGCCCCCTCTTGATGAAATCCTCTTGTAGGAGAGGCAAGGTGGTCTCACATGTCTATTGCCAGGTGCCTAGATATCATGAAACTCATTAGCCTTATGCTGCTCACTCTCACCAAGCCGTACATTATTCGACGTGCAGTATAGTTTTGAACTGCACTCGAGGAAATATAATAGAATCACTCACCGTCCACCTCCTTGCTCAGCGATAGGCCTCAAGATAGACTCAGATATCGGCGTAGGCAAGAACTGATCCCTCGAATTCGCAGCCAGATCCTTAAAGTTGTCGAGAAACCTCCGCGACAGCTCCTCCGACCTATCGACGTCGATGCTCAGCGGCTCCAAGAACCGGTGGATATCCGTGTAAGATGCCATGACTTTACAGCTTTGTATGTACCAGCGAAAATGCAAGAAAAGACGCTATCAGGGGAATCTCATGATATTATGCGGAGGGCGCAAAAAAAAAGGGAAGCAGCCACCCGGGTATAAAAACCAAGAAAAAGCACACCCGCACCCACACACAGACGCCAGATGACTCTTGAAGGTGAGATTCCCGATATCCAAAAGGCAGGACGACAGGACACAGACAAAGTTGCTCACCTCCCTGAATAGGATGGAGATGGCAGATAGCAAGAAAAATATACCCGGCAGTGAATGGGAGGCGTTATGGAGCAAATGTTGGAAGCCGGCCAGAACGTAGCATCGATTTTTAGTGGTCTTTTTGGAGGGGAACCTATGGGGGCTCGTTCCCTCTTTTTTTCCTCCTGCTTGCTGGTCCTTAGGGCGGGATGCCGGCGGTTTTGCGGGCGAATCTGTGTTGGAGATGGGGCTCTTGGGGCTCTTCTGGCTCTTCTGGAAGGGCTTCAGGGACCACTGGTTCGCAGCTAGTTTCAATGTTTGTTGCATTGGGTTAAAAGGCCGGGCCGGGCCTCGCATGATTCAAAAAGTACCGTGACGGAGCCCTATTTTGAGCGGTACTTGATGTTTCGAGAATATTGCTATTACTGCTGCCTTGGTGCTACTGTTACAGTACTTGTGCTCTACTAAGAGATAGCGCTGGGCTGATGTTGGACTGTCCAAGATACAGCCCTCTGTACTACTCGTACTCCGCATCACTGCTTATCTCATTACTACTAGTAGTTTATAAATAGATTTCGACCACGAAAAGATGTCAAACACGAGGTACGGAGTATAGACCATGACATTAAATACTACCTACTTCTAGAATGCTATGACATTCTTTTACTCTGTCCTAGACTCCAGCCTCAAAACTCACTGACCGGTACATCGCTATGTACATACATCGGTGCATCGGTACCCGAGTACTTCCACGCAATGGCGACCCCTTGCGAACTCGTCTCCTTTCGGCCTAGCGCCATCCCCAAGCAACGCAACCGCTCCTCTCCATGACGCTATGCGCTCCGTCCAATCTCGTCGCAGCATCTTCGCGCGAAGCTCAAGAGCTTCCAAAGAAGCAGCATCACCATCGTCAACTCTTTTTATCATTTTGGATATCATTTTTATTTTATTTTCTTGTCTAACAAGATAGCTTAAATCTACGCACAGCTTTCTATCCAGCTTTAACCGAGTACCTCTGTTCCGACAGACAGAAACAAAACACCCGCCCTTGACTACCGCATCACCGCCATCCATCCCGCGCCCTCATTATGGACGAGAAGCATCAGCATCAGCATCAACCGCAAATCATGGCATCTCCTCGGCGCTACCGCGCCCGTGAGCTGCTGCTCGTCATCATGTGTTTCTTCGTGGGCGTTCACCTCTGGACACACTCCGCCGCAGTGCCCTTTCTGCCACAACAAGCTGCCGAGTTTCTCGCGCCGACACAAGAAGGCAGCGTCAATGGCCTCGTCCCGTTTGAAGCGCACATCATCAGCAAGTGTCCTGATACCAGGGTATGCGAAGAATCGACGCGACTATTCCTATGCTCTATCTTGTCTAATGTCTTTCTCTATAGCACGCTCTCCGCAACTTGATCTTGCCCGTCATGCAGAAAATCCACGACAAGGTCGATTTCAAGCTCTCGTACATTGGCAAGTATGTCAACCCAACTCTCCCATATCCATGGCATCTCACAATCATGTCTATCACCAACATCTAGCATTCATGCTAACAAACTGGCACCCAGGCCCACTGCCAACGGCGGCGTCGACTGCAAGCACGGTCCCTCCGAGTGCATCGGCAACATCATCGAACTCTGCGCCCACGAGCTGTATCCCGACCCCAAGATCTACCTGGGCTTTGTCATGTGCCTGACCAAGGATTACCCCCAAATCCCCGATCGCACGCTCATCGAAGACTGCGCCCTCGAGCACGCCATCGACTTCAACAAGCTCAACGAATGCGCCGCCCGCGACGAGACCGCCCACGGCATAGAGCTGCTGCGAAACAGCGTCCAGCGGTCTGCCGAGGTACACCTCCCCTTACAGACCGCGAGAGTGATCGGAAAGATGCCATGACAAATGAATCTAACGAATTATTCTAGGCCAACGTGACGATTAGCTGCACCATCAGACTCAACAACGAAGTCTACTGCATCCGCGACGACGATCAATGGAAGGACTGCCCGAACGGCCCTGGCGTCAACGACCTCGTTCTCGCTATCGAGAAGCTGTACCGCTCGTCTTAAGCGGCTCATAGATATCCGTCCACAACTCGCTCGCCTCGCCCAACGTGTAGCTCATCGATAGCGCATCCATGCCCGCCTCGTCGTCTCCCCCCATCACCTTTAATGTCTCTAGAATACTGTCTAGGCCGACGGCCTTACCCGTGGCTTGCGTGGCCCCGGCCTCTAACGCGACATGAACAATGTGTATATGAAAGTGGTAATAGGTCGGTTGATAGTGAACATAGAGCTTCAGCTGGTTCTCCTCGATGCTCGGGTACGTCTGGGTCGTGGCGCTGGTGACCTTGGCCTTGATGTGCTCCAACCAGGGAATGTGCTTCTTCTTGAGATCCCGCAACGACCAAATGTCCCGCCGCTCCACCAGCGCCAGCAGGTGCAAGCCCTCGAGCGTCTTGCGGTCCCAGTTGAGGTCCGGCAGCAGGAGGAAGCCCTCGTCGCCGGCCTCGCCGAGTTTAGTTCTGTAGATTACGTCTTCCACTTCGGTCCTGCCCTCGATAATGTTGAATACCCAGTTTAGTCTCCCTTGCTCCCTCTTTTGCTGCATAAACGGTCGGATGTGATTCTTGTAAATCTCGGGCGTCTCCGTAACGAACCGCACGCCCTGCTTGCTGTACTTTTTGACGTGCGCCTCTGTACACGGATAAATCAAGTTGATCTTCAAGTCGGCAAAGAAGTCGACGCCATTCTCATGTCCGTTGTCGCCATCGGGCTTGACCTCGTTTTCCACAGGCCCCGTTCTGGCCATGCTCCACGCGTAAATGTCGTTGGCGCCTAGATTCCGCAGCCGCGAGAGCGACGAGGGCAGGCCGGCGAGATAGACCTCTGACGAGGGGAACGTGGCTCGCTCGACGACCATGACGGCGGGTTGGTCGTCGATTGTGCCGTGGAGAGCTACGCGGCGACCGGCTTGGTCTGTTTTTTGTTAGTCTTCAGTCAAGAAAGTATTAATGTAAAGATCAGAAGAATGAATCAAGTAGTGTAGCTGTGAATGAGTAGAAGAATGTGGGCATACAGACCTTGGTTGAGAACCTTGAGAAGCTTGAATTTGGGCACCGCCGCCTCGGCCTTGGCTTTAATCTCGGCGTCCATTGCGCGTGAATTGGACAGTGATTCGTGATGTCAGAAGGGGATAACTAGGCAATCCTTAACTCGAAAATGAAATTCCACAAATGAGGTAGAAATTATGTGAAGTTGGAGCACTCAACCGTTGGTAAGGCTGGTGATGAATCAAAGTCAAGTTTTAGTTGCAAGGTGGGAGAAGCTCAAATGCCCCTCCTCAATGGTCGATAAGATTACGGGGTACCGGTACATTCACTGGGGGAGCTGTCAAAGGGCACTCGAAAAGTCAATGGCACATCGATTTCCAATTAATTAACGTGATCCGCCCACTAGCACCTAAGTTACGGCACTCCAAACTCCACATATACTATTTTACATTCTCAAGGAAACAAACATCAAAAAGCACAATCCCTCCCAAACATCGCATCATAAAAACAAAATCGTCACTCACACCTTCACGCTTCAAAATGTCCACATCAAAAGAAAAGGCCATTTTTTGCTATCGAAACTAAGTAGGCAAGTATATCTGAGACAACGCCCCTTGTATGTCCGTGCCTGTACTGTAATACGCAACACCTCAGTGTTATATCAGCGGTAAAATGCTGTTCCAACTCTTTCAGCTTCATCACAACTCCATGCTCAGAGAAATGTAGCCCAGCCTAGTGACAAGAACGATTCCGCTTGCGCGCCATCCTCAAAATCTGGTCAATAAACATTAAGCTAGTTGTTTCATCTCCAGCTTTCGTCTCCAATTAAACATCAACTTCGTCGCTCCTGAAATGGGGTATTTTGAAAAAATAAAACGTTTGCAAATGTATCAAAACGCGGCGCAATCTCTGTCCCGCAATTGGGACATTGTGAGAGCGCTTCTCATGTACTTCGTCAAGAGGAATGTGTGCATCTGGATGGTAATCGGGTGGGTTGATATATGTAACGATGCAACATTTGTCGAAGGGGATAAATATCCTGTCGTTCCAAAATCAGGAGAATCGGTGAGGAGCAGACGAATGATGGGGATATCTATTCATCATCAAACGACGGTGAGAATTTTTATCAAACAGGCGTCCCATGGAGACCGCTGGCTCCAGTATCCGTCGAAGCGTCTCCCTCAATCGTCTTCCTCCAGTGCTCCGGCAGGCAGACACACACCAAGGGGAATGCCTTGAGGTCGCCGTGGCCCTGGGGCGAGCTATCTCTGGGAGCGGACGAGCTCGATACGCCGCTATCTCTCTGCGCCTGTCTCCGCGCCTCCCATTCCTCCGCTCGCTGATCAACCATGAGACCAGTCGCCCAACCGTCATCCCAGATGCCCACGACCTTGAGCATATCTCCACGCTCCAGAGCAAACTCATCCGGAGCCCTCGGCTGGTAAGCCCACAGGACGGCAACCTTTTCGCCAGGGTGAATGTCGTCTTGGGAATAGTAGTCTTTGAAGAAAGGCAATTGCTCCGATTGCTGACTTGCAAGTCCGCCGGGAGATGAGAATCCAATGGGGCTACCAGGGACATCGCTTCCAAGCATAGAGTTACTGGATAGAGAGCCTTGCCTCCTGGATGTCATCGGTGGGCCACGGAGTGATGTATAGGGAGTCTCGGGCTCAGGAGTGTCGCCAAATTCGGATGAGGACATGCGATCTCCAGCCTTGGGGGCATACGGCACCGCACGGCCAGAAGGAGAGCTACCGTGTCGGGAAGGAGAGTTGCCCGAGTGTCCCTCCAAAGCAGACATGCGCGCGATACGACCACCGGGAAGGATTTCATATCCTCGGGGAGCTGCCGCGCCGTCCTGGCTCATGGGAGGTCCTTTGCGAGCCGGGGAAGGCTGGTTGAAGATGCTACCCTGCGCGCTGCTTGGTCGGCGCCTCATCATCCTAATGCAGAAGAACAAGAGAGCAGCAAGAATGACAACTCCAGCAATGGAACCAATCACAATACCGGCGATGGCACCCCCGCTGAGGTGACTGCCGCTGCTGCTAGCAACCGGCTCCGGGGAACTTGTCGGTGTCGAGGTTGAAGTGGGCGCGGTAAAGGTCAAGGTGGCGGTGATATCAGGCAGCTTAACCCCTTTGCATCGAGATTCCGCACCGGCACTGTAACAGCAGGTATCCGTGGAGTTGATGCCGCCGGCACCGCAGTATGAGCAGAGACCAATGGTGCTGTTACCAAATCCACAGTTATCCGGCTCATTATCCACGCCCACGATGCAGCCGCCGGAAAGGGCCTGCTCAGGAAGAGCACAGACAGTGAAATCGGCTCGGATCAGTTTATTCAGGTCACCATTAGGGTTCCCGCATAAAGCTGTGTCGGCGGTGATGTAAGCTTCGCTCTGGGCGTACTCGGCACAGGTTTCGGCGCAGATGGGTTGCGAGTTTGATGCTGATACGCCGCAGCCAGCCGCAGACATCTGGACAATGGAACTGCAAATAACTGTAGTGGTGTAGCGTGCGTACATGTCGCTGGGGTTTGTATAATTAATGTTGTGGCAGCCAAACGTTGACTGGAATCTAGAGGAATCACGGGTGAGTACATTAGGACACCTGAGCTGTACCTGGAAGAGTTGCCTACTTGTCTTGGAGATAGGTGGTTTTGACAAAACTAGTCAATTGAGTGTCAAAAGTCTCTCTATCAGAGACATATCGCAAGAATGAGCTGTAACGCGGGCATTAGCAACTTGATCACCTGAATCCGGACAGGGGCAAGCAGCTCACAAAGTATCGATTAATGACTGGTTGGTGGATATAGAAGCAGCTTGAAAGGCCGGGCATGCTGTCGATCCCTTTAAGGAAATGCAGTCTTGTGCTGAAGCGGAGCCAGAAAGTACTGACAGCATGGCTATTGATGCATTCCTGAGCGTCCATTGTCTGTGTCTCGGCTGTGATCCTCCATTATGGCCACGAGCCCTTGCCGGGCGTGTCTCGCAGGCCATTTTGACGAATGAGAAACTAGCGGTGGCCAAGGAATGCCCAATGAATCCCAAAATCTAAGCGCGCGGAAAGCTGAAATTATGTCTCGATATGTAAAAAGCCCGAAAACTACCGCAGAGAGTCGAAGCAAGGTCGATTCGAGCGAGTCGCGGCGCCAATGCGGTATCGAGATGAGGAGAATACGAGTTTCGTAAGGTGTTGCTGCTGGAACCAGATGCTATAAACGCAAGCTGAAAACAAAAAACGACCGTGGTAACCAAAAAGTCGAAAAAGCTACGCAGTTAAGATTCTAGGCAGCGATTGAATGAATGTCGTGCGAAGTCGAGCAAGATTAGATTAACGCGATGTCGGGAAAAGTCGTGGCGAGAGAAGAGCAACAACCAGGATACAAGAAGCGAAGAAAAATAAAGCCCATCAACAACCACGATCCAGGAAAAGGAAGCCGCAGTCTGTCGTCGAAGGGATGAATGAAAGCTAGCAATTGCGAGAAAAAAAAATTGAAAAATAAAAGAAGGTAAGGCCCAATGGCGAAGCTTGATGCCCGGGAAGGGGTGACAGAAGGCCGGTGAGTCGAAGCAGCGGTTTGGCGGTATCTGCTGCTGGTCCAAGTCGCTCCGTGGTGCTCCGACCGCCTCGAACCTGGCGAATCTCGACCTTGTTTTTCCTTGTCTTTTTTCCCTCTCTTTTCTTTTTTTAATGTCGCGCCCAGGCAGCTCCAAGGTCAGACGCGAGTCGACGCTGGGAGAAGCGACCCCGTGGGCAAGCTTGGCGAGAATAAAATGCACGGAAAACGAGTGGCCTACGGACGAGGAGAAGAGAAAAGAAGAGGGATTCAAGCTTAGGCGAGGCGAAGAAACCAGACGGCTTCCTTGGGGAAACACGAAACTGGCAGCCGAAGCGACCCAGAGAAGCTAGGGCGTGGGATATTAGTAGGGAGGGGGTGGCCTCGAGGTGGAGCAGCAAGCGAGGATGCGAGACAAGATGCTGGTCTAGCGCCAACGATTGAAGGAGCCAAGATGAAGAAGAAGACGATTGTTACTCTGTATCAAAGAAAAAAGAGAGAGGGATAAAGGGAGGTTGAAAGAAAGAAACGAAACAAAATAAACAAAAAGCAGGCTGAGCGGAAGTGGATGCTGCAGGTAAGACTTAGTTGGACTTGGGTAGCAAAAGTAGATGGCTGGAACAAGTTGCGGTGATGGTGTTTTCGGGCTCTGCTCTTTTTTTTCTCACTGCCTCTTTGTTTTGATTGATTCCCAGCAGTCGCAGCTCGGGCCAACGAAGCCAACGAACATCTGGAGTAGCGCCCTTAGCACGAATAGGCACCGGCTGTAGCGCTCGATAGTGCTGGACCGCCGCTAGTTCGGGCGGCATTAGGCAGGTCCTGAAGCTGTCTAGCGTCGACTAGGCGCAGGCACAGCGCTTCCATTGGCCCATTGCTGCAGTTTGAGGTGGAAACGAAAGGGGTCGAAGCTTGGTGAGAGTTTATGCCCAAGCTTGAAGGGAGGTCGATGTGGACTGGACGCTGCACAGGAACCCGAACCCGATCAACCTCAGGTGAGGTGCCACAGATGCATGCGCTTATACTCGAGTGGATTGTGGAAATCTGCAGTGCATCGCGAGTGATCGAAGCGAATCTTCAGCGGGCTCTTGCGGCTCCCGTTCACCGGCCAAAAACACGTACGCATGGAACTTCGTATTGGAGGCCCAGCTCCACCATCGGGTATTATCCAGATTATGGAACATACGAGACCGGTACGGTACAGCGCAGTACATGAGGCTTATGCTGCTCCCTGTCGATGCCGCAGCCATTATTTCGCATAATGTCAGGTACCGCGCGAGTAGCATCTGTCTCGAAACGCAACAACATGCACGACTACCACACCAGTACTCGTATGTACTCTGCGCGAGGGATTCGGTAGTCAGGAACATCGTCTTTCACTCGAAACAGCCTTGCCCTCTCTTTCTCCGACGATCAACAAACGTCCAATCTCGCTCTCGCTAGCACGCAGGAAAGAAAAAATATCCCAACCGTCGCAAATTTGGCGAGCAGGGATTATTGCGGATGGCGCCGGCAGGGGGTGCGAAACCCGCCTGATTTCTGCAGCCCTGTGCCAAGCACGTCTGCAAGGGCAATTGCTCACAGAAAGACAGTTCAAGACAGTTCAGTTCAGTTGAACCGTCGAACATGCTGGTGTCGATAAGATGAGCACATCGGTTTTAAAACCATGTTGTTTGTTTTGTTTCGGTAGTCGTCATTGCTGGGTAGCAACATGACATCAGTGTCTTCAACCATGTGTTGCTGGCATCGCGTGTGTGTATCGAAAGTCATGATATCGACTGGAGTCAAACGCGTCACTCAAAGCCTAAGCAAACCCTCTCAAACCTCTTCTTTAGCATTCATCTCGCTTCCTCGGCATTCTTCAGCTCTGGTCAGTCATAGCATTCATGGTACACTACCGTAGACATTATCAATCCTTGGAGGCAAATCAACCCAGACACTGTAACCAGCCTACCCTGCGTAATTTTGCTCCCGCAGTCGTCCCAACATTCAGCTCTGCCTCTTCTCCACGTGGGCTAGCGGAGCTTCAATCTCGACAGCAGGTCCACTCTCCCTTCTCGTTGCTCCCTGGCAACTCGCGTCTGCAGATAGGCCCCAGTTGAGCTGTTTGTGCGCTGAACCCCCTGCGATCTGTGGGTGAAATCTCCATGTGTGAATGTCGATGACTTCATGGGCCAACCATCGATCGATCCGACTGTGGCTCCATCCGTGCTTCATGTAGAACGAATCTAAGACAGACATTTCCTTACGAGATCCATGCCTTGGTTCATATTACTATGAGTGCACAGTATCTCTGTTTCCCGACTCAAAGGGGGAAAGGGCATCATGAGGTCCCTGCGGTAAGGATACCCGGGAGATAAATCATATAAACAAAACTGTACAAGAGCTACAACATTGTGAGGAAACAAGTACTTCCATGAGATTAGTCGTATGTAAGGCAATTGAATCTTGCAAATTATAGGCTATTGAATATCAGATTCAATACCTATGACTTGTGCTACCGAGCCGGTCTCCATTCCCCCAGAAATGCCTTCATGCAAGCAGCCGCCGTTGCGGCAGCATATCTCTGCCACTTCTTATTCTTATGACTATCTGCATAGTCACACACACTTTTAATCACAACCGTCGGGAAGCTTTCCCAGACACCGGCTCCTTCCATCTCAAACGCAATGGCCTTCTCGCGGGAAGCAATCACGTCGCGATGCTGTCCGGACTTCATGACTGAGTCCCCTGATACAATGACGCCGAAGTGGATCACAGGTTTCCGTGCTTCAAGCATCCCTGTAGTAGATGTGTCTCTATAGTGACCAACACCCCTTGCCTTGTTGACGCGGGCCCGGTATACCAATTCACTATCCTGACAATGTAGCTCCTCACAAGTTGACTCCAGTGCGGCCTCGCAGACATCGTCTTCTGGACCGGCGCAGTTGGTGCAGATGGCACAAGAACCATCTTGATGCTTGTGACGATACGTAGAAAGATATAGCTTGTCGTCTTCTGCCGGATATGAAGACTGCTTGAAGCCATCTTTACCGCAGAGCTCCTCCAGGTGGACAGAAGTCTTATCCCTCAGCGTTTTGCGGCCCCTTGATCCCGAAAGCTTTGTGAGAAACGCGCGAATCTCTGCATTTGGCCGGCCTAGATTGTCCTGTAGGGTATCCCTCCTTACAGCCTTATTCGCATATTGCCGCCCAAAGTCAAACTGGACCAATGCTGTGCTGATGATCACGTCACCGAGGAGGACCTCTTTTTCGTCATCTGTTCCGACTGGCACGCCTCCGCAGATGCCCACAACTAAGCCAAGCCTAATTCCAGGAAAACTGGCACGAAACCCGGCTGCAACGCTCGCCGAGTTCACCTTGCCCATACCCGGCATAAAGGCCAAGACAACATGGTGGCCGCACATTCTTCCGGTAGTATACGCGTTAGGGTCGCCTGGTGCTTTGGAGTATGAAAAGTCCTGTTCGTAATAGTCATCGAAGAGAGCCTCAACAGCATCGAACTCGACCCGTAGTGCGCAGATCAGGGCGATCTGGAAGCCTTCGCGAGAGTTGGGTCGAGAGCTACAAAAAGAGGTTTCGGAATGCGTGATACTGAGATCAGATAAGCTGCTATGTTCACTTGGAGCCGACTCAGAGACGGCCCGAGATGACCAGCTGTGTTGTTCTGGGGTACGTCGTCTCTTGAATCCTGCTGTAAAAGGTTGAGATTCCAAAGATCGCGGGGCCATTTTCCAGGAACGGTCTGTTTCAATCCTGTTGCGGTGATCGGACGCGGGCGGCGACTCTGACCTCTGTCGTTTGTGGGCTGGCCTGGGAATGGACTCTGCAAGGCCCAGCTCAAGTTTGTGCACAACTTCCTTGTAGAGAGTTTTCCGTATTCTCGAGTCCGCACCCTTGCTGTCGAGGTCACGAGATCTCAATTTCTCAGCTATCTTGCGATGTACGTGGAGACAAGCCCTGATGGCTTCGAGATATGAGTCGCTTCTATCCTCTTCGAGGCGATCCACGTAGCTCACGAGCTTAGCCCAGGTGACTTGATTCTGGCTATTGTAGGGACTAATCTCCAAATCGATACATTGGCCAAAGTCAATCTCCAACAACAGCTTTGCAAAGGAAAGCAATGCAGGGTGGCCCATTCGAAAGCTATACGGATCGGCTGTTGCCGGAAGCTTCGAGCCAAATGCCAAATAGGGGAGCCCTTCTTTGGGACCTGGCTTTGCGGCATTCAAGAAATAGATCCTTTTCGAGGTGATGTCGGCGTCGAAGAAGTCCATGAGGCAAAACCCAAGCTTGACAGCCAGTGCTCGTTTATCCTTTGTGCTGAACTTTTGCTGTGACGCCCCATGAATCAATGCGTGGAGATCAAGAGGCTTAAACGCTCCCTTCTCGATGAGCTGGTCAAGAGACTCCTTGGATGAGGGATCCGGCCCGGAAGAAGTAGGATTTGCCCAGGCGCCGAATATCCCATACTTTTCAATAAGAAGCATTAATGCCTTCCCTTGACCGGTATGCTGTCGGATGTCTGTACAGATGTCGGGAATACGAGAGATTGAAGTTTCACCTCTGAATGCTTGGTGAGTTGACACGTAGGAAAAGAAGCAAGTGCAAGTATATAGGAAAAATGTAGGATTGGGTGTATGCACATACATATTAACAGACTCGCACTGCACTTCCTGCCACAGATCCAGCTCTGGACATGGCGAGAGCATAAGTTGCAAACTCGGCAAAACCGATTCCTCGTCGGGGTCCTCGATAAGCTTTAGTAACACCTCATGTGACGATCCGCATCTAAAGTGTTCGAACAGAGTTCCAAGAACGAACGTGGATCGGTTTCGTATTCTAGCCTTCTTCCACATCCGCTTCTTTTGCTGCTTCTGGAGAGGCTGAATGGTTGGCTCCTGAGGTGCTGATGCAGTCAATCTGCCGAGGGTATCGTTGCATTCTGTGACAACCTGCAGACACCTGCCAAGTTCGGCACCGTTGGGAAGTTGGAAGAGGGTTCTGTTAGCACCAATCGCCAGATCAACTGTTTCAGATGTCGACTCTAGAAATGTGGTCAACGCCCGTAAACGCGGAAAGACCATTTCATGACCATGGCTTTGACCCCACGCAAGGCTATTCGACACAAGACTGTCCAATACAAGTCTATCCAGCAACAAGCAGAGGCTCTCCAGCTTTGCTTGGCACTCTTCAAACTCTCTCAAAGTCAGGTTCCGAGGAAGTTCCTGGACTATGAATGCGCGCCGAAGCTCAACCTCGAATAAGTCGGCGTTGGGATCTCTCAAATCGTTGAACGGCCTTGACCGCATGTGAACATATGGCGCTTTCCGGTGATCTAGGAGAGACCCTATGCCACGGAGCAAGCGCCATTCGCTCAACTCAATGAGATATGGCATCTCAGAGATGGAGTGTTGAAGACTCGGGTCGATGGCTTGAGTGACATGCGGAGGAGATGAGGCTCAGCGATAGGACAGTGGGGATGGCAGTTCGTGGTTGGTACATGTAGTGGTGTCGAATCCTTCGTACTGATTGACCCGTGACCGGGATTACAGGTACATGTACTTTTGAAGATCGCCTCGCCTCAAAACGCTCAAATTGGGGGCCGCATCACACAGCTGTTCCTTCCCCGCTTTAGCATGCATGGGTGTTGTTCTCTGCTAGGTAAATAACGACTTTAACCTCAACTCGTCTATCTACATCTAGCAACCGATGCAGAACATGAAATTTGCAGCAGCATGCCAGCTACTTCCGAGGGCGAAGACCTCCTCTACAATTTAGCCTATGAGTGTGAAGGTCTCTTCTACCAGCTGCAAGAAGCCTTTCAGAACTCGCAGTCCGAAGTCGCAACTGTCGAACTATGCGCCGAGTTTCAACAACGCTTCGCAGTATGGGCAGCACATCTCGGCGTTTTTGCTCGAAAGAGTCAATGCCTAGACACGAGGCTCCGAAATCATCCGGATCTTCAAGATCTCGTTGCTCGGTTGTTGGATGTCCTCCGTCGCAGCCTGCAGCAATGTGTGGCCGATACGTCTAGCCAAGGGGAAGGAGAAACAGTTCCAGCGGCAGCTCTGAAATCGATAGACGATACCCTCACTCGACTGAATCGTCTAGGGGTTACCATTCGCCAGTCCGGTCGTGGCAAGTTCGATGCTAGAGCTAAGAAATTCGCTGCGGGCCTCGATCTAAGCTTATTTGCGTTTCTATGTGCCAACGCCGTGCAAGCTTTATATCCGGGTGCCCATCAGTCTCTCAAAGACTATCTCAGCAAATCAATGACAGACAGATATGCGAGGATGCTATTCTTTGGTTCTCGTCATAAAAAACTCGAGACTCGCCGAGAACGACGCATAGGGCTGGCACCCATTCATGAAGTACCCAATTCAGAGACACAGCCAAGCAACCCCATCATCCAGCTGGCGGTGATGCCCAAGAATCCAGTTTTAGCTAACATTTTACGACCGCCTTCTGCACCATCTTTATCTGATTTGTCTAGCGTCAATATGTATCAGATCAGAAATCGCCTCAGACCACCAGACGAGGCATCGACAAGGTTTCACAAAACGTCGTCGATTCAGGTAAACCAAGGCAACTATCCGCGACTACCCGCAACGGAAAAGGGCAGCAGCATCTTCACCTGCTACTGGTGTTCTGAACTACTTAGTAAAAAAACGCTATCTGAAAGCGAATGGCGGTATGTAGCCATTCTCAAATATTAGAGATGAAAGATGCTAAGTTACTCTCAGCCAACACATAGATCGAGATCTCAAACCTTACATATGTCTCTCGGAGGGATGCCCTGAAGCACACCCAGCTTACTCTACTTTTGACGAGTGGTTTACACACATGGAACTGCACGACTCGCGATGGCATCAGCAAATTTACCTGACATCTAGCTGGGTGTGTACCGTCTGTGAATTCAATCAAGACGTTTACAGCAGCCCGCAAGCCTTGTATTCTCACCTGGAAGAATCTCATAGTGACGTTTTCACAAACGAGCAACTCCGGGCCATTTCACGACAGAGCAAAACAGAAGAGCCGAGAGCTTCAGACGACTGCCTTCTTTGCTGTTTTGAAGTGCAAGACAAAGGGAACATCGGCTCGTCAGTGTTCCCTAAACGACGAAAAGGGCAGCCGAAGCAAGAAGCTAGCAAAAGTGCTAGGAAGACTTTGGAAATGACAAGTCCTAATCCTCACAACCCAGATTTGGACCTCTCTGACAACTCTACCGACTCGGACGACATGAGTTCTCATCAGGATAGAAGACAGCGCGACAAAGACCGTTCCAAGGCTGTAGCTAGGCATGTTGCGGTACATTTACAAGTACTGATGCTTTTAACCCTACGCTTCGCCGCAGCCTTGGAACATGATGATGAGGACCTGGATGATGGCACCAAGAGTGATTCCGTCAATATCGATGAAGGAAACAGCGCCTCAATTGGCGGTACTGATCTAGGAAAACTATCTCACATCGCCTCCGAGGTAGACGTCATAATGAAAGATGGAGCAGATGGGAACGACGCGAACCAGGCGGAGGGCGCCATGGAGCTAGATGACGACGTGGATAATAACATCGCGGACGAAAGTGTCCCAGTTCCTGACACAGATTTTGATCTCAATTTCGTCCCAAGGCAATACGATGACCTCGAAGCCAAGGATGATGAGTTTTTAAACATGGTCATTGAGTCTGGAGCCTACCAGTCTTGGCGAAGCGACTTGGTGGACATCACGGATATTATCTGCGTGTTGTATCCGCACTCGGAGATTGCTGGCAAGGAGGCCCAGCAGCTGGCCATGAGCGGATCACCATACATCATCGGTAAGAACGAGGCCGACGGTTTTGGTAAGACGAGGCTCACAGTTTTATAGCTAAAAAAGATCTGGAGAACCACCCGAGCCTCTTCGAGCCTGACACCACAAGCTATGGTGACTACGCCATTTTACTACGGCTGTCAAGCCAAACTAAAATCCCTGCAGCTGGTTTTGCCTTTGGAAGACATCCTAACAGGTGTGATATTGCCTTCGTTAATGATCCGCTGCGGAGAATCAGCAACATGCATTTCCGGATATACGTCAATGAGTACGGCATGGTTATGATTGAAGATATGTCTACTAATGGCACTCTCATCAACAAAAACCTTCTGACTTCTCACACAAAATCCTCTAATAAACGACCCATTTCATCGGGGTTAAGCTCTGGAGATATTGTTTGTCTCCTTCTTCACAATGATATGAACGATCTTTCTTTCCGAGTTCAAATACCGCACCGAGATAATGAACAAGAGGCGGCATATGCGCATCGGGTAAGGGAATACTTTGCTCGCTATGCCTCACAGGGTGAGATCATCACCGGGCGGGGAGGTTTACCTTCTGACATGGACGTCGTTTTGGAAGCCGCAGATAAATCTTATCGCGAGTCCATGATAGCGCAAAGGACTGCTTCCAATGAGATCTCGTCTCGCAAAAACTCTCTTAACGAATCGGTGGTGGACAAATGGCAGCGGCAATCAGCCGATGAAGTGGTTATTATCGAGACACCGCTTGATGAAGAGGACCAGGAGGAGTACCATGACAACCCTAATGCAGATGTTAGAATCGACAACGAGATATATCCGGATGATGTCCAAAGTATGAGGATTACTCGAGAGCCTACTGATGCGTCAGGGCCCAGATCCAGGGATCCTTCTTCCGAGCGCGATCGGCCTATATTGAATCTCGTCCGTCCCACTCCGGCTGCCAGTCCTGCCCCTATAACCTCTCAACCGTCGAACGAAGATACAGAAAAGCCTGACATGATTCTCGAAGAAATGGACACTCTGCTCATCAAACGCATGAGGGAGTTACAGACGCAGCCGTTTAACTCCTGGGTGTTCGACAATTACTGGGAAGCTGTAACGTCCCTCCAGCAAGAGATTCGCTCTTTTAACCAGAGTCAAGTTATAGATATAATAAACAGTAGGTTGTTTAACTCTTTGTCTAGATTAATCATTTATGGTACTAAATTGTCCTAATTATCTAGATCTCCATTATAGCTCGCTTTTCAATCTATATCAGGATCTAAAGTTCACTTTGCTCGAGCAGGAACCCCTTTTAGATACTCACAAGATGAACACTCCCGCGTATACCGTGACGTTTTGCAAGAAACTTACGGACTATCAAATACGCCTGGCTACTTTGCATAGTCAAATGTAGGTCTTCAGATTATGAATATGCACGGAATTCGCACTGACATATGATGTGGCTACCAGACTCGAGGAGCAGGAGGCTGAGCCCCTTTCCGAACCAGAGATTGAGGCTGTTCCGCTTGAGATTTTGCAAGTCGACGATCATGATTATAAAAAGGGTATCCGTATTCTTGTACGGCCTCTTATTGATCACCCCAATTTGTTCTTAAACTCTGGCGACAATAATTATAAACGGCTCGAACTCCGCGCTGATGGGGCTTCCCCAAATAGCCCTAAACATATGGTCCTGGCTATAACTCAGGATTTGATAGACGCTAAATGTACAATTAGGCTACCTGGGTCTACTGAAGGTGAGATGGCACGGTCGCCGTTATGGTGCGAACTCTACTATCATGATCCAGCTCGTGATAGCATTGCCTTCTTAAACAGGTCGGATGTGCCTGTCTCACTCAGCCGGATGTCTCATGCTAGCAGCAGCTTGTCACTGAATGAGTCTTATATTATTAAACCGCGTCTCCACAGAAGCCTTAGGCCAGGTACCTTTAGGCTTGAAATGGAAGATGTTGAAGTGCTGGATATTCGGATTTTGGGAAAGCGACCAACTGGGAAGGGGACAGTTACTGAGGCAGCAAGTAAGGCAGTTAGCAACGTAACTGCTGCGTCCAAGGGTAAATCGTCTTCTTCGGTTAAGTACCTAGAAGAAACGGGTGAGGCAGAAGAAGACTTCAGTCCCAGTCTCAAGAGAGTTGGCCATGTGGAATTTGATCAGATTGCAAAGGCAAATGAGGCTAGGAAACGCCAGCCCGTGCAGCCTCCCCGCATTCGTCGGACTACTCCCTCTGCCGCACCCGGGCTGGAACCGGCCTATGGTGCCCGCAGTAGTTACCAGACGCCCGACGAAGATGCAGAGGAAGAAGACATAGAGGCACGACAGCAGGCGTTAGAGGCACGACAGCAACGCCTGCAGCATCGCATGAATGAGCGGCGCCGGCCCGCTACTGCTGTGACCCAAAGGAGTTACCTGACGCTCGACGAAAACGAAGACGCAGAAGAAGAAGACATGGAGGTACGACAGCAACGCCTGCGGCGGCGCATGAATGAGCAAGCGGAGGAAGACGACGAGTGGGAGCCTGCGTTTCAACCGTACAATGCGCTGCCTGCTCCTCATCATAACACAGAGACTACCCAAGAAAATGGTGAAGATGCGCCTAACACTAGCAGTAGCTTTAGAGACTTGGATGGTATGATGATTCCCTATGCTAATTACTCGTCTGCTGCCATATCGATTCCCCCGCCTCTCTCTTACCCTTCTCAACAACCGCAATACGGCCCGTACTCTACCGGTGCCCCTTCGCCTACTCTCCCTATACCTCCGGCCCAGTCATCGCAGCACCGGTCCAGCTCTGGAGCCTGGACCCAGCAGGATGACGAGCAGCTACTGGCTGCTCGAAAGCAGGGCCTTAACTAGTACCAGATTAGAGATTAATACTTCCAGTCCAAGATGCCTAATGCCTGCCGCAAGCGTTATGAGCGGTTGATTAAGCGTAAGAACGTCGACGACTGGGACACTCGCAGGATGCAAAGGCTGGCCAAGGAGTACATGAGCAAGCGTAAGGAGATTTTAGACCCTGTTTCCTTGCTGACATGCTCACAAATATAGATGCACCAATTACACAGTCTGCTTTGGATGAAGCTCTGGCTGAAGATCTGTCTGAATGACGAATCACTTCGTGGCCGGCGATTATGGTGTCTATTAATAGACGTAATGGGACCTGGATGATGTTTCTCCTCATAGTATCATCTGTCCTTATATCGGCATAGCTAAATTGAAACGGAAACAGACTTCATTCCTAACCACAGCTTTCTTGGTGCTTAGACGGTCTTGTAAGACGCATGATAGTATATAAGTTGAATAGAGTCCGTCAACCTCCACATACGACCATAGGTAGTGGAAAATTCGGGGTCTCGTCTGCTCCCCCAGAGACAAGCCACTAACCGGCAGATTAGTAGTTGAGTGGGAGACCATCAGCGAACACCGGCTGTTGTATGTTTTTTGCCTCTCTTTTTTTGCTGCTTGACAGCAAGAGATTGTATGAGATGACTACATGGAACGAGAAGTATAGATGTAGCAATTGCAGCTGTTACTTGACCATTACGATCCAAGATATTAACCAGTTGCTGACAAGCTTCATCTGCTTTCACCAGCAGCGTACATTGATTCTCTCATTTAGTCGGCCAGGAAGTATTGAAGTATGGGATAGTTTATTTTTTGTCCCATTGCCTACGCTTATGGCCAAGCCAGGCGAACCAGACAACAAACACGAGAATTGTAAACGGCGCCACGGTGACGGGGAATATCCACCACTTTCTATAAACTTGCATCTCTCCATCCGCAAAATTGAAAATGGGGGTGCTCAATATCGCCTAGATGTAGACAATTAGCCTTCGTGCTGAAAATACTGTCAAAGATGATGATATTTTTACCGCAATGAACGTGCCGGGCAGAAATAATAGAGTGACAGCTGCAATGGTGAGCATCGCAGCGCTGTCTTGCCGTGCTAGTTCGGCGAGCTCCCGGGTCGATTGGCTCTCTGCTTGGTTGGCAAGATGGTACAACTAATTTTCTGTCAGTAAGTAGAGTCAAATTTATTGTTCAATCATTTCTTACCAAGTCAATCCGAGTTTTGGTTCGACCGCTGTAGTCGGAGATTAAGTAGGTCAATGACTGGCAACTCGAATCCAGATATTCGAGAGTACCGTTCAACGGCATAATGTCTCGCGGCGATAGATTCGCGCAGGTAGTTGTGATCGCATAATATCGTGACGTGCAACTCTTAAAGAACTTCAGAAGCGCAGAATAGTCGGACAGATTCCGTGCCAGTATATGCCAGTCCCGAGCCAGGGCATGCAGCTCATGGATGGATTGGTTGTTAACCTCTGCATGATCGACTGTTTTGTCCTGGAGTCTATGAGCAGGCGGTCTATAGAAAGCATTATCTCACATAGAATCTTACTAGAGCTTTTAACTCTGTGCGCTTCAAGGCAATATCTTTCTGCCATGTCCTCATTGCCTCATCCGCAATTAAGGTATCGATGTAAAAGAAGCGCGTCGTGAGTTTAGCATCCTCGGCTACATCTCCAAGAAACCGCGCAAGCACCGATCCGGGAAGGTCAAGGAAGAAATACGTGGCTGAGCTTTTGGCTATTGAGATTTGAGTGCACGAGTGCTTCTTCTCTTGGGGAATGTATTCGTAGAAAATGTCTAAGTCGTATTAGCTATTACAACGGACTGTGTTTAACACGAGCATTGCAGTACCGAAATCCTTTTGGTATTGCTGTTCTTTGTAATCATTACTATAGCACATGTGCTTCGCAGAGTACCAGTGCCCGATGCCGCAAGTCGCCTCAATGAAAGTGTTGAATAGCCCTGCGTGCTTTCGGAGACATCTTAGCATTTCTGGATTGATAGCAGCGGAAATAATCTCGCCCTGCCTAGGGCTTTTTGTACTAGGAGTGACTTGACGAGTCTCTAATAGACTGTGAATTCGTGTATTAGTTATGGTTGTACGACTGTGAAGGGAAAACTAACATCAATCGTAGCTGTGCTTGTAGTTTCTCTTTCTACAGCTCTAGTTAGTGAGAGGCTTCTAAGAATGGGGAGCCATAATACCAAAAAAATCTCTAGCTCGGCAGCAAGTTCAAAGGCACGATCAATTGCTGAATAAGTCAACTTCAACTGTACACCAAGTGTTGAAGTGCTATGTATTTACTTATTTTCCCATCATGAAAGTCCATGACACGAACTGCAGGCCAAACTCCTTGCCATTGTTCCCTTTCCTGAAGCGCCGCTTCCAGCTCATTGGCGTCGATAACTTCAGGTTGATTCATGGCTGTTAAAGGTGCTGGCCGTTACATATAGTTTTCAAGAAGTAGCTGCCTATTATTATTCCATCTTAGCTTCTCTCTTTTGTGCTATGTGTCCTGGTGTGTATATGCATAAGCTGATTGGCCAATCAAGACGAGACTGTAGTACTGTATGTCAGCAAGATTTCTTAATACTAAGAGAATATGGAGTCGTTGGAGCGATCAGGCGGTAGATAGAATAAGCGAATATTATTTAAAAACGCTTTTTGGGGGGCATAAACTGGCGGTATAATTGATGTTCGCAGAAGGTTAGGTCTGTTTTTTTTTTTCCCTTCTCACTAGCTTGTAGATGAGGTAACTGAATCTAATCTGATTGTTATGATGACAACCAGCTATTCAAGTACCTTATTCTAAATGAGTAAAGAGAAGCGAACAACCTTTCCAGTCGTGTATTCTGGGCCGAAGTCGAAAGCTACTATAGCTTTCCTGGCCTTCCAGATCGTGACAAGGACATACTTCGCATGTAGAGTTGATGACAAAAGAATTACATATTAGGGGCGTATATCTATGGCGCAGTCTTCTCTTTAACAGAGCAGGGTATCGAATCACGGGGGAATAGCCGATAGAAGAAGCATATAGATTTACTAGTAGATAAACGAAAGACTGAGGTAAATACAATTAGTTGCGAAAACGAGAGGACTTGAAAACATATATCCATAAGAGACAACATCCTAGCATGGGATATGCCAGTTTATGCAGCATTGCTTGCATGATCCCTGCCGTCACCGTCTGTTTACTGGTCGACAAGGTTGGCATTGATGGTCTTGGGGTCAGAAGCGATAGCACCCAGTGCATTGACAGCCTGCGTCCAGTTATTAGCAATCGCATTCGGGGGTCCGACCGCCGAGATGCCAAAGTTGGCAGGATCATAGTTGGGGCTCGATGGCTCGGTGAGAACATGGTATCCGTGCCCGGTCATTGCGGCTACCAAACCGGTGACTGCAGCGCCCTTCTCTTCAGTTGTCGTTCCGTTAGCCCACTTGAACGAGCATAAGTAACGATCGTCAACGTCATTGGACTCCAGGTTCGCCTGCAGAAGTCCCCTATGTTTCATTATGTTAGCATATCGTTGCTTGCAAGAAGGTGATTTCCACAACAGGACTCTTTTTTTTCATTCTTCACCAGGACGTGGCGGTACTAGGAGAGAGGGGTCTTGATTTGGGATAGAGACGAAGGCATATGTGTAAAACGTACATGAGTTTGGCAATGTCTTGCTGTCGAGCATTCAGCAGCGACCTCTTTTGCTTAGCGGTGAAGGCTTGAGATGCCTCGAGCATTGCCGCGGCAGTGCCGTACTTGACCTCCCAGCCGCCTCCGGACAGTTGCTTGACAAAAGCCGCATGGACTCCTTTGCCGGTGAAGTCGATTTCGGCGGCCTTGTTAGACAAGATGGACACGTTGATCACAGTTCCTTGCTGAGACCCGTACTGAGCAATGTAGAACTTGACCACCGGCGCAATGGTTGCGACCGTGTTAGGTTGCGCAGCGAACTGGTATCAAAGACACAGCCGATTGTCAGCCTTTCTGTTGTGTTTCTCTCATAGCATATCCCACTCTACGCCAAGGATGAGGGCAGGAAAGGATGGGGGGCAATATGTGCTGTCTTACCGTCGCAACGGGGATTCTTTGACCATTGCTATCGACAGAACCTAGACCGCAAATAAAATTCTGGTCCGGTAGGAAAGCACCGGGGTCAGAAGCAATCTGGTATGTTCCGTCGGGAGCTTGGTACGTGGTCGCATTGCCATCGAAGGTAGGGTTGCCGCCACTGTTCACCAGCTTGAAGGTGCCTGAAAGGAAACCAAGGTTAGCCAGCTGATTCATTCAGGGGGAAGGCATCGCACTTACTTCCTGGCGAGCCAGATTTTCCCAGCGTCGCGAGCTTCGAGTTGCTGATCTTAGTGACAACATTCGAGCCCGGTAGATTCTTGGTATCAACAGGCGAGATGCTTGTCCCTAAACAGATACGCAAATTAGCAAGGCCAAAGAGTCAAAAGGAGGGGAGCGTAGTGTGTTCCTACAAGCATAGTAGGTTTGAGTTACGTCGATTTCGAAGGTGGTATCGCCATTATCAGCCGGGACATACTGGCTTGCGATGATGTTGCCGTAGACAGGGCTGCCACCGTTGTTGGTAACGATGGGGGTGGCGCTGAAGAAAGCAAAGTTGTTGGCGAAGCCGGAGTAGTTGGTGAAAAAGATCTTGTATGTAGTAGACATTGTGAATGACAGAGTCTTCTTTTGAAGGTTGTGAGTAGTATAATATGTTTGAAGTAATGGATTGATATAATTCTCAGTGAGTAGGTTTCTTGGCTTGTATAGTTGAAAGAGAAGGAGGAATAAGAGCGAGGTTTCTAGTGTTTATATATTCGTTTTCTGCCCTCTTCGTCCTCTCCTCCATCAACTACTCCCAAGTCTCCTGTAGCAAAGATCATCAATCTTCACGCCCTCTTTCCACTGAATCACATAAAATGAGACATACACGGCACAGGTTACCACGTTCTTCTACCTCATGATATCAATGGCTTCAAAATAGTGATATCATTAATAAAATATTGATCCCTATTCAGGCTTTCAGCTGTCTATCAAAACGCCACTTACACGGGACAATATCGCGAGCTGAGGCCTCGATCACACTGGACTGAGCTGCGCAACGAATAAGACAATGAACATCATCTGTAATTCAGCTGGTCTGTTTGTAATTGTGCATGTATGACTGTTTGAATTAGGTGTGAGAGTACAGCTTTACAGTTTTATCCTCATCTCAATATCAGCTCTGGCTGGTCTGAAAATGACCACTTTTGAAAATGACCACTTTGGTTTTCAAAACTAAGTCTTATGTCTTTCATATTTTTTACATACCTTTCATATTATTTACATAAATATTCAGCCAGCCATTGTCTTCTTGATTTGGATATACCTTGTAGTGGTGTTTTGAATCCTTATGACAGCTGATGAGACTAGGCGCCGTTATGGAAATATTGGCCCGACTTGACCAATGATAGCCGTCCATCCCGCGGCAAAGATTCAACTAGCGACCGAAAAAAGTCTAGCCAACACTTTTTTGAAAGACATTATTACAATGATTCCGGGCTGGTGAAAGTTCAGGATAACTTTTGATTGGTTCGTATGCAAGGGACGGCGATCCCGATGCTTTGTGTATGATTGGGGGCTTGTGATGGATGTGATATTGGTTCGGGATGTCAATATTTGGCTCAAAAGTGGCAAAAGCGGGATTGTGTTATTCTGGGGTATTCGTCATTCAGTTTCCTACTAGACTATGACGTGAATAGGACGGGGCAAGCGGAAAACAGAAAAGGCGAGACGGCAAAATGAATAAGTACATAGGTATGTAAGGTACATTCAGCAATATGGGCACCTAATTATCTCATCAAGTGATGCCTTTGTAGGGGAACGACTCCTGTTCGGCCAGCACCCGAATTTTACTTCATAAATATAGTAGCAGTTACTAGAGAAATGTAGATATAGTAGCATTTATGAAGTAAGTATAGACGTGGTAGTAAATATTAAAGAAAATATAGCTACAGTAACAGATCTGTAACACTTAAAGAACAGGCGTACAATTTGACGCGTGGGCGTTTGAAATCTTCTCAGTCTCGGGTTTTCTGTCCTCCACTTGCGAACTCTCTTTGTGTTTTTTTTTTCGCAGCTCTCGGTTTGACAGTCGTGCATCAAACAGGTTGTTCCTACGGGAATAGGCTAACTGTTCAGGATGCACAAACCGGCAGTAATGGTTTATATCGTAGACGGTCAAGTCAGTAAGCAGGCAATCTTGCCATACTTATAGAAGAAAAAAATCTCCATGTTGCAATCTATTTATATTATGAATGCTATGATAATAATTCGTTCACAGCTAGGAATCGCACCTTTGAACTAGACTGGGGGAATATCGAACTTCACATGAGAAACCCAGCTTGTTCGGCCACTATTGAGACCACGGCGCGAAAAGAAGTCAGGGTTTTGTTTAATTTGGGCGTCGTGGCTTCGTTTTTTCAAGAATAAGGCTACCATAGCAGCTAGAGCTCATTTCATCGCGACAATGTGTATTGACTCTTCTGTCTAACTGTAGGAAATAATTCTTCGTTTATATCATGAAGCCGGGCCAAGCCCAGCTTAGTCACCAATCCTGCATCTATCAATTGATTACGAGGCCGGTCACAACTCTATCAAATCAACAGGTAGCTATCTAAGTCATCTAAATAAGTGGAAAAAGTACATGTTATCTTATATGGTGAACGAATTAGGCATCCCTGATATACTTGATTATAAAGTAAGTCTATCAAGTAATATCATGCCGTGTATCTCGGGTCTCGCGCCATTCGTAGCACAGAGCACATCACCACGCCCTGCAGCTTCGCATACGCTTTATTCCCGCACCAGCAGCAGACTTCCCGCGCATAGCCTCCGATCAACGGCGTCAGTAAATTCTCTTAAAATCGCCGTCCACAAAAGTAAACAGGAAAAAAAGCGGCATCCAGGTATTATAAGTGTAAGTGACAGAGGGCCTAAGTCATCTCCTAGGGGTTACACAAGAAAAGAGGGACTTGAGCATACAGAAACAGACAACCCGCACATATCCACAACACTAAACTCATCTAGCATAGCAAGTCGTATTCTCTCATGTATGCGTATATTCACTTTGTCGTTACAGACCACTTGGTTCCCCCCCATTCTTTGCCTTTGACTCACGCCGATAGGCCGGCCTTCTCTTGGTGTGTGACAACTTGCTCCGGTTCGATCCCTTCTCTCCATTTTTTTCTTATAATCCTTGCCCGACCGTTATAGCCGCAGATGGTTGCATGGGATCTCGTTAACTGTATCTGAGCCGCTGCATGGTGCTGGTTCACGGTTCGCACTAGATAGACCATGACTCTATTGAAGCTATAAAGACGTCAACTCGTGACTCCGTCCGTTCCACATAAATATACTTCCATTTCAATTTCTTTCCTGTTTAAATCGGTATTGGCTTTCATCCCATTAGATAGGCTTTGACTTGCAGCGGCACCACCCACATGCCATCCGTCACGTCGGGGAGCGAGATCCGCGGCCACTTACACGCATCACAAGACCCCCCTCAACCCGCTCCACCCTGGCAGTCCCCCTTGCATCTCTAAACTTCCGCCTTTAGTTTTCCAATCACTTTTCCTTTTTTTAAGTCTCTCTATCGGTAATAATTCGTTGTCTGCAATCTCATTCTCAAGCTGTCTGAAGAGCTGGAGAACTCGAGAGTATAAGCGTCAGAGCGAAATGTCTTCCCAAATGCCGTGGGCGAAGCCGCAACATCGACCGGGTCCGGAACCGGAGACTCAAGTCGATGAAGGTATAAGTCGTAAAATTGACGATAATGGAGAGCAAGGTATCCCAGCAGATCATCTCCTCAACAACAACACCAACAGCCAAGATGCCAAAGACAATATCCACGTCCACGTCCACGTCTCCAACCCCATCGACGACCCTCCCACCGAACACTCCCCCCTCCTCCACCGCCGCAACTCATCATCCTCAACAACCTCCTCCTCAACAGCAAGATCCCTCATCTTCCTCGGCGAATCCTCCCCGACCCGCTTCTGGCTCATCTTCAGCCAGATCCTCGCCGCCCAATTCATCGCCAGCTTCGACAGCACCCTCATGGCCTCCTCTCACCCCGTCATAACCTCCCACTTCAAGGCCGCAAACTCCGCCTCCTGGCTCTCCACCGCGTTCCTCCTCACGTCGACGGCCTTTCAGCCGCTACTAGGAAGATTGTCCGATGCCATGGGCAGAAAACCTCTGTTTGTGATGAGCTTGGCTATCTTTGCTTTGGCGACGCTGTGGTGTGGTCTTGCGGGGAGTATTGAGAGCTTTGTTGCGGCGAGGGCGGTTTGTGGGCTTGGTGCTGGAGGGGCGATGACTTTGGGAAGCATTTTGACGAGTGACTTGGTGCCGATTGAGTATGTCTGTTTGCTTGTCTTTGGCTTTCCTCCCTGGTGTTTTTTCTTGAAACTCTCGCTCTCGCTTATATGTATGTTGTTGATATAACTAATCTTCTCTCTTCTTCTGTTTCCAGACGTCGCGGCAACTATCAGTCATACGTCAACATGTCATTCGGCACCGGCGCCGCACTTGGAGCCGCCCTCGGCGGTGCCATGGCCGAGGCACTTGGCTGGCGGTGGGAATTCGGAGTCCAGATCCCGCCGCTATTGCTCTGCATTGCCGTCGCCGCGGTGGTAATTCCGGATGATATTGGACTTAAGGGTCCGCGAAAGGGGTTTCGGGAAGCGTTGGGCGAGTTTGACTTTAAGGGGTCTGCTTTGCTGACTGTGTCGACGACGTCTGCGATTCTGGGACTGGTAAGTTTGTTCTTGTTTTGCTTCATCCTTCCAGAGTGATCGTTAGACGTGTGTAAGAAGAGAAGTTGACAATATCTCGGTGCTTCACAGAACTTTGGCGGCAACATCTATCCATGTAAGTGACCAACCCCCTCCCCTTTTCAACGGCAGCATATTCTAACAATCTCACAGGGACTCATCCCCTTGTCATCGCCTCCCTCTCCATCGCAGCCATCTCCTTCCCAACTTTTCTCTGGATCGAATCCCGCGTCCACCTACCCATCATGCCTCTCCGTCTAATCCGCCACTCTCCTCGCGCAAACCTCATCTTCGCCAACTTCATCGCCGCCTTCCTCTCCAACTGCATCTTCTTCAACATGTAAGCAAAAATTATCCCCCTTGCATCTCGGTCCTCTCACCTAACACACTCACTATACAGCCCCCTATACTTCCAAGCCGTTCTCCTCTCCAGCGCCACCTCCTCCGGCCTACGCCTCGCCCTTCCCTCCATCACGTCCTCCATAATCGGCGCCTCGACCGGCTTCGCCATCACCTTGACCCGCCGCCTCAAATGGCCCGTCGTGTCCGGCACGGTGTGGTATCTCGCCGGATGCATCATCCTCTGCTTTTTGCACCGCGGCATGTCCACCGTCGTCTACCTCCTCATTCTCATCCCCCAGTCCATCGGCCAAGGCTTTCAGTTTCCGGGCACATTCATGGCCATCCTGGCGTCTTCTTCACAGTCGGAGCAGGCCGTCGTCACGAGCACGCTGATCCTCTGGCGGAGTCTGGGCTTCGTCCTAGGAATAGCCATGAGCAGTCTTGTCGTACAAAACGCCTTGGTGTACTATCTCAATCTCTTCGTCCAGGGTCAAGACAAGGCCGAAATAATCGAGCTTGTCAGGGCGTCCGTCGAGGCTGTCGCCAAGCTAAAAGAGCCGTACAGGGAGCAGGTCGTGCAGAGCTACGAGGCGTCTCTGAGGCTGACGTTTATCCTCTGCACCGTGGTCGCTGCAATTTCGGTTCTCATCGTCCTGCCTATGAAGCTGCCGCGCTTAGCACCGGTAAATCGCAAGTCATGATATAAAAATAGTAGAAGAATGTGCGAAAATATGAGGATAGAAGAGCGAACCTATATACTCTGTATGGCTAGGTTAGAAAACGCGTCAAGAATAGAATGCATTTGACTTGATGATTTGCTTTATACATAAACCTCCCTGATGCCTATCCATTCAAATTACCCCTTCGTAATAGTAACAATAATGAAAAATCCTTTTTTGTCTCCTGATTAATGGTATCCGTTGACGTCTCCCGCGCGCAGAGCTTCCAGCTCTTCTTTGGCTTTTCGGTATTCCTCCTGTGCTTCTCGCTCTCTTCGACTAATAAAGTTTACTTCGTCCCTCAGTGATTCCAGTCGCCTGTTGATAGCCACGTCCTCGGAAATGGCCAACGTCTTGAATCCGCTGAGAGCCACCCTCGCCTTTTCCAAGGCGTCTGCGGCATCTACGACTTTGTCTTTAAGCATCTTTTGCCGCTTCTGGTATCCGCCCAGGTGCAGCGTAAGCTTCTTCTCAAGCTTTGCGTCTTCTTCTGCCGACGTCATGATAGTTTCTTGAACAGCCTGTTTGAGATGATTAGAATCGGGGGCATTCATTAAAAGAGAAATACTGTCAAATAGAATGGCAACTTACGTCAAAAGCAGCTCGCATAGCGGCATCCTGCTCATCTTCATCATCGTTATAGCATCCCAGACCCAAGAGCAAAGAATCCCCTCCAGCTCGGCTCTCAAAGGCGGCTTGAATATCCTCGAAACTGGGCAGTGGCTTGGTTTCTGAGAGAATGCGGAGGCGCGCGTCGGCAAGGAGTCCATCATCAATGTGATCCAGAGGCTGTAGCGTTCCCTTGACCTGAGAGCCGTTGAGCGGGAATTTTGTAGCATCATTGGCCATGAGAGTTGCGGTCTCCACGGCAATCAGAGCCGCAGCAGGGTCGGAAATATCCTTCGCCCTCTTGAGCAATTCTGTCAAGTCGACAACTACGGGTCGTGGAAGCCCTCGCTGTATGACTTGAGTCTGTCGTCGCCGCTCAAGCGCCTCCTCGGCCTCTCGTCTTTGGCGTTCTCGTCTGTCCCGCTCAGCAGCATCCTCCTCCATGGCCTCGTCACCTGCCGCACTGTCTATCTGGTCTTCGGGTATCTCAAACTCCCACTCTGTATCCTTTGGCTTGGGCAGCGCAGCCAGTCCAGCCCGCAGCTGGTTCTGCATTGCCATCTGTCGCAGTTTTAGGTCCCGAGGGGTTGCTCCTGTCATCGACATGCCGTCTTCTTGGTTGAGAGCAAAAGTGTCTCGAGGGGTGCGCATGGGCGTCTGTCCAGGGACAGCACCGTTGACGCCACCGTTTCTCAACGGTGTTGCCAAAGGGTTCGGTGTCGCCATGACCTGCTTCCGAGGCGTGATACCCTCGAATCCTGTTGAGCCAGAACCCTGGTGGAGAGGAGTATTCTCGCCACCCAGCAATGCAGATTGGGTTTCGTTTAGTGCCCGGATGTTCCTGATCTCGTTGGCAATATGGTCCTCCTGCGCAGGCGCTCTGGGCGTTCGGATTGGTGCATTTGTGTTGAGTGTCGAATACGAGTTTACAAATCCTCGAGTCGCATCGTTGTCGCTTTCCTTGGCCATCAAGTTGGCTGCCTCGCCCATCTTGCCCATCTTTACAATCTCCTCCAATTCGCCCTCGCTGACTTGCGGTGCTGGCAAGTTTAGAGGTCGGCGCTTGCTGCTCTGCTCGGCCTCCCGAATCTTTTGCATCTGGCCAGCCTTGATGGCGGCCTTTTGAGATTCTGAAATGCCGTCCTTGTCATTCTTCCTCCTCTTGCGCTCATTGTCTTCATCACCATCGCCCTTTCGCTTATTGGCCAGTTGCTGTTTTCTAGGGTCAAACGCCGCCCGCTGCATCTCATTGCGCGTAAATTCCTCCGAAGTGTCGTAGAATCCAGGGGCAGCTTTCCTCTCGAATGGAATATCCGCATTGTAGTCCATCTCGCCCTGCTTCCGCGTAGTCACCTTGATGTTGATGCCAGCCGTCTTGAGCTCTCGCCGCTTCTGCAGAGTCGCCAGGCGACGAGACTCCTCTTGCTGGCGTTCTCGAGCCTTTCTCTTGGCCTTTTTACCCTGCGTGTTGGCCAGACGGGCACGGGCTTCGCTAAGCATCTCCTTTTCATCTTCGTCAAGATCGATGGTATCAGGTCGAGCAGGTTTCGTCTCTGGATCTGGATCAAGCTCGCCCGGTCGCAGTCTCCTCACGTCGTCGGCACTTGGAGCTTGCGTCTCGCCGCCATCTGGTCCGGTAAGACCAAGGCCAGACGACTCACGAGCCTCGGCCTCGTCAAGCAGCTTCTGGTATCGCTCGAGACACTGGTTCGCAGTTCGGCCGACGATCGGGGCGATGGTGCGCCATTGCGTGGGCATAATCTTGGCGAGATGCAGCAGCTTCTCATCCTCCTCCTTGCTCCATTCGATCTTCTTGATGCTGGGGTCCAGCCACTCGTTCCATCTGGCCTTGCACTGCTTGGGCGTCTTGCGCGCCAGCAGCGACGACACGCGTGCCCATTGGTTAAGGCCATACTTGGAGACGGAGGCCTTGAGGATCTCGTCCTCGATGTTGGTCCAGACGCCTCCCTTGACGACGGGCATTGTGGCGGCGGCGATGGAATTGGTGATGGCGATGCGTGTCCGCTTGCCGGTTTGGCTCCAGAAAATATCCAAAGCCTCGCAGCCGTACCGCGTTGCATTTAGCTGGAAATTGCTGAGTCATCTTCTTGTGTGGACTCTGATTGGTGGGCCACCGACAGCTCAGCGACGGCTACCGAGCTCTTCACCTTGCGCCCGATTGGGCATACTGTAGGCCTAATATTGATGGCTGCAGGTTACCTATCATCCAATGTCTCGGCTCTGTTAGAGGATGCATTGTTAGGGCTCCCCGATCATGCAAACTGTCAGGTACGCATGAGGCACCAACGGATGTCTCTGGTGGCCCAATTGGACCGTTTAGCCAGTATCTCGACGATGGATTCTTTATTTTTTTATCTTATCCCCTGGCAATACCTGCATGACGTGCCACGTAGAAGCTCTGGCTTCCTATCAACGGAAAATATGGAGTCTATCTATTAGTAGTAGATTGCCGGTTGAAGCCCAACATTCGCTATCGGCGAACTAACAGCAAAAGGGCAAAAGAGCAACCGAAAAAACAAAAAGTACCATCTTCTCCTCTCTTCTCCCAGACTGAGCAAATTCATACATCATAGCTCTGCCCTGCTCATCCGATTTCATGCATCTGAAAAAGTCTAACCCGTAATTATTGCAGTGTGAAACTGGTCCATCAAAAGGCTAATCATCCAGACATCATCACAAAGAAACACATACGTACACTTTAGCTTGCGGAGGCGGACTTCGGACTCCACCGACCCCCAAAAGTCCGAATTACCAAGCAAGATTCGCTCTGCCCAACACCAACAAAGAGATAACCAAGGCAGCCCATCCTTTCGCTTTGCCCTCTTAGGACCAAGTCACAACCCTATTCCCAGAGGCGTGTCGCCAGGCCCCGCCCTTCTGGCTCAAATCCTGTACGCGGATAGGCTGGAAGCTGCGGACCGCCTGCAACTCTCGGCCACCGGCAGCGTCCTGGTGGTGGGCGACTATCGCAAGGAAGCGTGCAATTCAGGCACGATAATCGCGGGCGACGCCCAAACGCAAGCGTCATCGATTCGTCGACTGGTTGGCCGATAGCTGCATGCGATTTGCTGCGCTGGTCCGCTAGCCTCGACGACGTGGTTGCCCCGAGTCTGTCTGTCTGTCTATCTCGTTTTTAAAACGACCAACCAAGACAAAGACAGCATTGCGTTGCAGGAAACGAGACAAAACAAGACGAGACGAGACGAAGCAGGAGGAGCACGAGCCTGATGCAGATAACGTCGTCACCACTCACACACTCCGTACGGGGTTCGAGATAGCCAGTCACACCAATCCGCATCTCGCAATCCCCCAGAGGGCGCCAAACTCAGGTTCTGCCCGTCCCATCTTCCCTCCTCCTGGGGCCCCCGGGTTTCGCTTCCGAATCCACTCGAGGCCGTCCACGCGATTGCTATAACACGTTTGACGGACAGCTTGAGGAATTGACTTGCTTTGTTGGTTCCTCGGCTCCACTCGGGCATTCCCCTGTCATTCCTCCCATGCCCCCGTTTGCTGGAATTCTGCATGTAAGCTCTTACTGTACTCCAGAAAATAGCTTTCCAGCACTCATCTCGCTTCCTCCATCTGCAAAGCTTCTTGGTCCCCCTTCTCTTCGTCGTATGTACTACCAAAGTATATAAATATTCACTCCCTTGTCCCGTATAGCCATAGATCGAGCTTCCGGCCCGGCGAGAAATGGGACAGAGTCCAGGCATTTGTCGCTACCATAACTCCGGAGGCTTCCCTATAGTCTTCCCGACCTGAGCGAGCGCGTTCCTCGTATTTGTTTTGTTGTTTTTCTGCCCTCGGACTGGATAATCTTGAGTCGCATCAACACAGACAACTCTTTGTCGCAGTAATAGCTGCATCACACACACGAAATGACAGGTCCGAAACGGATAAGCGACGACCGGAGTCCGAGTCCGACGATTCGCGAAATCGACAATGATCGCGACTCAGACGTCACCGAGACGTCGCAATTGCTCGGTCCCGAAGGATACGGAGCGAGAAAGGACAGCTGGGACAACGACGTCGATTTCCAGCATTTGCCGTGGTGGCGCCGGCCGTCTGTATGTTTCACATGTCCCGAGTGCGGAGACACAGCTTCATGGCGACACAGCATGCATCTAACAAGCGCCACAGGTATTCTGGCTTCTTGGACCGTATGCCGTCTTCACTCTTGCCTTTGGCGGCTTGATTGTTCCTAAACTCAACCTGTAAGCAGCAACCAAGAAGACTTTTTTTTCTCCCCATCATTGGAATATCTTGCTGATGACGGTGTTGCAGAATTCTTGATCTTGTTTGCAAGCAGTACTTTGCAGACCAGCAACTCATCAACCCTCATTTCACCTACAAGCCCATCGTCTTGGGCTCCGACAACCCGCAATGCAACATCCCCGAAGTCCAGCGAAATGTCGCCACTTTCATGCTGGGCCTGAACCTCATCATCGGCGGACTGAGCGCCATCGTCGCCCCCAAGCTGGGCAAACTCTCTGATCGCTACGGACGACGAAAGCTCATGGCTCTCGCATCCTGCGGTGGCCTGCTCAGCGAAGTTGTCACTATTCTCTGCGCAAAGTACCCACAGGTCTTCAACTACCGGTGGATGCTCGTTGGTGCTATGTTTGACGGCATCACCGGATCGTTTACTGCCGGCAGCATTCTCAGCCAGTCGTACACGAGCGACTGCACACCACCATCGAGGAGAGCCGTGTCCATTGGCTATGTCCATGCTTGCCTCTTTACCGGCCTTGCTGTGGGCCCCCTCCTGGCCGGCTACTTTGTCAAGTGGACTGGAACCGTCATCTCCATCTTCTATGTAGCTCTTGGCTGCCACGCATTCTTCATCGTCTTTGTCCGCTTTATCATGCCAGAGTCACTGTCCAAGCGAAGACAGATGCTGGCCCGCGAGAAGCTGGCGAGATCCGAGACCAGTGAAGGCTTGCTTCCTTCTCGCCGGGTTCACAACCCCTTTGAGGCCTTTGAGATTCTGTGGCCCACTGGTCCCGGAACCTCATCAAGGCTGCGGATCAACCTGGTCGCTCTGGCCATTGCCGACACCATCATCATGGGATCTATGATGGCCGTGGGCAACTGCTTGATGCTGTACAGCGAATACATGTTTGGATGGGGCACCTTTGAGACGTCCCGCTTCATCTCGTTACTGTCCATGATCCGCGTTGTCGTGCTCATGGTCCTCTTCCCCATCATCAACTACGTCTTCCGCATCCGACCAGCAGCTCAACGACGACGCGAGTCTGGGGCACCTGCGGTAGAGGCGAACACGGGAGCGGATACCCTGGACATTTGGCTTCTTCGCTTCGCTCTGACATCAGACGTGCTTGGCTGTATTGGATACACCCTCTCCCGGAACCAGCACCTCTTCTTCGCCAGCGGAATGGTCACCGCTCTTGGAGGCCTGGGCAGCGCTACTGTCCAGGCCGCCGTCACTAAGCATGTCCCCGCATCACGCGTCGGGCAGGTCCTCGGTGCTGTTGGTTTCATGCAGGCGCTCTCACGAGTCGTCGGACCCCTCATGTTCAATGGCTTATACGCCGTGACGGTTGGCACATTCCCACAAGCCATTTTCGTGCTCCTCGGTGGACTTTTCTGCATCGGCTTAATATGTGCTTTCATCATCAAGCCTCATGGTATGTATTCTCTCAACAAACGCTTATCCTCAGCTCCCCTCATTTCAGCCGCTAACAAATCAATCACAGTCCACTGGGAAGATGTCGGCGAAGAAGACGAAGAACCATTGAACCAAAGCTCGGGACGCTTCGAAGCCAGCGCCGGCCAACTCATCTCCGCCGGCGAGGAGACGGATTTCTTTTAACAAGCGGACGTGTCTGACGATGCACTTTTCGAGGACGGCGCCTGTTCTTTAGCGGTTTGCGGCGCAGCGGTTGGTGGCGAGTATTTCTTTCGACAGCAGGCGAGGCCAATAAGAAGGAGGATGTAGAAACTTTTGGGCATTGTGTTTGACTGGATTTCTTTTGTTTGATGTTGTAAACTGAGCGACTTGTTACTGGATTTTTTTGAGAGGAGGGGTTTTTGTATGATGTGAAATGTAATGCTAGAATACCATTAGAAGATACCAATACACTGTACGGAGCAAGCAAGCAAAATCTCATCCGGTGAATATGACATGGCTTGTCTTATAGCCATTTTAGCTGACTCCATAACTTAGTTGAAGCTGTCACTCTGAGTTGAGAACTTACTCCACATCCAACCCAATCAACACTTCTCAATGGGCGGCCGCTCCCCCGCTCCAACACGTTCTTAGTCTTAAATCTCACCTCTCACATCTCACTCTCACGTTTCTCATCTCACCATCACCCAAGAACAAAAACAAAAAAGGAGGACCCAATTGGGCACTCATATATATCCGCTCATCCTTACCCATGAGCCAATTTCTTCACAACCTGTCTCGTCATTCAGGTTAGTCTAGGAGAAATCTCATCTGAATTTCCCGCAACGCTGAAAACGAAGACATTCAAATCGCTAATGCGCGAGATCGAATAATCGCTACAGACTTATTAGCTTCAAGACTGGCATTGTTCCGAGTAAGCCGATTTGCTGCTCGGCCTTGGTTAGATCGTCCTGCTAGAGCGTTTAGTCTGAAGAGCTTCGGGAAGCCTTCTTTTGTAAGGGGCGTCATGACTTCGACTAACACGGACGGAATGACTATCAAGTTTGGGCCTTTCGAGGTCACGAAGCAGGTATGCATGGGAAAGCCGATGCCAATCCCCTTTCTTCTTCACAAATCACCACAAAATCATCATCGTCATGAAAACACTCTTGTAGCCCGATGGAAACCCAGCTGATTAACATCGTTCTAGGTCTTCCTGACAACTCCGCACTCCTACGGTCTTGTCAATCTCAAGCCTCTCCTCCCAGGCCACGTCCTCATCTGTCCACTCAAACCCCACAAACGCCTCCTGGATCTTTCCCCCGCTGAAACAACAGATCTCTTCGCCACGGTCCAGCAGGTCCAGAAGCTCCTCGCCCGGCTCTACTTCCCGGATCCCTCAGATCTCATGTCGGGCAGCTTCACCGTCGCGCTGCAGGATGGCGCGGAGGCGGGACAAACCATCCCCCATGTGCACGTCCATGTGATTCCTCGCAAGAAGGGCGACATGGGAGAGGCGATGGATGAGATCTATGTGCATCTATCCAGCGAGGAGGCCAATGTGGGAGGAGCTCTGTGGGACCAGCAGAGGCCTCGACCGGGTGGAAAAATGCCGAGAATTGAGGACGCGGAACGCAATGCTCGGACAATGGACCAAATGATTGAGGAAGCGGAAAAGTTCAAGACCGTGCTGGAGGAGATGGGCATCGCGAGTTCTGCCAGGGGAAGTGAGCGGTTGTAAGAGCCCGGATGTCTGTCGGAAGGGAAGATGTTGTGCATAGAAGCGCTGTGTACCTGCATACACGGTGTATGTGTTACCATACCTTAGATGCTGCATTAGCATCCATGGTCGATAGAGATACGACAATTAAACAAGAGCGGCACGTTATCATGTTCATTTATTGAAAACTCGTGCTATTGTCACATTGACAGGCAACCTGTGACTGAAGTGATTGACAATGTTTGTCTCATGCCGTTGAAACAAAATGCGTCCAATTGGGATCGACTGTGGAATGCCTGGGGGTTTTCCGCTCAATTCGCTCAGGATATTAGTATGCATTCATATCAGTTACCAGATGGGAGTTAGGGGTAAATAATTGGACAAGTAAAATTTCATTAAGCAACAGGCGTGTCTTGTTGCAGCGGAGACTTTTTCTTTTCGTTCAGTGTTGTAGCCAATATATGTTGCATGCAACACAACAGCTTCACAACTGACAATGCAGTCGGAATAGCCGATGCTGATCGCGCCCCGAGACCGGCGAACCGGCACTCGGTGAGCCAACACCAGTGCTATCAAGAGCGTTGAAGAGACACAAAGGTCATCCAGGAAGATGACTGAAGCCCCCTTGTTGTCTATCAAGTATCACAAGTGTAGAAGGTCCCGCGTCACGGTTGCTGTTGGCTCCTAGTGGTTCGACTACCGCTTGACCCAATGACTACACGTAAGAGATGCGTCGTCTTCTATCTCACTTCTCAGCCCATCTGATGTTGAAAGGATGCTCCACCCAGTGTGGTCCAGCCCTCGGGAACTAGCGCAATTCGCTCTTTAGTGCTCGCTCGATAGATGCATAAAGAATGGCTCATGCTCCACCCTTGTTCGATTCTTTTATTCCCAGTGGCTTCAAGGTCATGCAAAGAGGGGTGTAAGGTCGTCAGGGTCTCGGCACTGCAGGTGGTGGGTGTCCTTTCACGCCAAGATCCGCGTCGGCGGAGGAGGCGTCCCGGGTCGGGCTTTCAACGGCCTGTTTGCCTCGTCAACTCGTACCTTGTGCGTTTGGATCGCGACACCCGCCTGGGGTGGTTTCCGGCGGGTGCCTTGCGGGAAAACGGTCATGAGGCTGCTAAAACCAAATACTATGCGGAGCACCCCTTGGATGAGCTGGGGGTTGCGAACCAGACCGCCTGTTTGCTCCGGCTGCGACTCGAGACACATTCCAGCCAAGGTGAGCAGCGGGGAGGAAGGAAGGGAGAGAGGAGAGCGTGAGATGTCGAAGAGGGGCACAAGGCGGGGAACAGACGCTCCGGGTGATATGTTGGCTCATGCCGCGCAGATCCGGATGCTCTCAGTTTGCAGCCGGAATCCGCGTCTTGCAGACGGTCGCCTCAGTTCTCGTGACTTCTATGAGGTTCGATGCTCTGCAAAGCTCAAGACAAGCTCATTGGGCTGATGACGCCAGCATTCCCTTTTACTTTTCCATCTTGCCCTTTCGCCAGCCGACCAACTGTAGATCCGGCTTTAGCGCTGGGAAGCTGCATAAGTTATCGAATCGGTGCTGGCGGGAGAAAAAGGGTGTAGCGTGACCGAGCAAAACTGGCGCCCATGGTCCAAGCCAAGTGACATTGAGTAATGGCAACTCGGACCCTTCGCACGGGGATATCCTAGCAGATTTCGTCTGCATGCAAGTACGAGCATGCAACCGATCCCATCTTTGGTTCGACTGTCAATCTAATGTTGCATGGGAAATTTGACTGGGTCGCATCCGACTGTAGAACCACTTCGTGGGTCGGCGATTTGGCGCCAGGTCCATGGGAAGCGGAAAAGAAGGACAACAACACCACTAATTTCCACCTTGGAGTAGATGGATAGTCGTGCCTCAACTGTATAACAGCATAGCAAATCGCTTCCACTAAATTAATTCCGTTGATGGTGACTGATTGATCCGCGCGTCGCCATGCCATGAAACATGGTCATCGTCATTCCCGTCATTGCACCGTCATGCGGTCATCCGTCTCTGCCTGCAAGGTCATGACAGAGAAATTGAACATGCCCGCGTGAAGGTGAGATTCGGCTGTGACGGTTTGGCAGAATCAAGAAGCAGCGCCACTCCGTACAAAGTAAAATTTTGCAGATACGAGCACTGTTGATGCAACGAAGCAGATCGTCGATGAAAAGCGTCGGGTCGTCGGTGCTCCACCGAGGAACCTCCACGCAAAATGCAAAAGTTGTCGAGAACTTGCCATCTTTGGTGGGGTTAGTGAAGCGAGGAGAAAATATGATTGGCCAATTGCCACGCCCAATTGCATGCTTGTGCGCGATATATGCATATACTGTGTAGTGGCGCAGGTCCATGCGCTATCACTCTCAAACTCCTAGTTCGGAGGTGGAAAAAATTGCCAGCCTCCGATGGCCAATAGCAAAGCATGTGATGCCTGGATCCGACAAGCGACACGAGACCAAAGAAACTCCCACATGGTGCAAGGTTGGACAGCGTCGCATTTCAAACTAGGACTGTTCACTAGCTGGTTGATCGCTGCTGGTTAGGGCACTTGGGGCATTGTTTTTTTCTCTCGGTTGCTAGTCGGCGTTGCAAGCAGTAGGCGGCTGGCACGGATTCGCCATTCGGGAAATGAGAGACGAGTTGCTTCTTGTAGCAAGCGAACGAACACGTTTCGCCTCCCCCAGATGTGGCGAATTCGGAAACAATGCATTCAATTGTGAAACTGGAGCAGAATTGCAATTGGCATCAGAATTAGCATCAGAATTACAACCGCACAGTCTTCGCCGTCGAAAACAGCCCAGCTATATGTAAAAACAATGCAAGACACGACAACCAGAGACACAAGGCCAGCTGCTACCGCCCTAGTGAGACCCCTGGGGTGTGACGCTTGCGGCTGCTGCCAGAGGCTAAAGTACCTAAAAGGTAGTTAGCGTGTGGCTCGTGTCACCTCGCTTCATGCATACTGCTGCAGACTGCGCTAGAGCCTCCACATGCCACATGCAGCCACAGAATTCTACATGTCTTAGATGCATGTCTCTTCTTATCGATGCGTTCAGAGCTCCACCCAATATCTTGCTCAGGCACTGTGTCTTACTGTATTGCTCCCACCTTGATAGACGCCGGTAGAAATAGGCCTGCTCCCACCACTTTCGCCCAGTTTCCATCGATTCTGCTCTTCACATCTTTTTGCATCAATCAGTTCTTTGTTCATTCTTATTTGCGGTCGTTGCCTAATCTTGCCGCTTTGTGTGCAGGACTTGGCAGCAAACATCTGTTCAGTGCAGCGAATCAGAGCAAATCCTACCTTTGAACACGCTCGCCTACACAGCATTCAACTTTTTACTCTTCGCGCTCAACTCGACTCTCAACTCGATTCTCAAATCTCGACTCTCAACTCTCACAACCCTTCTCTAGAGACTTTTCAACCTCTCTAGAGATACGCACACCAACACACGCACTCTTCACGCCTGTGCTTGTGTCTGTTGTCGTAAGCTCACACCAAGCAGAGAAGACATGACCCTAACAAAGCAGGCACGTCTTCGCAACCCCGACGACTTCCCGACCCTCCAACTCTTTCTCCTCGGTAAGTTCCGCTTCAATGAAAGAACCAGCAATCCGCTTCGCAACAGAGACTAACCCTCCCTCCTCAGCCATTGTTCGCCTTGCCGAACCAATCGCTCTCACTTCCATCTTCCCCTATGCCTGGGCTCTAGTCAAGAGATTCAAGATCGGAAACGAACAAGATGCCTCCTTTTACTCCGGTCTTCTCATCTCCTCCTTCTCCCTCGCCGAAGCCCTCATGGGCATGTATTGGGGCGGTTTATCTGACCGTATCGGTCGCAAACCAGTCCTGATGCTCGGCTGTGTGGGGACTATGCTCAGCATGATCATGGTTGGATTCGCCTCCAACATCTGGATCGCGTTGGTTGGACGCGCGATAGGTGGACTCCTCAACGGCAACATTGGCGTCATTCAAACCATGGTCGGTGAGCTCGTCACAAAACCCGAGCATGAACGTAAGCTACTCCTCCTTCCAGTGTTTGATGATAAAAGATGGCTAACACAAATTCCCAGCGCGCGCCTTCTCCGTCATGCCCTTCGTGTGGAGCATTGGAACCATCATTGGACCTTGCATTGGCGGAACCTTTGCCGACCCTCACGAGTCCTGGCCCAATGCATTCCCCAAGGGTTCTCTGTTCGAGCGATACCCCTATCTGCTGCCCAACCTGCTTTGCGCTGCTCTCTTGTTTCTCAGCATTGTCATGGGCTTTCTCCTCCTGGAGGAAACTCACCCGGACATGCAGCCTCGAATTTCCCTTCCAGCAGACACCTACGTCTCAGAAGAGACCCCGCTGTTGGAGACTTCAGACGCCATTAAGCGACCGGCAGTCGATTTGCGTGCCGAGACCTACGGAACCATTCGAGGCGGTAGCAGCAGCAGCGGGGAGTGTCCAGAGAGCAACTCGAACGAGATGGCTATGGAAAAGAAGATGCCTACGACTATTTGGAACAAGCGCATCGTCGGCTTCATTATCTCCTTGTGCATCTTCACCTACCACTCGATGACCTACGACCACCTCATGCCAATCTTCTTTGAAGACGAGCGAGTTTCGGTAAATACCTTCTCCAAGTTTGGTGCCCTTTCACTCTTCTATTCTCCCGGAGGCTTGGGCCTTTCCCTTCGAGATGTGGGAATGATCATGGCTGTCAACGGAGCTATAGCTCTGTTTGTCCAAGCTGTCATCTTCCCCCTGGCAGCCGAAAAGTTTGGTGTATACCGACTTTTCCTGCTTGTCACAGTCTTACACCCCATCATTTACGCTATTGTCCCTCTTCTACTTTACGTCCCCGAGTCCCTTCTTTTCCCCTCCATCTACTTGTGCCTTGCTGTACGCAACGTACTTTCCATCACCCTTTACCCCCTTCTCCTTATCCTGATCAAAGGAGCCACTCCTTCTGCGAGTGCTCTGGGCAAAGTCAACGGCTTGGCTGCCAGCGCTGGCGCTGCCTGCCGTATGATTGCGCCACCAGTCGCAGGTTATCTCTACACACTGGGCAGCCAGGTGGACTGCACCGCCTTACCATGGTTTTGCAGCTCCCTGGTTGCCATTTTCGGTGCTGTTCAATGCTTCTCCGTCCCTCGAGATCGTAGTTGTCAACGATCTAAAGAAGACGCTGAGGAACAAATTCACAATGCCACGCCCACTGAAGTTTCAGTTGAGGATGTGGAGTGAAGAAAACGCAATCATAAAATGATTTTTAAAAGAAAATAAAGAATGCATATGAGAAAAATGACGAACGGCATCCTCCTAGTAGGAGCTGTCACATTTTTACAAGACACCCTGCAAGTTGCAGTGGTGAATAAGTTAATTTTGATGAACAGGTTTACGCACGATTCAACCGGCGTTCACTTTCCGCAGAGGTTCAGAATGGATATATACCCAATGGTTCATGTTCAGATTGGTTGGTAAAGGATTCGGTGGAAGAGTACAAATGATATCCAAAAAGGCGCATGTACATAAATTGCTTTGGCGTGTGGATTGCGCATTTGTCGGCGTTTTGGGGGCTCGGAAAAGTGTGTATTTATCCTGATACTTTTTTATTCTCTCTCTTGTCCCCAAAGAATGAAGGGGACTAGATAGCATTAGAGACTAGAAAAGATAGTAATGATGATGCTTGTACAAATACTTATCTTGTTCCTTTGTCTCTTTTTTGTCTGAGTGGTGAGGCGACTGAGACAGTGCTGCCTAGCCATGTATGACACAACGCTGCTTGACCGGAGTACAGAAAAAGTCTAGAAAAAATAAAAATGAAAACACAAATGTATAATAAGTGAATTTTTTGACATGGAATAGAATGGTGAATCTTCTAGAATTCCACGTTGTCATTGAAAAGTCGCTGATCTTGTTGGCAAGTGCAAATTCTGAGCTACTAAATCAAGGCTCCAAGATTTCACACCAAAATTTTGTCACTCATCAAAATTTCAAGCCCAATGCGCCACCCTCATCTTCATTAAAAAAAACACACATTCTTGCGTGCACTTTCAACAACACCAACGAAGGGGGAGGTACATTCTCATATATTCCCCCTCATCGCATAACCTCATCCAGATAAAAAAAAGAAATAATCGTGTGCCCGTTTCAACGATGAGCATCGACCAGCTCGCCGACCACATCGAGCAGGCCATGAGCCTCGCTGACCAAATGCCCGCTGATGGAACTGGACCTGCGCTTCCCCCTCAGCTGGCCTTGAACCGCAACAGGACCGCTGAAGAGGTTCTCGCAGACCTGAACAAGTCGCCGCTGTTCATGACGGAGATGGAGGAGAACGACGACATCGCCGCGCTGCAGGCCCTAGCATACGAAGGCACGGCGCTGGAGAACGCGGCGGACTTCAAGGAGCGCGGCAACGAGTGCTTCAAGGTCAAGGGCTACAAAGACGCCAGCGAGTTCTATGGCAAGGGCATCGCGGTGCTCTTCGTCGAGGAGCGGAAGAGGAGCCATGGTGAAATCACAAAGCATCCCGAGACTGGGGAGCCTGACTCCGAGGACGAGATTCGGCAGCAAAAGGAGATGCTCGAGGCCATGTACGTGAACCGCGCGGCGTGCCACCTGGAGATGCAAAACTACCGAAGCTGCTGGACGGACTGCGCGGCGGCGCTGCGGCTCAACCCGCGCAACGTCAAGGCGTACTATCGCAGCGGAAAGGCGCTGCTGGCCGTGGATCGCATCGAGGAGGCCGACGACGTGTGTGCGAGAGGGTTGGCGATTGAGCCGGAGAATAAGGCTTTGCGGAGTGTCGCAGACGGCATCATCAAGCGTGCCACGACGCTCAACGAGCTGAAACGAAAGGCAGCTGAAAGAGAAGCGAAGAAGCAGCGTCGAGCACTGCTCCTCAAGACGGCTATTGCCGCGAGGGGGATAAAGATGCGGACGACGGAGCAGCCGCCGGAGATGGAGGACGCAAAAGTGAGGCTGCTGCCGGATGAAGACGATCCTTCGTCCGAGCTGGCGTTCCCCACGGTGTTGCTGTATCCGCTTCACTTGGAATCCGATTTCATCAAGGCCTTTCATGAGACGCATTCTCTGGAGGATCACCTAAGTTATATATTCCCCTTACCGTGGGATAACGAAGGACAGTATACTCTTGCGGGAGTGACATGTTATATCGAGACGAAAGAAGGTGGTCTGATCAAGATGGGCAAGAAGGTTCCCCTGCTGAAGGTGCTTGCTGGAGGCAAAGTCGAGGTTGTGGATGAAGTGGTGAGGATTTTCGTACTGCCGACTTCGAAGGCTGAAGGATGGGTCAAGGAGTTTAAAGAAAAGAGGGCAGCAGAGAGAGGAGAGCACAAATGATGTGCTGTGACGATTTAAATGAAAAAACAATGGTTTAGAGATGGCGTTCAAAAGTGCTCTGTGAAAAGATATCAAGGAGGAGGGTGCAAGCCAAAATCAGAGGTGGGAAATATGAATCCATAACCTTAAAAGAAGAGAAGCGAAACCTACATTGAGACTACTACATCTGGTCAATCTTGACGATAACTTGAAAATACCACATACAAAAAAGCAAAACCAGAAACACCTCTCCAAAAGATGACCCAAAAACAATCTGATTGCAAGCGCCAGTCCTGCGGGTATCTTGAAACGAGCAATACGTGGATAAAAATCCCCAAATTACAACATCACGTTCCCGCTTTTGGTAATCCAACCAACCTCATCCGGTTGTTAAAAGGAATGCGCCTTTGGTCGTTTCTTCTGGTGACGCCGTTCAGGAAAGTCGTCGTCCGATGCTTCCACCGCTATCGTAGAGGAATATTCTGCGCCTCGAAGCTCTCTATGCAGACTCAGCAGTGCTGCTGCCGCTCTGAAATGCTCCAGCTCTGGCTGTGACTGTGGCTGCCTCTCTTGGTTTGCTTCCACAAGGGGAGCCAGCGAATACACTGTTCCAGCCTCGTTGTGAGCTCGTCTACGCCGCTTCGGTCTCCATTTCTCAACATTCTTTCTCTCAGATTCGCTCGTCTCGGTTCGTAGGGACACATCGAAGAAGGAACTCGGCGGCTGGAAAAGCTTAGGATCAAGAACAGATCGACCAGTCATGTTCGTGCTCATCCGAGAAAAGGGGTTGACTTCGCGGGCTTCGCATGCCGTACTCGGAGCCGAAGTTGCCATAGGATGCTGACCAAAAGGAGCCTCAGGAATTGAGGTGATCAAACGCTGAGAGCGCGGAGGCTGAGGGCGCGATGGTATTCTGAAAGAGGGCGTTGGCTGGCTTTCCCATTTGCCACGCAGGGGATAGTCTCCAAGCACCAGAGGGCCACGTATTCCGCCGACAGCCTTTACAATTCGATTTCCTTGTCCCTGGCCATAGCGAAACCGTGCGACGTCTTCAGTAGCTTCCATGATGATCAATCGACTGATCACCATATCATTGTAATAAGGAGAGTCGGAAGGAGTACACTGAGAGGGAAACGATGGGCCAAAGAGCGGTATCAATGCACCCGCGATTCTCGTGCAAAAAGTTGCACATACCGCTCTTGCACATGGATATGGCATCCAATACCCTATGAAGGAAAAAAAAAAAAATGAGCATTCCATATTGATACTGGATTCTTTCTAGGCATACCTTGAGCTGACACGGCGCCTCCGGTGATGCTAGGCGATATGTCTCTTAATCCCGGATTTCTATCCAGCATCTGGGAGGGTTTGGTCTAATCACTATCAGTAGAGCACCTAAATGAGTAGTTTAGATGGCAAAGGGAGAGGAAGCGCAACGCCATACCTTTGCATACCCCAAACATTTGAAGAATGGAGTCATGCGAACAAGACCAACATTATAATCCCACATTACGGTGTAGGTTGCCTCGTTGTAACAAAACTCATACTTGAAAACTATAACCAAGTCTCGTCAGCCCCCTTTGTTAAGCAAAAGAAGTAACCTCTCAACAAAGCCTCTTACCTTCGATGCTCTCTCTTCCCGTCTTTTCGAAAAAGTCCTTCTTTGAGCTACTGTAAGGGATATGGTCGCAACTCTGTCGTATCTGTCCAAACGGACTGACTTGGAACCTTTGAACCTCTCGATATGATGCTTGGTCGACATCTTCAAAAGGGGCGAAATTGACTGGGCCCTGTAACTTCGGCTTGGGCATAGTGCCAGCGCTCCCCTGTGGTTTCGCCTTTTGGGTAGGCACCGATCCATCTGTCGTCCCTCGTAATGCTCCTGACGGCAGTGATGTCGATGGTGTTGCCAACACTGGATCAGACTGTCGGAAACCAGGCTCAGGCTGCCCAGACAAAGTAGGATTCAGAATAGAATGCAGAGGTAGCATCTTGTTCCCAGTGTTTGTAGGCATCCTAAGATATGGCTTGGATGCAAGACCAGCGCAGCCAACCAATTCAGAGGCCTAAGTGTCTGCAACAATGTCGAGCAAATGATACCCTTATTCTTGAGAATGGGGCAGAAGGTGTAGTGTATGGTTTTAATAAAGCTCCAAATGATTCATCAGCGGCAATAAGAGCAGTCAAAGGCAGCATGGAGACTTTCAGCACCTCGGGCTCCCTGGCTTGGCAAACAACAATGAGAGGACAGTCACTTTTGACGTAGATTCTGTCCAATAAAGGGACCTGAGCTTGCTTGTCTGTCAACAGCGGTCCACAAATCCGGGGCACAGAGGAGCTGCGGGGATCAAGACATTAAACAGTCAGCGGTGCGGTCACCGATCAGGTGCTTCTTGGATGAAGTTTGCGTCCCAAGCTTCCAGGACAAGGTTTCCAGATTCTGGCGCTCGGATTCTGGCCTTCAGCACGCATAAGTCTTTTACTCCTGCGTTTGCAAATCTCCACTACGGCCAGAGCGTCAAAAGCACTCCGCAGTCGACCCCGGGATCCAGGTACAATTTGGCGGGCCAGGAGATGAGATTCCAAAATTATCTCGCCGCAGATTGCAAAATGTGGTTTCCGGTGTCCCTCATTTACTCTAGGCGGGTTCAACTCGATTCAATTCGATTGCTAGAGATTGGGTTTCGCCAAGTCTGGTGAACGGCAAATGGGCCGCATCTTGTTGCTGCTGGTGAGGACCATCTAGAAGCCGTGTATTTGAAGGTTCAAGATAGCCACCCGAGTTCCAGCCCAGACCGTACCAGGTCTTATCCATACTTCGAACGGCAAACTAAGAAGTAATGCACTACAGCGTTCCCGGTTACGCTACGAAAGCGCAAGAAAAATCGGCATCTCTGTGATCCAAACTCAGGGAGCGGTAACACTTGGACATCACTCTGTTCAGACGCCTGCTCGAGGGCAAGCTAATCTGTCATCTCAGGTCAAGGTCACCGCCACCACTGCAGACAACCGTATTATTGAGTGGGAGACGATGTTACTCTAGATGAGGCATTCCGGAAAATCGCTTAGAAGAGCAAATGGGTTCGACGAACGCAAATATCGGCTGCCGCATGCATTCCAGGGGAGTCACCTGTTTGAATGTCATATTTTATCCGTTGAGAGAGGCGGCTATCGGTACGGGTAGCCGCATCGGCGGCATCACCAGTCAGCTATCCCCCAGTCCATTGCGGCCTTTACGAAGCACGGGAGAGAGTCAGAGGCTGGCCTGTGTTCCAGCTATCCGTTGACATCTTTCCAAGTATGACAGGATACCTTCGAATTGGCCACGTGTTGGGGACGCGGCATCATATGGTTTGATGTCTGCCTTGACGGATAAGTTCTTTGAGCGAGAAAATCTTATATGTAACCTTATTCCTTGCCCTGGTGAGTTTTGTCCACAATGAGATCATCAGAGTTGCCACTGCGAGCGAACTTTGACCAGATCAACAAGACGGACTTGTAGGATGAAGAAGCCGGGAGGTCAACGAACCTGTAGCCACGGCCAACCATACTTCTTTTTGAGTCGACAGTCAACCAAAGCCGAAGGAAGCAAAAGAATCGTGGTTTTCATTCAATATTTCAACTCATTCCAAATCGGAGTCGACGTAGAGCAGTGTGTGCGTACAGATTCGGGGAAATTCTCCGATGATGCACAAGTTTAATCATCTCGTGAATCCGTCTGGGTAGCAAAGAGCCTGAACAAAGGAGTGGTTGAGAAAAAAGTCCGGTTCATTTAATCATACTGTCGATTCAATTATATGTCGGCAACGAGAATTGCTGTCGAAAACGCGATGCGATATCTGTTATCCAACACTGCTGAGCTTTCCTCCGCCAGGCACAGTTCTCATCAGATAACTATGGCGCAGGTAATTTTTGTTGCACAAATTCTCGGCATCGAGCAGACGCATCAGAGGACTCATGCAGCTCTCCAGGACGATTCTGAATCGGGAGTAGTGTGCTTAACGAGTTCGAGTCAAGCTTGATGGGATACCAATTGCGCCTGTCAACGCCTGTTATCATGAATAAGCAGGCAGATTGTCCCGGCCCGATAGCTCGGCATGCAACCATCATTTCCTCATACTATTTATTTGTCCTCATCTCATCACGAAATGGAACGTGGAAGACGGAAGCCCGGCGGGAGTGCCATGCCTCGGCAAAGGCTAATAACCAATTTTAAAGGTAAGCAAGGGCGTTGCGGCAAACGGATGAGGGTATTGGACGATCCATCTCTCTAGGAGCCGCTTCACTGTTTGAAACCAAATAGATGCTAATGAAAATATTAGCCGTGGAATGTCAATCGAATGTTCATGCACGTAGGGAAATATGACTGTCGTTGTACAAAGGTACATCTACATCCGCAGCAGAGACTCTGGCGGGGGAGTTTCATATGATAGCACAGTAATCAAGTCGTACGCGGGACGTCGAAGGAACCTACAGGTATTATGCCGTATTCTCTGTAAAGAAACTGAAGCTATAACGGATGTTTGCATACCTGGATGTAAACGCCCTGTGCTCTGCATGGCACCGTCTTTTTACCTAGGCCACAAGGTCCCAGTCACACTTTCCAGACATTAGAACGGATCAATATTCGAAAGATATATCTCATTCGCAACCGCTGGCTAGTTGGCCCTCGTTTGATGAGGTGAAGAAGCTGGTCGGGAAGCGACTCCATCGAAAGACACATTCCGGAAATTAAGGGCCACCAGTCCAGCAAGGCCATGCAAATAGACTATCCTTAAGCGCTGACCATGATAGAAACGAGGATAATTGCTGTCGTGATTCGTGCCACAGTAGCACTGTCACCCAAGTCAGGCTTTCATGTTTGCTGAACCGGTCAACGAAATTTCCAGGGTAGAGGAAATCCAACAACCAATAACACGGACGTCTGCAACATATCATCACCAACGTGCGTAAAAATCAGTTTTGGTATGTTTGGGATATCATGATGTGATGCTTTTGATCACTTTATTGATTGGACTTTGGCAATTGGACTTTGGTTGTTGTGTCGAATTGGATTCCAACAAACACGCACGTCCTGTTTGCGGCTGACATTTGGGAAGTTGAGTGTTGCACAAACAGTATTGAAAGCTTTGTTCAACGAAAGCCAACAAATTTTAGAAAGACAATTTGAGTGATTCTTGATAGAATCCTTAAAGACTTTGAATGCTTCTTCTTTAGATAAGTAGCAGTAAAACTCGATGTCAAATCAAATGCAAATGGTAGAACGTGATGCCAGGAAAGATGGATGTTTGTTCCATGGCAGGCACGAAGAGGATACTTTGTTTGGTTACTGTGCAGGTACCGGCTAGCGTTTGGACCGCTAAGTGGTACCTTTGTCGCATCTCACTCAAGCCTCATCGCCGAGTACCTTGATAGGTCGCTCATCTCACTTCTGCCTCAGGCAGCAAAAACGCGCTCCACTATCGGATCAGCGCTAGCCCCGATGCGGCATTCTGCGACAAAGCGATAGCCAGGTCGCGTCCATCAAAGGATCGATTATTTGTTTACGCGGGGCTCAACAACAAAAAATTATCACCGCCTTTACCAGCATCGCTCTTTACTCTGGCCTTTCCATGTGACTTGGGCCCTTTTCTAATTCGATCCGGGTCACGGCCGCTCCCTTTTTCTCTTCTTTGCGACACTGCTCGCGAGCCGTTCCAGCCGTTTGGCTCAACTCTCCTTTGTCACAGCCGCGTGTCTCAAGCCCTGCATCATCCTTGTCGACGACTTTATCGAGTACCCTGTTTGTGCGCCCGAGATCATCTACGACTGTACGATTTTCCGTCAGCTCTCCGTTGAGAGATACCGAGGCCATGGATTCCGACGATGACTCTGTCTTCGCTATCGAAGATGATTCCGAGGGATATGTCCCAAAGCCCGTAAGTTACTCCAGGTCCCTCGCAAAGCTCCTATATCGGTGCTGCACTGGGGTGCGATTCGATGCGCCGCTCTGCTGTTGGGTTATGTGATGTGACTTTGCATTTCCCATTCACTTGCGCACGTGTAGCTTCAGCACGGATTCACTCTCGTCTCCTCTTTCACACCTCGACTGCGCCCGCTCGACTCAGTCTCCTCCATCCCCTCCACCCACGATTCAACATACCAACTCTACGCACAGCACTATCATCCCACATCTGCGCCGGCTTAACCTAGTGTGTCTATCCCACAGTGGCTAACGTCTCTACTATAGAAAGCCAAGGCTGCCGCGAAGCCAGCTGCCAAAAAGATGGTGCAAACCACATTAAAATCAAAACCAGCGCCGAAGAAGCGCCCCATCATGGAAAGCGATGAAGACGACGAGGACCCGAGTGCCTCATCTGGCTTCTCCAACACTCCGCCAACCGCTAAGAAGCAGAAGACGGCAGCTCCACCGAAGAAGTCGGGCGGCAAGCCCCTAGCGGAGCTGGAAAATGACAGCATGATCATCGATGACGAGCCCAAGGACGAGCCCAAGGCTGGCGCCAAGAAGAAGACAGCAACGGAAACGTACCAGAAGCTGACACAGCTCGAGCACATCATCAAACGTCCCGATACGTATATCGGCTCCGTGGAAAAGACAGACCAACAGATCTGGGTCTACAACAAAGAGTCGAAGCAGATGGAGTATCGCAACATTACATATGTCCCTGGTTTCTACAAGATCTTTGACGAAATTCTCGTCAACGCTGCCGACAATAAACAGCGTGACAGCTCCATGAGCATGATGAAGGTCACCATTGATCGCGCTACCGGCGAGATTAGTGTTGAGAACAACGGCAAAGGAATCCCCATTGTCATGCACGAGAAGGAAAAAGTTTACATTCCTGAGCTCATCTTTGGTCATTTGTTGGCTGGTTCCAACTTTGATGACAACGAGAAGAAAACCGTGGGTGGTCGTAACGGTTATGGTGCGAAGCTGTGTAACGTATTCAGCACAGAATTCACCCTGGAGTGCCAGGACAGCGAAAATGGAAAACGATACAAGCAACTATGGACCAACAATATGCAGACCATGCACAAGGCCAAAATTACTTCCAACAAGACATCAGATTTCGTCCGAGTCACCTTCAAGCCGGACTACGCCCGATTTGGAATGGAAGAAGGCATCACAGATGACCTCGAGGCACTGCTCTACCGAAGAGTTTACGACATGGCTGGTACAATGAGAGGTGTCAAAGTCCAACTCAACGGCGAACTCATCAAGATCAAGGACTTCAAGGCATACTGCGATCTCTATGCAAAGTCTATTGCAGGCGAGAGGAGCATGGAGGAGGGCGGCAGCCCAACTTGTACTGTCGAAATCGACAAGGACAAGGGCCATCCCCGCTGGGAAGTTGGATTCACCGTATCAGATGGCACATTCCAGCAAGTGTCATTTGTCAACTCGATCGCAACAACGTCAGGAGGCACTCATGTCAACTATGTCGCCGACCAGATCACAGCATACCTCCTCAAGGCGGTGACAAAGCTGAGGAAAGGACATGGTTTGAAGCAGGCGCATCTCCGAAACCACATCTTCATTTTTGTCAACTGCTTGGTCGATAACCCTGCGTTTACATCGCAGACCAAAGAGCAGATGACTACCAAATCTAGCCAGTTCGGCAGCAAGTGTGTCCTGGGAGAGGATTTCCTGAAGAAGGTGGCCAAATCCGACGCAATCAAAAACATCATGGACTTTGCCGAAAGAAAGGCGGACAAGATGATGGCCAAGAGTGATGGTAACAAGCGCTCTCGAGTGAGCAATGCCAAGCTTGTCGAGGCCAACTTGGCAGGCACCAGACGCGGTCATGAATGCACGCTCATCTTGACCGAAGGTGACTCCGCCAAAGGTCTGGCCGTTTCTGGACGAGCCATCTTGGACCCTGACCGTATTGGTGTGTTCCCGCTTCGTGGTAAGCTTCTCAATGTACGAGACGCCTCCATCGACCAAATCACCAAAAACCAGGAGATCCAAAACATCAAGCAGTTCCTGGGTCTCAAGCACAAGCAGGTGTACACGGACACAAAAAGCCTTCGTTACGGTCACCTGATGATCATGGCCGATCAGGATCACGACGGTAGTCACATCAAGGGTCTTCTCATCAACTTCCTTCAAGTGCAGTTCCCTTCACTGCTCCAGATCCCTGATTTCTTCCGGGAATTCATCACTCCTATTGTCAAAGTCTGGCAGGGTCCCAATCCCAAGAAGCCGCAGCGACTCAAGTCCTTCTTCACACAACCGCAATACGAGGAATGGAAGGAAGAACGTGGCAGCGAAATCACTCGATGGCATTACAAGTACTTGAAGGGTCTGGGCAGTAGCAGCAACGAAGATGCCCAGGTATACTTCACCAACCTCGACGAGCACTTGAAAGAATTTGATGTCATGAAGCCGGAGGAGGCGGACATGTTCGACCTGGCCTTCTCCAAGAAGAAGGCCGACGCGAGAAAGGAGTGGCTGGGTAACTTTATTCCTGGAACCTACTTGGATCACTCTGCCAAGACTATCAGCTATGGCGACTTTGTGAACAAGGAGCTCATTTTGTTCAGCATGGCGGATAACATAAGATCCATTCCGTCAATGATTGATGGGTTGAAGCCCGGTCAGCGCAAGGTTCTCTACGCATGTTTCAAGAGAAACGTGGTCAAGGACGAAAAGGTTGTGGAGCTGGCTGGTTATGTCTCTGGACTGACTGCCTACCACCACGGTGAAGCCTCACTGCAGCAAACCATCATTGGCTTGGCTCAAGATTTTGTGGGATCCAATAACATCAATGTTCTGGAGCCCAGCGGTAACTTTGGTTCTCGACTTGCCGGTGGCTCTGATGCTGCCAGTCCTCGTTATACCTTTACCCGCTTGTCTCCCTTCGCCCGCTCAATTTTCTCCTCCCTCGATGATCCAAACCTGAACCACCAGTTTGAGGACGGTAAGCAGATTGAGCCGGAGATTTATGCTCCTGTCCTTCCCATGGTGCTCATCAATGGTGCCGATGGTATTGGCACGGGTTGGAGTACCTCTATCCCCAACTACCACCCGCTGGAGGTTGTGAAGAATTTGAGGCGACGAATGGGTCGTCTTGAGGAAGGCGATGATGAAGAGAAGCCATTTGAGACCATGACTCCCTGGTTCCGGGGCTGGAAGGGCACACCAGAGGCTGCTGGCCCTGATCGCTACAAGTTCAACGGTATTGCTTACCAGAATGAGCAGAACGCGAACGAGGTGGTCATCACTGAGCTTCCCATCCGCGTATGGACTGATGACTTCAAGGCTCGTCTGGAAAAGATTATCAGCGGCGTGGATGGCCCCACCTGGATCAAGGACTACAAAGAATTCAACGACCACAAGACTGTCCACTTTGAGATTCAAGTGGATGAGAAGCACATGGCCAAGGTCCTTGAAGAAGGTTTGCTGGAGCGATTCAAGCTCACTAAGCAAGTGGCGACATCTAACCTGGTTGCGTTCGACACTAATGGCCGGATTCGCAAGTACGAGAAGGTTGAGGATATCCTAGAGGAATACTATGTCTATCGATTGGAGATGTATCTGAAGCGAAAGGTATGTGAAAGGCTTTTTGTTCTTGTGTTCGCACTGACTAATTATGTTGCACTAGAATCACTGGCTGAGTGTCTACGATGCCGACTACCGGAAATTGAAGAACCAGGCACGCTTCATCCAGGAGATTATTGACGGTGACTTGATCGTTGGTAAGAAGAGGAAGGACGTCCTTGTCAAAGAGCTGCGAGATCGCAAATATGAGGCATTCCCCCCAATCAAGAATGCCCAAACAAAGAAGACTCCAGAGGAGGAGGAGGAAGAGGACGAAGAGGGTGAAGAAAGCGCCCGTGACTATGACTATCTTCTCTCAGTAAGTTTTTTCCCCTTTCAACCATTCGAATATCTGCCATTATGCCGTACAACATCTAACACAACTTTCCTTTTCCCAGATGCCGATTTGGTCATTGACCGCAGAACGTCTTGAGAAGTTGAAAGATGCTATTCGGAGGAAGAAGGCCGAGTATGACGAACTGGAGGCTAAGAGTGACAAAGATCTGTGGTGTGAGGATCTCGTCGCCTTTGAGGCTGAGTGGGAGAAATCTCTTGCCCTCAGCGCAGAAATTCAGACCAACATTCGTCGCATGGGCCGCCGAGTATCCAAAAAGATAGGAGCTGGAGGAGGTGGCCGCGGCAAGAAGGCTAAGGGGGCGGACGATGATTATGAGCCGGAGAAGAAGGGTCGAAAGAAGGCAGCGCCCGCTGCGAAGACGGAGACCAAGACGGCGCAGAGATTTGCCGACATGTTTAGCGCCAAACCCAAGGTCAAGAAGGAGTCGGAGCCAGAGGTTGTCGAGTTGTCTGACAACTTTTCTGACGATGATTTCGCCGCCCTCAGCCGGAGCAAACCGGCAGCTGCACCCAAAGCTGCACCCAAAGCGGCCCCCAAAGCTGCGCCTAAAGCTGCACCCAAAGTCGCCAAGGCCTCTGAGTCGCGATCCATCTCTCTATCCGAGGAACCAGAGGTCGTTCCCGTTCGCAACAAGCGAGCAGCTCCCTCTAAGACCTCTGAGTCACGATCCGTCTCGCTGTCAGAATCGGAGCCTGAGGTGGTGCCTGTGCGCAACAAGCGAGCAGCTGCTTCCAAAGCCAGAACTTTGTTCGACGCCGACTCAGATAGTGACGAGGACGATGACCAGATGCTTGGTGATGTTGGTGCGCTGGTCAAGGGCATTGAAGACAAGCCTTCTGGAGAAGCCAGCGCGCGACTCAGCCTGCACACCATGGGCCGACCCGACTCAAGCCATGGCAACACGAGCGCTGGAACCATCTCAAAGCCAAGGGCCAAATCAGCCAAAGCCTTTGATTTTGACAGCCCTGATGAGACCAACTATGAGATGTTAGCCAAGCCGTCGCCCTTCAAGCCGGCCAACAATGATGACGAAGCGTCGGGCGATGACGATGAGTTGGGACTTTCTTCAAAGGGTAAGGCTGCAGCATCATCAAGCCTAACTGCAGCCAAGAAACGTGGCAGACCGGCCGCGGCAACGAGTAAGGCGGATGGCAAACCAACAAGCAAGCCCAAGGTGGCCCTCAAGGCTGCAGTAACAGCTTCGACTCTGTCGCCAGCTGCCAAGAGATATGCTGCCAAGAAGAAGGCCTTGGAAGACGATTCCGACGCCGAGGAAGATGAGTTTGATGAGTCGATTGCTCCAAGGCCGGCGGCCCGGGCGAGACCTGGACGGGCTGCGGCTGCGAACCGAAAGGTTGTCATTGACGACGACTCATCCATGGTGCTCGACGAAGAAGAAGATGAAGAAGAGGAAGAGGAGAGCGACGACCCGTTTGTGGTTGATGACGATGATGATTGAACAAGATGCAATAGCGGCATATGTTGAGAGCTCATGATATTGCTTTCAGAGGCTGGATTCATCGGTGCATAGGTTTATTTTGACATGAATGTTTGTGATAGACAGGGTTGGCCTTGGGTGAAGGTGGTACATGATAGGTCTATCTGGTATTTCGCAGGTTATTTTTTTCTCTTTTATTACAGCATAGCTTTTTTAATTTGCTTATTCTGAGGAATGTAAAATATTGTTGGTCCTTATTAAGTGTTGAAGTGCCTTGATATATACGCGATGTTCTCACCAAGCTAAGCTTGTTTGTATCTCAGCGCCGTTATCGATATCCTTTGTTGGAGGGGCTGATTATTTGCCCCTCCACCCCAGCTATTTTCCTAAGCTCACACCATCTCCATATTACAAACCGAACCTCACATCACAGCTTTATTACCTCGAACGAACACCAAAGCAAAGACAATACAGAGAAACTATTCCTGAAATTTCCGCTGTACGATTTCGGTCTTTTGATCCTCAAACTTAATCCAGCCATGGCTTCGTCCGACGAGCCGCAATCCCTCCGAGCCGTCTTCGAGGCCGCCGAAGACAAGCGCCAAGAAGTCAACGAAGCTCCCAGCGCGACATCCCCCAAATACGCAGAAGATCTCGCCGCCGCGCTGAAGCTGTACACACAAGCCCTAGAACAGATCTCGGCGCTGTCGCTCTTCTCGGCCAACGAGGGCCTGGAAGACGTCGCGACCTCGTCGCTGCCGTACTTGCTCGTGGACTTTTACTTTGCTGAGCTCGTGCAAAGGACGCCGCATTTGGGGCCGAAGGAGAGGCTTCAGGTTCTTAAGAGGGCGAGGGCCTCGTATGAGAAGTTTTTGAGTGCGGTGGATGGGTATGGGCTGGTGACGGGGCCGTATGGGAAGTTGTTGGAGAGGTATCGTGATGATGAGGAGGGGTTTGCGGCGGTGGCGGGGGATATGGCGGCGAAGAGGGAGGCCAAGATTGCGAATTTCAAGGCGGAGAAGGCGCTGCGGGAGAAGCTGCAGATATTGAAGCGCAACCCGCGGTACCTCGATCACGGTGATGAGGAGCTCGTGCGCGAGGTGCATGTTACCAGCATCCAGTTCGCCATTCACAACACTTTCCAGGCGCTCGACTCGCTTAACCGCGAAGTGCCGCTGCTCCGATCCGCGCCCTCGCCAACCGCCGCGCCGAAGTCCTCGTCCGACGATCCCACAGACACGTCCTTCCGGCTCGACCAGCCTCTCAGTCAGCTCCGCGCCGGCGCCGGTGGTCCTTTGCTCTCTACAAAGGGAAAGCCTCTCCAGCCGTTCACGCTCGTGGGTTCTCGCGCCGATCTCGCCCGCGGTGTCTTCCGGCCGGGACATAACCTGCCCACTATGTCGATAGACGAGTACCTCGAGGAGGAGAAGCGCCGGGGCGGCATCCTCGAGGGCGGTACAGAGCCTCCAAAGCAGGAGGTCGATGAAGACGACATGGAGGCCGTTGATCGAGCGACGTACAAGGCGAGGCAGTGGGACGATTTCACGGATGATAATAGGAAGGGGTCCGGGAATACGCTTAACATGGGTTAAAACGAGGAGGGTTAAGAGAAAGAAGAATGTTGACAATGGGCTGACAGTGATGACATATTTGGGCGTGGTTTTGGTCTCTCACTTTTCTGTTTTGTCAAAAGATGTTTGCATGGTTTTTTGCTTTTTTTGGTTTGGAGAGCATGAAGATATTGGATGGGCGAAGCGGATTGGCGATTATTTATGGAATATGAAAAAAACTAGACGACTTAATACTCGACATTATAGAATGAACAACTAGATCAAGTTAAAAAAAATTCTATTAAAAAACCTATTCAGATTGCATCAAATGTCTGCATTGCTAAATGTAGAAACCTCATCCTGTGAGTTGTGCTGTCAATCTATCCATCTTCATAAACTCATCATTCGCAAATATTCATCCAATCATTCTGTACTTCAGCAAAAAGACATCAAACAAACCGTATTCCCGTGATATTATCCCCCAAAAGACCAAATAAAACAAACCCAAAAATTTATATCCAGAGTCTCTCATGTCTTCATCATATCTCATCCCACCCCCCTGACGTGCTCGCATCGCTATCGCTCTCATCGCTCTGAGCAATCACATTAGCCACCGGATCATCAATGTTCATAACATCGTCATCGCCGCTATCGTGGTTACTCCCCGTCGTCGTCACTCTATCCGTCATGACCGACGCCGTCTCCGCATCAGAGTGCAAAGATTCAACCATCATGTCCACCGCCCGACCAGTGTCCTGATGCTCTGCCGGGATCACGAACCTCGCCTCCTGGTAATACTCCGTTCCGTCCATGTCAAAAGACTCAGACGCAACGGAGACATTGTCGGCAATGACGTGGTCGCGGGCATACACAGTCGATATGCTGTCCTGAGCGTCCAGCGACCCAACTACGGTGCTGCCCCTAACCTTCATCGTAGAGAAGTCGTCGGCCAAAGAGCCTGAGACGCTAGAAGTGGTGGAAGGAATCGTATTTCCGGTGTGATAGGCTGGCCCAGGCCCATTCGGACCCCATTGAGCAGGAGGAAGCTCCGTCTCAAACACGCCGCCGGTGCCGTCATTGCAGCCTCCAGCCCAGAGCGGAAGGAATTTCAGCTCGTTGTAATCGAGTGTGAGAAGCATGTGGCGGGTCAGATTCAGCGCTGGCTCAATGTCAAACCGTACCCATGAACTGCTGAACGGCAAGATGGCATCATGAATCTGCCGGTTGAGGACGTTTAGATCAATGAGCGGATCCTTCACGCTGAGAGTCCCTCCTTCAACGCCATTCTCCGGACTCATGAACATCTCAAAGGGGGCCAAGGCCGCTAGTTCTGGGGCCACCTCGACCATCTGCTGCACATGAGCCTGTGCCCGGGCCATCGACCTGGTCGATGATGCATATACTAGAGTCTGCCATCTGGATTGACTGTAGTTGGTATCCCACAGCTCGCCTATCTGCTGGTAAATAAACGGACACAGGAGCTTCTGGGTGCGATTAAACTCTGGTAAAATGTCCTCAAGCCGTTGAAAGTCGTTGGGCAGCACATAGGTAGCCCGGTCCTCGTCCATGGAAATAAGTGCCTGCCGTGCATTTTCAGTGCCCAATATAGGCCTGTTGAAGGCGTGTGAGACGGTATTCTGGATTGACGTCATCAAGTCGCGCAGGGCATCCAAGGCCAGCTTGCCAGATGCAGAGCGATGCTGGATGAGTATACCTTCCATTTTTCGAAGCTTGACCCATTCCTCAACCATCCAGCAGTCGAGGCTATGTTGACTCTCGAATGTGTCAGGGATCAGTGACACCCTTTCAACAAGAGCCCGAGCAGCGTGTTGAACTATGTTTTGCAGCTCGTCATCTAGATTGCCCAGCCTTCTTCCGAAAACAGTAACACGACTCAAATCCCGGTTCGAGTCGATGCTTGTTTCCTTGAGGGCCAGCTCGTTGACGAGTATCCGAAAAGCACATTGCGTGACTTGCACAAGCTCTAGGGCAAAGCCAATCTGCAGTGCTTCTTCCGGGAGGACTTCGATGAACTTGGTGTTGTCGGCATACATGATCCACTGGGCCACTTGATCTCTAATGACGGACGTGCAGTCGAATATCTTTGCCAGGGCGACAAGAGTCCAGACACGGTTTGCCGAGTCGAGCATGACATCGCGTCCCTCAATCATCAGCAGCAGACGGATGATGCTATTGCAGTGGCGCGTGGGGCAGTAGTCGGGAATGTTGCGGTACTCTGGCGTCTCATACGGTCGGTTGATTCCGTGAAGCTGCTTGTCAACCAAGTTTTGCGGCGAGGGCGGGATGATTTTCGGTCCATTAATGGCATCAATGCCATCTGTTTTATTATTGCTGTTGTTGTTGATCATGTTGTTGATGTCTGACGCTGTGTCTCCATTGAAATTCTCATCATGTCTCTGCTCTTTTACCTCTTCTTTGGGGAGCCCCCAGCCGGGAATGGGCGGCTGACCACATGTGCAGACGTCGTCGTGTCCAGATACCAACCAGTTGGACACCTTGTGAAGGGCATTGGAAGCCCACCACTTGATGATTCCGGGAGTGAGAGACAGCTGAGTCATCTGGAAGACGAGTTCATCGCCCTCAGACGGCGGCGTCAAGTCGAGCACGTACTTGATGCCTTCTGGGAGGTTCTTGGCCAGCTTCTTCCGTCTTTGAATACGAAACTGGTAAGTCGGGCTTAACATGTCGGCGAACTTAGCGGAGCCAGTTGCGAGCAGTTTTTTCGAGTGTACACGGAACTTTTTCGATGAGTATGGCATGCCGTAACAGTCGGTTTGCCCCCATTGGCGCCGCGAAAGATCGGGGAAGTCGATGAAGACCAGCGTGTCTCCCTCGTTGAGCTCATGTTCGATGGATCGCAGCCTGCAGACCTCGACAAAGCGAGATGACGGGATAGAGTCCTCGGCCATGAGACCCTTCATAACCCTGGCCCACTGGGAAAGTTGGTGAAACTCGAATTTGTCGTACTCGACGTTTAGCGAACTTGCCGTATCGTGTTGAGGATTCTGAGCTACTCGGTTGAGGAGGGCAAGAAGGCTATAATCTTCGTTATTCGATCCTGGATCGGACACAGGCTCATGAGCGTTCCCAGGGACTACGACGGTATCGTCTGGGGCGCCGCCACTGGCTTGATTCTGCACTAGAGGTACTACAATATTGGAAGTTCTTTGAGTAGTGGATGGACACGGCTCGTTGGCATAGCTGCCCATTTTTCTGCGTTGTGCTATTAGCAATCAATCGTCCATCAGAGTGAATAGCAAGCGCTGTGAAGGGTGAATCTTGGTTGTAGGGTTCAACTACGAAGTGTCTAGACTATACAATAATTTGCAAGCCACAGGGAAGTCCAATGAGGCGAGGTGTAGCTCGTCGCATCGGGTTGATATGAAAGCGCAGACTTACATGAAGAAGAGATGGAGAATGGAGAGTTACTCCAGATTGGCGAACAATCTGGGCTGTGCGAACTGCTGATGAGCCGATGAATCCCCCACAATGCAAGGGAGAAGCTCCCTCGAAGCTCAGACAGCTAAGCTTGCTTACATGTATTGTTGGAGAAGAGAGACGGAGAGAGAGACACACAGACGGAGAGAGCTCCGAAGAAGACGAGGCGATTGATGCTTAACAAGTCGATGATTGAGCTGCGCAAGTTGGACGACAATAAGCTATAGCTATACGAAAGATGAAGAATTTGAGATGCAGAAAGAAGAGATGGAAAATAGTTAAGGCCAGATGACGAAGGTGCCGATGACAAGTCAAAAGAGCTACAGGTAAAGGTCAGGTACCTTATAGTTACAGTACTGTGCCCAAGGTAATGCTAAGCTGCTAACACCAATCCATCAATGCCTTACCGGTGGCCACACAGCCCGCTGCAACCCGTTGAGGCACGTCCACGTAACTGCTGTTAGTCACCTAAAGCGACGGATGCCAGATGACTTGAGTTGCTTCTGTGCCTTTTGGCTGCTGACTGGTTGCCTCGTCTGCCTGCCCAGCGCAAAACGACGAGTCACAGCCCAGTCCAGGGCGATACAGAAAATCTACCGCGCGCTACATCGGGCAGGACCAGCAGCTCCCGCGTGACTGCTGCCGATGCGAGACGGTGGGGTTGACGGGAGCATCTCGTGGCCACTGGAAGCGCTGAGACGGGCCAAGGCTGGTGGCATTGGACGAGGGGTGGTTTGTACCGGGTTTGTATCGCGGAAGTATTTCTTCAATCAAAAGATGGATCCATGGATGCCTTTTCACACAGATGCAGTGGTTGCCTAGCGATCGGTTGCAGTGGCAGTGACTGTGCCGCAGTTGATGTGGCCTTAGGCAATGACTTCTGCCTGCCCTAGCTAAGGCACCTATAAATACGAGGATCGTCAAAAGTTGTATGGATCTAGAGACGTCTGTCTGTTGATAAAGTTTGTGTGTCATTCCAGCAATTGTGGCAAAATGGATTTATGCTACGTGAGACAAGACAATGAACAAGCCAGGAACGGCACCGTTGCTATTTTCTCTTCATTGTTGAGTACATGCACACAAAAAGATACCAGTCCTTTAGTTCTCAACCATTATCACTATCTTCGTCTAGCTATATAAGACAGTTGGTTGGCTGGTTGAGCCAAACAACTACTCGACAACGTTTCGGATGACAACATTAACCATAAAAAGACAACCAAAACGACAAAAAAGACAAACAGCCATGTTTCTCCTCCGGGAAGGCTCGAACTTCCAACCTCCTGATTAACAGTCAGACGCGCTAGCCAATTGCGCCACAGAGGAATGCACTGTTTGATGACTGGCTCGTCTGATTTTTAGGTATATATACGTTATGTAAGCACGAGTACGAAGACAAAAGGTTTCAATTAGTGCTCAAGATGTAAGTGAAACGAGATCATAAATACATGTGTTGCAATTTCAGGAGCAATACGGTTCTGAATAATATTTAACCTTAATATGAGAGTTGTCATGCATTGATTAGTTGAGAAGAGGCTGGAGGCATTCATACTTCTGATAGGCAAGCTGTTACAAGCCGTAATGGAAGCAGAGACTACCTGAGATTCATGCCAAACTTTTCTATACGAAACGAGCACTAAACTGGTGAGGAAAATCTACCAAGCACATATAATAAGCAGCCCTTAGAATTCATTTATCGTTATATCATTTTACCCAATGTTTGGTCATAAGAGCGTGGGGGCAGCTCTGGATGATTTTACAGGTTAATACATGTACCTACTTCGTAGGGTAGCGCCAGTAAGAACTTATACTCCAAAAACAGAAGCTTGAAAGTATGCGCTTCCAATTTCAAAACACAACATCCATCTGCCCAAAAAGGCAGGCCATGCTCCTCGCTGGAGAATATACAAAATAGATCCTGCTTGATTCAATTGGCTGCAATCTGCATCAGATTATGAGCCAAAGCAGCAGCTCAGGTCTGCCGCCTGTGGCTCCACTATAAAAGCTGCGAAGATACAAGAAATGGTCAAAGCTCCGCCAGCGTTTCATTCCATTCAATGAGCCCGAGTAAAGTATCATTGAGGCCTCACAGCCCATGAATGAATCAGGCCTGCTGCAAACAAGAGCCTTGGCAGGTACTCCGCCGAAATCAATTTGCAGGCAGCAATTATCACATGTTCAGAGGACTCCATATTGCGCTCCATCGGATATACGAGTACGGACAGCTTTCTGTTGGATCTCGATGGAGCGGTATTGCAGTACTTTGCAACCCCAAGGCCGTAAAACCAGTCTAAGAAGTCAACTTCCTTGAGCAAGAAAAAAAGGGGGCCAGCTTGATGGATCTCTACCAGGACGGCCAAGTCCGTGTCTTGGAGCTAGATTCCCCTGCCCCTGCCTTTCCAGGGAGTCCCAAATTTTTCTTTTTGTTGACACGGAAGGCAAATGGAAGCTTGTGAGCATGGAAGCACAGATCGTTCTATTGCCTTGTTTACTCGGCACACTCGTCGTAACCAGACGGGCGCTAACCCACTCGATTGCGGAATCTAATCTATTGTGCTACGCGGCCGGGCGCAAGAAGCAGCTTCACTCATTCTCTCTTGGTTGTCTCTTTTTCTCCTCTCTCCTCTTGGAGGCTGATTGGGGCTTGATTTCTTTTCGGCGAGGTCATGGCAATGCACGTGCTGTGCTGGGAGGTGCCTTCGCTCCCAAACAGCCGATAACCAGGGCGAGCGGAGGCGAAATCAAGCCAAACCGGCTCATAGATGTGTCAAAAGTCGACCATCGCCGTTGTCATACTTTGGCTAATGCTACACTGTGGCGCCATCAACACCCAACCGAAGGGTGCCTGCGTTGCAAGGAGCTAACTTCGGTGAACCCCAGCTTGCACTAACGTTAGCTCAGAGAGCTATCAAGGCATCCTGGGCGCCGTGGTTTGATCGTCCCTGTCTCTTGACGTCTTGGAGCGCCGGTCATCTCGATCCCATGCTGGGAAGGATTTCGTTCATTTGCGTAGAGTTTCCGGGCGACAATCATTGTATCAATACGGAAGACGAGAGGTTTGTTGCATGTCATACGTACAGTAGTATTACGGCAGGACTTTTACATGGTGTGTTGGAGGCGTGGGTGAAATGCCAATCTCCCTGTATCATGGTCAGGCCGCCTCCTCCGGATACAGTGTATAGACCATATTTGTAAGAGGGCTGATGGCTGCCCGAGAGGTTAAAATAGAAAACGGGCTGGGTCATCTGTTGTTTATCAGCTTATCAAAGCAAGCTTGACTGCTGCACTCAGCAACCAAATACAGCATCAGAGGCTGCAGAGTTCATTCCAAGTGGAGATGACGTGGCTGATTCCCGTCTCGTTGGATTGCTTGGCGATTGATATACAGTAGCAGCGTTTCGCCATGATACTAGATGGGACCGATATGCTCAAGATGCTCTATCCGGCTCTTTGGGCCCGGGGGTGTCAAGGTTCCGGTTATAAGGCTTGGTCGGGACGTCTGCCGCCTCTCGCTTGGATCCTGCTTGGTTGAAAGCACTGTATGTAGTTATCTCGGCCAATGTGAACGTCTGACCAAGCATCCATACCGTTCAGTAGTGTGTCGCCACCTTTTGCCAGCATCAAGGCAAGGTTATGCTCGCAGTTTTAGCAATCAATGCATTGATGGACTAAGGCCAGTTGGCCAGGAGGGGGTCGTGATGGCGCCCCCAAAAGATAGCTGGTGGTGGTGACGGGGAGAGATTCGATTCGATGCCTCGCGGTTAAAATCAGAAGACGCCAGCGAGCAATGGCACACGAGCAAACAACGCTGCAAAAGCCAATTCCCTGTCCCAACCCTCCACCCGCGTACGAGGCTTTTGGTGAATCTTTGCCCCCCCTTTGGCCCCTCTGGATGGCCAGCAGGCGAGCCACAGCCGCATTGTTTGCAGTTTGCAGCGTGCGTCAGTCAAGTGGTTATGCAGGCCGGCGTCACGCTATGATGAGTGGCGCTGGACGGCAGACGGCATTGGGAGGCTGTTGGCTGACTTGACGCTGGAGCATCTGTGAATTGTGTCACGATCTGCAGTCGGGCTCTCAATGTCAAACATCATGCACTCACTCGCTACGGTACATGTAGCTTGAACATGCAGCAACATGCACATGCACGTACATGCAAGTAGGGTACATGTACCAGAGCTTCACCAAGTTCAGACTTCCAGCATTGAATGTTTTGTCAACAAAAAGACGGCCGATGATTTACATGCTAGTACCAATTGCAATGTCCCCGGCATTGTACTCACACTGGTCTGTCTGCTTCGTTGTCGTGAATCAATCCAACCCAATCCAATGGAACATGAACCATGAAGTCAATGGCCCTTTGCACCGGCCGTCTCGGAAGCCCAGGCCAGCCCGTCTGATTGGCGTCCGAGGCCCTAAGCTGCACCACTACAGCGCTAGCATCCGCTAATTAGGCCACCCCAGGCTACTGCTGTTGGGCCTGCTCAGGTGACCCCCGCGGGCTCTTGCCGGGATGATGCACAGCACTTCGCCCCCCTGTCAGACCCTGGAGCATGGACAAGCATGGCAGCATCAGCTAGATTGAATCCTTGGAACTCTATAAATTGTTTCTCTCGTGCTCCGTCTGCGTACGGCTAGTACCAGTACCGGCAACCCCTGGCTCGCTCTCTGTCCTCCATGTTCTTTTTCTTCAACTGACTTCTCTGCCTTTCTCTTCTATTACCAAATTCATCGCTGGCGGGGGCTTGAAACACCACTGGAGACCATTTCTAATAGTGCCGCTCTCATTCATGCCGACTGCCCTTGCTTTTGCTCTCCTGGCAGAACCACGAGACCCCATACGACCACTCGCCTTTATATTGCCCACGTCTGCTGCTCCTGGTTGAGCAATCAATTCCTCTTCTGCCTGCTCTACCTCTTCTGCCTGTACGAGTACTACTGCCTGTACTTCTACGCCACACTTCATACGAGTACGAGATACTCCAGACTCCAGACTCCATATTTTCACCACAAGCGAGCGACGGAAGCACGGGACCTGACAAAACCCTTGCTCTTCTCGGCTTCTACTTCCCACCCGTCCTTCTAAAAGACGTTCCATCTCCCCAACTTTTCGTCCTTCGGCTGCACCACAACACCTTGCTCTTCACAAATTGCCATCAACCTTACAATGGCACCTCCTGGCGACTCATTCCGCGATATCAAAATGACTGTCGTCCCTCCCACAGACCTCGATGGCTCCCGAGGACGCACACGTGACCGCAACATCCCCAACTCCAAGAACCTGCGCCCGGATGAATCAAGCACGCTCCGGGGCCGGTCTCGTCGACGATCAGTCTCTCCCTTCAGCCTTACTTCTCGAACCTCCTCTCCTGCAGTCAAGCCTTCTGCCAACAGACTCATGCTGCACAACCGCATGAGGGAGAAGCGCCGCGAGCACTGCCCTTCCAGATATGCGTCGCCCGCCAACCAAGACGCCTTTCAACAGCAGCCGCCGCGGATGAGGAGCCGAAGCCGCGGGCCTCGCGTGGAGCAGGAACTTCATAGACCTGTCGATCACCTCTCCAGCCTACGAAACGAGGTGTTCCTTTCGGACGAGGAGACCAACCATGGCAAGGCCTGCTGACATGGGAATATCACCACCACCTACCACATTTTGATTTGATGAGCGCCTGCGCCACTACTGCATATGACCTGGAGGGGAATGATACCTGTAATATGACTACCATGACGAGAGGGACATGAAAACATACACTTGCTTTTAATATTTTACTTTTGGTGTTTGGAATGGGCATTGCATGGGAAGCTACATTTGAGACTGGATTTCTGGGATAATTGACCATGGGTCTTTCTTCTTTTCTTTATTTTTTTTTCCCTTTGCCATTTCGACTGGCAGAGTTGTTTCTTCTTTTTTCTGTTCTCTTTTTAATTACTTACCATTTCTCTTCCCTCGCGTTGGTCAAGTTTGCCATGTAATTGCCCATTGATGATGGCAGGAAGCAAACAAAACCACCCGACTGAGCGGTGTGCTTGTAACTAATAGTGTGCAATCAAAAACTCCATTTAACTTGATATTTGTGTATTTTTGTCGTGTGACTCTCTTTTTAGCCCCTGAGTGACCAAGTCCGTGTTTTCCCTCGTTTTTTCCCTTGCCCATTCTTACTCGGCTATTCGATACCCCGGACCTACCATTTGCAGAGTAGTAGCACTAACAGCTCTAGCAGCTTGTTCCCTTCTGTAGCATTTTCCATCAGGCCATCAATTTTAGGCGGGGCCTCTTATCGTTATCTCTCCAGCCGCGAACAGCTGGCACCAGCTGACTCAGCCGACTGCTCGCCCGTTTCCGAGACCCACCCGGACCTTTGGTGGCTCCTCCGAACCATCTTTTTTGATCAGACCATGATTAAAAGTGTGAGGATGAGGCTGCCCTTGCATTAAACCTCAGGCCCTTTCCCACGCACCTCCGCCTCGGCCTGTAAAGCTCCGGACAGCATCTCAGGCGCCATTGAATGCTATGTCGTCTTTGCAGCTTCAATCCTCAGTCACCAGCTTTTCAGAGACGATTGGCCTCACCACCCGCAGACCCGCACCCAGCATTTGCTCTCGACAAGCATCAGCATCAACCTCGTTTTTACCGTCTGGCTGCCGCCCGAGGCATGCCAATTTGGCCATTGCCGCTTCCTCCATCGCATACTAGCAGGCCGTCTGCGACCCGGGGCGCCTGCTAGGACAAATGCTCGAAAGAACCGCGGCCGCGAGTCTGGAATCATGCAACATCCAGCGTATCATTCCGAAGCCGACCCGCTCGACGAAGCGCGCCCGCCAGCTTCACACAGGCTTCTGGCAGCATGGCGCATCTGCCATTGAGCTGTCCAGCATCTGGCCTGCCGTGGGTCGGATGCCCGAGACGGAGCCTGTCGAGAATGCCACCCGCCCGCTGCAGGCAGGACTGGTCGCCTCGGCCTTTTTGCTAGATTTTCTATATCCAAGCGCCACATACTCGCTCCTACGGCGATTGTATCCACGGCTCCCACGGCCTCCGGAAGGGAGCCAATCTGGCAGCGCTGCAAGAAGAAGGCATTACACTTCGTCCACTGCTACCGCCGAATATGGCTCGCAAAGCTCTGAGAATGCATTCCACCCCGGCACTTCGACCCCACCATCGATGGAATGTCTTTCTTCGGTGGGGAGCCAAGCATTTCAGAGAGATAATGGAGCACCTGTGGCGAGGGATTCACATAATTTCAACAATTACTCGAAAGCGGCAACTTCAGATCAAGTTTCTCACCGCCCAGCTCCCATACGCGCAAAACACACGCCTCGATTGCAGTCGAAGGCGGCGCTTCTACATGACATGCTTTCACACCAAGGCGAAGAACGCTTTCACGATGTTTGGGATTTATACTGCAGGCTGGAGGAACAGCACCAGGCTGAATTCCGCCGCTACATGGTTATATACCTCTCTAAATCTCGCGGCATAGTTGAGATCGGAAGAGCAATTTCACTATTCCGCCAGATTCCCGTGTCCAGCTGGGATGATGATCTTCTTGCAGCGGGTGTTCTGGCGTTTATGCGATCCGGCGACCTGGAGTATGCCATCAATAGATTAAAGGTTGGAATGGACCTCAAGGGCCTAGTCGGTGGTCTTGAGTACGTCTTGGCTGATATCATTGCCAACGAAAAATGGGCCATGCTCATAGGGGTATGGTTGGAATTCTACGCATCTCGTCTCAAGTTCGAGCCAGCTGGTCGACCGGATGCCATTCGTTTGCAACGGCTCGAAAACCTGCCCGGCTTGGACAAGCTATTCTTCTCTTTTGAACAGTATCTCTCCACAGAGGGTATTAAAGCGATGCGGCCAATCAACATCTACGAGACGACGAAGCTAGGTCTGAAAGCTTTACGGCGGAAGATGGCGGAGCTGGCATTGGCCCATCCTTGTCAACCGAGGCAAGCCGCTGCCATCTTGGAACTCTTTAGCGACCACCAAATGTATGAAGACTATTTTCTTCGCGTGCTGGAATCCTGGCGCGGCAAACCCGAGCTTACCTCCAACGTCACTTGGCTATCGGAGCTATACAAGACATATCGCAAACTCCCTGGTGCACATCCGCCAGTCTCTTTACTTCAGCACATGTTTGAGCTACATTATCCAACCGGCGCTGCAACACTCGAGGAGATCTACAAGGACTGGCATCGCGCTTGGGGAGATTTGGATCAGTGGGGATATGAGAAGTTTCTCAAGTTTTACGCTGGCATTGGCGATGTCCAGGCTGTTCAACAGCTATGGGGGCGATATGTGGCCAAGTATCCGCGCGTGTTGAGAAAACCCAGAGCTTTTAGGAGCACAATGAATGCCTATGCGCAGGTTGGCGACATTACCAGAGCAGAAAAGGAGCTTCGAATCATGACGGATCACCATGGAGTCAAGCCGGATCTTGATATTTGGAATACTCTGTTGAAGTGCTATATGAGGGCGCAAGATTACAATAGAGCGGTGGCCTGCTTCAATGAGATTTGCAGCATGTACCGCCCCGACTCTTTTACATACGCCCACATCATGGCCATGTCTGCCAAGAAGGGCGACCTGGAGACTACGCTTGCTTTTTTCAACCGATCTCAAAAGGACCGTGTCCCTGTATCGAAAGAGATGGCCATGTCTTTGGTCATGGTGTACTGCCGCAATGATCGACTGATGGAGGCGGAAAGAATATGCATGGAGTTGGCGGAACGAAATGCAACGAGCACAGCCATTTGGAACCAGCTCATCCACTTCAACGGCATGCAAGGAAGACTCAACAAATGCTATGAGCTGCTTCAGGCGATGAAGTCGTTTGACCTTACATGGGACCACCAGACGCACGAATTTCTCTTGCAGGCACTTGTTAGAGTAGATCAGGTCCAGCCTGCCTACCGCCTCTTGCGGGCTGCTTACAAGGAGAAGCTCTTTCCAGTTGGGCCGGAACATTTTGCCGTTGTCATGGCTGGCGCTGTTCGTACCGGCGATCTTGGGCTTGTCGAGATTCTTGCTACACATTTGCTCAAAGCCGGTCAGGCGATGAACTTTAATGCTAAAGTAGCACTGGCCGAAGCTTCGTTTAGAAAAACGCCATCTTCAAATCGAACCCGCCAGCTTGGCAAGGAATTCGTCGGCCACCTGCGCTCTATGCTCATTCATGAGACCAGAGGACGAGATGCCAACGCTGTTTCGACGCTTCCGAGCGACATTCGGCACCTGAAGAAGCAGACCAAGAGCATTGGCCGCGCTATCAAGCTTCTGGTTGAGCTGCGAGACTTTACGACGGCCGAAGAAGTCATGAATCTATACAGCAGCATGTTCCCCAAGCATAGGGGAGGCGAGCCGTTTCCCCCTGAGGTGGTTTCTGCGCTTATGCTGGGCTACCTGAAGGACAGGAAATTCAGCCAGATACACAGGATGTGGGACGAAACCTGGAAGAGAGTTCTTGTTCGGGCTCAGCGCCGCCAAGCTACGGGAGTTTACCCCGTCCACGAATACGACGTCTCTAGACCGATAACGATTGTAGCAAAGACCTTTAGAGAAGAGAACAATGGAAAGGGCTTGCTTGAATGCGTCCAGCAGGTCACTTCATCTGGCTTCAAGCTCACGCGGAACAACTGGAATCTTTTGATTCGATATCTAGCCGAGATGGATCAATGGGAGCCTGCTATGCGCTGGTGTGAAACCATGCTCATGCCGCGTTGGCGTGGCTGGAACCCAAGCAAGAGAAGTCTTCAGGAGCGTCGTCATCTAAAGAATACTCGCGTGCTCCAGGCTTCCAGTGCTGCTATCCTTAGCTTGCAGCACCAGTGGCTGAAACTTCGCAAGTTGGCTGCCTGGTCTGCTGACGTCTCTGCCAAGTTGAGGGAGATTGAGAGGTTGTATCCTCGTTTGCATTATGCTTTTACGAATACGGATTTCGAACACCTCTCTGGTGGATGGGATGTTAACCGGAAAGCGAGCTTGAAGAAGAGGGCTACCGAGATTCTGAGACCGTTTTCGCATGCTGAGCTTAAGGGGATGAAGAAGACGCTGGAAAGACAACTTCGGTCACAGCGTAGTAGGCAACAGAGAAGGCGTATGAGAAGCCCCCTGCGAGCTGTATCCGGCGTGTCAAGGGGTCGAACTCGTGGTTTGCGGAAATCTGTTGCCAAGGCAGAGAGGACGGTGCCCAAAGACGGTGCAGAACGAGGCGAATGAAAGGAAAGTTGGTCTTTGAGAGACTGAGAGGCAAATGTCTTGTAGTGTAACAAGGGGCGTAAAGACACATGGCACATGACATGTTTGGTTTTGAAGTATTAGCATAGACCTTTTTCGTTTTGGGTAATCTAGAGATAGGGGGGGTGTAGGCTTCGCCATGTACAGTAGGAAATATCACAAGCATGAAATGATGAGCATATATAGAAAAACAAAGGAAAGGCTTTTCTGGCCATTTACATATCCAAGTATGATGTCTATTGTCCATGGGGTGAAAGTTGTACGATAGTAGTGCTCAGACATTGAATACCATAGCACCTGATTATTCCAGTGTCTGCTACTATCGTTATATATTTTTATGATTTGCTATTTACAGCTGATGTCATTACTTATCACTCGCGTAGCTTTCAATTTGAGACGAAGGATACCAGGTAGCAGACTAGTGTTTCCCTAAAACATCTTTGATAAATCCAAACCAAACGGTCCTCTCCTGGTGAGCCATACACATGTCATTCGGGCTGAGATTTTCAAAGATGGGTGATCTAGGCAGCCACAAGGCTTAGACGAATGGTGTCACGTACTGCTCAGTCCTGTAGAGTCCCATGATGTCAGTCGTTCTGTTTGCTTTGATCAAAGGACTGAATCGAACAAAGAACCAACAACAGCATCAAAGCCACGTCCACGTCACGACCTCCTTCACGACCACGGCGGCTAATAGTCACGATACTTTCTCCGTAATCTCTTTGTTCAGAGCTCGTCTTTTGTGGCCATCAATCCGCCTTGTGCGACTCTTCCCTCCAGAACGTCAATCACATCTCTTTGATCAAAAACTGAAATCCGTTTGGCCATCCATCCGCCTTCGTGCGACACTTCCCATTGACAAGCGTATATCTGTGATGGGAACTGGTACATGTCAAGCGGATGACAGAAAACCCGAGACCGAGAAGATTTCGAACATCCTCGAGTTGAATCATATGTCTACAAAGGGAGTAGTTGCTATACTATCTACATTTCCCTAGTAGCTGCTACTTTCGAGGACTGGAGAGCATCGTCGCCGGACTGCCCGAGTGTGGCTCCAGAATCCCAAGAGCCCCTCGAAATTTCATCAGACACGCGTGAGGAGGAAATTCCAGATCAAAAGAGTGCTCCATCACAGGGTCTCATCCTCCCTTCTAAAGACAGAAAAACAAGCGGTCATGCTTATGGTTATGAATCAGGCCAACGGCCGTATGATGATGGCGTCACTACACAACGCACTACACAATCTGCTCTTGAAGCAACATGCCGGCAGAGCATCCAAAGGCTTGCTCTCAGACTGGCCAAGGATAATGTCACTAAGTTGGTCGCGAAACAAGTTGGCATGGAGGCAAAGAAGTCATTTCGAGCCACGAGAAGGCCGTTGTTTCTTGCCCAGACAGAATGTGAGATTGGCTTTCACGTGAAGGCATACCTCTGCATGGGTAAAGAGGATTCTGCCAAAGAAGGGTCGGCTCCGGAATTTGGAATGAACATCATATTCGATCCGAAGAGTGACGCCATCATGTTGTTCAACAGGAATAAAGGGGATGAGCAACAATTTATCACGGTCAGAAAATGGCCTATTTCTAATGCGTGGGTACCAATCAGGATCGGGTCTTCTGAAAGAGCCATGCTTGACCCAGCTTCATACAGCATCTCTTGGTCGGGCAAGCATATTCTCGACATGACTGTCTTCCCACGCAGATATATGTCCTTGGTCCCGCGGCATCTCAAGCCACTGACGAAGAGCAGGAAGAGAGCTCTCGAGGAATTGGCGTCACAGTCCAGCCCCCCGCCAGTCAAGAAGTCCAAGACAAAGAAGGCAAGCGATGGGTCGGATGTCAGCACCGCTATCCAGATCGACGACGATGTCGTTGCTGTAAGCGGGCCCGCAACCAGCAGCAGCTCAAGGTCTAAGTTCAACCTCATCAACGACTTGTGCCATCCCATGGAAGCGCTCAAGCTACATGATGCCATCAAGGTGGTTAGCTCTATCGAGGAGGAAGACTACACACTTGCTCGCAAAGCCGATATAGCGGTTCATCGGAAGTCGCTCGTCTGCAAGGCCCGACACTCGGACGTTGCGGGAGATAAATTGATTGTCGTCAAACTGTTGCGCAGCCACTCGGAAATTGATCATAAAGATGACAAAGTCATGGGTATTGACGTCGTAGGCGAACGCTGGCTGAAGGAAGTAAAGCATAACTGTAGAGTGAGCGAGCACGTAAGTCAAGGCCATCTCCTTATACATGCTGCGTACTAATGCTGTTCTAGCGAGCGATTGCCAGCATTTATGACTTCGACGCAAGGTTTCTGACACTCTATATGGAATACATTGACGCTCCGAGCCTGGATACTCACATCAATGGCGAGAAAAATCCGTATTGCACCCTGGACAGCAAAGACGCAAGACAGGTGCTGCTTGACATGACTGATGCCATCAACTTTATTCACCGCAAAGGCGTCATCCACAATGATATCAAGCCCTCCAATATCCTCTACTCCAAGGAGAGGGGCGCGGTTCTCATCGATTTTGGCTTGGCAACGACCCGATCTGCCCATAACGGCGGAACGCGGTGGTATATACCGCCCGAATATGGGAGTGACGGTAAACGCGGGACCCCTGGCGACATCTTTGCGCTTGGTGTTGTTTTGCTGTTTCTCTTGCGCAAAATCCCGCTGCCAGAATTACAATCGCCGCTCTTGGTATGGGATATTCGCATGCTTAGAAGACGCGGCGTGGTAAACACAAAGGCCTCAGCCGTACGGGCTCAATGGGGCAGTATTGTTGATGAAGCTGCAGGAAAGCTCAAGGATATGATTGATGGTGAAATTCATCCGAAGGTATTGAAAGTCATTTCTCGAATGGTGGCCCCGAGACCCAAGGAAAGGGCTACGGGAGATCAGATCGTGGGGACAGTTAAAGAGTACGACCATGTGGGTAGTAAGTACGTGTTTACGTACCAGGATGCGGAGATTTACTAGGTACCATGCACCTAGGTAAGGCAGCAGAGTTAGCACAGGTAGGTACTATAGGTACATGTATCTTTGTGGAAATGTATTTGTTCTTTTCTTGCTTTGTTTGAGATTCCTCTCCTTTCTCTCTTGTCTTTCCTTTGTGAGCCAAATATACCTACTAGGTACCTTAAAGGCAGCTTGAAATACCTACCTAGTAGAATTCCACTTCAAAGGGGCCTGGAAATGAGAAGATGCCGCTTGAAGCCGTACAGTTGCACTGCTCTGTGTAGCAAAGATCAAATCCAACCAGTTCTTTGAACAACCTGGGCGCTTATACCAGGTCAGGTGCCTATCACCAAGCCTCATCATCGACTTGTGCCATCCACTGGAAGAGCCCGAGCTGCATGATTCCGTCAAGGTGACCAACGTCATCAAAGAGGAACTTAAGATAGTATGTAGTAGGTGTGAATCACCTACAAGTGATATAGGAGGTATTGATAGGTCCTACTTACCTCCTGTACCACCTTGGTACTGCCAACTTTCCGTCTGTAACACCTGGCGCCTGTGGTTCGATTCTATTGGATTAGGGCTCCAGCACCGCATCACAAAGGCCTACCTAGTAGCAAGCATCAGTTCCATGCACGAGGTCCATGTATGTGATCCACGCGTATATATCTCCCGATTGCCTCCCAAACGGCTCCTTCCATGTGTCTTTCCTCCCACACACCTCAGTCAGTACCTTACCCGCCAACTTCACCACTTTCTTACCTCACTTCAAAATGAACACCGTACCTCCCACTTACAGCGATCCTGAATGGCGCTGGCCCTTTGGAAAGTTTGGTCTCAGACACAAGGACCTCTTTACCACCCTTCACGATCGCTTCAATACTCAAACGTTGCCTCTGCAAGACCTACCGGCATTCCATAGCGATGTCTGCGAACTTGTTCTTGAATGCGACACTTTGCAAGAGCTCTACTCAGCGCTAGAAAAACGCAAGGCGAAGCGTATCGAACAGTTGAGAACGGCATGGGATGATATCGCCGACATTATCATGTCACGCCCGGCGATCATGGGCTGCAGGGTCTGCTACGAGGATGGCTTTGAAGATACAGAGAGGCCACCGGGATCACTAAACGACACAAGGTTGGAACGTTGGGGGCACTTTATCCAATACGCCCGAACTCCATCGTTTGACAACATTGTCACTTTTTTTGATGGCTATGTCAGGGATGAACGCAAGAATCCCAGGGCAAAGTGGAAGGGGAGACGCCGAGGACCAGCTATAGAGGATGATCCCTCTACGGCCACTCCAGGTCCTACGGAGGCAGCCGAGGAACACAATCAGCCAGAGCCGTCACGCAAAGCGTCTCCAGAGGCCCCGACAGCCTCGACGTCTTCAGGAGCCCCGAGCGACCAGCGGCGCACATCGTCAAGCGGACCGCATCACGAGGCTCAGGAGGGCCTGACGCGGGTGTACAAGATAATTGATAGCCTTTGCGAGTTCGTCAAGCTGAAAGCGATTGTTGCCAATGACGCCAAGGATCTGTTCAGACTCATGGGCAAGTATAAGATGATGAACGGCCATTCCGAGGAAGCTGTCATTGACGGCTGCATCTTTCTTGCTTGTCGACAACACAACGTGTTCCGAACGGATGAAATCATCTTTGAATATCTCAATGCAGATAGGGAAAAGGTTAAAAAGGTGGTTAAACAATTCCACGACTTTCAGCAAAGGTTCCCACATGGGGAAGTGGCCGAGGAACATGATAAGCCAGAGTCGACACGCAAGGCGTCTCCGGAAGCCCGGAGCGACTCGCAACCCGCATCGTCAAGGGGACGGCATTACGAAGCTCAGGAGGGTCTGACGAAGGCGTACAAGATGATTAAGGGGCTTTGCGAGGAGTTCGTCAATGTGGAAGCGACTGTTGTCGATGACGCCAAGGACCTCTTCAGATTCATGGACAAGTACAAGATGATGAACGGCCATTCCGAGGACGCTGTCTTGTACGGGTGCATCTTTCTTGCCTGTCGAAAGCACAACGTGCACCGAACGTTTAGCGAAATCTTCTCCTGGCTTAACGCGAATAAGACAGAGGTTAGAAGAGTGGCTAAACAATTCCAGGACTTCCTGCATAAGTTCCCACATGTAGAAGAAGAGGACGCTGCGCAAAGGCCTGTTCAAACGACCGAGGGCTCGGCCACGAGAGAAAGCACGAATGAAGAAGACGCACAAGGATCCCGACGGAGTTGGCGACAAGTGATGAGCGAGAGTGTCTGGCTTAGCGACATGGAGGAACACGATCAACCAGAGTCATCACCCAAAGCCCCTATATCGTCAAGGGAACAGCATTACGAAGCGTACAAGAAGATTGATGAGTTTTGCGAGATTATTAATGCGGGAGAAGTTATTTCCAATAAAGCCAAGAGTATCTTCAGGTATGTCGATGAGCACAAGATTTTGAACGACTTTCGTCAGGAGAATATTATTGGCGCATGCCTCTCTACTGCTTGTCGGATACACAAAGTATCCCAAAAGTTTAAAGAAATATACTACTCTACCAATCTCGATATGGTCGAGGTTACGAGTGCGGCTTATCTCCTTGAACAGCCAAAGTTCCCATTTATGAAGGGCGAAAATGCTGGGGATAATGACGCTCAGGAACACGATAAGCCAGAATCGTCACGCAAAGTGTCTCCAGGAGCCCCGAGCAATAAGTCGCAACCCACATCGTGGAAGGGGCACCATCACGAAGCGTACAAGGAGATTGATGCGCTTTGCGAGGCAATTAATGCGGGAGCGAATGTTTCTAAAAGTGCTGAAAGCATCTTCAGACTCATAGACAGGCGCAAATTCACAAACGGCAAGCCCCAGGAAGCTGTTGTTGCCATCTGCGTCTTTGTTGCTTGTCGACAACAAGATGTACGCCGAACGCTTGAAGAAGTCTTGCGGCATACCCGTACTAGTAAGGAAGAAGCTGTCAGAGTGTTTGAACAATTCCGAGACTTCGTGCACAGCCTCGAAGATGCTGAAGCCGAGAGCGCGCCGAGAATTCCTGTTGAAACGAGCACAGCAGGAAAAAGAACGAATGATGAAGACGCACAAGAATCCAAACAGAAAAGACGACGCGTGATGAGTGAAAGTGATGGAAATAGTGACACGGAGAGGCTTGCTACCAGTCGAGGCAAGTCGAAGGCCGCGGAATCCATGCCGACTTCGAAGCGGGCCGAGAAACGCAAAAGGCCAGACGATTCGGAAGATGAAGCAAGAGACAAGCGGCCCAGGACTAGCTACAGTCCAGTGCCCGACCTTTTCCAGGTACCTGATTCACCCATTAGGGGCCAACCCGATGGTTATGCGTCGTCAACAGATCCATGGGCATCTTCGTCGGATTCAAGAGATTCAAGCCCGGGTGGCCTGCCTCCAACTGCATCGCCCCATGACGATGCCTCGGACATGGCCAACTGGCAATGGCCCCGAAAGAAGATGAGAAAGCCAGGCCCAAGTGCCAGCGATCTCGCCTCTTCAGTGAGCGGTCAGGCACCTCCCAATCAACATCTAGGAACTGTCGACGCCAGCCAAGCGCTTCCACGAGGAAGTGCTGAACAGCCCCCAGCCAAAGATATTCCTGCCGTCGCGGTGAATTCGAAACGATCCAAGGGCATGTCTCGCGCCATCCATCGGCATCGAGTCGACAAAATACGGTCACGCAGGGAGCAAGAGACGTCGTCACCGGAGAAGCAGCCGCTTCAGAAGAGCCGCCGAGAGCGGAAAGCTTCGCCTTCCGTTGATCAAGTCGTGCGCTCCAGACGATCTTCCAGGCGGGAAGCCAGACAAAAGCTGTTGTTTCTTGACGAGGATGGCACCCCATGCGTGGCTGCTTATAAACGGGAGATTTAAGTGTCACGATGATGATGATATCATCAGGGCGTACAGGAGGAACATGGCCAGGGGAAGGGGGAGGATTCAGAGCCGAGGGCTATTCGACCAAAGGCACACCCATTAACCTGGCAGGGCCGGGGGCAGTGGGCAGCCTTTACGTCGCATGGACACGAGGCGGACGGTGACTGAGACCGAGTACTAGTCGGCCAGAGGGCATACTCGTTAACCCGGCAGGGCTGGGGGCAGCGAGCAGTCAGTTGGCTTGGCTAACAGCTCACATGTGGTTGAGCCATCTTCCAGCATGGTCGTTAATCTGACAGGGTCGGAGGCAGCGGCGTAGCTGAAGAAGGTCTCGATTGCAATGTGGCTGGTTCCGGAGACATGGTCGTTATCCTGGCAGGGCTGGGTGCAGCGGCGGAGTCTTTGGGGGCCTTGGGAACAGTTGAGATGCCGTTAGGGGAGATCAAGGAGGAAGTGAGGTTATGGAAGATGATATACGTTGGATGGACTGTGTGGAGGCGACATGCCATCTGTTACTGGAGGATGAAGCTTATGGGAGGATGCCTTTAGCTGTCTTTTGATGTCTTTGCTTTCTTTGCTATCTGTGTTACCTAGTGTCCTTGATTCTTCGTTTCCTTGTCTCAGTGGTTCTTTGTTCCTTTGTTCCTTATTTCTTCGTTTCCTTGTCCCCTTGATTCTTTATTTCTTTGTTTTGTCAGCATATCTTGAATGTACCTAGTGTGCGTTTTGAGATATCTTGTCTTGAGTACCGGGTAGTGTGAATTCCATGAGCATATTGGCAACTGAAGTGGGCATCTGGGTATAGTATTCTTAGATCCATACTCTTTTAGATAGCCGGAAGTTTAAAGGTAATCAATGTTAGCAGGCATCTGGACGTATAAATATTGTTCCCATGTCATTAGTCTTTGAAGGGCTGGAGGTTTGCCTCATCAAATTGTTGTCAAGAAATGAATAGACTAGTAGGCATTAATCCTGATTTTCTGCAAGGGCTCAAAATGTGAAATGAAATCGAAGGATACACAGATTGTTCTATAATTTACTTGTTCGGCACAGTCATTCCCATAGTTGCATGTTCAATGTGCTCATGTCGAAAAATGCAGATATGTATATGGCTACCGGGTAGCTGGATATTGTTAATGCTGGCTGTCCTGTGTATACGTAAAGATCAAACAACTATTACACAAGCAATTGTGAACCAGATAGGCATAGAGCTATATCAATCACCAAACCACCAAGCCCTTTACTCACTAGCTTAAATACGTAATGCTGTAGGTACCTGCTCGGCAGGCATGGGGAGGTATTAAACCGCATTGATCATTATTAATGTCGAGATAGATTATTAAGGTGAGCGAGTACTGCAGACAGATGCGCTTGTGACGTGCCCCGCAGCAGCCCACTTGGGTGTAGATTTGATTCTTAGTTATTGGAAATGTCTCCGAAGAGGCGGTATTAGCAGTGTGATGACCTGTTGAGCTCAATTGACAGCCTTTGGATAGATGTACAAAGTGAAGCCTTAGCAGACATCTCAAGTACATGTGTAGACGGCTTATACCAGATCTCTCGGTTTGCTTCAATCGGTAGATGCTACATGTCGCATACGTCAGTCCTCACGGCAGATACCCCGCCACTCGTGCAGCTCCGCACTCGGTCGCTTGTACCTGCTACCTCGCTCAGGTCCCCGCGTGCCGTCACTGGACCAAGCGGCCATCTCCCGCGGTTTAGCCGATGGAATGTACTAGGCCCTTGAATTTTCGGCCATGTCGTAGCCAGATGCCGCCTAGAGCTGCCTCCAGTGGATTATTAACTGCACGGCTCTGTAATACTCTCTACATCCATACTATTCTCTATTACTCAGTCACACCTCCAACCCGGCAATGCTCACGACGGGCACATTCTTGCGGGCTTGCTAAGAGGACCAAGAGCTGAACAATTGCGACCGTTTCCAGTTCTCCCCCTCTCTTGTGCCCTGTCTTATCTTATTACTGTGCATTTCTAATACAACCACCAAAACCCCGAATCCCGGTAGTTGGACGACTTCGAGCTTCGACTCCGACCCTTTCGCCATGCTGCCCCGATCACGAGCCTCTGGGCGCCTGATCCTCGAGCGCTCGGCCGCACACCCAGCTCGCGTGCTGTCCGATTCGATTCCCCGAGCATGGACACTCAGTTCGGCTCTCCGGGCCACGCAGATCGCCGGCCGTCGCTATCCCGGATTACGACCCCGGATGCCGGGAGCGGCATTCTCCACAAGCGCAAGGCTGGGCAAGGAAAAGGACAAGAGCAGCAACTTTTTCGATTCTGCCGTCGAGCCGCCAAAAGAGGAGGAGGACGAGGCCAAGGCCAAGCTCGAGAACAATGCCAAGGAGGAGTCCAAGGCCACCACCGCCGACTCAGTAGCCTCGTCTGCAAAGAATGAGGGCGGACAGTCGCAGGACGGAAAGCCCAGCGGCGCTGCAGGAAGTGCTGCCGGTGCCGGTGCCGGGTCTGGCGCGGGTGGTGAGGGTTCCGGCGGCGAGGGCGGGAAGCGAGGTCGCAAAGCTGCCGAGAGGGCGCTGTCCAAGCCCGTCATCCCAGAGGTGTATCCGCAAGTCCTGGCCATCCCCATTGCCCGGCGGCCGCTGTTCCCGGGCTTCTACAAGGCCATTACGATCAAGGATCCTAATGTCGCAACTGCCATTACCGAGTCCATTAAGCGCGGCCAGCCGTATGTGGGAGCCTTTCTCTTCAAGGATGAGAACGAGGACGATGACGTTATTCGAAACGTCAACGACGTGTACGATACTGGTGTCTTTGCCCAGATCACGAGCGCATTCCCCATTCACGGACAGGAGGGCGCTTTGACGGCAATTCTATACCCCCACCGGAGAATCAAGCTGTCCAGTCTCGTTGCACCTGGAGGACAGGATGCGAACAAGGCCGAATCCAAGACGGAGCCCGAGCCCGAACCGATACCACAAAAGACCATTGAGGAGGATGCCCAACAAGAGAAGAAGGGTGATGTGGTGGCAAGCTTCGAAGAGAGTGCCGTGGAAAAGAAGTCTGAGCAGGCAACAGAAAAGTACGAGCCCACCTCGTTCCTCAAGAGATACCCCGTGAGCCTGGTCAACGTGGAGAACCTGGTGGACGAGCCTTACGACCCCAAGAGCCCCGTCATCCGTGCCGTGACCAACGAAATCGTCAACGTCTTTAAGGAGGTTGCTACTATGAACAATCTTTTCCGCGACCAGATTTCCACCTTTTCAATGAGCCAGTCTACCGGAAACGTCACCTCGGAGCCTGCTAAGCTGGCCGACTTTGCCGCTGCCGTCTCTTCCGGAGAGCAGAATGAGCTGCAGGAAGTCCTGGCCTGCATGAACATTGAAGAGAGGATGCAAAAGGCCCTGATTGTGCTCAAGAAGGAACTCATGAACGCGCAGCTGCAGTCCAAGATTACCAAGGACGTTGAGAGTAAGATTAGCAAACGCCAGCGGGAATATTGGCTCATGGAGCAGATGAAGGGCATTCGTCGGGAACTTGGCTTGGAGTCGGATGGCAAGGACAAGCTGGTTGAAAAGTTCAAGGAAAAGGCCGCCAAGCTTGCCATGCCTGACCCTGTCCGCAAGGTCTTTGACGAAGAGATTAACAAGCTGGCTCATCTGGAGACTGCTGCTTCGGAATTCAACGTGACAAGAAACTATCTCGACTGGCTCACTCAGATCCCTTGGGGCCAGAGGAGCCCCGAGAACTTTGGCATCCCGAACGCCGTCAAGGTCCTTGACGAGGACCACTATGGATTGCAAGACGTCAAGGATCGAATCTTGGAATTTATTGCCGTGGGCAAACTCCGAGGTTCGGTTGAGGGCAAAATCCTTTGTTTCGTCGGACCTCCTGGTGTGGGAAAGACGAGTATCGGAAAGTCCATTGCCAGGGCGCTTAACCGAGAGTACTACCGATTCAGCGTTGGAGGTCTGACCGACGTGGCGGAAATCAAGGGCCACCGAAGAACATATGTCGGTGCTCTGCCTGGCCGGATCATCCAGGCGCTGAAGAAGTGTCAGACGGAGAATCCCCTCATTCTGATTGACGAGATTGACAAGATTGGGCGAGGATACCAAGGTGATCCATCATCAGCTTTGCTGGAGCTGTTGGATCCTGAGCAGAACAGCTCCTTCTTGGATCACTACATGGATGTTCCGGTTGATCTGTCAAAGGTCTTGTTCGTTTGCACGGCCAACATGACCGACACCATCCCCAGACCTCTTCTGGACCGTATGGAACTCATTACCCTGTCTGGATATGTCGCAGACGAGAAGAAGGCTATTGCGAACCGGTACCTCGCTCCGGCTGCCAAGGAGGCGGCTGGTTTGAAGGACGCAGACGTTCAGCTAACTGACGAAGCCATCGAAGAGCTCATCAAGTCGTACTGCCGAGAATCAGGTGTTCGAAATCTGAAGAAGCAGATTGAAAAGGTCTACCGTAAATCGGCACTAAAGATTGTCCAGGAGCTGGGAGAGGACGCCTTGCCCGAAGAGGAGGCCCTGACAGAAGAAGGCAAGGCCGCCGCTGCGGAGAAGGCCAAGGAGTTGTCTGCAGAGGCTGAGGAGGGCAGTGGAAAGAAGGCCGCCACTGAAGCCAGCGAAAGCGAAACTACAGAGAAGCCACGCAAGCCCCTGCAAGTGCCGGAGAGCGTTCACGTCAGCATCGGCAAGGACAACTTGACAGACTACATTGGACCGCCAGTCTTTACGTCGGATCGGTTGTACGACGTGAGCCCGCCCGGAGTCTCGATGGGCTTGGCCTGGACGCAGATGGGTGGTGCGGCCATGTACATTGAGTCGATCCTGCAGGCACCCCTTCGACCTAGCTCGCGACCCGGATTGGAGATTACCGGAAACATGAAGAACGTGATGAAGGAGTCGACTACGATTGCTTACTCGTACGCCAAGTCGTTCATGGTTAACCAGTTTGCGGACAACCACTTCTTTGACAAGGCCAAGATGCACCTGCACGTTCCCGATGGCGCCGTTTCCAAGGACGGTCCTTCTGCTGGTATCACCATGACCACGTCTCTTCTTTCGCTCGCCCTGGATACCCCAGTCAACCCGACGGTGGCCATGACAGGTGAGATTACGCTCACCGGAAAGGTTCTCCGAATTGGTGGGCTGCGAGAGAAGACTGTGGCGGCGAGAAGAGCGGGATGCAAGACTATCATCTTCCCCAAGGACAATATGTCGGATTGGCTGGAGCTCCCACAGGTACGTTTTTAAAACTATTACAAGAAAATGGAACTATCGCTAACTTTTCTCTCTTTATAGACAATCAAGGAAGGCATCGAGGGTCACCCCGTAAGCTGGTACACTGAAGTGTTCAATCTTGTCTTCCCCGAGATCGACCGCGAAAAGGCCAACACCTGCAAGACCTGCGAGTGGAAGGCCCAGCAGAAGAAGAAGGATGACGCCGAAAACAAGGAAGACGACGACTGAGGCCTACGTGTCATGAAGCGTACTCTTGGACACATACGAGCATGAGGCAGCAGAAGAGAAGTGAATATCTCTCAACCTGGAAAGCAT